GTTATTCGAAAGAGGTTATATTAAGTAACGGATTACCTTCGAATTAAAATAACCCGTAGTAATACGTACTTCCGCGCCCTTAAAATTCGTATCGATATTAATAATCGCGTAAGCCGAACTTCTTAACTAAAATGATATTACGGAAGAGTTAATTCCGAGCGTAAAAATACTACGCGGTAATATAGGGATTAGTTTTTAATAACTCGCGGGATAAGCGCATGCGTTAGATTTTAGGGGAGGAAAGCTATTCCTAAAAGCGTAGTATATATTAAAAAAGGCTCCGCTAATAAAGATTAATAAAACTTAAAGTAAGAAAAGCGCTAGGAATCCTAAGATACTTAGTAAAAATAACGTACTCGCGTTTTCGTTTAAATTAAAAAGGCCGCGTACCCTTTAAATAAATTATAACGCGCGTAATATTCCTTAATAACGCATTAGCCTCGGTATTCTTAGGGTTTTTTAACGCTTACTTAAGATCCTACCGCGTAATTTACTACTACTAGGCGCCTTTTCTCCTTACGAAATATTTACTTACTACCATTACTTATTAACGTATAAGTATATTAAACGCGATAAAGCGGAAAGTAAGGTATTACGCGAATCGATTATCGCGTTAATATATAACGTACTATATCTAATCGTCGAAATCGATCTTACGTTACCTTAGATATATAAATTTAACTTCTTTACGCGGAAATAAAGTAGGAAACGCTAGTAAAAATAACGTAATTAAACGCATAAACTCGTTAATAAGGATCTAGCGAATAAAAGGCATGGATAAATAATAGGTACCTATAAGTTTAACGGGATAACCTTTAGAAATAAGCGCCCCTTTTAATTCTAACTCTAAACGCTCTATCTTAGTTTATTTTAACGTAACGTTTAGTATAATAAATTTATCGTATTAAACCTCTAATCCTTTTAAGTCGCCTTCCGTAACTAAGTTAGTTTAAAGCGCTTAACCGTTATCGACGAAGTCTTAAATATTAAGCTACTTAAAAACATTACCGTCGTTAAGTAGCTCTTCTAACGCGGCGCGATTTTATTTAAAGTCTTTATAACCCGGGTAATTATATCTTAAATACTTAAGCTATATTTCGATAACGCGCCGACGTATTCTAAACTTAGTTCGAAACTAGGTTATTTACTTAGGATTTTACGCTAGTTCGCGTAAGCGTAATAAAACGATATTAAAATACTAAGGAAGGAAGGGAAAATAATCGTATACTTTATTAACGTTACGTATAAAGTATACGACGTAGCCGCGATATTTATATTATTAACCGCGGATTATAAATATATTTATTACTACGTAAATCCGCGTAATAAGTAATTCTTCGATTATTATTAGCTTTAATAATAAATTAAAAAAAGAAAGGATATTAAAATTAAAATAATTACCTACGCTAAAAAAGAAAGGCTTATTTACGCGCCTTTTTTAGTCTTTATTACGATAACGCTTATAAATACCCGCGGTATTTAAATCTATATTAAATTAATACTTCTTATAACGATTATAATATTTACGTCGTTCCTATTCTAGCGCTAATTAAAACCGTATTAAAATCGCGTAATCGGTATTACTAATCGCGTTAACGTCGAGGTCTTTCTCTTACCGTAGCGGCTTAATTATAAATAAACTTTAACGATTAAAAACGCTATTAAGTTCTTAAAAGTAAGCGGTATTTAAGGAAAAGGTTTAATTAAAAGGTCGGCTTAAGCGCGGTTATTCTTACGTTAGTTTTAGCGTAAGGGGTTTTAGCGTAAGGGGCCGTAAAGGTCGGCCTCGACGTACTTATACTTACTTTAACGTTAGTTCTAACGTAAACGCGCGTAAAGGTCGGCCTCGACGAATTAATTCTCGCGCTTATTCTAACGTAAGCGTACGTAAAGGTCGGCCTCGACGAATTAACTCTCGCGTAAATACTCGAGGAGGTCGCCCTCGGGGCGCTAGTTCTAGCGCTACCGTTAAATCCGCTAGTTATAATTATATTATTAACGAAGAAAGTAAAGGAATAGGAAAAGGATTACCGCTATTACGTCGGGTTACCTTATGCCGTCTTCGAATTTACTATCGTAATACGTTACCTACGCGTAAAGTTATTTCTTTAGCGCTTAAATTATATACCCGAGGCTACGCGGTAATAAAATATAATCGATAATAAGTAATATTTAGTTACGGAGCCGGTTAAAGCGTCTTAAGCGTAGGATAAGATCGGAAATCTTATATAGAATTAACGGTAAAGCATAAACTACTAATAAAGAATATTAACCTAAATAAGACGGCGTATATTTTCGCGATAAAAGAGATAATTTTTTATAGATATAACGTAATTTCGTAGATTAATAAATTACTCGATGGCTTAAATTCTTCCGCATATACGACATTCTTTAACTTAAAGCGACTTTATCTTAATTAAACTAAGAATAAATTATAAGAATAAATTATAAGATACGAAAAAGAATAAGAATTATATAAATAAGAATAGAAACGTATAAATAAACGCGTTAATAAATATACGTAAGGATCTTAAGGGATAATAGGAATATACTAAATAAGAAAAACTCTATTTATCCCGCCGTTTTTATTAGGTATACGTATTTTTAAGGACCTATAGCGCGTTTTTTAGCCAATAAAAACAGAGTTTCCCCTAAAAGACACCCCTTTATAGGGGTATTTATAGGGTTATTTATAGGGGTATTTAACCCCGCAATTAATTAGCATAATAGGGGGTTATGCGTATTATAACTATCCTCCGGATAGGATTAATATCTCGACTTCGATATTACGAAATACGTCGAGGTAAGTAAATATATCTAAATTATTATTAAAGAATAATTAATTATTAATCGGCTTATAATCATTTAATACGTAGAAAAAATAAACGACTATAAGAAAGAGGATTATTAATAAACTTAATAGTTTTAACGTCGTTTCTAGTATTTAATTCTAAAGGTAGTATTCCGTCGTTAGTTATTTTAGAAGCTCGAAGCCTATCGTACTTTTTAACTATTAGATTAATAAGATTAAGATTAGGTTTACCTATTATTAGATTACGAAAACGTTAACGAAGGTATATATATTACCCCTCTTTAATCGATACGTAATCGATTACTAACCGATTTATATAGGAATATCGAATTACATCGCTAGGCTTTAACTTTATAAACTATTATTATTAATCTTAAACTTAAACGTAAATTAAAACGTATTAAAATTCGTTAATAAGTAGCCGTAGTAAATAAAATCGAAGAAGAAGTACGTTAATTACGCTTAATAAACGATAAAAAGGAGATTAAATTAATAAAACGACGAGTTAGGCTTAACTTAAATTAATAGCTATTCGTTTAAGAATTAATTAAGAATTAACCTCTAATTAATTACCTATTTATTAAATTAAACTATTACTTCTCTTTTAAACTATCTTAGGATAAATATAAAACCAATATATAAATTAAAATAATCTTTAAATTATAATTAAGAATTAAAAGCAAAGGTATATTAGTAATACGTAACTATAAGACTAGCCTTAATCGATTTATAAGCGATTAAACTCCTATGCTATATATTTAAATCCCTCGTTATATATTATAAGTCGATCCTTAATTAATTAAAAATCGAATATACTTAACGAAATCTTCGTATCTCTTTATCTACGTACTACTAACCGATTATTAATCGATTCCGAATCGATTAAGCCTTATTATTTCCTTTTATATCTAATATAATTATAGGTAATGGCTTCTTAAATCGTAGTCATACGTCGCATACGTTATCGGGTACGGGAGGGGGGTACTTTAATAATAAGCGGTTAATAATCGATTAGGATTCGATTAAAGTAAACTTACTACTAGCCTTTCGGCCCTTTGCTACGTAACTATTATAAGCCTTGCTATATAAATTAACCATCTTTCTTATTTAGCGGCTATCGATATCTCCGTTCTAAATAGTAAATAATTAATTCTTAATTAATTCGAATTTAATTAATACTTACTCTCTTACGTGGAATTATTAATAAAGTAGCGGTAATAAAGCGGCTAGACCCTACGACAGGCTTCGTAACGGGCTTACGAGGAGTATTAGAAATCGACGAAATACTAATTAATTAATAATTAATTAAAAAATAAATTATACGGAAAATATACTTACTCCGCTTCGTTTCTAACTTACGCGGAGGCCTCGTTAGCTACCATTCGTTTCATTAATCGTTAATAAAATGCTAATTAATTAGTAATTATTTAAAAAATAAATTAAAAATAATAACTTACTTATAGCTCGCTAATGCTATATATTATTTATTACTTTAGATATATAATTCTTAATTTAATACTTATAAGTACGTTTTAAGTACTATCGTAAGTTAGAAGTCGAAAATTAACGGATCTAATTAGTTAGTAATTAATTAATATCTAATTAAATATTAATATATACTATATTTCCATATATATTACCGTCGATACGGGCGCGATAAAAGAGCTCGCTAGGTACGATAATCGGAAGGCCGGCTTAATCGATTAATAATTAATTACTAATTAATTTCGGGATAATATTTACCTCGTTTAGTTCGAATTTTAATATACCTTTAGGGTACGTCGTAAACGAAGTATACTATTAATACGCCTCCTAAAGCTACGTTAGTAATAATTAATTCGTAATTAAATATATACTTATTAAGAATCGAATCTTACCGATAAACGAAAGTTATATGGCTTTACTATATTATTAAAAACGCGAATTAATTAATAGAAATGTTAATTAATTAAGTAATAGTAAGAGGGTAATAGTAAGAGGGTAGTAGTAGGAGGGTAGTAGCGGCAATAGGTTAATTATTATAAAAGGAAGGAAGGAAGAAAAAAAAAGGGTAGTAAGGGAAAAGGATATTAAGCAGAGATTAATTAAAAGGATCTTACCCCTAACTAGTTAATAGGGTTAGTTATTTTAGAAGGAGCTAATAAAATCTTTAGGAAGCCGCGATCCGCTTTAGGGTAAGGTTTAAGGGACTAGTTAGGCTAATCTATAGACTCGCGGCTTGGTAGATGGATATTTCTAGATGGGTGAGACGCCGGTGCTAAATGCCGGATATGCAGATGAGTAGGTAGACACCTGGATGGATGGGATGGTATGGATGGCCGACTAGCTAGCTGAATCCTTATCCTCTGGATCTTGGGGAAGCTTGTCGCTAGTTCCATCGCCACGCCCACGAGCCCATGCGGTCGGTTAAGTCAAGCGTCATTAGGTATATTATGCCTACTAATTCGGTATGTGGATACCTATTCAGTGGGATGGATAGATCCAGGGGGGGGATCTGCCAACGTGGGTTAGAAGCCGGCTTGGGCCCAAGACTTTGAAAGAGAAGCATACCTACTCTTACTAGGCATACTCTTACCCCTCCACTCCCTCCACCCCCTCCACCCCTGTTCTCGTACGTTTTCGTACCTGTAATTTCCTGTCATTTCGTCCTTTTCCGACGGGGACCTCGTAGTTAAGACGATATCCACGACCGAGGCGAAATAAATCGCCCAATTTCTGGTGTCGCCTCTTGAACCTTCGATATATCCCCAGGCCGCAGACTGATGGAGACGATACTAGTGTATTTCGAAGCCAAGTGTCTATGATGACTCGTGCTATCTACTGCTAGAAATCTCCTAGGTTTAGGGTTTCTAGTACAAGGTCCGGGCGAAAGAAGATCTAACGATGTCAGACGAGAGAGGCAAGCTAGCGAGAATTGCCAGTAGGTGGTGTAGAGGCGGGAGAGACTGTCGAAAATGTAGCTGCCAGGCCCACCACATCTCCCACATTATTATCTTATCCGCACATCACATCTTCCCGCTGCCCAAAAGCAAGTCCGCTTGGCTCATAGGCTCTTCTCGAGGTCGGTGATCACCTGTACCTTAGCCGCGCTTGCACTCGCCGTGTCGAACACGTACCCAAGCCATTCCTTGGCTAGTCGGCGGGCGAGTTCCAGGCCGATCACTCTTTCACCCATGCAGAGGACCTGAGCATTGTTGCTCAGCACCGCGCGCTCTACGGAGAAGCTATCATGGGCGGTCACGGCTCGGACGCCCTTGATCTTGTTCGCGGAGATGGCAACACCCAACCCCGTACCGCAGATGAGCAGGGCCCTGTCGACCTTGCCATCAGCGACAAGTTGAGCTGCCGCAGCTGCTCGGTGAGGGTAGGCAGTCTTGTCGGAACTTGCGTGGCTACCAACGTCGACTACGGATTCGACTCGCGGGTCGTTTTCGAAATCGGCCTTGATCTTGTCCTTATAGCTAACGCCGGCGTCCTGCAAACGGGGCCGTGGTGTTAGCATCGGGAGAATTACGAGGAATCATAAGCCACGTCAGGGGAACGCAAAGGTAAGGGGGGAGGCGTTCAACCGGTAGGGGCGGATGTGGGGGTTGAGGGGGAGCGGGCAGGGGGGGGGGGTTAGGAAAGGAAGTGAGCGAGAGAGGGCGCCGAGATTGTTGAGACGGCCTAGGCTTGGCCTGGTACAGCACGACCTTGGTTATACACGGGTTGGGATAGGTCGGAGAGGGCAAGGGCAAGGCGGGAGAGCAGGAGGAGGACGATTCTCGACTCACATCACAGCCGACCGCAATCTTCCACTTCGGAGAAGCCATCGTTGCGTTCTGTCGGCGGGGCAGCTGACAATGCGAGAGGTCAGGCGGCGTATCGAAAATTGCTGCTTGGCTCTTCGGAACGACTGAAGAAGTAAGAGAGAAAGGGGGGACCGAGGGGGTTAAAAAAAGGAGACGGGATATCGACAGCAGGAGGGAGAAGAAGGAGAAGAGAGAGAGAGATTATTTGCTAATACCACGGCTCTGCGATCTTCGGCCTGCGTTTGTCCCTAGACGTAGCTTAGCAACTTGGACATAGGTACCTCCTCTCAACGTCGCCTCAGGTATTGTGCCTTATGTACCTAAGCTACAAGGTGCCTAAGGTAGATGCCAGGTAGGTAGGTATGTAGGAGGTACCTCGATAATTGCAGTATTACCTACCTCCATACCTGTATAGAAGGGAGGAGGCACTCGGTGATGGCTGCGTACCTAGGTAGGTGCCTCCTGACCTCAGTGTACTACGAGGTAGGTGCCTCTCGAGGTACCCTGGGTCCCTACCTTGGGTGGTGGGGCGTGGAGGGGAAGTGGAGAGGGGCTTGTACAGCGTGTACATATCCAACTACCTAAGGTATCTCTTAATGTACATGCGCACGCAGGCCGCGGGCAGGAGGTACATGGAGAGGATCTGTATCGAACGCCGGCAATAAGGACTTTGCCTGCCGCTCCGGCTTGCCAATGCCAATGCCAATGCTACCATCGCCGCCGCCGCTCCCCATGGTGCGGTGGGGAAGGCACCCAGACCCTGCCCCGCCGACCCAGAGTTACCCACCTTACTACGTATGTACCCAGCCGTGATCCACGTCGGCCTGCCGGATTTCCTGTCTGGGAATTCCGACGGCAAAATCTCAGGACTTTATCCCTCACAACTGGCATTCATCCTACTTTCCCGGCTTCGCCGTTTGTGGCACGCCTTGTTTGCCCTCTTCGGTAATGATGTTGCTCGTGTGGCTTCCACCACACCGTAAGCGCAAGCAACATGTCCTCGAGAGGCTGGGCATGCTTCTGGGAATGCCTACGTACCTAGTATGAACGTACAAAACGTGGGTAGGTAGTAAATAGGTACGTTAGATGTCTGCGGCGGCGGCGTGGCGGCCCTCGATGGAATCAAGATTCCTCCTTCGATTGCGCGACGGTTCCGTCCCCGTGGGGGACCGCGCGAGGCCCAGCAGTACCTAGCCCAGGTCGTATCTGGCTACCTATCCTGCACCGGCAACCCAGGCAGAAGTGGTAGGCGGCTACATCCCATCCCAACTCGGATACCGGCCTGGGCGTGGTTAAAGCAGGGTTAGTGAGCAATTACCGTCTTCAGCGCTGGATAGGTCCGGGGCGCGTAAGAGCTCCGTTCAGTCACGAGGAATGAGGAAACCCTGCGCCGGATCGTCTCTCTCTCTCTCGCTCTCCCTCCTGCTCGCTCCATCACTCCGTCTTTTTTCATGTCTCGTGAACTCTGTCTGCGCCCCGGCCCAGGCGGTATGAGGTATATGCCATGCTGGCACGATGTAAACCATGTATCATGTATATGTAATGTAGGTACTGTCTAGGGATACGATCGTTGTTCCCTTACGCGGCCCCGTAGCTTAACGTTTCCATTGTCGTGACTAGCAACCCCTATCTATGGGATCCCCGACAACTCCATGTACCTCCGTCTTTCACGATAGAAATGGCCAGCTTCTCGCTGGAACCTTTCCTCCCTTTCCTCGCTCTCTCCCTCAATCCACTCCCTCTCTTACGCATTCTCCTCCCTCTTCCGCAGACACATCTCTCGCGCGCACATAACAGCCCTCGCTCTCGTCCACAGACAGACATACATACAGACTAACTCACGCCCACACCTTTCGCCTCGCAAACAATTGATTTCTTTTCTGGTCGCCGTGAGAGGCACCCTGACGGTTTACCCGATAACTCCCCTCCCCCGGTGCACTCCTCCAATCAACCCTCGCAATCGCCTCTCTCCATCCAGCGCTTTTCGTCATCAGACCCAGAAACGAGATCCCGTCCCGCATCGCAGCGTGCACGGCGCATAGCATCGCACAATGTCGAAACGCCATCTCTTCGAGTCCCCCGACGGCCTCGTCACCAAGGCGCTCCGGGGCATTGTCGCCTACAACCCTTCGCTATCACTGGATGAAACCAACCGAGTGGTATTCGATACGACCTACAATAAGTCCAATGTCTCGATAATCAGCGGTGGCGGCTCTGGCCACGAACCCGCTTGGTCCGGTTATGTCGGCGAAAACCTGCTGGCCGCCTCGGTGGCGGGCGATATATTCGCCTCTCCTAGCACGAAGCAGATCCTTGCCGCAATCAACGCGGTGCCGTCCCAGAAGGGGACCATCTTGGTTATCACCAATTACACAGGCGATCGCCTCCACTTCGGCCTAGCGAACGAGAAAGCCATTGCGAGCGGCCACAAGTGCAGGATGATCACCTGCGGTGACGACGTATCGGTTGGCCGAAAGAGCAAGCTCGTTGGCCGGCGCGGCCTGGCGGGGCAGCTCGGAGTGTTGAAGGTAATGGGTGGCGCATCCGGCGCTGGCGGCTCTCTCGACCAGGTTTACGACCTTGGCGTCGCATTCTCCCAACAGATCGTCTCGATTGCTGCTACCCTCGACCACTGCCACGTTCCCGGTCGGGCCGAGCACGGCACGTTGGCGAGCGACGAGGTGGAGATCGGAACTGGCCCCCATAACGAGCCTGGCTACAGGAAGCTGTCTCCCGTGCCGTCGCCGCAGGATCTCGTCAGGCAGATCCTGACGTATTGCCTAGACGAGAAAGACCCTGAGCGTGGTTACGTCAATTTCAAGGAAGGGGATGAGGCCATACTACTCGTCAGCAACTTCGGCGGTATGTCGCACCTCGAGATGGGCGCGCTATTGGACGAGCTCCTCGAACAGCTCGCGGAAAACTGGAAGATCGCCCCGGTGCGCGTCAGCTGCGGTTTCCTCGAGACGTCACTCAATGCACCAGCTTTCTCGGTGTCTGTCGTTAACGTGACTGCTGCTGCCCGGAATTGTTCGTACTCGGTCGAGGAGATCAAGGCCTTCTTCGATGTCCGAACTAACACACACTGGGAGTCGATGACCGGGTCGCAATCGGTGCGCCGTGCTAGGCAACAGCAATTTGTGCAGCCGCCTCACGTGCCCCGAAAGCCCGTCGAGGACGCCAAGGACGTCAAGATCGACCCTGCGACCCTGGACAGGATGCTGCGCAGTGCCTGCGATGCGCTGATCGCTGCGGAGCCCGACCTGACTAAGTGGGATACGGTAATGGGTGACGGTGACTGCGGCGAGACTCTTAAGACGGGTGCGACCTGTCTGATTGCCGCGCTGGACGCAAACCTGGCTGCCAAGGGTTCGATCATCGAGGTCCTGCAGGAGCTCGAGGAAATCGTCGAAGGCAAAATGGGCGGCACCCTCGGCGGCATTCTCGGCATTTTCTTCGTCTCTATCCGGATCAGCCTCGAGGGGAACGCCGCTCTAGCGAAGACGGAAGGGCTCACGAAACAATGGGCCAATGCCATCACATCGTCCCTCGAAAATCTACGGCGGTACACGCCGGCCCAGGTCGGCGACCGGACCGTCATGGATACTTTGATTCCCTTTGCGCAGGGTCTGCAATCTGGGGGCTTCGCCGGTGGCGTAGCGGCAGCGATTCGGGGAGCCGAATTAACCAAGACGCTCAAGCCAAAATTAGGCAGAGCTACCTACGTCGGCGCCGACACTAGCAAGGGCCTGCCGCCAGACCCTGGCGCTTGGGGGGCAATGGTTGCCATCAAGGGCCTGCAGTCAGGCTTGTAACTGAATGAACCTAGCTTGCAAGCCGGTCCGGGCTCCTCGATAACTTGTTCAGGCCAGGGCGGTGCGTTGACAAGCTGTGGGTAGCTAAATAGGCTTCGCATAGCAATTGCGTGTAATAAATTCTAGCTAGAGGGGTGAAAATGTTCACGAGGTAGATTTTATCGTCACCCGTTTTCTTGCTGTGAAATGTGCTGCAGGTTCAGTGGTAAGCAGGTAGGTAGGTATAACCATGCCGATATTTATTGCCCTCATCGCTTAAGATCCACGTATTTAGGCATTGACTAGGTACGTTCTTCGCGTAAGAAGCGCATGTTAGCGTCTCATTTTCATCACAGCGAAGGAAAGATCTTTCAATTCTTTCAATTGCTAAGTAGGGAAGTCTTGCTATACACGTATATATATATATGCATGTATAGATGCATGAGAAGCTACGCGCCGAGTGTCTATACAGAGAGAGAGAGAGAGAGAGAAGATGTGAGCCACTCCTACCGAGACCATTTACCCTAGCTAGGCCTTGCCGGCACTGCCGAGCCAGTGCATGTACTGCTCGATGGCGGCTTGCATCCTGTCGGTGCCGGCCTCGATGACACTCGTGAGCGGCTTGCCACGCATCTCTTCCTGCACCGCGGCATAATGCTTGTTCATGCCCTTGTTAATGTTGACCTTGGAGACGCCAGCCTTGATGCACCTCTTGAAGATGTTCTCGTCGAACGGGTCTGCGCCGTGCAGCACGAGCCGCACCCGATCGCCGACCGCCGCGTTGATCGATTCTAGACGGTCGTACTCTAGCTGTATTCCCCGCGGTCCGTACTCCCCGTGCACGTTACCGAAGGCCGGGGCTAGCATCTCGATACCCGTCGCGACGAATTCCTCGGCCTGCTCCGGAGTCGTGAGGACGGCCTCGAGGTCGGCGGTCTCGGCGACGCCGTCCTCGCCGCCCTCGATGCGGCCCGGCTCAGCCTCAGTAGCGATGCCGCGCTCGTGGCAGTAAGTGACCAGCTCCCGGGTGAGGGCCAGGTTCTCCTCCTTCTCGTAGTGGCTCATGTCGCACATGATGCTGTCGAAGGCGCCGTCGATGTCAGCGGCACGGCGCACGAGCTCTGGCGTCTGCGCATGGTCGAGATGCAGGCTGACGGGTACCTTGGCCGTGTGCGCCGCGTCGGCGGCGGCGCGCACGAGCGAGGCGTTGGCGTACTCGATCGCCCAGGGGAACAGGAGGACCATAGCGGGCGACTTGGCCGCCTCGGCCGCGCGGACAGTGGCGATGATGGACTCAATGTTATAGCAGCACATGCCCGGCACGGCGTACCCACCGTCACGGGCCGCGTTGAGGATGGCCATGGAGCGGTTTTTGGACAGCTCCGGTCGCGTATCCATCTTGGGCGAGAAATGTCAAAAAAAGGGTAGGGAAAAAAGGGTTAACGATAACTAGGAGAGTAAAAGATGAATCTATGCGTGTCTGTATAGGTATATGTCGGATAGCCGAGTTGGGAGTACTTCCTCTCCGGGGTTTTCTCTCGAGGTGCAATTCGACGTAGTAGGTAGGTACGTAAGTAGCAGGGAAAATACCCGAAACATAGAACAATCGGCAGGATGTGGTGACCAGCGCACCGGGACCGGTCTCTTATAAACTAGATTGCATTCCGAATGGGGTCTGAGGAGAGGAGAGGTGAGGACGGGAGAGCATCGAGCTAGGCACAACAACGATTCCTAGAACCATCGAGCCGTCCCCCACGTAAAGGAGAGAGGACGAGAGGGGGACGGTACGGGGCGGAACACGAGGACGAGCGAGATCAGTCTATTACGAGGCACCTGGATAGTATAGCAGGCGATAGAGCGAGTAAGTGGAGAGGGGCGTAGCGTGGGGTAGCTTAGAATTACCATCGATATTAGCGGCGGGGAGGGGAAAAAAAAGAGAAGAAATATGAAAATGATACAGGTGGCTAGTGGCCGGCTTTGAGCCGAGACGGAAAGAGAGAGCGAGGCGAGGAGGGGACAAGAAGGCGAAGGAGGGGAAAAGGAGACCCCGAAATCAGCCTTTACTCTCTCTCTCTTTTACCACTTCACCCCCGTCCACACCCACTCCACGCCCAATTCCACCCAGCTTGAAATCCACCGGCCGTGCTATATGGCTATGCTAGCCCGCCCTAACCACATGCCCCCAACTCTCGTCGCGCGCTGGGCTCGTCTCCACGTCGAACCCGCCCCTGGTCCGCCGACACACCGAGATCGCTCGGTCGATAGTAATACCGACCGGGACAGAAAACGCTCCTCGCCCTCCGACACCTCGTCCTCGGTAAAAATGACACACTTAGCCGCTACCCAAGCGAGAGACGCGCAGGGGTCGACCAGACCGTCTCGAGCTAACCCAGCGATGAGTGGAGGACAACCGGCAGGCCGAAAAAGGTATATCACCAGAATAGGGAGAGGGGGGCAGGCTATCGAGACGTTTTCCTCTCACTCCTCCGTCTGCATTTCTATACACGTCCGTGCATATTGAGACGAATATCAAAGGCAGCGGGGGAAAAAGGAGAAAAAAAAAAGCCTCGGCGAAGTTACCTCTATACGGGCACCATGGCTAACGGAAAACCGGACGTCTCCTTCATCGGCCTGGGGGCCATGGGCTTCGGCATGGCCACCAACCTAGTCAAGCAGGGGTACAAGGTCACGGGATTCGACGTCTGGCTGCCGACGCTCGAGAGGTTCAAGGCTGCCGGGGGTAGCACTGGGACGACGCCGGCCGAGGCTGTTGCCGGCAAGGATTTCTGCGTGTGCATGGTGGCGACGGCCCAGCAGGCCCAGGCCGTCCTCGTCGATGGCGAGAACCCGGCCCTCCCGGCGCTGCCCAAGGGAGCGGCGCTCCTGCTTTGCTCGACCGTGCCGTGCGCGTACGTCCAGAGCCTCGAGAAACAGCTCGCCGAGCTGGGCCGCGGCGACATCCGGCTTATCGACGCCCCCGTCTCGGGCGGGGCCGCGAGGGCCGCTGATGGCACCCTATCCATCATGGCCGGGGCCTCGGACGACGCGATCGAGGCGGGCCGGTTCCTGCTGCAAGAGATGTCGGACCCGAAGAAGCTGTATATCGTCAAGGGCGGTGTCGGCGCCGGGAGCAATATGAAGATGTGCCACCAGGTCCTCGCGGCAAACCAGATCCTCGCGGCGAGCGAGGGGCTGGGCTTCGCCAGCCACCTCGGCCTCGACCTGCACGCCGCGAGTCAGGCGATCCTCAAGTCGGAGGCGTGGGCGTGGATGTTCGAGAACCGGCTGCCGCGGATGCTCGACCCCGAGTTCAAGCCCGTCGCGAGCGCGCTGACCATCATCCTCAAGGACACAAGCATCATCACGTCGGAAGCGCGCCGCGCCGGCTTCCCGACGCCGATGGCGAGCACAGCCGAGCAGGTTTACTTCGCCGGCCTCGGCCGCGGCTACGGCCCAGACGACGATAGCAGCCTCATCCGGCTGTACACGGAGGGCAAGGGCAAGATCGGACCCGTGCAGGGCGCCGCATCGGCTGATGCCGCGAAGCTCTCTCTAGTCATCGCCCTGCTCAAGGGCATCTACCTCTGCTCCGCTGCCGAGGCCCTCGCCTTCGCCCACCGGTGCAGGCTTGACCTCGACCAGGTCTTTGACCTGTGCATCAACGCCGCTGGGGGCAGCGCCCCCCTTCAGGACGTCGGCCCAGACATTATCAGGTTCCTACGCGGGGAACCCTTGCCGGCCACCGCCGGGGGTGAGGGCCTCGGTGAGCTCGCGCAGCAGCTCCAGGAGGCCGTCGAGGAGGCCCAGCGTCTGAAGGCCCCCGTATTCCTCGGCAGCGAGGCCCTTAGCCTGACGCGCTTCGCGCTGCGGCTCGCTCCGCCAGGGGCTGGCAATGTCTCAAAGGCAGCCGTCGTAAGGGCATGGGGTCTGTGAGGTAAATACCGACCTGCTTGTCTGCCGGCTTACCCTCGCTGCACCTGCTGCGGGATATGAAAGAGGAACGGCGAGGCGTAAGTGATGGTATTCGGGAGCATCTTGAAAAGGGGGAGAAAAACAAATCTGTATCATGGTAAACGATGATGCGATGGCAAGCGTTCTACACATTGATTAGAACCAGGGGGCAGAGAGGCATGTGGTTGAATAACACTATACTGCTAGGTTGATCGTCGCCATTCTACCTCTGGTAGCAATCACCGCACGCAACAAATCTGGAGAGTAACGTAGTCGGATAAGGGGGGGATGTGGATGGTCGCCCCCTGGTATTATTAGTTGGCTGTCCGCTCTGGACGAGGGGATGTTATACCAAGCTAGAATACAGCACACAATCCCGCGAATGTGTAGCCTCGGCAGGCGATGAACGCCCTCGTGAACTAATCTCCTCCTTGAAACCCGACGCTCAATAGCCGCTCTGCTCCTGCCTATGGTCCTCCTTCGCAGCTGCGCCCGCGTCCTGGATGACTTGCTCGTCGCCTCTGAGCTTCGCGAAGTACTCCTTGATGTCCTCGGCGCTGATGGCCTTGCCGCTCTCGGCGAACTGCTGGAAGAAGGGCTTGAGCCGCTCCTTGAGATGGTTGTAGGCCATGACGCCCTCTATCGCGCGGACGCGGTCCACGTTCTTCAGCGCGGATTCGCCGCGGTCGTACAGCGAGTTGCCGCTGCCGTGCGCCGAGCCGTTGTCGGATCCCGGCTCCGAGAGCGGCGGCTCGTACGCTTCCTCCTCCTCCAGCAGCTGCGGGTGCGGTCTGAGGTGTCCGAAGCACGAGTCGCAGCGGCAGAACTGCTCGCGCAGGCCCGAAGTCGTGAACAACGAGAATTTGCCCGGGGGCGCGGGCGGTAGAGACGCCAGCTTGCACTCTGCTCTCGCTGGGCTCTCTCCGTCTTTCTCGGGAAGGACCTCGTCGCCTTTTATCTCGCGAGGAGCCTCGGAAGGATCAGCGGCGGGTAAGGTCACCACCGCCGCCTCGGGGTCGTGCTTAGCCCGCTTATTAGGTTCACCGTCCTCGCCCGGCTCGTCTTCGAGCTTACGCTTCTTCGACGCCGATTCTGCCCTACTTTCCTGGAGAAACACGGCCGGTAGAAACCCGGGGGTCCCTACGTATCTCTTAATCCAGGGGTAGGCCTCGACGCATTTGTAGCAGATGAGGTGGTCGAAGGTGTCCTCGGCAGGAAATCCATCTGGTAACGGCAGATCTTCGTCATCCTCTTCAGCTTCTCCTCTCTCCTCGCCGTTGGCCTGTGGGTCAACGTTACTCTGCGGCGCCGCGTCCTCTAAGATTGGCGGAAGCGCCCCGTTTTTAGTATTGGTAGCGACCGTCTTGCCGTTTGACGTGCTCTTCTCGTACCATTGAGGTCCCAAACCGACGAGACAGCCGGGGTGATACCAGTCCTCGCCACAGCCGCCGGTTTCGTGGGTGCCAAGACCTAAGCATTGGAACATGGTCCCCTTCTGTTCGTAAGGCTTGTAATCTATGGAGCAGGAGCAGAATCGGTTGCGGAAATTCTGGTTGTACTTGTTGTTGGCATCCGGAGGCTCCGAGTGCACGCCTCCCTTCGTGTCGGTGTCGGGATTGATACGGAGGGCGCATTTCTGCTCGGGGGTGAATCGCGTAGTGCCACAATCGCAAGTGAAGTTGCGCTTCTGGAAGATCTCGACCAGCTCATGGTCGCCGTGACATTGAACGGAACATGAGTAGCATACGCCGGCGGGGGAGTAAGGGTCCTCTAGGTTGGCGGGGGGCGGGTTGCAGGTTAGGCAAGCGAATATGTTCTGCCGCAACGGTCCGAGTGGCTTCGTGCAGTTCTCGATGCTCTAGTAGGCCGGTTAGGAGATGCGGAAGCTTCAACGACGGACATCGCGGGGACATACATATGGAAGAGCTTCGCGAGCGTCGGCCTCTAGCTGCAGTTGATCTCTAATAAAGTCGGCGGCGGTCTGGGAATCGTCAGATCGCTGCGAGAAGCTCTCGGTTCGCGTCCGTGGCGCCGCGCCGCTGCTGCTATTAGCCTCTAGGGCATCGCGGGTGGAGATATCGAGAGTTGGTGGCGGATCCATCGCCGCGATGATCGCGATGGGCGGGAGGTGAGGAAATGGATGGACGGGAAGGGCGGAGGAAGACGGAGATGAGAGGGGTGAGGAGAGGATAGATGGACCATGGGTTGAGGGGGGGCAGAAGAAGATGTATGATTGTGCAGATTGGTTTGGAGGAGAGGCACGATTCGTCAATTTGATGAGCGACCTTACGGTTACAAGAAGATGCCTGAGGCAGGTAATTGAGATGTACCCCTTACCAAAGCACTAACAGGTACCTCAGGTAGGTAAATCCCAGGTAATCTTCAAGGTACCTACAGGTAGGAGGTACTTCCTATAGGAGGTACCTCTCTATATGGGAAATATAACGAATTTGCCTCTCACTTGAGGTACCTGCCTACATTTGGTACCGGTACAGCCCAACTGAGGCAGGGGGTACATAACCGAGACAGGTCGCCTTGTACCTGGCACTTTACGCGAACCCGGCGCGAAGAAACGCGTTTTCGCTTTCTCTATTTGTGCCAGCGCGTCCCACTCGCAAACCCCACGGCCCACCTTCTCCCACCACTCAAACCCGCCTAAACCACCCAGATCCTATCCCTCTCGTTCTCCTTCGTTTTTTTCTCCTGCCCTCAGCAGCTTGCCCTCCCCCCGTCACCTTTCGCCGTCTACAACACCCCGACTTCTCCTCTTAACCCCCCCTATTCGTATCATCGTTGACCGACTGATTTTCTAAACTCCCCCTTCCCCTCTGCTTGTGCTCGAAACCCCCCCTTCAGGAATAAATAGGTACCCCAGAGGAATACCGACGTAATCCACAATGAGGTAGGCTCGCCCCCCCGACCGACAAATACCAGCTCGTGGGCCATGAATTTTTAGTGACTTTTCTCTCTCCAGTTCGCCTCTACGTCCAAACATGGATTCCGCAAATCGCGGTGCCGCCCCCCGCTCGAGTCGTAAGCGCTCTCGCACTGGCGGCGATGCCTCCTCTCCCGTGGCCGCTTCTAGCCCCATGCCGTCATCTCCACCCGCCTTCAACATTGCCCACGGTGGTGACGATGACGATGACGATATTGAGGAGGAGGCCGAGATTCAGGATGACCTCGAGGAGCTCGACGAGATGGCAGAGGACGACGTGGACTTGTTTCGCGAGGGCTTTGAGCGGGACTACAACGATAAGGACGACAACGACGCCTACGAGGGAATCGACATTGATGACGAAGGCGAATTCGACGAGATGAGCCTCGGCGAAAGGCGACGTCTCGAGGCTCAGCTGAGCCGCAGAGATCGAGAAGTGGCGCGGAGACGGCGAATGCCCCAGGCTTTCCTTCAGGACGAGGATGAGGACGGAGACATCGACCTCACCGCCCAACCACGGCGCCGGCGTCACCACTACGACGAAGACCCGGACGACGAGATGGACCAAGACATCATGGATGAAGAGCTCTCGCTCGAGGCTCTGCAGGATGTCAAAGCCTCGAGCCTGACCGAGTGGGTCTCTCAACTGTCCGTCCAGCGCACGATCAAGAGAGAATTCAAGGCCTTCCTGACCGAGTATACCGACGAGAGTGGCTCTTCGGTCTACGGGAGCCGTATCCGGACTCTCGGTGAGATCAACGCCGAGTCTCTCGAGGTGTCCTACGACCACTTGTCCTCGTCGAAAGCCATTCTTGCCTACTTCCTCGCCAACGCCCCCGCTGAGATGTTGAAGCTCTTTGATGATGTAGCCATGGAGGTTGTCCTTCTACACTACCCGGATTACGAACGCATTCACTCCGACATCCATGTCCGCATTTTCGACCTCCCCGTCCATTATACTCTGCGTCAGCTGCGGCAATCGCATCTCAATTGCCTAGTGAGGGTGAGCGGTGTGGTCACTCGACGGACGGGCGTCTTCCCCCAGCTCAAGTATGTCAAGTTCGACTGCACCAAATGTGGAGTGACCCTGGGTCCTTTCCAACAAGAGTCCAACGTTGAGGTTAAAATTTCCTTCTGCCAGAACTGCCAGTCTCGTGGTCCCTTTACTATTAACTCCGAGAAGACGGTGTACCGGAACTACCAGAAACTCACGCTCCAGGAATCCCCTGGCACGGTCCCCGCTGGCCGTCTACCTAGGCATCGCGAGGTTATCCTCCTCTGGGATCTGATAGACAAGGCGAAGCCTGGTGAGGAAATCGAGGTCACCGGCATTTACCGAAACAACTATGATGCCCAGCTCAATAACCGTAACGGGTTCCCGGTCTTTGCGACCATCCTGGAAGCAAATAACGTCATAAAAGCGCACGATCAGCTTGCGGGCTTCAGGCTCACCGAAGAGGATGAGCACGAGATTCGGAAGCTTTCGCGCGATCCCCAAGTTATCGACAAGATTGTCAATTCGATAGCACCGAGCATCTACGGGCATACCGACATAAAGACCGCCATTGCCTTATCCCTCTTTGGCGGCGTCGCAAAAACAACCAAGGGTGCCCATCATGTACGCGGGGACATCAACGTCCTACTGCTTGGCGATCCTGGTACGGCCAAGTCCCAGGTCCTCAAGTATGTAGAAAAGACTGCCCACAGGGCCGTCTTCGCTACTGGTCAGGGAGCTTCCGCTGTCGGTCTCACGGCTAGTGTCCGTCGGGACCCTCTCACTAGCGAGTGGACGCTAGAAGGAGGCGCCCTAGTTCTCGCGGATAAAGGCACCTGTCTCATCGACGAATTTGACAAGATGAACGACCAGGATCGGACATCGATCCACGAGGCCATGGAGCAGCAGACCATTTCTATATCCAAGGCAGGCATCGTTACCACCCTGCAGGCTCGATGTGGGATCATCGCGGCGGCCAACCCGATCGGCGGCCGCTACAACTCTACGATACCGTTTTCTTCCAACGTCGAGCTAACCGAGCCTATCTTGTCTCGTTTTGACATACTCTGCGTCGTGCGAGACACCGTGGACCCCGAAGAAGACGAGCGATTAGCTCGCTTCATCGTCGGCTCTCACAGCCGAAGCCACCCGACTACTCAGTCCACCGCTGAGGGGTCTATGGAGGTTGAACAAGACGACTCCGAAGCTGCTCAGGAAAGCCAGGCGGCGCAGAAGAAGGAAGGCGATATCCCTCAGGAGCTGCTTCGTAAATACATCTTATATGCGCGGGAGCACTGTCAGCCAAAGCTCCTTCACATGGACGAGGACAAAGTCGCGCGGCTTTTCGCGGATATGCGACGAGAATCGCTTGCCACTGGCGCGTACCCTATTACGGTAAGCGACCTAGCCCCCGATGTCCTGGGAATGCGTAGTACTGATTCCACCCGTGTTAGGTTCGTCATTTGGAAGCCATCATCCGGATATCCGAGTCATTCTGCCGGATGCGGTTATCGGAATATTGCTCAGCCCAGGACATCGACCGGGCCATCGCCGTTACCGTTGACAGTTTCATCGGCAGCCAGAAGGTCAGCTGCAAGAAGGCGCTCGCGCGTGCATTCGCCAAGTACACGTTGGCGAGACCCGGCGGAAGTAGCGCGCGGAGAGGTGGGCAGACCCGGCGTAGAACGGCGGCGGCGGCGGCATAGGGCAGAGAAAAACAGAGGGGGCCCTACCTGGCGTAGAACGGGGCGTGTCATAGGGAAATGGAACGCGAGACATGAAGGGACTCACATTTCTTTGAAAAAACGTGCTTTAGCTATGATGATACAGCTTGAGGATAACGCAACATAATGTGTAGACCTGATATACGAAGACGCCAAGAATCGACTGCGCGCGGCCCGGGCGTGTCACCAGTGCTGTGTGTAACGTAGCGATGGTAATGTTATGTCGGGAAAGGGGGTGGTTCAGCAACACAAGGCTATGATTATCGAACCTAACGACAACGCGGACACTTGGGTATCGGGAATGTAGTGAAAGAAATGCCAATCCCCATAGAGTGTCCATTTCTTGCTACACAGGGTCCTTGCCGGGCCAGCCGGACGGTCATCCCTAGGTGGCCGACCTTCTCGGTACGTCCATCGGCGACACAAGCCAAACTTTATTGTGTTTCTTCTTGGTGATTCTACCGTTTTCGTCCTTATCCACCGTCCAAATATACTTGTCCGAGAACCAGTTGTCCTCTTCATCAGCAACGGGGATCAACAGACGGCCGGGGCACCTAAGCTGTCGTACAAGCTCGTTGTGTAGTTTAACCACCGCTGCGCCAACATGTATGACGTCCCATCCGTCGTTATTCGGCGATGATGCGTCCTCGGGACTCGGCTCGTGCCAGCCTCTGCGTCCGTCGCCGAGGCGGAAACGCACGCGCCCGGAGTCGACCAGGGCGGCGCCCTCGGCCGACTTGCGCATGTTGGCCTCGCCGAGCTTCCTCAGGTCCTCGACGTGGTCCACGCCGACGACGAGGCTCGTCTCGCCGGCCAACTCTGCGAATACGTGCACGAGGAAGCCGCTACCGCTCCCGATGTCAAGGATTCTCCGCGGGCGGCCTCTGACGCCGACGGCTTCTTCCGCGCCTTCGACCGGTAGCAGGTACGGCAGCAACGTCTCGACTGCCTTCGCATGCATAGACGGGGAGTTGATGGACGCTCGCGGGCTAAGGCGCTGGGGCTTGTCCTCATACGCGTTCTCTGGGGCATACTGACCTCGATCCACCTTGAGGAATGCCGCCTTGACGAGTGGGTGGGTGATCTGCTTCTTGCGCCAGAGCGCCTCGACGAGTCCTTCGTTAGAACTATTGGTGCTTTCTGTGTCCATTTTAGATAGGTGTCGATTGCTCTATCTTGTTTTTAAACTCGCTAGAGAGGTGAACATGCTATCAGCCGGGATGAAGTACTGGTAGACTACTTATCGGTCTCGTTATATAGACCCGAGCGGAAAGGTGGGCGAATGCGCTTCTCTAAGCAAAACTGCAACTGCAGAGGGCGGAGCGCCATCCACGTAAGTATAGTAGAATGCAGGAGAGGAACAGGGCATAGTCGTCTCCCCCCAAGTCACAATACTTCCTAGAGATACCTATTAAATTAGCCTTGTAAGCCGGCAGTCACAGTACTATGTCCGTCAGTCGAACAAGACCAAGTGACGTGGCGGCAGCTACACGTGTTAATTTGTCAAGTATGCATCACTTCATACTACGCGGAGACTCTGGTACATGTGAAATGGTCCAAACATCCTACAACGACGGGAACATGTGCGAAGGCTACCACGACAACTCAAATTAGGTAGGTAGGCGGAGGGACTGGGAGGGAGAGGGTAGAGGGTAGCGTTGCCGAGAAGAAAAACAATGCACCGATGACTGGGGGTTCTGTCGGCTACCGGACTTGGACCTCTTCCCCGTCAGACCTTCGCTGGACCTGACGGGCCTTTTGCCAGCGACTCGTCAGATAGACTAACTGACACGGTCCTCTGCCTCCGTACACATCTTATTTCGTAGGTGCTGGATGCGATGCCGACGCAGCGTTGCTGAAATATCCTTGTTGTCTATTTTCCTGCCTTAATCTCCATCTACGGAACGGCGATAACCGGATATACGGAGCAGATAGGCATGTCGGTGACGGGTTGCCTATCCGACGGCGGTCCCGATGTTGGAAATGGCCTCCGCGTAGACGGAGCGGAATGGAGCGGTAGGTACCTACCTATGTTATGCATAACGGAGCGAGTTCCCGGTTCCAGTGCCGGATGACAAGAGAGAAGGGGACCTGGGGTAGGTATTTGCCTGCTTACTACTTAAGACCTTATAACGGGAGAGAAATGGTAACAGTATAGACACGAATCATTCCCCGTGGCACAATGATGATATCAAGTAACAATCCATTGAATGATAGAAAATATATGTTGGCGTGAAGCGCTACGTTGCTTAAATTGCGCGTAGAGACTTAGACTTAGGTACCTTACCGTGTACACGTACGGTTGTGTGCAGGGACACCTTACATAATCCCTGGACAGATAGCGCTTGACATGTTGGCAATTACCTAATCTGAACGGACGTAAACTCCTATCCTGCATCATCTTTATTTCTCCTTCTCCCTCCCAACTCCTCTATCTCAACGACGAGGTCACTCGCTGTCGCTTTAAATTACATCCCATTTCTCCCCGTGGAATCCGCCCTCTTTTCTATTTATTCCTTACCTTCTTCGTCTTCCCCTCCCTGGTCTGCCCGTCGGCTCGAAACTCCGGAACTAAGTCGGCGTCTGTTGAGCGCACCACGTCCGCGACAGTCAACTCAGCGCCGCCGAGTTCTGCTTGATGAACGGTTCCGGGCTTATGCAAGGCAACGGCGGTGGAACCGGTGCCAGCGTCATGTCTGTTGGTCCTATGCCTGCTGGCCACCAGGCCGAGCTGAACATTATCTATGGGATGGTCGAAGAGCTGTCGCGCCAGCTCGCTGAGAACAAACGCGTTACCGAGGACATCGTGTCGGGGCTGGGACGAGTACGCAACCGAGCGCGAGAGCGCGGCCTGACCAACGACGAGGTGCTTGGAGAAGTCGCCGACGAAATATTTGGTACGCTTCCCCCCTCTCTATCTCCTGCCTCAGCCCGGTCTGTCTTCCGCTTTCCTAACTGCGAGCACGACAGCCCTAGAGCCTCATCTCGAGGCCCGCGTGTCAGTCCTGACCGAGTCTCTCGACCGCGCGAAAATCTCACGCGATGCCAACTTCTCTCTCGTTACCAACTACGCCCAAGTCCTCTCCACCATCCTCTCCCAGTTCCACGCCTACAAGCAGAAGCACATAGCCGACGTCTCGGCTTGGCATCGCTCCTACCGAGCCCAACTCGCCGAGGCTCGCGCCGAGAACTCGCGCCTGCGCGAGCAGATATGGGAGATGCAGGAGCACGCCGGTCGTGCGAACCAGATGCTCCGCGAATTTCGCAAGAAGTATGACGAGAACGAGGAGCGTTGGGAGAAGCGCGTCGACGACAAGGCCAGGAGACAAGAGATCCGCTTCTGGAAGCGTATGGCCATGCCTGAGGTTGCCGAGACCGAGGAAGGATACTGGAGCAACGACGACGATCTCGTGGACCCCGTCGAGAAGGAGAGACTAAAGGAGGTAGAGCGAAAAGTCGCCGAACAGGCCCTCGCGGGCGTGGGCGGCGCGGTAGGTCATAATGAAGATTCTGAAGGGGAGGGAGGTGAGTCTCACTCTCTCCGAGTGGGGATGCTGGGCGGCGTGGCCATGGAGAGGGATGCCCGAGAGGGAGGCAGCATAACCACCGAGACGCCGCCACCGAGGCCGGAAAGCACAGGTAGCACAGGAAGTACGGGGGCCTAGTCGTGTTGGCGAAACGATGAGCCAAGGGTCTCTCTCCAATACAAGTGACCGCGCTTGATGTTATGGTTGAATCACTCGGCCAGGGCCTATCGCGTCGCTCAGTTTGGAGCCGCGTTGGAAAATACTACTTGCACTCGTCGAGCGCTATCGATTATCCATCGAGGTAGTGATCTTAGCTACTATTTCCATCGCGCTTCGACTAGCTGGCAACCCCGGATCGCTGGTAAAGGCCCGGCCTAGTCTTTTGACTACGGGCCACCTTTCCTGCTTGCTGAAGCTTGCTGGGCACGCATGTGCGCTTGCCACGCCTCCGTATTTGCGGGCGGTCGGCACTCTCTATAGCTCGATACCGACCCATCGACTATCGAGCTGAGGAGCGGTTCAGGGGGAGGAAGCCTAGGCTGGCAAAGCTAGGGTCCAGCTGCGTATCAAGGTTGGCCCCTCCAATGGCGCGCGTCTCAAGCATCACCTGGTCGCCCAGCTCCGTGGTGCCTGACTGGAAGACACCACAATCTGCCTTGGGGGAGGAGAGGCGTATCACTAGAGAAGACTGGTGCCGTTCCCGTCTCTGGAGATGGGGATGGATCTACACAACATATACGCAAAGATAGAACGGCACAGCCCATAAGTCTGTCTCCGCGCTTGCTAGATGTGTCTGCCGGTGCTCCGCTAGCTTAACACATACCCGATGCTTCTCAGGAGACCGCCCGTGAGTAGCCTGGGATAGCGTCACAGAAGCCGATCAGTCGAACCGCAAGTTCCCTCCGCAGTCCTCGCGAGTTACAATCCTAACAGATGAGGCTATTTCCCGAGGGATGTAAATTTGTGTAATTAGTATGTCTTTCTATCCCGGACGGCCCCGTGGTCGTATTTCGTGGGGGTAGGCGTAGTTATGCTCGGCTAACGGTTCAATTCATGTAATATTATCTCCTTTCATTTCGACGATGCGTCTGCCCACGTTACCTCCCCTCCCCCTTCTCACTCTCATGCTCTCATGCTCTCTCCGCCCGACACTGAGACAAAGATACTTTTGAAGGTCACCTCACTGCTTACGTTCCACGCTCCTCGAGGGACTGGTTTCCAAGTGTGGCTGTGGCGGTGTGGTGTAGCCTGTTGAGCGTATCCAGCAGCTGTTTCTTGATGGCCCGGGGGTTACTGAAGCATAGTGGAACTACAAGTCTACCAAATTAGACGGCCCACGAGACTGACAGACTGACGTATGTCCCATAAGTACTGACGCGATATAGGTGCGATATACCTATATAAGTACACATACATACACTGCAACATATATATATGTGGCTTGATAGGCTATCCGGTAGCGACGTGATCGAGGAATTGCTAAGCCTAATAACTGCCGTAGATAGGCAGACATTAGCACGAACCAGAATCTTCCCCTCCGTAAGCTCCTTTTCCACCGTGTCCGACAGTGGTATTGCAGGTCGACTGTCACGCTCTCCGCAAGGCCACTATCTCCGAAGGGCTTTCGAAATGCAATATGGGTATTTATAATCCGCTGCGTTACTCATTCTTGCTTACCGTGATCAGTAAACAGACTTGAACTATTACATGTAAATAAACCAGTAAAATTATGCAGCGTTGTGTTCTTCCGACGTGGATTACTAATTATCGATGGCCTCAATAACTGCATACTAACATCTGTCTAAGTATACGCCTTTACTGGGTTTGGCGGGGCGCGCCTGAGGTTCGTTCCTTGTGAATTCTAGTAGGTAGGTATAAAAACATGTAGGTAAATCCTCCCAAGCCCCGAGTATTCGCCTTGCTTTTGAGGGCGGATGCAACGGGCTCTGTCGACGTGACTACACGATGCATCATGCTGGGTTTGAGAAGGGAGACTGCGGAAAGGATTCACGCGGGGAACTCAGTGTGGTATGGATTGCCCACCCCCACCCCCTATTGCATGTGGAGGGGGACGAATGGGGGGATATTAATGCATATCTAAGTAAGATGAACAACACAGGATTAGTATCTATCAAGACCGCCCTTCCACCTCCACCTCGACATGCACAACGCGTCCATACTGCCATCCTACCACCTCAACTCTCAACGTAACGAAGATAAGTGCTGAGGGAAGAAGATGGTGGGGGCCATTCGAGACTGAGATCTCTTGCTGCCCGCCTCTTTGTGGTCCCCCCCCACATCCAACCGTACCGGACTCGGAGACCACTACAACCTCCCTCGAGGACCGGTGGAGTGGAGATGTGCATGGTGCTGTCGTATCGCAGCAGCAGGAACGGCGGGAGCAGCACACATACATACACCGGCATTTGACTCGACGTCCTTCGCCTTTGCAAAATACGTAAATAGATACCTCACTCGGGTACCTAGATAGGTAGGTAGGTAGGCATGTAGGTACCCCATGTCGGTATACCTACCTACGTGAGCAGGCACACGCACGGTAGAGACGCAACAGTTGATCAAGGAATATTATACCTGACCAAGCTGGCCCAAAGGGCACCCCTAGACTGATTCGACCCAGACCCAGCTCGCAGGCAAGTTACAGGAGGTTCGGACCCTTGTCCCCTAGTTCGGTAGCTTCAGGCACGTACGTGTGGGTCATTGGCATCTAGGTATGGAGATAGTGCCTATCGTACAGAAGATAGGAGGCACGCACTTGGGCACGCAGGTCGTGTTCTGAGGTAGTGTAAGCGGGTACATAAGCGAATACGTGTACGCGATGATATGTAAGCAGGCCAGGAGAAGAGGCGAGGAGGTGTGGACGCCAATGCCATGGGAATCAAAGCGAAGCCCCCCCCCCCCCCCCCCCTCCCTCTCCTCCGCCCCCCAGTCGATGGCGTGCTGATTGCGTGCGACACCAGCATCACAGCATTGGTCCGGTCCGGACTGCAGTCGATTATCAATGGCCTCCGACATGGCCGCCGACGATCCATCCGTCCAGCCGTCGTTCCCGACTTCTTCCCACCTTGTAAGTGGACGGCGAGCCGCGGCGTAGGAGATACCAGCCAGCTCTGTCGAAACCCGGTACAAGGCATCGATACATACATAAAAGAGAGTGGGAAAAAAAAAGACTACCAGGATAGTCTCTCTGGCTTGGGATACGTGTAATAGCGGGTTTCTTTTTTATCCCTTCTCTTTTTTTTTCTGGCCCCGGAACACCGCGCGGGACGAAACCAAAGAAACTCTGCGTGCCTGGGCAGTGACATCTAATATTGCTGGTTACCCGTTCGCCGAAGGGATCGCCATGGCCGAAACACAAACGAAGTCCAGACCTGCGTCGGTCGGGAGGAATTCCTGGAAGACGGTTCGCACTCTCCTGCGCAGGCTGAGAACGAAATCTTCAAGCGCCAACGGAAAGTCCCGCTCGAGGATCATAGAGGGCGTGAGGAAAGATGTGGCCACCACGACAACGACGGACGAGTCCTCCGACCTCTCCATCGCCGACTTCGTGGGGGCCAAGGTGCAGAAGGCCCTCGTCGTCGCCCGCAGGGGAGAGTACGAGATCCGCTATGACTTCCCCGTGCCCGCCGTCGGCGAGGATGAGATCATGATCCGCGGCCACTACGTCGGCTTGAATCCCATCGACTGGAAATCTGTCGATTACAACTTCTGCCTACCAGAATTCCCTTGGGTACGCTTCCACACACACACACACACACACACACACACACACACACACACACACACACACACACACACACCTACATACATACCCCAACCTCTCGCCCCAATCTCTGATGCATGCCAATGCTTACCGGGAGGGGCATCTTAGGTTACTGGCCGAGAAATGTCCGGAGTCGTAGCTCAAGTCGGCTCTGCCGTAACGGCATTCAAGGAGGGCGATTTCGTGTGGACTAGCACGTACTACAGGGACGTCCGCGCCGGCTGCTTCCAGGAATACGTCGTCGTGCCCTCCCACACCGTCCTCCCTATCCCGTCCACGGTACCTCTTGAGGCTGCCGCCTGCCTCGGCGTGGCCGCCTTGACCGCTTCCATGACGCTGTGGAAGTGGCTAGGAGTACCCACGCCCCGAGAAGCCGCCACCACCGCCGCCGCCGCCGACGCCGACGAGCAGTGGCTTCTGATCTGGGGCGGCTCCACCGTCACCGGGCAGTTCGCCACGCAGATTGCCAGCTTGAGCGGGATCAAGGTCATCACCGTCAACTCTGCCGAGACCCGATCCTTATCCGAGCGCCTGGGCGCGCGCCGTGTTATCGTCCGCGACGGCAAGACAGACGAACAATTGGTGGAGGAGATCCGAGCCGAGACGAACGGCCAAATCACGCGAGCGATCGATCTGGTCGGGCCCAAGACCGCGGCCCTCGTATTGGACGTCGTATCCAAAGCTCGGCCCGTCGCCTTTGCGCCACTGGCTATGATGTCGAGCTCGCAGACCGTCCCCGAGAACGTCGTGGCCCACACCGTCGAGATGAAGCAGTTCGTCCTCGACAAGAGCAACGTCCGCTACACCGAGGAGCTTGGGGTGCTGCTGGAAGGCGGAAACATCATTCTGCCCGAGCTGCACCTGATCGAGGGGGGTCTGGACTCGGTCCAAGGCGGCCTCGAAATGCTGAAGAAGGGAAACCTGAAGGGGAAGAAACTAGTTGTGCGGATGTGATAGAGGTAATACTCACAAGTCTCATTGAGTCGCCCGCAAGGGCTAAAAGTTACAGTTGTCCCCTTCGAACGTTCGACTATAGGTACATCGATAGACGTAGGTACAGGTGGCGTTTTTTGGATTGTAAAACTGTACTATCCAACTATGTATATGGAGATGAGTTGAGCTGAGTACAAGTTAGAATTGGTCGAATGCCCGTCACGAGATGCCGGTTTGTCGCTGAAAATAAATGTCTGGTCATAATAAACAAATACCATCACATCGCCCCCCCATCAATCTGAACACATCGATCTATGAACTCGTACGTCTGGACCGCAATTTTCGAACTTTTAATAGGATGCCACGGAAAAGTGTAAACGTCGCCAGGTATCAGAGAGTGTGTAGCTTCCTACACCGCAAAGGAATGAGAGAGCCAAATTGAGACGTACCTAGCATCCTCCTCCCGCAGCTCCCCAAGGTGGTTATTTTACAATCAAAACCCAGGTCACCAAGAAAGTTTTGCCATAGTTCCATTTGGATTTCTGCGAATGAGAAGCCTCCGCCCTTCGTCAACCAGTAGAAGGAATAAACCAAAGGTGAAGGGGAGGAACCAGTGCTCGATCGGCACGGAAGAAGTTCCTAATATCTGTTGTGCCTGAGGGATATAGAGCCAAATAATCGCCGTGGTCAGAGCGAAAGCTATGGCGGGGAAGAGGTATATATTCTGTGTCGCCTTGTTGAAGGCTGGGGGATGATGGAAAATACTCCAGCGCCTCGTGCGAACTCCCAGCAAGTTGAAGCATTGCCTGGAGAGAACCCGTTAGTGTCCGCAATTCGTTGTCGCGAAGCTGCGCAGGCACTGATAGGCTTACATGACGACAAGATTAACGAAGTATATGGAGGACGCCTCATTCAATTTCGCCGTATAGTAGTCTTTCTTGACGTCCCGGGGTTTGCGCAATAGCACGTCTGCCTCGGGCTTCTCGTAAGAAAGCGCCGTAGCAGCAGCACAGTCTATTAAGCAACTAAAAAGGAAGCTCAGAACACGTTATAATAATTCTTTAAATTGGGTTTAGCTGGATTCGTTGTTACTCACCAGGCGATGACCACGAGGAAGAACAACAGGATCTGAGGTAGACCAAAGGCGACGTTGGTCATCACAGGCCAGAACTCTGCGAGACTCCCCGCCGGCAACAAGTAGGCAGCAGATGGCTTTCCTCAGATTGTCAAATACCACACGGCCATATTGGACCGCCACTACGATGGAAGAGAATGAGTCGAGCAGGACGATATCGGCGGCTTCGATGGCAACGTCCGCGCCGCTGCCAAGAGAGATGCCAATATCGGCAGCCTCCAAAGACGGCACATCGTTGACTCAATCGCCGGTCATCGCCACGACTCCGCCAGCTTGGAATTCCCTCACGATGCGCAGCTTCTGCTCCGGCGTCGTGCGGGCGAATAGGACCTCGTCATATTCAGTCAGGGCCTTCCATTGGTGTTCATTGAGGTTGAGCAACTCCGGGCCGATGACGAGTATGGATGAGTAGGTCCCATTGGGTTTAGGAACGATATCTCCCTCTCCCCTTGGAAGTCAGGAGACATCGCGCACGTGAGAAGGAGGGTTGCTCACGATGCCAGCATCCTGTGCGATGGAGAGGGCGGTAAGAGCAAAGTCACCGGTCACCTTAATGCACGCGACAGTTACCTAGCACAAGTTTGCGATTGTGTAAGTACGCCCGTCGCGCACGAACCATGCAGACCCTAATACCCGTACCACGCAGCGTCGAGATCACTTCACGGATTTCTGGCCGCAGAGGATCGACAATAGCCACCATACCGACCAGCGTTAATCCCGACTTGGCGTGTTCGTCCATCTCATCCTCGAATTGACCCGTGCCCGATCGGTTACGCAGCTCTTTTTGACGGAGGATTTTGCGGGCGAGCAAGAGGCAGCACTTTCCTTGACTGCTGTATGAGTTTTTCACGGCCTCGAAAGCGGCCCCCGTATTATCGTCGAACGGAGACACGACGCCTCTGTTGCTCACAAAGGAAGGGCAGCTACCGATTAGAACATCCGGGGCTCCCTTAATTGTTAGCAGCCTACTCATACGCATTAGCATTCGCCATGGCATAGATGCTTGCCTTTGAAGATCTTACGTGTCGCCTATTCGCATCTCTTCTGCCTCACGCTCCGAAACCGTGGTTTTCATGCAGTCCAGCCTGAGCAGAGAGAATGTCTTGACCATGAACTTATTCTTGCTGTTGAAGGCGAATTCGTACGTCTTCTGCCATCCCTGACGCAGTTGTTGCATCGATCCGAAGCGCTCTGAGAATCTCAGCACCGCCTGACCCGTCGCGTCGCCGAAAACGCGGCGTTTCTTGGGTGGTAGATTCATAGTAGTGGCATCAAACTCGGCCGCGTTGCAGAGCCTGGCGAGAGAATGAAGTTGGTCTACGCCAGCGGTTACTATGCCGGCCACAGCTAAAGCGGTGCTCCCTTCCGGTCCATCTTCTGCCGCGTCAATAGAAATTGTACGGATTCCAACGGCGTACTCAGAAAGCTCCATCTGGTTCTAAATACAGAAATTCAGTTACCGATTGGTAATGAGGATTATGATGTTCGTTACCTGAGTGAGTGTGCCTGTCCTGTCTGAGCAGAGTAGAGTGACGGATCCCAAGGTCTCTACCGTCTTTAACGACTTACAAATAACCTTGTGCTTTCTCATGAGGTTTGCTGTAATAGTTAAGCCTGCCGTTACAGCGATAGGAAGTCCCCCAGGCATGAAAGCGATGGCTACGCTAACACAAGTAACCATGAGGGCCGGAACGTCTATCCAGTTCGGATACTCTCCCCTGAGCCAAGTGCCCCTAGGTTGTCATAGAATGCTGAGTATTAATCTTCTTGAGGATGGGTAGAGAAAAAAAACTTTCGGAGATAAGGGGCTACCAACCAAAGAATCAAGACTACAGTAATCGTGGTGATCATAAGACCGCAGATGAGCAGGACAAAGCGGAGGACTTCTCTTTCCAAAGGTGTCATACTAACCTTGGGCTCGTTTGTGAGAGCAGTGATGCGGGCAAACACGGTGCGGTCGCCCGTTGCCACTACTAGACCTGTGCAGGGTCCGGATACGCAGTGAGTGCCCTGAAGACCGATGCAGCGCGTCTCGAGATAGTTATCATCGGTCGGGCCAACCGTCGCGGCAAGGGGCAACAACTCTCCAGTTAAGATGGACCTGTCGAACTTGGCGTCGCCTGATACTTGTAGGAAACGCATATCAGCCGGCAGTTTGCCTCCGGCTTTAACATAAGCGATGTCTCCCGGGACGAGCTCAGGTGCCGGAAGAGACACGCGCACATCGTCTCGGATGACGATGGAGTCCTGGGGAAGCATATTCTTGAGTGAACTCATAACGCGCGAGGAACTCCAGTCTTGGAACATGTTGAAACCCGCCTATGCCAAGAACACCACAAACAGGGCGATGCCTGGGGCCTAAGAGAATCACGAGTGAAAACGAGGTATAAACTTCGTCGCAAGCCCGTTGTTGATACTCCTCTCCAGGTCGAGCAACGTACCAAATTGGCCGGAGACGGGGGTTAACCAAGCGGCCTCCAAGAATTAAAAACAAGGGTGGATTCAACCAAGTGTATAGGCCCGGAACCCTGCAAGAAGTAACTAGAATACTTCTGGAACGTACGCGGCCTTGGAGGAGACGGAGAATTCCTACCATATTCCTCGAATCTGCGGTCAACCTGATCGCCGGAGAGGCCCTCGGCCACCGAGACGCTCAAGCGGCGGAGCAGACGGGCATAGAGCTACTCGAATATACGTAACGGAGCTAGCGTAGGTTATGGCCCGCTTCATAGTCGCCGTCCCGTTTGAAGCCGTATTCAACGAATTCGAGGTCCTCTTGCATTAGGTACTTATATATACATCGAGGTATACATAGGTAAGTATATATATATTTCCCAGATGGTAGGCCCGGTTACTTAAGTCGGCGCCTACGGTCGCTCCCTTTTTCTAGGCAATAGGCAATATAGGTCGAGATAAAGAAGAGGGCGAGAAATGCGGAGGAGGGAGAGGCAGGGCGCGGCAATCCTCTCCGATCTAGAGGGAGAGGAACAGGGGGTTTAAATATTAAGTAGCAGGCTATGCTACCCAACTCCAGGTACGAGATCTCCAGCTAAACGGGAGGACACGAGACGGCGAGACAACGAGGTCAAGCGATAAGACGAACCGGGGTAAGGAGCTCTCCGGGTCAAGCGACCCAAAGAATGGACCGGCAGGCCTCCCGAGGAAAGGCATAACAAGAGAAGAGAGGAGAGGAGAGGAGAGGAGAGGAGCGCTCTCTCTACTTAAGACTACCTACCTAGGTACCTACGCCTACGGAACACCCCTAACCTAGTCGCTACTCCTGTCCTTAGCCTTAGCCTATAACATAACTCCATAATACATAACGCAGCTATAGACGAGGGGGGCACGCCTCGCGCAATACCACAGTAGCGTCGGTCCCTCGGCGATATCCTGCCTCTACAAAATCTAACAGGAGGCAGGTTTTCCGTCCAAGTTAGAGCCTCCTAGTATATCTCGAATACGTAATGTAGGCGTAGTGGTACATGATATACTACTAACACTACCGCCAGTACCAGGTGGAGGAGGAAATCGGGAAGCGGGAGTAGAGAGGGAGGGTAAGAGCCAGAGCGGGGAAAGGGCAAGGGCGGGGGTAAGATTAAAAGCAAGAGAAAGAGCGAGAGCAAGAGAAAGAGAGAGAGCAAGAGCGAGAGCGAGGCTAATAACAGGGGGAAGGGGAAGGGGCAGGGGGATGGAGAGGAAGAGAGAAAGAAAGAGGACGCCACATTGTTCCTTGCGAGAGCCCGTTTCCTTACAATCCCATAGTGCTACGCGCATCCATGGCTACCTCACCACGACGCGCCGACGGCCCGAGCTGCTCGCGCGGAGGAGACAGAAGAGGGGGCGCCTAGAAAGGGCCAGCGCCTGTTTCCCTCGGCTTTCTTCGCCCAACAGACTCCAAAGTTCGGCGAGATCGAAATTCGCGGACCGGGTCGAGAAGGGCTCTCTACTCCAGCTACGTCGACAGCCAGGTGGTACCTAGCACCTGTCGACATCCCCACATCCGTCCCTCAACGGCAGACTCCGAGAGTTGGTTCGGCTTCCGGGATGCTGGCTTGCTACTAAAAATCAGGATCCCAAAAAAAGAGAAGAGAGGAGTTTAGGAAAGGGGACGGGGTGAATACATTGATTAACCCTCCCCCGTGAACCAGAGGGACAGGGCATATACGAGCCGCCGTAAGAGGTGATATCAACCTTCTGAGTCAGTTTACCTATTACATTACCTACATATCCTATCAGACCTTCGCAAAACCCTGCCTCTCGGGCATACGCCTGCGGGTAGACAAGTGTCGGTTACTACGATGTCGAAGCACGGGGTAGGGCAAGCATCACTACCGCCACGCCGCACCGCATCCCTACGCCTGTCCAGAGCCTTCGCCTTAACCCCTTATCGCTTGTCACTAGTTGCAAACTGCAGACTCTCCACAAGAAACCGATCAACGTATGCATAGTACCAGTGTGAAGAAAATCGAAAAGTCGAGTGCACGCGCACCCGCTGACATGCGTGCCCTCGAAGATGCCCCCCCCCCCCCCCTCCTTTCCTTTTCCATCGATAGTCTAGTCGGGTTGTGACACCAGGTGGGTGTGGTTCCTACGTGCGCGAATGGTTATGCGGCGGTAATACGCGTCAGACAAGCTGAGGTCAACCCGTGACGGCCCTGGCTGGCCAGTCTAGTCGTCGTAGCATATCTTCATCGTGCAGGGGAATGGGAAGAACGCTCCCCTGTCCTCCCTCATGTAGGTGTCGAAGCTACCCGGCTGTGGAGCCTTCTTCAGCTCGCCCTGGTCTCCGGGCGCTCTACGCACACTCTTCAGCTTGAATACTGAGCGGAACATCTCTGTCAACCCAGACTGCGAAGCGTCAAGACCAAGGCACACGTGCGGCCCGATTCCAAAATGGATGTACGAGTCTAGCGGGCGGTGCGGGTTCACCCTGCTAGGCTCGGGGAAGTGCGCGGCGTCCTTAGCTGCGCCGGTCTTTTTTTTATTATTGAGCTGGTTAACTTCCGCAGTTCGATATCGTGGGGAAGTCGGGGAACCAGAAAGGGATGAAGAAAAAGGAGGAAGATGCTTACGGAACTGATGAAGACATGATCACCTGCTCTGACGGGAACTTCTCGGCCGTCTTCCTCGATTACGTCGTCTACCACCGCTTCGCGTAGGGAGCTGAACGCCCCCGCGAGCCTAACGCCTTCCATGCAGTAACCAAGCATCAACCTATCGCTCTCAGGAGAGGCTGCGAGGTTGGCGACGCGATGTAATTCGGGGACGTGCGCCGATCCGTCTGGAGAGAGGAAGTAATCGACCGCTTGCGCAAACTAGAAGCAGCGTGAGCCAAGTCCAGCCGGTATCTAAGTGAGATTGGGAGAAGAGAGAAAACAGCCTTACCGCTTCAGCGACGTTCGGCACGGATGCCGCTACGGCCGGTAAGATCTGGCCCCATGTGATATCGTAGCCGCTGAGGCCGGCCTTGGACAGGCCCTTTATCAAGTCGCCACCACATGATGCCACCGGGTCGTCCCTCTTCGGCCAGGTCGCGAACAGCCAGCTGATCCCAACGCTCGTAAGCGACCGCACGTTTTGCTCGACCAGCTTTCCCAGCTGCGTGGCGACAGCGGCCGCGGCCTGCTTCGTAGGGAATTCTTTGGTCGGGTCGATGTCCGAGAAGACGCTGATGAACAACACAGCGAGAACCACGTAAAGCTCTTGGTCGGTGTAGATACCCCGAGGGTTCTCCGGAGTCCTTAGCGGCAGGTTGAACAAGCGCGAGACGAAGTAGACGGGCGCCAGATTTCCGACGTCCCGAACGATATCGACAAAATTATTGCCGGCAAGCTTATAGCTTTTCTCTCTGATGAGTCCGTCCGTGACTTTCGAGTAGAAATCCTTGATGTGGGCACTCCTGTCGCTGGTGTGCGACACACCATTCGCCTGCTCTCTCTGGTCGACTGGGAAGAGGGAATGCCCTGACGGCTTAAAGCGTCTCCCGCCGGCATTCATCAAGAACGAGGTTCCCTCGCTCCGGATGACCTTATATTTATCGGGGTTCTCCAGGATATGGTGTGCTCCGTTGAATGTCTTTATTTCGACGCGGTTGGAGATGAACGACGGGCGTTCGTAACTGAAGTGATGGGCACGGCCAAGATTCGTCAGGATCTTCTTCGTCTCGCTCGGCACTAAGTCGGTCAGTTAGCTGCCATGTCGAGTAGTATACGAGAGGGCGGAAGGCTAGAGAGTGCACATACCGCACATAGGGTAATGTGCGTAGACAGAGTCACCCTTGAAATGGTTGGGGAAGGCCCGCGTGAACAATTTGTAGAACACGCAGCCTTGGTTGATATTCAGATCATAGGCCACTTCATTGTAACCCCAAGAGGTGAGGTAGCGCGGGTGATAATCAGTCGTGTACAGTCGGTCTCCTCGAGTCAAGCAGACGGCGTCAGATAGGACCACGCGAGAGATTGTGTAAGTCGGCTGGACGATGTTAGTTTATCATCATAATCACCACCATCACCTCTCTCCCTCTCCCTCTTTCCTTTTATTCATCATTCGTTAACTGCAACTTACAGTAATGCCAACGCCAGGAACCATTGGTTCCTTAGCCTCTTCGGCAACGATGCCCGGATACAGCTCAACAAAATCGGGGTGTTCGTAGAGATGACGGAGGGAATTGGCAACTTCGGGGTCCGAGTTGATATCCTCGAACGTCTCATACGGCTTTAGGCCAAAGTGTCGGCGGAATTCGTTGAGACCCGCCATATTCCACTTTCGGCCCTGAAGGATGCCTAGGATTTCGACGGGCTTCATCGACTCGGGCACGTTGCGGGCGCCGAACGCGCCCGCACAATCTTCGATCCCGTCGCAGATGCAGCCGACTAAGTCGTCGTCCTTGAATGTGCCGTCAGGGTTACGCTTGAAACCCCCGAACTCCCGCTCGCCAGGGTCTTCAGGGATACTTCGCTCGAACTTGGCGAACCCCATCACCATGTCTTTCGTGCTCAGGTCTAGCGGGCTCTTGCCGAACAGCTTGTGGTAAAACTCTTGGACCCATTTGTCATCCTTCTCGGAGATGCACGAGTGCCATCTGCACGGGGCGGGTAAGCCTACGGGCCTTCACATTCCAACAAACTTGGGCCTTACTCACCTGTAACAGAGGTTAAATTCTGCCGAGACCATATTGCCCGTGCCGCGCTCGGCCCCAGAAGCGGTGCCAACGTCGCGGCCCATCTCGGCTCGGGGGTCAAGGGTCCACGTGGTGTTGCTGCGATTAAGGTTGACGATATTCCTCACGTAGTCGACTAGCATGATGTTGATGTACAATCCCGACGTGACAAGTCGAGCCGTTTGGAAGAGGTCGTTGTCGTATTTCTTCCAGGCAGCGGTCGCCTTCTCCCCCTCGAGTTCCGGAGGCGGCGGCGTGAAGCGACCGCCCTCATTGATAGCGGCCAGGTTTTTGGCCACGTGGTTGTGAAAGCGACAAAACATGATCAGGATAACGCTAACAGCCGGCGGCGCGCCGAGGAGGCGCTTGTCGGCATAGCTGTCGGGCTTCAGCATCCCGTCCTTGAAAGTCCGGACAGAATCCTGCATCTGCTGGTTGCTGCCGTAGAGGGGGGAGAGGTCCAGGTACGACGAAGTTTTGTTCTTGCTGATGTCGGTCAAATCTGTCCAGAAGAGGTCGTGGATGACGATGGTCGCCCAGTACCAAAGAACAGACGAAACATTGTTCGCGTTCTTTCGGTACTGCGTCCTCTTCATGACCGACTCAAATATGAGGCTTGGGTCAGGCAAGGCCCCTGGAGGCATTATACCTGGACGACAGCTCCGTGCATACGACGAGCCGGCCGCTCCGAGCTGGGGCATCATGGGGTTATTCCATGATCCGTCAGCCATTCTGTACTGGAACTTGTCGCCGACATAGAGCAGGGGAGGGTGGTCCAGAGAGTACCACAGTTCGTCCAATAAGCTGTTGGTGAGCTTTTCTCTGAGTTTGGACTGGTGCGGAAGCCCGGCGACGAGCTGGATGACACGCTCCATGATCATGGTCTTGTCATCCACATACGGCTCTCCAGAAAGCTTGCTCTTAGCGAGGTCCAGGATGGTCTTCAGATCTAATACTCTCGGTCAGTATACATTGCCAACTACAGTGGCTTCATGGAGCGGCACCTTTTGCGTGAAGATATTTGAGGTCCTTCTTGATCCCAGTCTTCCGAGTCGCCACACTATACGATGCATCGCTGATCTGACTCGGGTGGGGCTTCTGCGAAGTATGAATGAACTGCCCGAATTTGGTAAAGACAGCAGAGACACCATCGCGGTCCGCTTTTGGTACGTCTTCTAGCTTGCCTTGGAAAGGAGGCTCGGGAGGGGAGCTTGAGGGTTTGGCCGTGGTGGTGATGCTACTAGACTCGAGACGATGAGGCCCGTCTCCATTGCCTACGTAGCTCCCGTTATCTCCCTTTGTGTCCGCCATAATATTTCTTGTCCAAGTTATGCCGATTACGACTTCTCCTATTGGTACGAAGATATCACCTGCTGTCTACATAAAGAGAGGGCACAGAAGATATAGCATTGTCACGCGAGAGATTCAGGTCGAGAAGCCGGACCTGGGAGACTTTTAAAGAGCGGGAACTCGGGTGTCACACACTGTTCGAACAACGATGCCCCCGGGTTTCACCTGATACCCATCTCGGCTCCCTGAGACCCGTCTGGACGTATCAGAGGGACACTGAGCTGTACGGATACGGGGTGGTGCAAAGCCGGATCTCTCCCTTGACGACCCGCGGCAGGGCAGACGATAACGCCCAATCCCATATCGAGAACATCGATGAAGATCGGGATTTGATTGATACGCACAGTGGCCAAGATAAGCGGACATTGGCACGGAGTTGGATAAGAACAGTTGTACGACTGCAACTGCTGCATGTTTTGCCCTCACGACGTTATCTGGTGGACAACTGATGCTGACGACCGAGGCTAACAACCACGACAGGGTGCTAATTATCATCGTCCCGTTAATAAAAGCAATGAGACAGAAGAATCTGTATTCCAATACGTCTCGCCTCTCAGCCACTTAGCTATTCGAATCTCCAGTTTGTCATCCCCACCCGAGAGTCCACCTTTGATGCCCCCGACTCCGTACCCGACGCCTATCCCGGTTTTCGGGCTGGTGGCATTTCCACATATCAGGGGTGACGAATTACTAACCCCAGTAGCTAAGCGCGGGTAGCAGCAGAGCCCCCTTCTTCCTCAGTCAGATTAATACGGGCTGAAAAGCCGGAATAAGGGTGGATCAGCACTGATTGCTGGGCGTACAGGTAATGAAGAGGATTATAATGTAAATAGTTTCCTTTCCACCCCACCATCCCAAGTCCTAATCGCCATCTTACATCAACAAGGTCGCATCCCGGACAGCCTGCTTGAAGTATCTGTTACCAACCTGCTGGCAAGGGATGAGGGGTAGCGATGATGAGGTTGGCCGGGGATTGGCCAGAGCCGGGCGGGAGCGGCATCAGGCGTCTGGCTCTATGCTTCTCACGTCGTCACCGGTTTGATCTTACCTACCTCAAGTCCGTCTGACAAATAGTAGCCACCGGCGGTCAGCAAGCGAAGTGCAATGCCGCTTGAGGACATGTATTTCTAGCCAGCCGATGTCAAGACCGGGAGCCATCCGTCACCTACTCTCGATTCCTTGCGGGATACGCGGATAGACAGCGAGCATCCGTGCTACACCGTCACCCAAGAGACGCCAATGAGGTGGTGGCGCAGGCTTCGAATTCCTCACCGCAGGACAATTTTCTTTTCTTTTTTCTTTTCTTTTACTTGGCTTTTGTTAGGGTTGAGATGAGTCTCCGGACTTGAGACACTTATGTCAATAGTTTCTGGCCGCGGGAAATTCCATCGTCGTCCCAATCTCAATGTCTAAGATTGGAGTCGCCACATGGAAGCGGGAAGGGGGGCTCAACAAGCCGATGAGTCCATTTTCGATCTACATAACTAGTTGGTTGCCAATGTGCCGCCGGTCGCACGCTGTCGTTCCTGTACATGTCACAATGTGCTGTGGTGCTACTCTCACATAGGCCCCGCCAACATTGCCGCGTCTCATATACGTAGTGCCCGAAGGCGATCTTCTGGGGAACGGTGGGATCCGAAAGAGAATCCTCACACGCTGTAAAGCATCTCCCCGGAGCGACCGCCGTGGTCCAGAGCTCTGGCCCACTATGAACCTACCAAGAGAAGCTCGTCACGCGCCGCGGAAGCTAGTCCTATGTTTTGACGGGACGGGGAATAAGTTCAGGGGGGACGACAGCGACAGCAACATCTTGAAAATATTCAGATGTCTAGATCGCCAGGCCGGTGATCAGTGTAAGTTTAACGAGCATGGTTTATTGAATGTGTTCACACCACAATATATATTACTCGACTAACAATTGGCTTAATTAGACCATTACTACCAACCGGGAATCGGGACATATGTCGTGTCGAACTCGCTTTCCAACACGACTTTGAAAGCTAGGATACGGTCATGGTACCTGAAGGCAAAGGACTCCGCCGTCGGGTCAAGCTTCGACCATCATGTGGTCGGTGGCTATCGTTTCCTCATGCGTTTCTACAATCCCGGCGACGAGATTTACTTCTTCGGGTTCTCGCGAGGAGCCTACGTGGCGCGTTTCCTCGCCGAGATGATTGACTACGTCGGGCTGCTCTCCCACGGTAACGAAGAATTGGTTGCCTTCGCCTGGAAAGCGTTTTCGCAATGGCAGAGTCGCCAATCGGAGCAGACGGAGAAGCAGCAGGCTCAGCGGCAGGAGATGTATCGCTTCATGAAGGGGTTCCGGGAAACGTTCAGTCGGCCGGTCAAGAGAATCAGGTTTCTGGGGCTCTTCGATACCGTCAACTCTGTGCCCCGGTTTGAGACCGCATGGATGCAGCGGTCTAAGTTCCCGTACACCGCTAGGAGCAGCGCCAAGGTACGTCAATCGACTTCACTGCAGTGTGAGTAGATCGACCAAGACGGCGCTGAAAACAATCTACAGGTCATTCGACATTGCGTATCCATCGATGAGCGCCGCGCCAAGTTTAGGCAGGACCTCATCTACCAGGGAGCCATCAGGAAGACTCGTTTGGATCACCATCATCCCCATCCCTTCCACGAGATGAAGCACCGCGCGAGACGGCCAAGGTCTTCGCAGCCTGGGGAGAGCAAGGATCCGAGGGGGCGACAGCGGAGTCTGGCGCCCCCCGCGGAGAAGACGTTCCGCCCCCGGTCCCGCTCCAGGTCTAGAGCGACAGACAGGTCCGACAGACCGAGACCAAGAAACAGCGCAGCTGAGCTCGAAGTGGTTGACGACGGTGACGACTCGGACGACGACGAGCAGGACATTGATGAGATCTGGTGAGCGGCCTAACTAGATGGCGCCGAGCCGGCGCTTTTCTCTCCTTTTTCTAACAGTGCGGGCAGGTTCGCCGGTGGTCATGGTGATATTGGCGGCGGCTGGGAGGTCCCCGTTGACGCTAAGTCGGCGAGCCACGTGCCCCTCACCTACATGATCAGAGAAGCGCAGAAAGCCGGACTCTCCTTCGACCCTGTGAAGCTGGTTGAGATGGGAGTTGCCGAGGCGGCGTCGGGGGCCCTGGACAGCAGTACTAGCGGTCAAGTGTACCACGCTGACGACGGCGCTCCCGATATCCTAATTGAGAGCGCGAGCCCCCTTGAGTCCCACGGCCCCCTCTCCCCCGGGTCTCAGCACATCGATTGGGAGCAGCCGAGAGATGCTGACGCGGAAGAGAAGCACCACCACCACCACCATCACATCGGCCCCTTTCACCACATGATCCAAAAGGCGCACCTAGCCAGGATACACGACTCGCTCGAGTTTGCGTCCGGCCTGGGTAAGGGCCAAGTGATAACCTGGAATATCAGTAAGTCCTCCTCTTAAAAGACTAGCCACCTACTCGACGTTATCGAAAGGCGCGGAGGCGAGTGCGAATGCTGACGGGGGGCGGCTTCGCAGTGGAATACATGCCGTTCCGGCGGATGGACCTGCAGCCGGACGGGTCGTGGAAGCCGATCCGGTGGCCGCTGCCGTGCGGCGAGGTGCGCGACATCCCGCACGCGGCGCGGATCCACGGGTCGGTGATCCGGCGGATGCGCGAGGACGCGACGTACCGGCCGGGGAACCTGATCATCGGCGGCGGCGGCCGCGGCCTGCGCAGGGCCCCCGACAGCTACGGCATGGGCGAGTGGGTGTGCGTCCAGAACTCCGGAGACCCGGTCGGCGAGGTCTGGGTCCGCAAAGGCACCCAGGCGGAGCCGCAATAGGTACGCGAACCCAACGCCTTCGCTGTGGGTGAGGGGCAATCGATATAGCGCAGTGCTCGAAAGAGAAGGGGGGAAAAAAACCCTTGAGTTTTCTTGTAACTTATGCCTATTAGGTAGTAGGTATGGGTCTATTTCCGTTCGGGTTTGACGTGCGGCTAGTTCTAATAATAGAACCACGTCGCGCGGACCGCTCGCTAGGTTTCATCTATTTTGAGATATATTACCTACCTACTCTGCATTCTCAAATATTACTTCCCTGTCCGAATAGTAAGTCCTGGGTGAGGAGGGTCTGAGGCATTCAACGTTCTACAGCCTCTCGATGCGAAGCCTAGCATACCTACCTAGGTGGGTAGGTAGATATTATCTACATACATAGGTACAATTGGGACCAGATTTCACCGCGTTTAACAACAACTCGTTGTGATATACAGTAAGACCAAAACTTAGGTACCCGGATCTCAGGGCCCCGGCGTCGGCCCCATCCAAGCTTGGATTCTGCCTATTCGGCCCTCCGACCTAACCAGAGATATAATCGGCGTCTATCGAGAGAGTCCAGGTGGCTCAGCCAGGTGCGTAAGCTGATAACACGAGCCTCCAACTGCGTAAGTAAGTAGGTAGATAGGTAGGCAGGTAGGTAGGTATATTGTAATACACAGCAAGCGAAGTGAAAGCCCAGCAACGCTCCACCCACTGCACCCGAGCAACCCCCTGCCTCAGCGATTCCCGAAGCACCAACCTACAGCCAACAGCTGCCGATTTAGGGGTGGGGGCGACGACGAACCCAAGAGTGCTCTGCTTTGCTCTGCTTTGCTCTGGTATTATTGCCGCGATGGCCCTAGGCCGTCCCAGCAGCCGCAGATCGCGCCGCTGGGCGGAGAAGCCAAGCCCCGGAGAGGAGACGGCCGCTCTGCAGCGTGAGCGAGCGCGCCGCAGACACTCTCACGAGTATCCCCTCTACCGCAGCGCTGCCCCGCCTCTCGCTCGTCCCCCAGATCCCGTGCGCGGGCCGCGAGCGACGAGACATCTGCCTGGCTGCCTACTCTTCACAATGTGCCCCCCCCCCCCCCCCCTCCCTCTCTCTCTTCCTCCCACGCACTTATCGCCCGTGTGGGTGTATCACCTAGGTAGACAGACAAAGCCCATGTGCCGCCCTCCATCCAGCAACCAGCCGACCCGACCCGACCCGACCCGTCCCATCCCCGGCCGCGCTCGCGCGCGCGCCTGGCTCTCAACAAACTCCGAGACCTGCCTCTCACCAGCATGCGTAGCGTGCCCCGCGCTGCCCTCCCTTGCCTTACCACCCTTCCCTCCCCCCCTCCGTTAGGCTTGGTCAGAGAGAGAAAGAGAGAGAGAGAGAGACGGTGAGATCGTATTAGTAGATGACGATGGTGCGAGCCGGGACGGGCGAGACCTGGGTTCGGCAAGAGGGGGGGAGGGGGGGCAATCCTAGGCCCCCAGATGTGCCTTTTCCTCCACTAGGAGCCGGAGACGGCGTCTTCGACGTCATCATTCCAAGCACATCATCGCCTTCTCTTCCTTCTCCTTCTCACGTCGACGGAGACCTCGCGGGGTTGCGAAAAGGGGACGGCGGCGGGCGGAGTGGATGTTTACTTGTGCTATTGACTCCCAACTCCCAACTACGCTTCCTCCACGGCACTCTATCACCCGTCTTATGCTATCCGCCTATGTATACACCAACCCATTACCTTGTACCGCCCGCCGAGTCTTCAGGGGCCCCCCTCGGCCTTCTTCCTCCCTCCGAGTTGGAACTCCGACAGATCCTTACGTCGCCGAGGCCCTGCTATGCCATACCCAATTTTTCTGCATCCGCACTACTTCTCGCCCTAGGCACCCTTGCCAGGCTCGCCGGATTGGCGGTCACCAAAAGTGCAACTCAGCATCGTCTTCAGCTATCGCAATGCGCCGCGCCTGCTACAGGTAGTACAGCGAGTATAGGGAGTACAGGGAGAACAGGGAGTCGGTCGACAAACCCACCTGCTCGTAAGAGATAAGATAGATACGTGACATTGCACTCTGTTCTATTGAATACACGAGACAAGATACCGCACAGCACCAACCCAGCCATCCCTCCCACAGTTCTGGGAATAAATTTGCTTATTCCAGACTTCGCACCCACCCACGCCTGCCTTTTTGTTCCAGAAACCATTAGTGTGCAAGGTCGCAACGACGAGACTCCGGCGGACCATCAAGTGCCATCCCACCCCTCCAACACCTGAACAACGTCGGCGCCGACAACACCCAGGTTATCAGACAGGAGAGCAACTCAACTGCTAGGATGGGATGGTGCTCGTAGAACGACACGATAGTGCTTATTAAAAGGCAGATTTTGCCCCGTCTCCAGTGTCCAGTTAATACGAAAAAAAAAAGCATGGAATCTCCACAGTCGAACTCTGCAAAGCTGGGGGATGCCCACCGGGGTCCATCGAAATCCAGCGGGGACAGACGAGATATAGCAGATAGGAAAACGATAGTCGGTTGACAGAAGAAAAAAAAACAAGGTGGCGCAATGCATTGTGCTTCAAGAATACAGTGAAACCAGCCCCCTTACACCGGTTGTGAATTCCTAGGTTAAATGTTGCAGATGGGAACCGGTGCGATGGTGTCGTCGGGGGATATGGGGCGCGGGAGAATGTGACGAAACCGGGAGAAAAACAGATGTGTGGTATAGGGTTGGTCTAAGGATGAATCCGAGGAACGAGCTTTTTTGTCGTGTTTCATATCTGGCCTCCCGAGAGCGTGATAACCGCGCCAGAGGCCATGACCGTAGTCCAGATGCGACTTTAAACAACCGTGGAACGCCGTGACCATGCCCAAGCTAACCTGACGTAGAGATGCAAATAAAATAGAGCCTTGGGGAGGCTAACCCTTTCTTTCAGGCGACCTGTGCCTTAATCCGCCCCAATCTCGCCGGTTCCCTCTATCCCAAACGATGTGTTAAAGTCGAAGGCGCTGGGATCCGCATCGTTGTCGTGGAGGAACGAATCGAAGTCAAAATCCTGCAGGACATCGCCCGTCTGCATGGGATTGGTAAATTCCATTGAGCCAAAATCCTGCTAAAGGGGTTAGCTTCGTATAGCGTACTAATGCTACAGGCTGAAGAGGGGGAGGGGATGTTACCATTCCACTGCCGCTGTCCATGCCGAACGTGTTTATTTGCGATGCGTCCGGATGAACTTGAGGAGCGGTAACGGGCGCAGGAGCCGGAGGCGGGGCAGACGCGGGTGCGTTGGCGTTGGCCTGCGCGCCGCCCACGTTTTGACCGTTCTTGTTGAAGCCGGCAGTGTTGACCGGAGTGACCGGGGTAGCAGGCTCCGGTTCTTGTGCAGCCTCGGAAGCAGGTGTCGCACCTGTCGTCTGATTCGCCTTCTTCTGGGCCGCAGCCTGTCGGGCGATTATTAGCCAGGAAATGAATCATCTCCACCTGTGCCCGGTGCTTACCTTGTTCTTAGTGTTCTTGGTATCCTTCTTCTTCGGCGCCGGTTTGTTCGACTGTTGAGGCGTCGGTGGAGCTGCATTGTTCTGTTGCGGGGACGACGTCTGCGTACGACCGGCGGTGGCGGCGTTGTTGGTCGGAGCCGGGGCCGACGGGGGTGGCATCGCCCTCTGCTGCCCTCCGCCTTGCACCTGACCCTGAGGACCTTGAGGGCCTTGGGGCGCCATCGCGTTGCCGTTCGGCGCCTGCCACTGCATCGGAGGGCCACCCTGGGCACCCTGTTGCTGGCGCATCATCTGGGGATTCATCTGACCGTTGAACGGTTGATTGGGGTGGGAGCTCGGGGGTCGCATACTCCCGTTCATCTGAGCGGCGACCATATTGGATTCCATCCCGTTTATGCCCTTGAAGAAGTGGGGCTGCATCGCAGGATCCATGCCATTAGGCATAAAATTCATCGGGTTCGGCGATCCTCGGGATTGAGCGCCTTCTGGTAACGGCGAGGGTATGCCTGCAGGACCCATCTGAGGAGTGCCACGCTTCATTTGCTCGGCAGGGTTAGGCGAAGCTCCAGTCCGCGCGCCCTGAGGCGAAGTGTCCTGGAAGGGCTGGCCGTTCGGGCCGTTACCACCCGGCCCTCCAGGTCCTCCCGGCGCCGCTCCCTCTCCGCGTAAAATAACTCCGATGCTATCCTGCTCTTGCCTCGCCATCAGAAGCCGCTTCTTATTCTGTTGTTCGAGCAACATCAGTTGCATCTGGTAGTCCTGCAGAGCATGGTTGCTGCCGCCCGTTCCTGGTGTGCCGGCAGGACCGGGCCGCATGCCTCCGGGTCCACCCATCTCGCCTGGGTTATAGTATGCGTTTATCGCAGCGCCGTCGGGGCCTGCTGCCATCATAGGGGAGCCCTGCCCTTGTGGCCCGCCGGGATTAGCGATTTGCTTGTTTGGCATTTGCTGTCCATGATGCTGTTGCAGATTCTGCGAGTACGCTTGGATGGACTTGGTTTGCGCCTGTGGGGGCTGCGGTTGGAAATTTTGGAACTACCAAATAGATTAGCGGAGTCGATCCCGACCGGCGATAGTACGCATGCTATGCCATGACGGTAGCAGTTCGGGGTCTGTTGCCTACTTGTTGTGCCGGAATTCCCTGCTGCTGTCGTTGCCCATTGGGCATGACGCCTCCCTGCTGTGGATTGAAAGGACCTGATCCGTCTAGTCGCGGTCTTTTACTCGGCGATGGCGCGTTCTCGGCAGAGCTGGGAGAGCCCGGACGGTTTTGATTGCCGTCCATATTAGAGCCATCGCGCTGTATCTGGTTCTGCTTGGCTTGCTGGAGCATGTGCATGGCAGCTTGAGGGCTATAACAAAGTTAGCCGGATACATACATCCACACATGCTTATGTATAATATATGCGTCTGTGTACTAATGAGCAGACCGAGATTCATACTTCTGGTTATTGGCCATGGCAGTGCGTGCCAAGTTTGGCTGCTTCGCGTTCATCGGTATCCCGTTCTGCATCCTCATCATCTGACTCTGGGCAAACATGTCGTTCCGCATCGTTCGCAGTAATGCCTGCTGCTCATTTTGCCGTTGCCGACTTTGTTGCTAAACATAATGGTGAGTCCGGCCCGAAGGCTCGACGAGCTTGGTAATGGTTCGACGTACCTGCGTATGATTGACATACTGGCTTACCGGGGGGCTGATGCCGGGTTTGTGGCGTTGGGCCATCAACATGTCCCAGAACAAACAGAACCACTCGTACAAAAAACAGTTGTCGGCTCCGGTCGGCACGTTAGGTGGGGGTAAATCGGGCGGTCGTTTCGCATCGATGTCATCTTTGCTGTCAGTGTCCATAGGATCATCACCAACACCATTTCCCAAAACAGCGCCGTTCTCGTCGCGGCGGCGGCCGGGGCTATCCTTAATTACGTTTAAGGTCTGCTCGCTCTTGAGCATAGCACGCGCGCAATCGTACATGCCCTCTCGGAGGAAATAGTCGTAGATGTATGTGTTAAGGACGGTCCTGTTATTGCCCTGGCTTTGTACTTGTTGCGCAGCGAGCGTGCTGTTCATCATGGGGGATGGCCCGCCGACCGGGCCACCGGCCATGGGCATACTCGTCATCGTAATGTTGTTCATGGTGGCAGGAGTGCGCGGGCAGATGGGGGTGTGTCGGAATATGTGTCGTCTAATTACAGCGAAATGCTGCTGCTAGATGAATACGCATGCGTATGGCAATGTGTAAGTTTATGTTACCAACAAATCCAATTGTGGACGATGGAGAGGCGAGCAGACGGCTCTCTGACGCTCGCAGGGCGCCTTTGTCTTCGCTCTTCTCCGTCCCCCTTCGACGGCCGGCAAGAAAAGCTACCCGACAGGAAGACCCTCCGGGGCCCCGTGACAAGAAGCGGTACGGGCAGGTGCAGTGGTTGATTGGGAAATCCGATGTTGAGTAGAATCGACGGAGCGTGTCGGAGAGGTGATCCTCTTTTTCAGAGCCTGCCTGCTTCGACAGGGACAGGAGTGTGGTGTCCGGACGGAGAGCCAGAATCGCCCCAACCCTGCAAAAGGAGCGGAAAAGAAGGATGCGACCACGGGACGCGGGCACCAAGAGTGTGTGTTTGGGCCGGCGGTGGCTATGGCTAAAGCGCCGCCGACTAGGGAGGGAAAACGGACGAAAAGAGAGAGAAAGAGCTAACCGAAAATGCTGATCAAGGATCGCGGGCGACGGCCAAATCAACAGGCGGAGTCGGGTGTAGATGAAAAGGTTAAAAGATGGTGTGTGCCCGGATTTGCAGCGGCGGTGATGGCGAAGATGGGGCCAGTCAGTCGACGGTCGGGTGGTATGAGTGAAGATTTGTGGGTGCAGAAGGCGAGGAGTGGGCGTGGGCGTGGTCTGGTCGTGGCGCCGATGGTAGGTGCTGATAATAGCAGTACTTGTTGGGGGCTGGTCCACTAACGAATAGGCGACGGCGCCCGAGCGAGCGACGAATCTACTGCTTTTTTTTGCCTCGCCTCTTTTTCGGGCTTGCCTTCCTTTCGAGGCCCCCTCCTTCCAATGGCTCGGCGTGCGTATCTTGCTGGCGGATGGCAGGCGGTTGACGGGAAGAAAAAGGGGAAGAGTGTCCGCTTCCTGGGGCGCGTTGTCGGGTTAGTTGGTGATGGACGCAGGCGTGGGAACGATGGTAGGGGAAAAGATGGGTTGTCAGACAAGGAAAAGTTGAAGGGTTAGAGCGTCCAGCCAGGCTAGGGAAGTAGGTGAGGAAGGGTTGTGCATTGTACGTAAGCAGGTACACCTAGACATGTATATCGATGTCCGCAGGGGTAGAGCCTAATGTGCAATAAGAGAACCCCCAATGGGTATCGATAGCGCGACCGCGATGGGGGGGGGGGGGGGTTGTCCGAAATGAGAGGCCGGAGCACGACACTGCACGGCTTTGCTCCGAGGGGAGGAGAGAGAAAGAGAGAGCGAAAGTTGCCGGAGAGGAGATGGAGCGCACGAAAATGTCACATACAATGCTCCAGTGCGTGCCGCGGCGCGATGCTGGGTGGACTACTCCTCTGTCGCGCGCCGGAGCTGTCCTTGCGCTTCCTTCCCCTTCTCCGTGCGTGCGTCGGTCTTCTCACTCTGTCTTGACCCGTAGGCGTTTCAACGCGAGATGACAGCACTCCTGTTCCGGAATAGTGCTTGCCTTCTCTCTGTAGGCCAATGATTAGGCGAATGTGAAATCGCGCACGGTGAATACAACCTTGCAGACATTCAAAAGACTAGCCAGGTACTACTATCCAGATACGTGCGCGCAGACGGACGAAGCAGAGAGCGGAAGGGAGACCAAAAGGGGAGGGGGGGTGGGGAATGGGAAGAGGACGAGGAGACGTGATGCCGAGGGAGCTGGGAGGTGAGGAGGGAGAGGGAGAAAGGAAGAGAGGGTTGATACCGAAGCAGATGGTGGGCGAGACGCGAGATGGGCGGAGATGGAGAAAGAGGTGGTTGATGAAGGTGAAGAATATAATTCAACGGAGCGGGTGCCGAGATCTCTTGCCTTTGGCTAGTGATGACGGATGGTGCAGCGCGAGCAGGACAGGCACCTACCTACCTGTATGTGGGGGGAGACTTGGTGAAGTAGGGCGCGTTAGGTAAGCGCGCATCGGTTCCCGTGCTCTTGGGCTCTTGGGCAGTTGCTGGGGGAGGGACCAGGCTAGAAGAGCATAGAGCACATGGATATGTCAGGCAGAGGGGAGGGAGTGCTAAAGGGCCGGCCTCTCTCGCGCCTGGGAGCACGGCTAGGCAGGCGGTAGCAGGCAGGCAGGCCAACTGAGGGAGGCTGGGTAGGTATAGGTCGGTAGGCCGGTAGGGTCCCTGGGCGGGTGCTGGGGAGTCAACGACACGGTAGGTTATGGGGCGTGCAGAGCGAGGAGAGAGAGACGAGTTGGGAAGAGAGGGGGGGGAGGGAGGGAGAGCGAGAGGGAGAGAGAGAAGAAGCGTGCACGGAGAAAACGGGGAGGGCGCTGAGGCCCAGTTAGGCCTGAGTCCTAGTCCCTAGGCACCGGTACGTGGATGCAAGTACATAGCTAACAAAGGTACTTGCATCCTTCAGGCGAAAGTAGGGCGAGACAGGGAGCAGAGAGCGGCCAGTAAATCTTCGGGGCCTGTGGGCCTGTCGTTGGGTTCGGCCGCACTTCTGAGAACGGGCGTCCATGTACCTTTGGCGTTCCCAAGATCACCCCTATAGGCAGGCTCCGGTGGGACCTCGCCCCCCAACAGGTCGCCACGGCCAAGTACCCGTCAGCGTAGAAATGAGTCCAACGTCTCCACAGTCTCGTCTTGGCACCTCACAGATCAATTTCAAACGCCGGCAGAAATGGCGTTGGGCGGTACATCCGCTAAGGTATCGTCTAGGACGAGGTACATCCGCCAGGGCCTACCTCCCTAATCGGGGCAGGCTGCGATGGATTGTGGCATGATCGATGCCGTTACCGTTGCCAAATCGCGCTCCCGCAATTCTACGTTTCCGCAATTATACATACTCATAGGCAATTCGCTGAGGCGGACGGATGCATCTTCGCGACGGAGCAGATCGATCGAGGTCCTCTCCGACTACCCGAACCTGTACCGATGACTGGCATGTCCCGTCTATATCTATATCTACACCTATGCCCACGTTCAGCTGCCTTGGGCCGCGTGCCTGGCCTGCCTCGGTGGGCTTCGATATGGATAAGGCGGGTTGTGCCTACGTGCACGTACCTACATATGCACACAATTCGCCCGTGGCCCTCTCTCCCGATATAGGTATGCATCAGAGGACATCTGCCCGATTCCGGGTCGAGACGACGATGGGAATCGCAGCCCTGGGGGTCGTTATCCGGCTCATCTTGTCATCTTCATCTAGATGCGACTGCATAACAGGTAGAGAGACACACGTGTGTGTAGGTATATGGAAAACATCCATCGCCTCGTGTGTGCCACTCTATAGGTAGACAGCAAAAGTGTGCCTGCATGGCAACCCTCTCCCGCTTCCCCCCTTTCCCTCTCCCTTCCTCGGCACACGTTGTGATTGACGCCTGAGGTGTTGGATGATTGATACCCAGGATATACGACCCGATATTTCCTTTTCTCTCTCTCTCTCTCTCTCTCTCTTTCTCTCTCCCTCCCTCCCTCCCTCTCCCTCTCCCTCTCCCGTTCCCCATAGGCTTAAATACAACTCATTTCCACGTCACTTGGTCTGGACGGATTTGTCGATCTATAGGGGAAGCCAACTTCGGTGTGCCACGTCTGGATGATTCGAGAAGCTGTTGGTGGCGTGTTGGCAATTGATATTGGTGACACTAATAACGGGCAGTATGGCGAGGCATCCATTAGCATTGCACAGTTCTCATTCGCCTGCCCGTCGTTTGGCTACATTGCTGGGTCCCTGCCCGATCTATCGCTGTCGAGCCGTCTTCGAGCTTGAGCGTCAGGTAGTGGACGCCCACAACTCATCGTGGCAGAAAACGACGCTGGCTAGGCCGGGACATATTATCCGACATGCATCCATCTGATCAATGGGCACTTGCTGGCAAGCTCGGTGTCCCAACACCGTTGCCTGTCGCGCCTTGCAGTCTTGTTTGGCAAGGCAGCCCGTCTGCAGACGGTATACGTCCGGCCGGCGCTGTAGTTCGGTGAAATCAAAGCGGTATCGCAAAGGGGCATGGTCATCCACTATGACATTTCACGGCCGCGGCTTGGATTCTCCAACGGGGCTGACAGTACGCCGGCTCCCGCGTACTTCTCCCACCGGCATGGCACCGCCAATGATACGCTAATATGCCGGTGCGCCGGCGCACCAGTGGACGCAGGTACAGGCTGCACTCCGCGCGAAATGGCACACTGTAGGCGTAAAATTCTCCGAGCGCGAGGTCACTTACTTCGCTCCTGAGTCTGCTCCCCTATAGCACTAGACTGCCTCACACACTCTCTCGGGCAAAGGGCGAACCTGGCACTACCTGCTAGCACCAATGCACTGAAGAAGCCAGGCATGAGGGAATGAAAATACGATCATCTTATATGCCTACCTAGGTATGTATCTAACCTAAGGTATGAGCACGGGTGTACCTAATAGGTAGGTACCTATTTCAGCCACCACCCTCCGTTGCGTCACTGAAGACTCAGGTTGCGTGGCTTGCCAAGTTCGGTAGCCAGGTTCGAAGCCCGACAGCGCACGTGAAATTTTGCTGGTCACGATCCTCCCGGACTTTTCGTTAGAGAGCCTAAGATCTATGTGTATGGCGCATTCCGGGGTCACTATGGAAGCGTAGGAAGATGTGGAGGAATAAGAGAGGGGCAATAGACAAGCTTAACGACCCTGGTGATCGCTAACTCGCCCCCACTACATATGCCTCCCGTGCTCTGCTCCCTCGTGTAAATATCCATCTACCTACGGTATAGGAATGCATGTCATGCCGCTTAATTGGTGGCTATTCAAGCTTTCCCACCCATCTATCTTGGCCAGCTCCTCTGATACGTGGGATCTGGCACCTATCTGTGTGTTCGACCGAAGACCCGAGACATGGCCACTCTTACTCCGGCGCTTTCCGCCCGCCCGGCCCGCCGCTTCTTCCGTGCCTGTCCCGGTCTTGGGAGTGCAGGTCGTAGCCTAGGCGAGATTCGCATCCCGCCGGGCTCGTGGGATATTATAGCGACTTGACTTGCCGTTTTAAAGACTTACTTTAGTATTACGGAGTCATATGTTGATTTTCTTAGCTTTCCGCGCTGCGAACGTTTCGGCCCGTTTTAGCTCTACTAAGTCACCCACGACTAGTGAGTTAGAAGAGAGAGAGAGAGAGACTGTGTGTGTGTGTTTCTATGTGTATACCTGTGTGGTAAAGTGGTTTGTTTTGCTCGCTCCTCCTGGAGCGGAAACCACAAAAGGTTCGATATGAAGCCTGCAGGTGGTGCAATTGATACTGCACGACACCAATGCGCTGGACGTGCGACACAACAGAGACCGGTGATCCAACTTGCCCTCTGTTTCATGGCCGATGCCACCGCCTCCTCCTACCACATACCGTGCTTGTTCCTCACTAGGATGCGCAGACCGGTCCTTCGTTTGTGAGGAACTGTTGGTATAGCAGCCGCCGAGCACCTGCCGGACCGGGTGCGGATCAGCATTACCGCCCGTCTAGTCATCCTCTGGCGGCAACTCGTCGTCGATATATCGTATTAAAGATATCCTTATCTCGGTGGTGTCATTCCCTCGTAGCACGTCGCTGATGAAATGCGCCTCAACCTGCATCTGCACCATCTCGAGCGCGCCTCGCAGGACGCCGCAGAATATGTTCGAATACCACAGTTCGTCCTGCGCCCTACCGTCGTCCGGAAGCTCGACGAAATCTGCCAGTGGGTTTTCGTCGAAGACGAGCGAGAACTGCTTACTGTCGCTGGTCCAGTTGGTGACGTTGGGTGTGATGTTGAGGAATATCTTGAATCCGACCTATCCAAACCCGATAATCTCAGTATGGGCCACCCGAGGGGGACGGAGGGGGAGTCGGGCACCTTTGCAATCATGTCGGCCGTCTCGCGGAAGTTAGAGCATCGCCTCATACTGTTAGACTTGGCGAGGTAGTCTTCGATCAACCGCAAGCCGATGTTGTAGCCCATTCGATCCAGCTGCTTATTGACCTCGACATAGTCGCCCTCGAAATCCTTGCATAGCTGGGCGACGATGGTACCGTAGGTCAGTGTTACGAGCTCAGCGTTGACCTTATCAATGCGACCCCTAAGAAAGCAAGCAGTCAGAGATGCGATATCGCCGCCGCCGACAGCTCCTCGACTCACTTCCATATCCTGTAATTTGTATTAGCGACGCGGATGGAGACAGGTGGTTAGAGTCTCTAGCGACTGCGGCGGACTTACTCATCGCCCATACGGGCGGCTTTGTTCGCTGACATGCTCGGTTGGCGAGCCTGAACTGAACTCTCATTCAGAACATCGACGTTTCAACTTATGTGCACGCGTTTCCCGACCGTTTGACTGCGCGAGTGGTGTTATCATTCATCGCACAAACCAAGGTGGACGGCAGTATTGGTAGGCGGTGAGCGAGGTGGGGATAACTCGTGATGGGTTAGGTAATGAAAATCCTGCTTGGCTGACGAAGTTGCAGCCGTACTTTTAAGGTTATATACCTAGAGGTGACTAATGGCTGTAACCGCGTACATTGGGTAAGAATGCTAGCCTTTACCTAAGCTGCCTGACATAAGAAGATATCTGACATGGATCCACGGGCGGAAAATTGCTTTCCCGGCAAGACTGTAGGTTAGGTACTTAGGTACCTAGATACATCTACCTTACCTGAGATCAAGTATCTAGGTACCTAGGTACCCCATATATTCTTCATCTGGATACACCTGCCACCGCCTGGACAGCTTTTCGGTAACCAAATAACCAGCATCACGCCTTCGAGTCGAACAGAGACGCGCATTGAGAGCCGCAACCTCGTTTCGCGGTCCCAGTAAAACCCCAACTGCGCATTCACGATACCAACATCCCTCCAGAAATCAACCTTGGCTACTACCCATCCAAGAAGTTGCATGCAAGAACGAAGTTATGTCGGCCGAAAAGCGACCTGCGTCTGACGATCCGGGCGCGGGCCAATTGGTTGTCAAGAGGCAAAAACCCGGGACAAGCACCGCGCTTTCGCGTCGAGATGGAGGTCCGGGCAGCGGTGCGTTGGTGCAATCTGTACGTCCTGTTCAAAGGCTATAGGTGGCAATGGTTACGAAATTCGTGCTGACGCTCGAGTTCCAGATGGTGCGAACGAGTAATCTGGAGGCACCCTTGATGGAGCTCTCAGGGCACTCTGGCGAGGTTTTCTCTGCGAAGTTCAACTCGACTGGAGAGATGATTGCCTCCGGATCGATGGACCGGAGTATACGTAAGTGAATGGATGGCTTGTTTCTTGATCTGTCTTCGCGCTGACAGACTCGGGTAGTGCTTTGGAAATCATCAGGCGCGTGTGAAAACTATGGCATGTTGGCTGGCCACCGAGGCGCGGTTTTGGACCTGCAGTGGTCTCGCGATTCCGAAATACTCTACTCAGCATCGGCCGACATGCACCTCGCAAGCTGGGACTTGACATCGGGAACGAGGATACGAAGGTACATCGGGCACGAAGAAATTATAAACGCCGTCGACATCAGCAGACGCGGCGAAGAGCTGCTCATCAGCGGGAGCGACGACGGAGCGATTGGCATATGGGATCCCCGGACGAAAAACGCGGTTGATTACATCGAGACGGAATTCCCGATTACGGCTGTCGCAGTCTCGGAGGCCGGAAATGAGATCTTTTCCGGCGGAATCGACAACGACATCAAGGTCTGGGACATCCGGAAGAAAGCGGTCGTGTACTCGATGCTGGGCCACAATGATACGGTAACGAGCTTACGCGTCTCGCCGGATTCCCAGTCGCTGCTCTCGTACTCCCACGACTCGACGGCCCAGACGTGGGACATTCGGCCATTCGCTCCAACCGAGCGGCACATTCGCACCTTTGACGGGGCGCAAATGGGGATCGAAAAAAATATAATCCGGGCAAGCTGGGACCAGGCAGGCAAGAAGGTTGCTGTGGGCGCCGGAGACGGTACTGTGATCATCTGGTCGAACGACACTGGTAAGCTTCTTTACAAGCTGCCGGGTCATAAAGGAACGGTGAACTGCGCCGAATTTGTGCCCAACGAGGAGCCCATCAGTAAGTGGTCCCCCCCGGCAAGTATTTCTCCGGATACCTTTACTTACACTGGCTGTCCGCCTAGTCCTATCCGCATCTTCTGACCGTAGGATGCTACTCGGGGAGTTGAGATAAGACGCCGCGCTTCGGGTAATGGGCAAGGGAGAGACAATATGCCTCTGTGGAAAGGGGTGGGAGTGTGGCTACACGTATGGCTGCCCGCATTGAACGGGCCAACGTGGCGAGCTCCCCGTTTCGCCTTGCAGCTACCACACCGCACATGGGTCTTGTTTCGGTTGGTATCCCGTTGCTAGCTCGACGCTCTGGCTACTCACGATATTATCGATGATTAGAATCGGCGAGCGGCTTAAGAGATCAACGCCTGTTGCGAGAACCCAGCAGTTTTCTAGCGTCGCCAATAGGACCAGCATCGAACGACGCCTTCTAATTGATCCCAGAGACGTGCAGATGTATCGGCCCATGCTACGAAGCCGCCGCGAGGTGTTGGCCCGACGTGCGGTTTCTACTACGTATGGTGTGTGTGACAGTGACGGCGGCCTAATACACACATGTATCTTGCTTGCGGTGCATAGACACTATCCCCGACTCGCGGGAGAAGAGGGCGCGGATGTCCTGGGAGAGTACTAGATATAAGCTCAATACCTGTTAGATTACACGCGCATCGACACATGTATGTATATACCCATGCTATATACCCATGCTTCCGGAAGCACGCATTGGAGATGCCAGCTTCCATGCATATCAGATGCGAATATTTGGTGACAGATGCAGGTATCGATCGACCGATCGATCGATTTGGCAACGCCTCCACCGCCCTACGCACCCGTATCTACATATGTGTGCAGGTGTTTCGGTACGTATGCAAATCGTCGAAGATCTGGGAACCCGGATCGCTAACCGAGGATGTGGTATCGACTACCTTGCTGGAGAGGCACGTCCGGTGTTTGGTCGGGCCGTGGGAGGCAGACGGCGGGTGACAGTGACGGTGTCATGTCCCCATTCCGGCCGCGTCTGGGTCGCATCGAATCCCCCTTGCGGGTCATGCCTGGGCGCTGTGGTCACGTACGTATTACATACGTGCATATGCACATAATAGGTAGGCTTGTAGGTACTGCTACAGTAAGTACCGGCTCACCTACCCGCCCAGGTAAGGTACTTAGCGTAGGTAGCAGATCGATCCTTGGTGAGGGAATTCGTAGCCACCCCTGCAGTTCCTGGACGTACGCATTAGTGCATATACCGTGCCTGCCTCTTGTCGTCCGCCCGCCAGTATGCAAGCAGGTACGCATCGACATCCGAAACAGCGGTCGCTAGCGGTTGGCCCCCCCTGCCTCGCCCCAGTGGACGTTTCACCTGAGACCCGTCCGAGGACAGGCCCTTGATTGGCTCAAGGCAGCCCTGGGCGGCTCTTGCTCGCAGAGGCTGGCGCCCTGATTGGGGAGGTCGCGACCCGGCCAATGGAGGTACCTCTGTACCGCGGTTCCTTAGCCTGTTTTGCATAACCCGGCCCTGTCCTCTCTTCCCAGATCCCATCCCCTTTCCTTGCTTCATCGTCACCCTCGACAGGCGGATTTCGTTGCTTGGAGACGGCCAGCGTAGTATCCTTCGTATCTTTCGTGCAGGACGAAACCTTCACTAACAAAGAGAGTTAGTGAGTGCCTTCATCCGCCACCCCCCGTCCGCATCGACAGGCCTGTCCTCGATTCGTCGCCGTCTCACGTCTGGAGGGTCGGTTCAGGCGCCGTGGCGCCCGCCCTTCGTCTTCTCCCTTTCCCTGGATTCCTGGGCTTCGCTGCCGCTGGCTTGTGGCGGTTGTTTTGCTTCGTTTTGGTTTTCTCACTCTCTTTCCTCCCTCTCTGCACCCTATTCGGCAGGCCAATCGACACCAGGTGTGGTTGATGGACTTGCGGTAGTTCCCTTCGTTCCTTTCTTCCTGTTCTCCTTCATCCTTCCCTTCCCTACGTGCTTTAATTTTAGGGACTTTGACAGTTCCAGTTCTATTCTCTCCTGCTTGAGACATTTGTCAATTTACTTGGGAATCTCTTTCAGCCCGTCCGCTCGCTCCGCCGTCTGCTTATTTCCTGAATCTGGGCTGGTCCTCCGTAAACACAATCTATTATTTACGCGGCAAGACAAATCCCTACGCCGGTTCCACGCTGCAGGTACCAGAGAGTGCTTGTCAATTCCCCGAGGGACCGAAATCGATTTGTCGAGAGCTGCCGTATCCGAAACCTAGACCACATACCATCGAGGTGACAGACGCGTTATTCGTCACCAACCAATTTCCCCCTTATCGTCGACGCGATTCTCTTGTGTCCTGTTTAGATATCCTCCTACTTGGTCGGCCTGTATTCGACCGCTGGGCTTTAACCTAGAGACTCTGCTCCGCGAAACTAGGTTTCTCCTCCTCCGTCCATTAGACATCGGGAAAACAAGTAAAGGCGACCGACCAAAAAAAAGTATGCGCAGCGGTGGTGATCGATAGCATCAGTTTCAACTCCCACGAACAGTATACAAATGCCTGACGTAGTCATGGAATTCATCCGCACGAATGTCCTGCGGAGGGGCCCGTCATCGCAGGGGCAACCCGAGGACCTGGAACGGCAGAGACAGCCGGAGATGGGCGAGCGTCGAGATACTCGTACCAGGGGCACGTCGGGAACTAGACCGCCCGTACGGCCTTTATTCACGAGTCGGTCACGCAGAGGCGAGCGCAATCGAAGAGTCGACGGCAACGGACCCGACGAAGACGGCCCCAAGACACCTCGATTCAATTTGGGTCTTCCTATTATACCTTCTGCTCGTCCACATGGCTCGAATCTCTCACGACCTTCGACTCAGGGATCCTCCAGACCACCTTCGTCTGGTCAAACCCAACAACCACCACAGCCAGAGTCCAGCGCTTCGCCGCCTAGGACGCGATCCGGGCGCATTCCCGTCATCTCCGAACCGCCGCCTTCACACGTGAGCGACAGCTCCGGAGCCATTGGGCCGGGACGAACACGATTCCGGGGTGCCGACCCCGCGGAGACCCAACTAGCCGATACCGTGCATAGGCGAAGTCGCCGCCGCCATTACCGGGACCAAGCCTCCGAATCCGACGAGGGTCGCAAGCGATTCATGTTTTGCTTTCCGTGGGTCAAGTCGCGACGCATGCGCTCCCAGATCCTGCGGTGTTTCGTCTCGGGTATCTTCCTGGTGTTGATGCTTACCGTCTGTATGTACCTCCAGACGATCGTTTGCGCTAGTGTGTCGCAAGTTGTTGACAAGAAACACAGATCTCGTGCTCTCAGTGACAAAGAACATCAACAGCAACGAATTTACGGTGCTTCTTGTTCTCGTCGTTCTATTTGCGACCATCTTCTTCTGCCACGGATTGATTAAAATATGCATGCTTATCCTGAAGCCGCCGAAAGAAAACGACGAAGAGCACCCCCCCATGCCGCAGCTGATGCAGCCTGGAGGTTATGCCATCCCACGACGACCGATCCACGTTATTCTCGCACGCGACGAAGAGGTTGCGGGGATCGTCGATACGGCGAATAAGACACAACCTCCGGCCTATGGCTTATGGCGCGAGAGTGTGGTATGTATCCGTTCGCGCTAAGTTTATGGTGCCTGTCATGCTGATGAAGTGGCGTAGCGCGTCGACCCGAATCGTCTCTACTGGCAACGCAACGACCAGCCGCCTGCGGAAGACAGCGAAGAACAACCAACTCGTCCCGGGACCGTCCAGACGCGACCGCCGTCATATGCATCAGAAGATGGGGTAACGTACGTGGTCGAGGCACGTCCCCGGTCCATCGTCCCCCCTCTCAATGTACCGCTTCCCCCCCATCCCTCCGAGGTGCCCCTCCCAGACGCAGAGGCGAGGCGGCCCCAAAATGCTCGGTAAAAGGGCATGTACGGTTCGCCACCCGCGTGGATGGAATCAAAGAGGTTAATGAGGTGAAGAGGGGATGCATAGTAGGGGTTAGAGGTAGGGAGGGGGTGTATGATGGTGTACGAAAACTAAGAGAAGGGGGGTTAGAGAAAGAAAAAAAGAAGTCGGAGGGGAGAAGGGAATAGGGTGCTGAACCACTATCGTCTCGCGCGTGGGTGGTGGAGGAGTTGGAACGGGTCGTCGTAATAGATGATGTTATTTGCTTGTTTTCGCTTCTCGCCTGCGAACGGGCTACCGTATGTAATAGTAGACCGTCGTCGTTGAGAGAGCTGCACGAGGCAGAAAGCCTCCCTTCGCTACCTAGTCAAGCCGGGGCAGCTTTGGGACGAGGCCGCGCGAGCCGGGCGTCTGTCCTTTGATCTGTGGTCTATACTACCTATATTCTCACTCTGTCGCCCTCCGCGTAGCGGCCTGGCTATGGGGACACAATGTGTAGGGACTTCCTACGAGTTAGTATGGTGGCTGTTGCCTTGGTATCTACCGTACATAGACCGGTAAGTTTGCACACGAATGACATAAGGCGGGTTGAGGAGAAGGACCAGGCAGTGATGAGGATATAGTGGTGGCAGGGTGTTTTCCTAGATGCATGTATCTATACCTATCTATATATGCGTAACAGTATTGCTACTTCGTCCCATGCAGCTCTCCGGCACCTTGTACGGTTTACTCACTTACTATATGCGCTTTGCTACACGCGGGTACGTAGGGGATACACATCGCGATCCGTTCTGATCCGAGTTTTGCGATGCGCTCGCGCGCCGAGAGAGTTGAGAGAGGTGATGGAGGGGGGTCGACCTCTCTCTCTATCTCCTTTTTTCGTTTTCTTGAATGGTTAGTCGTTTTCTTCTTTGTTGGCCCGGCTCTCGCTAACGAGGCTCGCGGCGGAATCCCGATTTGGCGTGCACGTATGCAGGCGTGGCAGATTGCAGCGAATATATGAGTGTATACCGATGTCCGTCCAGGGTAGGCATACTCATATATGTCCGTAAATACCTAGGTAGGTACCTAGGTACCTTAGGTAGGAGGTATATCTAGGTACGTATACGTGTGTACCTAATGCATGGATCAATATGGGGGACTTGACGCCGGTTCGCGGTGCGCCCATAGCGGTGGTGACGCGCGTCGGCGCGACGGCGCGGCGCGGGCGATTCGCGATTCGAACGGGAGGGGTGGGCGATCGATGGCGGAGGTATCATAACTAACGGCATACCTAGTCAGGTGGATTCTTTTTCTCTGGCCCACGTCGCGCGTCTGGCGATCGTCTCCTCCACTGCAGATGTATGGACGGTTGCAGAGTGCGGGAAGCGGGTGCGGAAAAGGGGGAGGGGAAAGGGGATGGGTCTCTTTCCGGACTGCGTGTTGGTTATTACCTGCGTATATACTTCCATCCCTAGGGATACCTCCTAGTGTGAATGCATGCAGATAGGTATATTTCGTAGACGGCCCTTGATTCCTTTTATCGTCGGTAGGTATGAGTAATACCGATGTTGTCTATCAGCGGCGGTAGGGGAATCCGGTAGGAGGTAGCCGTGTCGATCACATACGGACATAAACCCACCTACAATACTATGATAGAGGTTCCTTAGTTCCCTTGTCTACATGCATACATGGTAGGTATCGTATCGTCTCACCACAGTAGTCTATACCGACATGCTTTACATGCAAATGCAGAATTTCCAGACTTCTGTGAGCTACCGTCTTCTCCCCGTAAGGCTTTAGCATCAGAAGCCTCCAGTTCTCACGTCAGATGATCGGCCGCATCCTGCTGTATGCCATGTGCAACCGAAATCGGAAATGTCTTTAGTAGTATGGAGACGACGTGGCGACCGTCCTCGTAAAGAGGTTCCCCGGCGCGTGGCAAAACTAGAGGGTAGCCGAGGTTGCGGCCAGCATCCGTCCCCCCATCGCGCGGAACCGCACAAGCGGATTCTGCGCGATGCCTACGTGTGTGCTCTGGCACAGCGTAGGTTCGCGGGCCGTAGCTAATCACAGTCGCGATCACAGTCGCGGCCTGCCGGCCGGACGTCGTAGGGAGGGGAGCGATGGCAAGCGGCGGAAGTGCTCCTCGAGGGTTTCCGGCGTTGCGACGGGGCAGCTATTGGCCGAAGAGTCTGGTAGGAATATACGAGGGAGGGGGTGAGGATTTGCTGATATAGGTTAGGTAGACCTATATTATATTGGTTCTCCATAGTGAGGAGAAGGGGAGGAGGACATACCTATGCACACGCGGGATGTTGGGCACGTCCAAACTTCAGAGCGGATTGGCCAGGCTCTCGTCTACGGAGAGAAGTATACCTACCTATCTACAGGACGCGGGAGAGGTAGGTATGGCTGAAACTGGAGCCATGTGGTATGCTGCCATCCCATATGATCTAGACGTTCATCATGTTGGCATCGAAGATGCAGGTTCCGAGTTCCAAGTGGTCGTTCCAGCTCGATCCACCAATACGATGCCGTGGGCAGGACCAGGAACACGACTTAGCGATAATATAGCCTGCCTTACCAATGTAGGTCTTATCTACTACGCCGAGCGTCCACGAAACCAGCCTATCCCACACGATCACGCTCCTCCCATCCCGCCCTGCCCAGGCCTGGCTGTCGTCTCTCTTTGCTCTCTCTCTTGCCCTCAACCCCCCCCTCCCCATCCATGAGTACATCCTACACCCCCTTATCCCTTCCGCAGTCTCCCCGACCTCTCGCCTTTTTTACTGCCTAGGGATCGACGTAACGCGTCGTTCGGGCCCTTTAGCCCTGCGATGTGGAGCAGACTATGTGTTCAGCTATGTGGGTTAGATCGAGGCCTGGGTAGGGTGGATATTACCTACATATCGCAGGCAGGTGTACGCATGTATTGTCCACCCCCATGAGTAGGTATGATAGGTAACTCGTCTCCAAGCTGACCGTTCCGGCTATATTCTTTGGTTCTTAATGCCGGTCCCTCACGCATAACCTTCTTCGTATCTGAGCGATTTTCCCTCTCTCTCTTGCCTACCTATATAGGAACCACCCCAATTATTTGCAGTCCTCAAACCTTTACAGTTCCATGTCGTTCAATGCCTACGACGGGGTTAGAGGCGGCAAATACGACGCCTTTGTGCCCGTAGCTATGACCTATCCTGAGGCTGGAAACAATATGCGGCACTTGATCTGCGATATCGAATAGTGGATCAAAGGATGCCCATGCACAATCTCGCTAGCATGTGTCTATTGAATTCCAGCTTTCCAGGCGGCACAGGGCCGACCAGCCTGCCTGACCTCCCTAGTGTTTCCTGCTCATGATGGATGAACCGCAGACACGTGAAAAAAAGAAATGGGAAAATTAGCAAATGACCTTAGGTACTTAACACACCTATGTGGAAACATTTCATACATCCACTCAGGAGATATATCAACGACACCCAATTAGCCGAGTAGGTTAGGCGCCTCTAGCCTATCCACCTAACGCTGGCAGGTCGGCGCCGTCGGGCAGCTCGCTAAAACCTGTAGGAATTATATGCTGGCAAATCCCCTGCTCAGAACGCACGCACTCTCTTAAATTTTTTTTTCTCCGGCGCGCTCATGCAGGGCAGCAAACCGTCAGATACTAGGATAAGGGGGCGAGCCACGGGGACGAGGATGGAGGTAGGATCTAGACGATCCCATTGGCTGAGGATTCGACAACAAGCTGGTCCGCTCCCAACGATGCCCTCTCTCCTCTGTCTCCCCTCCTCTCGTCATCTCGTTCTCGTTCGCCCGTTGCGCGTATTTCATCCCCGAACAGCACGAGGCGGGGATCGATAGGCACGTCACGGACCGATCTACCCTAGCGGGTACTGACCCCCTTCCATGCAACGGAAAGCCTATGAAAGGTACCCCCTTCACCCACCCGATGTATCTAGGTACCTGTAGGTACCCCCTACAATAGGTGCGTAGGTAGGTACATGTTGAGGTGCTACAGGTGGGTGTGTGGACACTTCGATGTAAGGATGCTGTTGGTGGTTTTTTGGGGCGTGGTACACCATCCATCACAGATGCGGTATAGGGATGCAGGGGAGGGGGAGATACCTACCTTAGGTACCTTACCTCCTAACGTCTTCCGGTATGCGATGTACCTGACGAGGTATGTGAAGATATTGGTCTAATGTAGGTAGGTAGGTAGGTACCTAGGTATTAGCCATCAACCCAGACGCCTGTCGACCTAGCAAATGACACCGAGATCCTGATTATACACGGTGGGATGTAGGTACCTGGTAGGTAGGTACATGGATAGGTACGTAGAAGGTACCCTGGTATTACCTTCAACTCTACGGAACACAGGTACCTACCCATGTATATACCAGATACCTAGGTAGGTATATGAAAATGCCTAGAGAGATACCTACCTCCTCTTCCTAATACAGTTACATAGGTACATGTGCCCGGCCAGATCGCCATATCCAGTACCCGTACATACCTACCTCCTGCATTAGGTAGCCTAGCTCGCAACGATGCCTTTTTGGGCGAGGGTTATATATATGAGTGTCTATTGTGAGGTAGGTAGGATAGCAGGCACTTAAGGTAGGCGTATGGTGGAGGAGCAGGCCTATATGTGTGGGCGTGCATCGCTGTATATATCTCCTTGGTAGGTAGGTACCTAAGGCGTTGGAGCAACCTGAGGTAGTGGCCCATTGGACCGTTGCCGTTCCAGGTAAGCACTTTGTGAAAACAGCACCGGGAAATATACCTATAAAAAAACCGCCACGAGAGGAACCGAGCATCTGCCTTAGGTACTTGATGTACCTTAGGTATATAGGTAGGCATATACCTCCTAAGATATAGGTAAGTACTTAAGGAGGTAGGTTAGGTAGGTATTTTTAAAAAAAAAAAAAAGTATCTGACCACTCGACCCATCGTCACCTGGATGGGATTCGTCTATTATTGGCTCTGTGTCCAGGAAACGGGCAACCTCATAATAGAAATCGACGCCTCCCTGTATGCCCTCCCACTATACCTTACCTGGTGACCTCACCTATTTTCCCTGGGACGGATCCGTTAACATGCAATACATCGGGTTCCAAGTTTGGTGATGTTGTGTCTCCCGTCCCACCCCTTGTACGGTGTCTGCCCCCTCGCGAAGTACCCGTATGTGTTGGTTCAAGGAAGGCACTGCGAACGGACCACGCCCAAGGAAGAAGGCTCTGTGAGGAGAAGTACCTAACCTAGCCCTTAACCTTGGGCCCATACTACGGAAGTTAGGAAGGCACCTACATATGCATACCTAGTACCTACCTAGGTAGGTACGCCAGAAAGTTACGCGCCGTTGCTACTGCGACCTTAGGTGCCTACAGGTACCCTCGAGAGTACTACTACAGGACCGGACAGGTAGGTAGGTAGGTAGGTACTTAGCTTAGTGAGGTTAGATGGAGGTAGGAGTGAGGTCTACAGGTACCTCACAGGTAGGTAGGTAGGCTAGGATGTAGGTATAGGTATATGCACCTCTATGAGAGTAGCCTCGTAGTATGGGCTAATTTATATGGAGTTAGGTAGGTACTTCGACTTCGTACCTGCCTGCCGTCGCCCCTTCTCCGTCGTAATGTACCTAGCCCGCGGAGGAGAGAGCGACCTGATTAACGAGGGCAAGAGCGAGAGAGAGAAACCGGAGAGAGAAGGAGACAGAGAGAGCCCCTTCCGCCCGCTTGTCGGGATCCACTTGCTCTTGAGCCTATCCCCTCCATCCCTCCGGTCCTTTCCATTCCCTTGTCCCTCTCTCCCTCCTTCTCCCTCTCCTCCTCCCTCTCTCTCCTCTCCCTCCTCTCCTCTTTTATCCCATCAATTTCCTCGCTCCGATGTCTGCGATTCTAAAACCTCGGATCTCTATCGCATTGCATCGCGTCGCATCGCAGACTGTCAAGGCTACCACGGTCTCCCTCGGAGGTTGTTTGGAGAAGACGCTGCTAGGTCGAAGAAGCAGCGGGTTGCGGTTAGTTGAAGCACGAAAAAGTCGCCAAGGAATACGGAGCGGGTGGTTGTCCCTGAAGGTTGAAGAGAGAGAAAAAAGTGTGTGTGAGTCCGAGAAGAAGATTTTTTCCTTGTTTTGGCTTTCCCCCGTCCCTCTCCCCTTCTTTTTCCCTTTCCCCTTCTAGTTTTGTCTTCCAGTTCTGCCTCCCTGGTTATATCCCCTCCCTCTCCCCTCTATCGAAATCGAAATACCCCCGGCGCACGCGCAGTGGTGTGTGGTACAGCAAATCCGGTCCAGACCCGGCGACGACCGTCTCGTTTCTCCTGCTGCACCGCCGCAATCCTCGCGTTACCTACGACGATTTCTATGGCAGCAATGACTACGGCCTTATGCGATCCCGTCGCAATGCGCGCGCGTCCCCGGAACAGTCGGGCGCTGTGGCAAAGAGGCCCGACGTGACTATCCATCCAACCCCGCCGAGCCAGTTACCCGCGGCTTTCTGACTAGATTCGCTCGCGTCTCGACGACTCGGGGGAATCTCGTCTGCTCGCGCCGTCGGCTTAGGACCAAAGGAGCCCGCCCCTAGCTAAGACGCCCTTTATCCCTTCGTGGAGACCGGGCCCTCTGATTTTACCACCTGATCACGGTGACGCGCGCGACGCAATTGGCTTGCGCCGAAGCAGCCGCCTGCGATCCACCCTCGAACAGACCCCTCCCTCGCTCTCGCCACCTCTGCTTCTACGATGCCGTCTGCGATACCTCCCTCTTGTCCATATTCGCCGCTACATACGGGGATAAAACGTCTCTGCCGTCTCAGCGACCCCACGGCTGCGCGATGGCGCTAGTGGGGGGTGGCGCGCGCCAAGTTGGAGGGCAAAAAGAACACAGATATCCGAAATTTCGGTCGCATCTTTGCGCGGAAATCCCAGCACCCAGCCTATCTAGCGCTCTGTCGCCGTGCCCAAGCATTGACATGCCAACACCGACCTGCTATTCGAGAGAATCAGTGGTTTGCCTCAAATTTGTGTCGGGTCGCACAAGCCCATTGCTGTGCAGCTTGGTTGCAGATCTCGGAAACCCACTGATCAGTGCTGCCTGTCTGTCCATCCATTCCCGTCTTACCAGTCTGTGAAACCATCCCACCTCTCCTCGTGGGGTATTTTACCCGAGTCGACGACTGCACGTGGCGATACCTCGTTACCGTTTTAGGTAGCATCCAGGTCCTACCGCTCGCCACCTTCTGCCATCAGTTTCCGTGGTCGATTAACCCGCGGCTGCGCTTCGCGAATTTGCGCTTCTCCACCTACGGAGGGGGGCCAAGATAATTGGAGCCGACTCGGGGCGACGACGATCGACGGGATTCCGGTTGCTCCATCGACTACCCAAGAGGACTGCTAACCTACCACCACCACAACGCCGAAAACGGGTGTCCCGAGAATGGATTGCCAGATGAAAGCTTACAAGAAATATCGTGCTGATGATGGGACTATGCAGACTCACAGAGACTTGCCATGTCTTCCCTATCTCGTCGAGCATGCTACAAATGTGGCAACGTTGGCCACTATGCTGAGGTCTGCTCCTCCGCCGAGCGCCTTTGCTACAACTGCAAACAGCCAGGTACGTCCCCCAACCTCTCGTTTTCGCGCCCCGGCGTCATCTCTCCGGGCTGACGGTCTGCGTGCAGGACATGAATCCAATCAATGCCCTCTCCCTCGTACTACCGAAGCGAAGCAGTGCTACCACTGCCAAGGGCTCGGACACGTTCAGGCTGACTGCCCTACTCTCCGCCTGAGCGGCGCTGGTGGTAACGGACGCTGTTACAACTGCGGCCAGCCCGGCCACCTGGCTCGAGCTTGCCCTAATCCGGCCGGCGTAGGAATCGGTCGCGGCGCGCCCGCTCCCCGAGGCGGATATGGCGGTTTTCCCCGAGGCGGCTTCGCCAGCGGGCCCCGACCAGCTACCTGCTACAAGTGCGGCGGCCCGAACCATTTCGCTCGTGACTGCCAGGCCCAGGCCATGAAATGCTACGCCTGCGGAAAACTTGGTCACATCTCTCGAGACTGCACGGCCCCCAATGGCGGTCCGCTGAACACCGCCGGCAAAACCTGCTACCAGTGTGGCGAAGCCGGTCATATCTCGCGCGACTGCCCTCAGAAGGCTACCAACGGTGACGTCCCCCCCGACGTCGAGATGCCTACCGTGCCGGCTATCCCCCCGGTGGCGTAGAAGTAAAAACAAGCTGGTATTCTCGGCATGCGGCCTGATCTACGCGGCGGCGAACGTCAGTTTTCAGGGGCCACTGTCCTACGCGGTAGCCCGAGATTGCCTGGATGAATTCGATGTCATGTGAGCCGTTCCCGGCAGGACGCTTTTACTTGCCTGTGCGCGCGCCGAGTTACCCAGACGTATCCTCCCTTGGGGGAGGACTGGCAGCATTTGGATAATAACTACCTATTTCTTTGCATTGCATTTTGAGCTATTAAAGTCCTAGCATAACAAGCAGTAGTGCTTGCCTGGTTCACCACTCCTATTTTCATTGCCATCCCTTCATTACTGAGCCTTCTATCGCCTTCCGGATTTATCGGCCGCAGGCGTTCGTTGGGCCATACACTGAGCCTTGACGATTTTTTTTCCTTCAAGAACAAAAGCTCAAGTTGTATTAGGTTTTTCTCTACACTTCTCTTCCCCCCTCACTAAAACCTCCCCGGGACCCCCTATTTCATCCTGGATGCTTTATTGCTTGACTGCATCCCCTCTTTCTTTCCTTTTACCATTGCTTTCACTTTTCCCGGCATGAGTCATGGCGTACGTGATACGACACTACTAGACCTCCCCCGTCCCGTACGGCTTTGCTAGTGCCAGCAGATAATGTTCCTTAATGGGTGTGCACACTGAAACTCTGGATTGATCGGATCAAAATCATTCTTCGGATACCCCATTTTTTCATCCTCCTGTATTATCACAAAGCAAGATTGAGGAGAATGAGGGAGGAGTGCTATTCTGACGGCAGAGAGAGAGAAGAGGACAATCCGTTTGCATTGTTGGCATCAGCATGTGGCTGGGGAAGACGAAACCACGAACAAACGACACGGAACTCGAGGCTCAGAGAATACTTGACCGCAGCAGACTTGGAGACCCGGCAGCGTGTGTGCCACGGGAACTTGAAGGAAAAAAAAATGATACCCGAGCTAGTGGAGAAAAGCAAAACTGTCTTCTTTTCATGGAAAAAAAGAAGACAGCGAGGCGAGGGGGCAGAAGCGAAGTGAGTTACGTGAATGTGCGCGAGTGGGAACGTGTTGCGCGACTTATGTGGGCGAGGGAGTGGCGTAGGAAAGGAGGAAAAAACTAAAAATATAAGAGAACAGTCGCTACGATAGGATAACTCTGTTGGATCCCTTGCGTGACCTCAGCAGAGCGCGGGCGAGAGACGTGCGGGTGATACATGCCCGAATGTGCCGCCAATGACTCGCAATCGAATCTCGACGACATGCGTGTAACTGGCAACCGAGGGGAGGGCGGAGATTACCAAGATAATAGGGTTATGGTCACTTGGTCCGGGGAAATCGACCGCCAAAATTGAGCGGTCTCTTTTCGCCTTTCTCGGCGCGGCTAACCGGCCAGCCGGCCAGTCGGCAGCGACCTGGGTGCTATGTCTCGTATGAGCCAGTTTTATTTAGCTATTGAGCTCGGGTCCAGTTCACCGCGGGTTACTTGACCGCCATGAACGTTTATGCTTCGATACAATAGGTAGGTGCCTACATTCGCTAGGTACCTAGGTAGGTAGGAAGCGTAGCAGCCAGCACGGGGGTTGGTTGGTTGAGTATCTGCTGACTTGTATGTGTGTGTATTGTGTATGATATATCGTATATCTGGGGAGCGCCTCGGCGCTCTAACCCGTGCCGCCTATCCGGCTGCGTCTGCTCGCGTCCCGCGTAGTAGTAGCGGGTGGCCACCTGCAATCGCGCGCCCGGCCCCCTCTCCCCCCCCCTCCGTCCCTGAATCTAGAACGATCGGTGTGAGAGAGCGTTGGGAAGCTGGACGGACGGCACCAGACCAACCCGCGGGGTCGCCGCCCGCGGGGTGTAATACACCTACACCTAATGTACACAGATGCATAACATAATAATATCTACGCGCGAGGGAGAGGGATCCGTCGCGGTCGCGACGGCTAGTCGCCGAGAAGCGTGCCCCCCAGCGACCTGTCGAGCTGCACCAGGGTCCGCTCGTAGATCCTGCCGACGTTCATCTGCAACTCCTCGTCCTCGTCGTCGACGTCGACGTCCTCGCCGTAGTCGGCGTCGTCGGCGCGTGGCGGCGCTAGGGGCGCTGCGCCGCTGCTGCCGCCGGGAGCCGCTTCGCCGTCTTCGTCGTCGTCGTCGTCGACCATCCAGTGGAACTGCTCGCCCGGGCGACTCGGACCGCCCGCGGTCAGGGTCGGACTCCGCTCGGCCGGTGTCGCGTCGCTGAATGCCAGCGCGGATCCGTTCGCGCCACCATCGACTTTTACTCGTTTTCTATCGTCGGCACCGTGTTCTTCGCTCTCCCCCAAGTCCGCGTCGTCGCGTTTGCGCTTCGTGGTGGGTCGCGAAGCGCCCTCGCCGTTCAAACCCTTGACATCTTCGAATCTCACGTCGTCTTCTAGTTCTATCCGGTCGCCGTCTTCGTCGTCGTCGTCGTCGTCGTCTTTTTCTTGTTGTTCTCCATCGCCATTGGCGGCGACTTCGTTACTGTCATGTGGAACGGGGGACTGTGTTGATTTCGCAGGTATTGACGGGCCGACGTTCTGCCCCACAGGCGGCGCGGCTTCGTCGACGTCATCGTCTGCGAACAACTCGACGTCGGGCTCGTCGCTCATGTGGGTGGCGACTAGTATGCGCGTCTCGTCGGCGATGCTCTTGCAGCGGACCATGTCGGTTTTGCTGAAGCCGGGGTCGCGGCGCTGCTGGAAGCCCGGGAGCGGCTCCCCCGACTTGACGTCGCGTCCTACGAGCAGGCTCGCGAAGCAGTGGTCCAGCTTCTTGAGCAGCGCGAACGTGGGGCGCGGCGACGGCGCGAAAGACGGCAGGTAGGTGTTGAAAGCGAGCGCGACATTAAGGAGGTACGGGATCTGCAGGCTGGCTACGCGACGAATCAGTTCTCTCATCCATTGAGGGGCGCGCCGCGCAACGCGAAAAAAGACCTGTGAGAAAAGAACGGAAAAGAAGAAAAAACGTACGGGTACCCGAAAACCAAAGGACGTTGACGACTTCCTCGAGATCCTCGCACACCTCATCCATGCTATCGTAGCCCTTGACTTCGTCGGCGGGGTCAGGGATGCCGTGTTTCTTGACGTAACGGCGGGAGATGTGCATGAGCCGATCCGAGACGTAATTCCTCGCGTAGTCCTCCTTCCGCGACCCGCGCATCAACGGTTTCGACCGCGGGTGCGGCAAAGTGGCTGCCGCTCGGCTCGAGGCGGTGCTCGGGGCGGGCGAGGGGAGGGAGTGGCCGGCGGCGACGGGTGGGAATGCGCCGGCGATAGGCGGCGAGCTGGCGTACGTGGAAGCCGGCGTCTCAGCCATTTTCGCGTATGGAGCTATGCAGATAAAGCCGTTGCAGGTTTCTTCTAGGTGCGCGCATGGAGGAGGTAGGGAGCCGATTGATGCTGATGTTCCCTTGCCAATGGCGGGCGTGACTGGGAGAGGAAGAGAGAGAGAGAGAGAGAGAGAGAGAGAGAGGGAGAAGATGGAGAAAGGAAGGGTAGGGAAGGGAAAGGGAACATCAGCTAAACCTCAGTTCCACCGTTGTTGCGAGATGAGGGAGAAGGTAGAGGTAGGTATACGTAATGTACAGAACGTACTACACCCTCCGGTGACAGCGCGGGGTACCCAAGTAGATACTTGCCAGTACATGTACGCGAGGAGGCGATTCCGACGGGAAACGCGACGGCCTCTCGGCCTTGTGACGCCATTGCCCGGCTAGGTTTCCGTGGCGGTGGACGAGGCGCATAAGCCACATCTCCTGCTGCACGCTTTGCAGTGTGTGGCTGAGAAAAAAAACACCCCTCCAATTCTAGTAACCTGTTCGTCAGTCTCTTTCCTTGCTCCCACCCTCTCCCAGTCTCTCTCTGTCACGCGCTCCTCACGAGAAACCGGCGAGACGTATACGACACCGACACGAACACCGCGCAGGCACTACGTCCACCATGCCTCCGAAGAGAGTCGGCCATCGCGCCTCGAAGGGCTACTTCGCCTCCGTCTACGAGGGCATCACGTCCCCAGACAATGCGCCCCTCGTGCGCAGTTTGGCCGTCTTCGGCGTAAGACATCCCGCATTTCCACACTCGCTCCCTCGGTTCTCAACATCCAAGGCTAATGGCGCTATACACAGGCGGCCGTGGTTTTCCTCGCCAGTCCTCTGAGCGAATATCTTCTTCCACCGTGAGATCCCGAAGCAAGATACCCAGACGAATCTCCGTTCGAGAGCTAACTTGCGATTCGAGAGCCTGAACACACACCCACGCCCACACACACACATATTTACCACAATTACCGCAGATTGGGGCGCCGAGGTGCGGGCTCGAGAGGCTGTACGATACGAACCGAGAATTCCTGGTGTACCATAAATCTAGACATACCGCGGTGGCTCGGCCGGGATACCTACGTGAAGGTTGCGTCGGGTTCGGCTCGCCCATCCAATTAGACCCATTATGAAGCCTCATCGGAGAGAGAGAGAAGCATTTACCCCCCCCTTCTCCTCGGATCAAAATAATATGACAAATTCCTCCTCCAATTGCGACTAAGAACTATATTGTCGAGTGAGGGTACTAGGTTTCTCGGCGCCAGTCTGGAGATGGTTGGATATGGATGATATTGAGATTCGGGAAAGAAAAAAAAAAAGCCTACCTCTAGGTACACCTTTCCATTCGCCCACTATGGGCCGGGCGTTGAGGTGTTGAATTCTTCAACGTAGGTGCATGTTCAGACAGAGGACTTGCGGTTGTAGGTAGCATCGATGACTACAGTATCATGCGGATCCCCCTAAGTCTTCCCGTATCGTTACGGCCAGTATTCCAGCAGACAGCTTGCTGGCTCCTCTCCAACGCGGAATGGCACCATTATATCAGCACCGATATGCCGGTTTACATCAGACGTAGACGTTTTCCGAGCCGGACGTAGCTTGTGGGACGTTCGCGGAGAGATAAGATTTGCAACGTGACTACGCATTGCGAGTAGACGGTGTTACCGGGGGCTGACTTAAGCTTAATCGTCCATAATCGCGGGAAAAAACGCCGTGGCGCATTGTGATATTTCCGACCTGGTGCGGCGGGCACTACCGGGCCAGCTCGGCCAGCACGGAGCAAGTAGAGCAGCCCGGCATGGCGGCGACGCACTGTAACGCATGCCGTGGGAGGTAAGCGATGCTCTCTAATTGCGAGACAGTATATATCTAAGCTGAGAAAATGAGAGAAGCCGGATCCGCAACGGACCGGCCTGCCTCACTTATGCGACCCCGACGTATGAAGTGGCGCCTCGCCACCAAAGGACGTACGGCGAAGGGCAGTACAGCGCCTCCAATAGAACGGTTACACTTGCAGCTCGCCTGGACAGCTTACTACGTACATCGCTGGCCAGATTCATCCTAGGCCGTAGAAAACATGCCCGTCAGACTGCTCGAGGAGAGCGGTAAACCTGTCGATAGCGTCTCGGGACACCGGAAGACGCTGGGTGGCAGACGAGGTTGGATCTCCGCGGTACTGGATTATTGAAAACGTCTCACCGATTTGATCGTGTCCTTTTCGCTCTTGATCTCGACGTCTTCGTTCGCTAATACCTGGTACGTGTCTAGGCCTGACCTTGAAGCTTCCACCTCCCCTCAAGTAAGCTTCCAGCCCTGCGGGTGTTATGCCGTCGGGAGGGGGGCTGAACCGGGGAGGGTCGTCCAGCATGAGACTGCGGCGGCTCATGTAGGTAATATATAGGTGGTAATCTGTTGGCTGAGCGGTGGGGAAACTCCGACAAGGGATCCGGGCAACTGGGATTGGCCTGAGATTGGCTACAACAACACATGATCGGATGAGTAGGTTGCCCAGCTGCTATCATGTCAGCCCCCGGACCGCGGAAGCGGAAACGGGACCTGCTCGAGACCCAACCCGGGTTACCTCGGCCACACCTACAGTAGCTACCGTTTGGCGGGGGTAGTACATCATGTGGTATATTGGGACGATGGAAGGAAGCGGAGACTCTCGTCGGATGCTACGCTACCTATCCAGCGATGCGACGTACCAGACGTATACCCCTAAATCGTCTAGGACTGCGCTCGCGTGGGAGCTAACAAAACATAGGCACTGTCTTCTGGGCGTTGGCTCGGAATCGACAGACCGATATACACCTACTATGAGCTAGCGTTGCCATCCAAGACCTGATTTCAACGAAACGGGAACATGGACAAGCTCGAAATAGGCACGGCGCCCCCTCTCGCTGTCTGATCGATAGAGACGAAGTCTGGCCCTCGCCAGCCCAGGAAGGGAATCGCCTACGCCACTCCGAGGCATATACCTAAGTCTCGGGGAGGGGGTCTCGTCTCGCCCACGCCACTCCGAGGCATATACCTAAGCTCCGGGGAGGGGGGGGGTCTCGTCTCGCCCACATACACATGTGGCATGTCTGCATCGTCCTATACAACCCAGCATACACACTGCGCTCAACGGTGGCTTGCTGATCGTTGCCCATTGATAGCATGAAGCTTGAGTGACGCCCAGCATGCCCCGTCGCATTCGTGGTTCGTCCAACCAATAACCCAAGTCTCGGCACCGGGTCCCTCTTCTCCCCGCTAATACTTACGCACTGGCGTGCTTTGGTTAAGATAGAAAGAACCTCGGCTACGCCCGGTCCTAGACGAATACTACTAACCCACACGAGATGTCGTAGCGGCCTCCTCGTCTCCGACGTGCATGCTCTTGCGGAGCAGGACGCGAAGGAAAGGGAGGAGGGGAGGGGGGGGGGGTTCGTCACCGGAGCGTCACGAGTTCAGCTATGAACAGGGTTGGCTCTCCTCCAAGTATTAGGCTACGGACGGCGCCGAAAGGCCTCTGGGGGGCAAAAACCTAGTCGTGTTTATATAGCTATCCTTCGGATGGGATTAAATCACTGCCCCCCCTTTCCCTCTTTTTACTCGAGCCCGCTACCCTACGATATAGGTACCTACATATATACCTACCTGCTCGTATACCTACTTTTTTTTTGTCACGTAGAGCGCCACCTATACATGGCTCCCTACTCCTTCTCTGGTTGCTCGCTGACCTAACCTAGCTCCCAGCTCGCTTATATAACATAGCTCGCAGCTCCCTATCGTCTATATATAGGCAGCTCGCATCTCCTTTGTTCATTTCCTTTCTTCTTAGATAGTCAATTCACCTTCTTCTTCCCACATTCCGTTGTTCCCAAGAAGCAACTTCAGTGCCCACGTAGGTCTCCCGATCTACGTAACATTTTTTTTTAAATTCTCCTCGTATAAGCTCCTGTCCCGACCTCAGACACGCCAATGGCGAGCGCGAAGGCCTTCGTAGGCAAGGTGATCCTGGTGACGGGGGCGGCGCAGGGGATCGGCGAGGCGGTGGTGCGGTACACGGCGGCGCGCGGGGCGGCGGTGTCGTTCTCGGACGTGGCGGCCGACACGCTCGAGGCGACGCGGCAGAGCGTCGCGGCCGCCTTCCCCGCGGCCCGGCTGCTCGCCCGCGTCGTCGACACGCGCAGCTCCGAGAGCGTCGAGCGGTGGGTCGCCGAGTCGAAGCAGACCTTCGGCCGCATCGACGGCTGCGTCAACAGCGCCGGCATCCTCGGCCCCCAGGGCACCGTCGACGGCGAGCTCACCGAGGAGGCGTGGGGCCGCGTCATCGGTGTCAACCTGACCGGCGCTTTCCTCTGCCTCAAGCACGAGGTCCGCGCCATCGAGGACGGCGGCAGCATCGTCAACCTCTCCAGCGGCGCCGGCCTGCGCGGCATCCCCGGCCTCGCCGCCTACTCCGCCTCCAAGCACGGCCTCATCGGCCTCACCAAGTCCGTCGCCAGCGAGGTCGCCCCCCGCCGCATCCGCGTCAATGCCGTCTGCCCGTGAGTACCCCTCAGCTCTTGTGGTTGCTTCCGTTGTTATATTAGCTGTCTCGCCTATCCTGATATTTCTGTTGGCTTTTGTTCCGCGCCGTTTGGTCTTCAGAGGGAAAAGGGGGGGGGGGGGACGGGTCTTGACTTCTCCCGTCCTTCTTTCTCAATCTTCCCTCTCTCCTCCTCGCCCTTCCTACTTTTATCCACCGCTAGCTAACCAGGCCCGGCCCCTCTCCTCGCTAACCCCCCTCGCCCTCCCCCCCCCAGGGCCGAGCATGGGGGCTAGCGAGGAGAGGGGCCGGGGCACGCGCAGGTCCCTCGTGGAGACGCCCATGGGGGCGCAGGTCACCGCGCAGTCCGGCGGCACTCTGACGCCCGAGAATCTGCCGCAGCTGTTCCGCTGGGCCGTGAGCGCGACCGAGGTGGCCGCCCTCGTCGCCTACCTCCTCGCCGACGAGAGCAAGTTCCTGACCAGCACCTCGTACCCGATCGACGGCGGCTTCGCGGCGTAGCCCGCCCGCGGACTAAGAGTGAGGGAGGTGGAGGGAGAGATTCCGGGATAGACTGTGTGGCGTGGTGTTTGGATAGGTCTGGTCGGTTCGTTATGCCGGTGGTGGTGTGAGAGCAGAGAGCCGACTCAGGAGAGGGAGAATGACACAGCAGCGCTGGGGCGAGCTCTCTGGTATTAACTGTTTGTCGCGTTCTATTAGGGATATCGGGAACCATTAAATGTGCCAATGTCTATCATCTCATCGAGGAACAGTCTCCCGTAAGCATTTAAAGCAGCATATGCGTCGTGTTGTTGTAACACACTGTGGTATGGCGGGTTTTACCGGTCTGGAATTATACGCCGTAAGCTAGGGCACCCCTTCACGAGCCCCTTCACGGACTACCGCGTTAGGACCTACGAACGCGCCTTTTAACGCGACGCCCTTACTTAAATAACCTATAATTTCTCGGTTAGTTTTAACCTTTAATAATTCCTTTTACTATTAATCTCTTTTTAATTTCTTACTAATTAAAATAATATCTTTAAATGAAAAGTAAATCCATACGTAAACCGCTCTTTGGGAGGTTATATACGATATTAATATCCGAAAAGCTACCCGTTTATATAATATCCCTCGTTCCTACCTATCGCGCCGTCTCGCTAACAAACTAATAAAACAAGAGTTAAATAAAAATCGGCCGTTATCGTCGAGATTCGTAATTATAAAGGATAAAGGTATTTCTAGATCTCGGCCGAAACGGTCGGAGGTATCGGAAGCTATCGAAAGGCCGAAAATACCTAATTTCTTAACGTTATTAACTCTAAAGTACGTTAATATACCTTTAAACGATTAGGTATTACGAAATATTACTTAACGGTTTATCCTTATTAGTTCTAGGGTTAAGGCCGTATTTTAACGGTTATTTATTCGGAAAACTAACGATACCTTCGACCGGTAGGCTAATAAAATCGCGACTCTCGAATCCTAGCTTTAATATAAAATCGCTAAAAACGATAGAGCTATTACTAAGACGCGTAATGTAGTGGTGCGGTGGATCTAGGCCACGTAGCCTTTTCGATGTGTATTTATATGGGTCGCGCACTCATATTTTCATCAGTTAGACTTAGACCTATAGACATCACGACCTACAGCCATTCACTCGTTTCTTGCCATGCCTTTCTAGCCATCCTCGTTGCCCTTTTCTAGTTCCCTTTCCCAGCTGCCGTTTTCAGCTGGCCGATCAACCGATTACAGCTGTTTACAGCTGTGATCTTGGGTTGATCGGCACTGGGCCAGTTGTTGGCAGTTGGGCAGTCCTTGTTTCGTGCCTCCGTCAGCGTGCCCACGCTGCTCCTGTTCAGTAAGAAGGTATATATAACGTTAAGGGAATACTTCGTCCGTACAACGGATATACGGCGGGTAAAAAGGTCGTTAAGAAGTAGGGTAGTATATAAGGACGAGGTAAGCGACGAGAAGGTACCTAAAGAGGTTAAAACGGCGCTAGAAATGCCTAAAAACGAGGTATCGTAAACGGAGGACTATATCGAGGTTATAACGCCGGAATTAAAGGGTTTTAATTAATTTTAGTAATATAGGTAGCTTTAATTATTAACGTAGTAGTTATTAGGTAATGCTTAATTTAGGTAGCCCGTAGAGGGGTAGCTCGTGAAGCGGTAACCTAACTTATAGGTGCACCAAGCCAAATACCCCATCTGCGTCCGTTATTATCCCTCTTCTTCTTGTCCCACTCTGCGGCCCCCCACTGCAGCTCAACCTTTCATCTTCTAGCTCTGCTCTTCGACAACGACAGTCGCATGGAAGCTACCCTCACGTCCGCCACGAAGAACTAAACCCTCGCCGTTCGACTTCCGGCGAAGTGGGCGCATGGTACCCCCCCCCCCGGGTGGCGGCGGGAGTTCGATGCACGAGTGCTAGGTGGGTTGGCTGACGGGAGAGTATTAATAAGGGGTAGATGATAGCGCGAGTAGACGAGGCGGCACCGTGGGTAGTCTTCGTAATGTGGTTGCTTTGGATCGGAATCGGACGGCGTAGAAAGACACTGAGAAGACGGCTCGCAGAAAGCGAACAGATTCGGTGTGGGAGATTTAGGCATTGATTCGTTTAGGCAACAGAACGATCGAGGGATCCTGCGGAAGCGTAGGGAGGATGGCTTCGTAAATCTGCTCGCATAATGGTTGTGCTGGGAATGGCTGCCCCTTTTCCCGGTCAGCTTCTTGGCACTGGTTGCCTACGGATAGTTGCGATGCTACCACCTTTTCAAAGGCCATGATGAAAAAGAGAGATAAAATATCCAACTACAAATTGTTGCCTATATTTATTATGACTGCCGCCATTCTGTCTGAAATGCGGTCTTGTAAGGTATGTATCATTCTAAGGAGTATAATATACTGGCCCCCTTTTTCCCCGACCCCCCCCCCTTTTTGAACTCCAGAATTCGAAAATGTACTTTGTGGTGGTATGTTCATCTTACCAGTTCCTTCGATGCCTATTGTATACAATTTATTTTTAGCGCGCAGTCTGGGGATCTAGGCTTCAACCTCTGTCTCGGTCTCCGAATCCTCCTCGTCGATTCTCTTGCTGTTGGCTGGGGGCAGTTGCGCCATAAACAAGACGACAAACCCAATCACGGCGAAGCCCTAAGCCGACGTTAGAAGGGCCACATAAACTCTTAGAGACTGGTGGCCGACGACGTACCGCGTTGCAGAAAAATGTTAAGCTTGGCTTGCCCGCTTCGGAGAAAGCAGCGAAGATGAGACCAAAGAGCCCCTGGGTCAGCAGCGTAGCCGTGCTTTCGACTAGCGTGATGGCGCCGATCGCGTCCGGCCGCAGGTGTGGCGGACATAATTCTGTCATGACTCCCTTCGCGGCCGGTGCCGATCCGGAAGCAAATGGTAGAAGGAATCCCGCTGCTGGTTGTCAGTGTCGTCTGGTCTAGGTCGGAGGCCGTATGCCCGAGAAGCCACGTCACTCACCAAGATATACTTGCCAGCCGTCTGTAGAAAATCCGGCGAAAAAAGTCACCATGGAGTCTATCACAAGGCTCCATTTGACGAAAAAGAGGTCGAAGCCTGTTCCCGAGTCCTCTTCATCTGGATCGGGAGCCTGTACCGGTTCTTGCGGAACCTCTCCTACCTCGTCGGCTTCAAATTCGTCCGGGTTGATGGGCACATGGCTCTCTGGCTGATGACCTTTCGCATCCACCGGTTGCTGTGTGCCGTTGAACCAAACTCTACCGGTAGAGATGATCTTTGGGAACATGAAGAGGAGGAAGACACCACGGATAGCCGAATTCCCGAACATGAGGTATCCGTTCTCGGTAGTCCCGAAATCGAACTCGGATGTGGCGTACATCTGCAAAAGTATCGGGGCATACCCGGAAGCGAACTAGGGTGGCGTGCATGTGAGGAGTTTGCTCGTATAGGGGGCGGCGCCTCGGAGTAGGGACTTACTACGCCAAGGAAGATCCCGAGAGCGAGGAATATTAAGCTGTAGTTCTTGACGACTCTGCCAGACTCTAGGAGGTACTTGTGGGGTACGATCACTTTGATGGGCGCAAAGAAAGCACTGATACCCTGGCTGCGAGGCCTCTGGGCGAGGGTTCCGCTGCCGGTAATTGTCGGCATGAAAAGTGCTCCATACAGCGTAGATATGACGTAGAGGAAGAAGGCTACCTCGAAGGGGCGCCTGATATTATAGACGTCGCCGAGGACACCTCCCACTGCAATAGTATTGTTAATTCGACTAAATCAACCGCCGAGATCGTCATCAGCAGCAGTCGCACTTACGGAGGTATCCAAAAGCCGTCCCTAGCATAATTGACCCCTGGAGGCGTCCAAAAACGGCGGTACGATCCCTCGGCGCGACCAATTCGCTGACGGCGGTATTAAGAACCAGTCTAAATTGCACGGCATGGTCAGCGTCGTCGGGCAGCAAGCAAGGGGGGGAGGGAGGGGGGTGGCGTTACGGAAACTTACTGGTAACCGCGGGGGCCTCCGATAATGCCGATAGCTTGGCAGGCCTGGAAGATGAGTTCGCCGGTCCGGCCGCCGACGGCGACGCCGAGAATCTGGGTCGAGACTCTCACGCCTAACAGGGCGGTTTGGGAGACGAAAGCCCAGCGTGGGCCCCAGAGCTTGATGAAGTAGCCGCAGATGAACAAGTTGAAGACGCCGCTGAAGGAGGTGGACATGCCTAAGATGGAGACCTGGGTGGCGGTGCCGGCGTTGATCTCTCGGCGGTGGCAGCGGTCGCCGGGGCCGTCGAAGGGCGGGTGGTGCGTGTAGAACACATCGCATTCCATGAGGCGGAAGACGTAGATGATGCTGGACAAGCGACGGTGAGCATCGAGCGGGGGACGTAGTAATGCCCGGGAGGTGATCCGGTAGGAGGGGGAGAAGGAGCGGGGAAAAAGGACACTAACGGGACCTGGGTGATGCCGAGGGTGAAGGCCATCATGAAGCCGGCAAGCAGGATGCGATTAGCAGGCCCGAAGACGGCGCGGGCGGTGGCACGGTTGGTAGTCTGCGGAGGAGATCCATCTCGAAGCAACGGCGTGGACTCATCTGTGGCAACCGAGGTCGTTTTTCTCCGGGTCATGCTGGGCACAGTCGTTCCAGGGAGACCATAGAATGTGCCGAAGGTCGGGGTGAGGAGAGGTTGAGGAGTCGAGAGGTTGGGAAATTAGGTAGGTAGAAAGCGGGAGGGCGAAGGAGGGAGGAAACGACGGGTTTAGACGGGGGCGATGTGGCGGATATGCGAATAGGTATGTGATGGTGTATGCATGTATCACGGCGCATTGCTGAAGGGGGGCCCGGTCCGGCGGCCTCCCTTTTCTAGCGGTCAGGCAGGAAATTCGGCCAGCTCCCGGCCAGGCGCCGAAACTGCTCCGGTGTGACGAGGGTACTGCATCGGCACCTCTCCGATATCTGCCAACCGAAGCGGGGGATTCGATCCCCCTCTGTGTTCTCGATTCTCACCCAGGTGCCTGCGGATGTTGCTGGTATGCCTAGGTATTACTTAGTAGGTATTACCTAGGAGGGAGTGCTTTGTGCGCAGGTGCTTACTTAAGCTGGCTGCTATTCCCGCCGGCCTCGGTAATGGGATGTGTCCAACGGGAGACCCGGTTAGGTAGCCAGGTATGTATGTATCCCGATGGTTACGTAGAGAGAATTGGGTCGATTACGGAGTCGATTACACAATCGGGCATCGTCATCTCGCAGCGGGTGTTGCGCCTTTGTGCGCTCCGCTATGTCCGATGCCTGAGTTGTCGCAGGTAGCTACCTGACGCATCCCAGTTTACCATCGGCACAACCAACATTACATACAACATACTTCCGTCTCACGTGTCTACGCGATGCCTATATGCTCTGTAGGTACAGGCGGAATGGTTAGAAGCGGTGGGTGGTAATGGGCAGGGACTGTTCCTAAACACCTCTGCCGCCGCGGTGGATAGATAGTAGATACACATCACTTACCCAGACGTATACTGGTACCTAGCATATACCTACCCACATATAGGTAGGTAATAACTTGGCTTGCGCGATGGCGTGCAGGACCGGCCTCGTCATACTAGCCAAGATGGCACTATCGCGGGTAAGCGAATGGCTAGGCGCCGTAAGCATCGGCAGTGGATACAGGTCACGTACCTGGCTGTGGATGGCTCCGCAAGCAGAATCCGCCCACGGCCGCGGGAGCGGAATGCCTGCATTCGTAGCAATTCGCACATGGCGAGTGAGTGGTGAGGACGTCTCCAAACTGCGAACTCGGTCCGACGCCATGCAAGCTTCGGCAGACAACTATACCGGTGGGGTAGCGCTCGTCAGGAGAGGGAGCAGAGAGAGAGCGAAGGGGAGCCAGACGCAGAGAGGAGAGTGGGGGTCCGAGAGCCGCTGCGATCTTACAGCAAATGGCAGGGCGCGGATAAGTAACCAGGGACGCGCGCGAATGCCCGGGAATTGCTTACCCGGCGATTAATGGGAAGAAAAAAAAAAGTAACGATACTACGTGGTGAAGTAGGGGATGGGTGCTGTGCTGCGTAGGTAGGTGAGACGAGAGAGGGAAAACGGGGGGCGAACGGGAACAGTTATATTAAACCGTCGACGAAGCAACGAAGCAGTAGACATTTAGGGATACTGACAAACAAACAACTCATCACTCAAGCACACACACCTCGTCCCGACAGGTTACAATCCCGGTCCGGAGGGTTCTGAGCGACACCGGGACTCCCCCTCCCTCTCGAACCCGGCCATATTAATACGACGAACGACCTATCTAGAATGAGGTGTCAGCAGGGGTGACTGCCACAACAACGGAACGGCATTCGATCTTGCAACATTCCCACTACTCTTATTCATTGGGTCCCCCGAAGGAGGCAGAGATAGGGATATATAAACCTGATATCAATAGCTCCCCTGGCGATGGTGGGAGACGATAACACCCAAGATGATGCTCGATCCGAGAAGCCGGCGGCGGGGGGGACCGCCGGGGACCAGTCCGCTCCAAGTCGGGACAAGACTAAAGAGAGTGGGCCGAGCGACAGTCGATCGGAGTCGGTGATAGCCGTCGACGAAGACGACAGCGCTCCCTCGAAGCGTCGCGGCCTTCTGGCTAAGGCCGTAGCGGTTCTCAGCTGGATGCCGCAACGCTGCCGCTACGACCCGGAGAACCCGCCCAGCTTCACCCTGTCGATGAACATCTTGCTGGCTTTCGTACACGCTACCCGTCCTTTTCTTTCCTTCGCTTCCGCACGACGCAGTCCTGCTACCCCTCCCGAGACTGACTGGCCGACTGACTGACTGACTGACTCCTCGTCTTTCTCGGCAGAGCACCGTCTTCACCATCGCCAACCTCTACTACGCCCAGCCCATCCTCAACGTCCTGGCCGAAGAGTTCGGCGTGGACTACGAGCGCGCCTCGGACATCGCCACCTTGACTCAGGCCGGCTACGCCGTCGGCCTGGTCTTCGTGTGCCCCCTCGCCGACATGGTCCCCCGGCGCCCCTTCATCCTCTTTCTCATCTGGGTCACAGCCACGATGGTATGTGTGCACCTCCCCCTCTCGCTAGCCTACCATTCCCTTTCTTTCGTACCTGCGTCATCTCTACTCGTTATAATATGTCTGCTAAGCGCTCGGGAATTCAGTGGATTGGTTTATGTCTCACGCGCAGCTTCGAGGTGTTTACCGCCCTGTCGTTCCTGTGTGGGGCTGGGTATGTGTAATATCAATTTCGTTACGTCGGCTCGCTTACCCTTCCTCCCGCCCGCTCATCTACTCGTGATATGCTCGACACTGTTTATCATCTCTACTTATTATCTTAACCGCCACAGCCTCCCCGTTGACACCGGAATAGGACAGTAACGCCGCAGCTCATGCTGCCCCTCGTCGGCGATCTGGCCCCGCCTCACAGGCGCGCTAGCTCGCTCTCCATCGTCGTGTCGGGACTGGCTCTTGGGCTGCTTATCGCCCGAGTCCTGTCGGGCATAGTCGCTAACTTCGCCTCGTGGAGAAATGTCTACTGGCTGGCCTTAGGCGCGCAGTACCTGACACTGGCGCTGCTGTACTGCTACCTCCCCGACTACCCTACCAAGAACAAAGGCCTCAACTATTTCAAGGCCCTATGGGGGATGGTCGTCATGGTCGTCAGGGAGCCCCTCCTCACCCAGGCCTGCCTCATAGGCTTCATGCTCAGCGCCGCGTTCACCTCCTTCTGGACCACGCTGACTTTCCTCCTCGCGTCGCCTCCCTACAACTACTCCTCACTCGAGATCGGCTGTTTCGCCTTCATCGGCGTCGTCGTGGTCGCGCTCGCCCCCGTCTGGTCGCGCCTCATCACCGACCGGTTCGTCTTCCTCTTCTCCGTCATCGTCGGCCTCATCTTCGAGCTCGTCGGCATCACCATCTCGACCTTCATCGGGAGCTTCACCGTCGCCGGCCCCATCATCCACTCCATCATGATGGACTCGGGCGCCAACTTCGTCCACACCGCCAACCGGAGCAACATCTACACCCTCGATCCGAAGGCGAGAAACCGGATCAACACCGTGTACATGGCCTTCGCCTTCGCCGGCCAGATCACGGGGACGGCCGTGGGGAACCGACTGTACGCGCGCGGGGGCTGGGTCTGGAGCGGGAGCAGCAACATCGCCTACATCGGCGCGGCCATCATCATCGGAATCATCCGGGGCCCGCGGGAGACGGGCTGGGTCGGATGGTCTAACGGCTGGAAGATCCGGAGAGACGACCACCCGAAAAACGAACAGGCCGCGACCTCCACCGAAACCGACGTCGAAGAAGCACTGGCGTCGCCATTGCCAGAGCCAGGAGAAAGACCAAGAACGGACACCGGCGCGCCAAAATGAAGGCAGTTCCGGGTGCACTTTCAACACGGCCTTTGATGAGGGGGGGATTTGGGATTGCGTTTTAACATGGCCTGTGGATTATTAGAGTCTAGAGGGTAGAGGTGGATGTTATTTCGTGCTTGGATATACACGCCGCGAATAACATTATCCGCAACTTGTGAATTTAGATAAACTCGTCTATATATGAGACTACCAAGCACAGGATACCGGTATATATTATTAATGACAATATGCAAAGATCAATCCTAAATTCCTTCATGGTACGTCGCTTCGCGTTGCATGCCGCGTGTCACCCGGTCTCCGTCGTGTCCCGATCGCCATTTTCCTCAGCGTGTACCCCTGGGCGGGCGAAGACGCAGCGGGGACCAAGAGCCACATACCTAACGGGTCATCTAAACCCACTTCCCTCCAAATTTCATCCCCCCCCCCCCTGGGCCGCCGTCACGCCGGGACCCTCGCGCCCAGACTCGCCCACAAGTCGCACCGCGCGCCGCGGCCGCCCTCCCACGCGCGGCCGTCGGCAAGCCGGAACCGGGCGCGCAGCGGCTCCGCCGCCGCCGCCGCCGTGCCGTTGCCCGCGACGCGGCGCGGCACGGGGATCGTGGAGCCGTTGATCATCGTGTCGACGGCGACGAGCACGCCGCCGGTCATGTTGAGGTTCAGCATCGCGGGGGTGCCGGCGGTCCAGGCGCGCCAGGCGCGCGCCCCCGCGGCGGCGACGTCGCCGCGCGCGGGCCCCAGCGCGCGGGCCTGGGCCCGGCTCAGCCCCGGCGCGCGGCCGGCCGCGAAGTTGCCCCAGGCGGCGCGCAGCGCGCCGCGGAACGCGGCGTCGGTCGTCGCGGCGGCCGCCGGCCCGCCGTCCGCGGCCCGCAGGCCGAGCAGCGGCTCCAGGTCGCGCCCGTGGTCGCCCGGCGCCACCGAGAACTGGTAGCGCCAGGCGCGGCCGCGGCCGCGGCCCGCGTACGCGTCCGCGAGCCAGCGCGACGGGCACACGAACGTCGCCTCCGCGTACAGGTTGTTGGCGGCCTGCTGCCAGCCGGCGGCGAAGGCGGAGCGGGTCGTCGAGAAGGGCGCGTGCTCGCCGTCCGAGTTGGCGAGCGCGCGCGGCGCGTCCGCCGGCACGGCGTACAGCGCCAGCAGCCTGGCCAGGTCCGCCGCGCTCAGCTGCGGGTACGTCGCGCGCACGAAGGCCCGGAACGCGCCCGCCGTCGTGATGTCCTGCGGCACGAAGTACGGCCCCTCGTTGACGCAGTTCGACGACAGCAGCCGCGCCCCGTTGAGCCGGCCACCGCCGCCCAGCAGCTGCGCCGACGGCCGCGTCCGGATCAGCGTCCCGTCCGTGACCGGCGTGAACGCCCACTGCCCGTGCTGGCCCGTCGTGCTGACGTAGTCGCTCGCGCTCTGCAGCGTTTCCGTGTCCGCCGATACCAAACACTCGAAGACGGACTGGTTAGCGGTGGGTTGGTCCGGGAGGCAGCCGGCTCGGTCTGCGAAGCGGCGGTAGTACTCTGTTGGCCGGGTGCCGTTGTAATCCCTAGGATTGCGGTCAGAATTTCCAACGAATCTGGGAGTTGAGTCGAGACCTGGGTAGAGGAATATGCCTCACCATTGCGTCGGTAGATAGGGGCTCGAAGCGATGAGCCCCTTAAACAGCGAAGTGCCGTCAGCGCCCCCGTTCGCCAGCCCAAGCAGCATGACACCGCCCGCCCCAGCCGACGAGCCGGCGATAGTCACTTGTTCGGGGTCTCCGCCGAAGAGGCGTATGTATTCCTGAACCCACTGGAGAGCGAAGCGCATGTCGTGGATTCCCGCGTTCAGTATTCCCGAACTGGCGACTTCGTCAGAAGACAGGAACCCAAAGGCTCCTAGCCGGTACTGAATCGTGACACCAATAAATGTGTTCTTGTTGGTGTGGATTAGTGGCGACATGTCGAATGCACCGTTTGCCTGTCCGTAGCCTCCTCCATCTACACCTGTTAGAGCTGGAACTGAAGGCAAGCGAAGGAGGGATATGGTGTATACATACGAATGAAGACCATCACCGGTAGCTTTGCTTTATTGACCGGCGCCACGACGTTCACGAATAGGCAGTCTTCGGATCCAGAAGGGACTGGCCGTTGGGGACTTGGTCGGTAAGTTTCCGTCTTCATATTTGGTTGGGTTATACGTACTCGGGGGCCGGTCCAGACTGGGGACATTGAGGAGCATACTCGGTCGCCGGTATCACTTGGCTCCTATTCTGAGCTGGCCGTTGTGGTAGCTGCCATCTTAGTCTGCCTACTGGCGGAGCAGCATATCTGATCCTGTATGGAAGTCAACACAAGGAGTACAGTTCTGAGATACGTCGCACGTATTCTACCCTTTGTATATGTTGAGACCATATGTAGCATCGTAATATCCCTCGTACTGAGAATATCCAAGATCCACCACGGGCGACAGGGTAGGCAGAGTCGAGTACGGTTGTAATTGTGCGATAGGGACCGTGAATTTCCCCAGGAGCGTTGTTATAAGCCGGAACGAGACCATGGCGAAATATTACATCGAGGGGCTCGTAAGAGTGCTGAGTTCAGCGAATACTGGTGCAATGGGAACTCTCATATATTATAGATTACCACTCCTGTATAGATATGTTGCGCGAAGCGTAAGCGTCTACATTACGGGTACAAGTTTAGAATATAGACAGGCTACGTGACGATCTAGATTTGAGGACAAGGTAGGAAAGCCTCGCCCCATAGCTGTAAAAAGAACATCCCGTGCCCGAAGAGTCATAGGAGCCGTAAGTGTAGGACAGCCGGCGCCCCACGGCGCGTAAAGCAACCAAGTAAAACGGACAAACCGGGCGGGTCATAAATGTAAACTTGATAATCGTATAAATACGGGCCACGGTTTGACACAGCGGAGACCGGACATCTAAACCACTGAGACGATTCGCTGTATAAGTCTGCTCTCAGCCCCCGTATCCTCGTGGCGGCTTACTATGGAGCCTCGAGGAGGCGATCCGACATTAACCATTCCCCATGTCATAGAAGGTTATCGTCGTGTGACTGTAGCATGAAGATACAGAGTAATGTCATTCTGGCCATCGTTATTCCGTTAGGCGTGCCGCGGCCACAGACGGTCTGGCATATCCCGAACTACCGTGTTACCTTACCGGTGTAACAGCACAAACCCCGGGATCTTGGGACCACCAATTGTTAACTCTCGCTCCTTTACGGCTCTTCCACGATGAGAGAATAATACTCGCTCGGGACCTTACCGTATCCTTGGAAGTTATTTACGTACATGCTAGATCGACTGCAGTAGGTAGATGATCTCCGGTTTCCCAGTCACTGGGGGCGGCATTGAAAAGTGAAGTAGAGTTACAGTATCCTGTGATAGCCGTCTTACTTATCATCTAGGAAGTAGGTATCATATCGCCACCTAAGCCTTCGTTCATGACGCCGTGGCGCCCTGTAAGACAAATCTGTGTTACCGCCTATCACCGCGTGACCGATGCCCTTGGGTGAGATCGGGGTTGCCATTATTGGCTACGGCTTAGCGAACGCGGCGCGGTTCTCTAAGACAAGGGTCGGTCTAGCGAGCTGACTTGACAGCCTGCTGGACTACATGTCAGAAGAGCCTCGTCCAACTCAGGGGCGTGAGGTCTAGATCGTGATTGATGCCGTTCGGAAGGGGAAAGAAAAATTTGCTTAACCAATTATGTGGTCTTACCGCCCACAGCAACTCGACCCCGAAGGACTGCCCCACGAAGTTGGGGCCCTTCTCAGCCCGAAGCGAAGCGAGACAGCAGCACTCCTATTATCGACTTGTCCGCACTTGGGTGTGCTCCGCACGCCTGGTGCTATGAGTAGGGTTGCATGCGAGCGCGTAAGTTGATACCTACGCCGGTCTCGGCACGCCATCACCAGAGAGGTGTGTAGGGATACGAGCCGACGTCTCTGGCGGCAAAACGGGAATCCGTAGGCAGGTATAGGTACCTACATTTACGTAGGCCGATCGGGGCTCAGAACTCGCCTCGGTGCGACCGCCGGGGGCACGGATGTTCGTCCGGAGGGGGGGATGCAACACGCCTCCATAGACGCACAGGAGAGTAGCGAAACCGATGGAGATACCGTATCGCGTCGAGTAAAGCAGCAGCAATGTCGTGCGGGGGTTAGGCGTTGCACAACAGGATCGCAATATCACGGGGGAAGCTGAAGCGAAGATGCTAGGTACGTAAGGTAGGCGTGGATATCACCGTGCTCGAGCCTGGTTTCGCTAGGGAGAAGACGAATCGAGGAGGGGGCTAACCTCGCATCGAGTCCCCAGTGCCGAACCGCAGACACCAATTCCTCGCATAGCTGCTTGCACGCCTCGAACCGCAGAGCAACGGAAACTGGAGTGGAGCCCGTGAAGTGAAGAGATCGCCGCAGCTATGACCAGCCAAGCTATCAGCACCCCGGACTGCGCGCATCTGCTAGACAAGCATCCACGCCGAAAGGAAGATTAGTCCCTTAGATCCAGAGGCGTACAGAGGAGCAACCAAGATCCCAGCACCGTGGAACGCACGCTCCGGATAAGAATCATTCGGTAGGTAGGTATGTGTAGGTAGGTAGAGGCATGTGTATCATCGCCCCGACTACCATTGATTGCGGCATTCCATTACGCACCCCCATCGCCAAAAGTCGTGCCATGCCGTCTGCCCGTATCGGCATGTCCCGAGCCGTAGATTAGATAGGCGCGTCGCTGATCTCTCGTGCCGCTCTGATAAGCTCGCATTTCTCCATCTGTACGTGACGATCCTCCTGCCGGGGACCCCGCCTTCTCTGACCAGAGATATGGGAATACGGGAACGGGGAGGGGGGGAGGATAGTGGGGGGCAACTTATCGTGAGTGACCCCCAAAGCATCTGCCCTGCACCGCATCGGACAGAGGGAGGGGATGTTGCTCGTTATATACGAGGCGAAAACACGATGGCGTTCGAGACTCTCTCCTCTCGGATAGTGTTGAGCCGAATGGACGGGTTGATGCATTTCGGTCCCTTACCCGGGGCAAGGAACAGAACACGCGACGGGGAGAGGACGCACTTACAAAGCCTCAGATCGCTGGGCTACCCCGTAGTACTCAACCCACCCTTGGAGATACCGCGACGCCGACCCGTAAAAGCAAGTATTGCACCCCTGTCCTCTTCATGTGAAGTCCTTATCTACCTACCCACTGCGATGCTCGCCTGCCCCGCCGGGGTGACTCCACGGCTTTGGCACCCGATCATGCAGGTATACCTACCTACCTAGGTATATAATCGACGATGGTCGTCCCTCTCTCGTAGATGGTCGGTGTGGTGGCAGATGTTGGACAGAGCGTAGTTGGCCTTTTCTTCGCCGTTACCGAAAGCCCCGCACCGTAGCACATCACGCGTGGGACATGGCGCGAGTACCAGAGATCACGGCTCTGCCGGGGGAGACGGGTCCCGCACCGGAAATAACCAAGGAGTCGGAGAAGGGGACGGACGTGGAGGCGAGCGACAAGAGCAGCGTGGCGGCCGGCGACGTGCAAGAAGATCTAGGTTCGAACCCGGTCCCCTTTCCCTTCTTCCACCTACCATGGTATTATCGCAATATTTGTAGAAACACGCTCGGAGAGGACCGTTGTCTAATAATGCAACAGCTCCGCAGTACACCGACGAGCAGTACCTCAAGCTGAGGAGGAAGGCTGACAAATACCTGCTCCCGCTGATGTGGCTCTGCTACGGCATCCAGCAGACCGACAAGACGTCCATCGGGACGCAGGCCACTTTCGGCCTCGCAAAGGTATGTCCGACTCGAGGGCGGATGTGAACTCTCTCTGGCGCTTACCGCTAATAACGCGGGCTCCCCTCGCCGCCGTCGCAGGATACCGGGCTCGTAGGCCAGCAGTATTCGTGGCTGACGACCATCTTCTACATCACGTACATGATCTTCGAGTTCCCGTCCAACATCATCCTGCAGCGGTACCTGATGGGCCGCACGCTCTCGTGCTACATGATCTGCTGGGGCTTCGTTGTCCTGTCCATCGGCTTCGCGCAGAACTTCACCCACCTCATCACCCTGCGCGCGCTCCAGGGTCTGTTCGAGGTGAGCGAGCCCTTTCTCCTCCCTCCTCCGCTCGAATTCGAAAACGAGAGGCCTGCTCGTTAACCTCGTGACGTGACCGCTCACGTCGTATTAGTGCTGCATCTCGCCGGGCTTCATCCTCGTCGTTGGGAGCTGGTACACGACGCGCGAGCACGCCTCGCGCTCCCTCGTCTTCCAGAGCGCCAACGCCGGATTCGGCGTCATCGCGAACCTGATCCTCTACGGCATAGGGTCGCTGCAGTACTCGCGCGGCCCCGAGTTCCAGGCCTGGCGATACATGTCCTACGTGAGCATTCCTAGCCGCCCCAACCCCCACTCTCTCTTTTATATATACCCTTTCTCTCCCCCCTTTGCGGATCCCATCGCCGCGGTATGAAACAGCCCGGGTTATGCCTTTGCGGGTTGAACGGCTGACCCTGCCGTCTGGGCCTGCAGTTCCTCGGGAGCCTGACGATCATCACCGGCTGCCTGTGCCTCTTCCTGCTGGGCACGCCGTCCGAGGTGCGCTGGCTGTCGCCCGAGGAGAAGAAGATCGCGAACGCGCGCATCATGTCCAACAACACCGGGCACGATCGCACCGGAATCAAGAGGTGGAAGTGGGAGCAGGCGCGCGAATGCCTGGTCGACCCTTGCGTGAGTTATCTTTCCACCCCTCCGGAAGCGCTAGCAGTCTCTTCGAGGCTAAGGAGGAGCTGCGGTTGAAGGGGTGGTGAGGGGAGAGGAAAGCGGGTGCGAGAAGGGAGAGATCTTCGCGTGGAGAGCTGTTCTAGTAGGACGTGGACTGATGCTGTAGGAAATCCGCTGGGGACTCCGTAGTTCTGGTTTGCGGGCGTCAACGCGTTCCTCAGCTCCGTGCCCAACGGCGGGATCACCACCTTTGGCTCTATTATCAACACGCAATTCGGATTCAGTAAGTGCACCGAGAATGTGCGAATAGGCAGAAACACACCCCGAGACGCGGAATACTCATGAACCCCTTTTCTCTCTATACAGCCAACCTCCAGGTCATCCTCCTCGACATACCCCGCAACATCACGTCGGTGCTGTGGTTCGTCCTCATCGGTATCATAACGAGTAGGAGGAAGGATCTCCGCATGTGAGTCCGGCCCCCAAGTTGATATTCGCCTGCCCACCTACCGCGATGGCCTATGCATACGCGTAGGGTAGGTACCTTTGGCGTGCGCGCTGACATATGCGTCCTGTATAGGTACTTCATGATCGTGTCCGTGATCCCGCCGGTGGCGGGGTTCGTGATGATGGCAACGCTGCCGAACGAGCCGCGGTACAAGTGGACCAAGTGGGCAGGGTGAGGTTCTCTCCCTCTCTCTTTTCTTTTCTTTTTCGGAAAAAAAGAGAAAAAAAAAAGAAAAGGAACCCTTCTGACACGAAACCGGGCCTGTAGCTACTACATCACGGTGCCGTACGTCGTCGCGCTCTTCCTCGCCTGGACGCTGATCCCCTCGAACGTCGCCGGCCGCACAAAGCGCACGCTGACCTCGTCTTTCACCTTCGTCGGGTACTGCGTCGGTAACATGGTCGGGTCGCAGATCTTCGTCGCGAAGGACGCCGTACGTAGCAGAAATTCTCTACTACTCCTACTCCTACCCCTCCCCCCTCTTTACACTCAGTTTTTCACGCCCGAGTTACACCGCTGACGCCGCCTTGGCTATCACCTAGCCCCGCTACGTCCCGGGCACCGCCGGTTGCGCCGTGTGCTTTGCGCTGGAGCTGCTGCTGCTCATCGTCTGGCGGCTCGTGCTCGTGCTGCGGAACCGCCGGCGCGACAAGCACCTGCGCGAGCAGGGCATCACTGAGGAGGAGAGGATCGAGCGGGGAAAGCAGCTAGGCGAGCAGGACTGTACCGACTTTGAAAATCCTTACGTGAGTTTGAGCCGCCACCTCCCTTCCCTGGTCTTTTTTTTTTTTGGCGGGATCGAATTTTGGTCTAATGCTGATCCGCTGGCCGTAGTTCCGTTACACCATGTAAAAGTCCGCTCTAGTCGCCAGGCGGGGGGATAAGCCGCGTAGAAAAGGGGATTTTGTATGCTTGTGGGGAAACCTCTTTGGCCCTAATTCGTGGTTCTAGGGCTATCTTGTGATGAAAATGGCTTCGATGGGAGATTTCGTGTGGATCAAGGTTGATTACTATATCACTAGCCCTTGCGCCGACCCGGGGGACCCCCACCATAACCATGATGCCGTTCAGCAAAATAGCTTCGTACCTATTGCCAGCAGGGCGTGGAGATACGTGACCAACCATGGATTGGCGCATTACCCAGATTAGATAGCCTCTCAGATTCGTAACCTGAATCACGGGGCGGCAGAAACGGAGTTGCACTGGAAGATCTCGCCAAGGACGCTCTGTCTATCTCTCCGAAGACGACACTTGGGGGTCGTGTAGGATTGTAAGCCGTACCTCACGGGCCGAGTAACTAGATCGCGGATCCATCTCTTCGTATCAAACAAGAATTGAAAAGGGGCGGCGGAAGAGCTTCGTACGGGCAACGCACGCTGGGATGATGTGTTGTTGTGCCACCCTGCCCCTAGCGGAGAGAATAGGCAGAAAAGAAAATCACGCAACGAAAGAGGTAGGTATCTTGAGCCTCATCCAAAATTTCCCGGATCCGATCTCTGGTAAACGCCAAATCCTCCCCCCCCCCCATATATACACCCGCCTAGTTTTATCTTTCTGGTGTATCGTCTTCTATGCTAACTTAGACCGTGGGTGTATTAGTCTACCTATGATGAGTAGACGGCCACCCAGGCGACCTCCATCATGCTACCATAGCCATCCAAGGTAGACTGCGACAATGTTAGTTACTGGTGGCCGCTGTGGCGGAAACTCGTATAGAAAGTAAGGTTAAGTTGTAACTTACATCGTCAGGGTTACCCGGCCAGTTGCCGCCAACGGCGACATTGAGGATGATGTATCTATGAGGTAGAATTAGTGTCTGTCGGGGTTGTCACGTGTGCCCATCGAGGGTAATTCTTACAGAGGGCTGTGGGCCAGGGACGACCAGACAGGAGCATCGCCGATGTCAGCCCCGGTCATAGTAGCATAAGTGTTGCCGTCGAGCTGCCACGTCATCGACTGCGCACGCCAGTCCTCATTTGTGCGATCGATGGTGACGGCCCAGGTGTGGAACCCTTCGGCTGCCATGGGAGTGGTGTGAGGACGTCCGATGGGCTCGTTGCAAGGGCCTCCGAGGGGGGACCCGCAGTGAACGGTGCCGTACCCGGTCAAGATACCGTTGATCTGTTCCATGATGTCGATCTCTCCGCAGGTGGGCCACTCGGTGCCATGGCGCATCGCGTCACCGAGGGCCCAGAAGGCGGGCCACATTCCTCTCTTTCTATCCGTGGGGTTCGCACCCAATAAAATGTTTCCTTGAATCGACGTAACCTTGCCAGGCTCGGGCGTCCAAGAGCCCTTGGTCTCGATACGGCCGGAGGTCCAGAGACCAGCCGGGGATTTTCGCGGGACGAACTGGATGGTGCCGCCGCCGCTGATCTGGACATTCTGGTTTGAGGTGGTGTAAGTTTGGATTTCGTTGTTGGTGTTGATGGCATCCATGATGTTCCAGTTACCGCCGTTAGGGGAGGCGCCGGGGGGACCCTCGAAGCCATCGAAAAAGACGATGTTCATGCCGGGAATGTTCGGCGGAGTAATAGCCGCGGCAAGTGCCGGGACGGAAACAGCGAGGAGGCTCTGCTGGAATCGCATTTTGAAAAGAACTCGCAGTCGAAAATGACAGTAGACGATGAAAATGGATATATAAGTGTGAGAGGGTAATGACAGTAAGTGCCCGAAGAAAAAATAGACTCAAGAGTCTAAAGGGGAGAGAGCTAGCCCGGCCGAGATCGAAAAGAGAGTGAGAGCCTGTCTTGCAGGAAGCAGACGGATATATGTATAGTGTGAACGAAAGACGTAAAACTCAAATCTGATAGCTGAATGGCTATCGAGACGGAAGCAAGAAAAGAGTGTGGTATAGAAACTCGGCTAGCAAGACGCAAAAGAAGAGAGAGTGAGGGCACAATGGTCGGGAGCAAGAGGGCAAGGACCAGCGAGGGGGAAAGGAAGAAAGCTTCAAGATGACTGGTGCACCCCCGAGATATATATTAAACGTCGATAAGAAGACGCAGCCGTGCTAGAGTGCCAGCGCGGCCGAGGCTGCAGGGGGTCCTCGCCATGATGGGAGCGAGAGCCCGGATAGCTCGATGGATCCTAGCGGCACCGCCTTAAAAGTGGACGGCAAAGGGAAACGTGGACGCCCAAGCCCAAGCCAAGCCAGGCCGTCTTCTCTGTCTAGCGCGCTCTGCCACTCTCGCGGTGTATGGTGTATGGGCATGCCCCTGGAAGAAGAAGGCTCTTGGCGGGACATCGGACAAAAAAAAGAGAGCCAAAGAAGCGGGAGCATAAACACGCCGCAGGGGTGGAGATTAATTGCGGCAGATAGGGGTTTGGGCTCCAGGAACGTCGACAATGCTGTTCGATAGCTTATCAGGTATATATGATACGTGGTAGAGCATTGGTGGGTGGCGCCCCTGAGTTACATCGGGCGCGTGTTCCTGAATTTCGATGCTTGACACCAGGCAGAGTCAGCTCCCTGGATCGTGAGTGGCTAAGACGGAAGCGAACCTGGGATGCCTCTGAAAAAAAAAAACACCCTGCCCAAAAATACAGACGCTCCGGGTTAGCGTAGGCAGTGGGACAGGCCCGTATGGTAAGTATAATAATAGAACGAACGGAGCGCCGGTAGTAGCGATATCGACATGTCTCTATCCCGGATCTCTTCTCCACCCCGTCCCACCTTCGTCTTTCGACCGTAGGAGGCCCAGCGACAACGATGCCGTAGCTACACTCGACCGGCTTCTAACACGAGAGCGTGGGCAAGGATACCCATCTCAGGAATGCGTTGGCAAGGAGAGGAGCGGCGTGCGTGTGATATGATTAACATCAGCTTACGCACATGTGCAGAGCACACGGGCTGCAGATGCAGAGCATATAATAGGTAGGTAGTAGACGTAGTACCTAGACGGGCGAGCTTCGTCGAGGCGTCGTCGTTCTACTCGCTACGGGGACGTCTGCGCCTGAGGACGTCGGTGTGATGTTGCTTGCAGGTTGCAGAAGGGGGGGGGGATTGCACGTAGTGTAAGCACAGAGTAGAGGTCAGGTAGGCGGAGGGAGGGCATCGTGAAGCGGGAGGGGTGAGGAGGAGAGGAGAGCGGAAGAAAAAATGGAGGGCCGGCGGCTTTGGCGGTGGGGTGGTGGCAGTATCGTGCCGTGCCTACTCTACGCTTCCTCCTATCCCGCCCAACTGTACCTGCCTCCCTGTGAGGAGGCAGATGGGAGGGACTACGGGGGGAGGGAGAAGGTATACAAATGCACCTATCCGTAGGTATATTGTATTGCGATGAGCTGGCTCCTTGCACCGCATTCCACCCGCCATCGCAACGCAGCGCCACGCAACGCCACGCAACGCAACGTATAGTACCTAAGGTACCTCCCTGTAGGTACTTATAAACACCTCAGACGGGGTACATGCAATGCAGTTAAAAGGCACCTACCTAGGTACCTAACCTACCTAACCTATACCTGCCTAGGTACCAGAGGTACCTACCCATATAGGTAGTATTGGCAGGCGTGCAGTGAAGGCGGCGTCGACGGCAGCAAGTACCTCATCATAGAACAGGTAGGTGGTACGCACCAACAAGTGCCGGGTCTCGTTTTACATGCACCTAAAGAGCATAGCGGGGGACTCGGCGGGCATCGTGAAACGGTAGCGAGCCAGCCGAAAATGTGCCCACCCTGTAGTGCCATCCCCACCCATGCGATCTCGAACTCAGCTCCCTTCGTCTTTTCCCTCTCTCTGTCCCCATCATCTCTCTTTGCCTCTTGGCCCCGTGCGATGGCACGACATGCGTTCGCCTCTCCCAACCAATGCACACAGACCTCCACGCCTAACATCGCAGCGCCAGATGGGGGCTAGGGGAGGGAGCAGACGCCAGCAGTTCTCCCGCTCTTCATCGGGCGCGTGCCGAGTCCCGAATCCGGTGGCCAGGAACCTATCGATGCCGGGCACGCGCTCCCGCATCGTACAGAACCAAGGTGTAGAAGCCCTGTCGTTTACCGCGCGCTCGTCGCAGCACCTCGTCGCCCCCTCGGCGCGCTTGTTGCCGAGTAAACGGAAATACTGAGCACCTGCCTGAGCAATACCCCCTGGGATAGCCTAAGTTGGGTATTTATGGGCTCTGTGGTAGTCTTGGGCTCGGTCTGTCGCAGACCAGAAAGCGCCGGCGCTCCCGACCCAGCCTTGGGCGTACCTCCAGTCTATTACCCGAATTTCATACACGTATGAGTATATGTATGTCTTTCGTTTTCATCTTATTCCCGACGTTACCGTCGGCGGGAGAGATCATTTCTGCACGGTGGATGAGTCGCAGGCGGGCAAATGATCTGATCGGCGATGATGCGCGGCTTGGAGAGGAGAATCCTCCGTCGACCCAAGTTGTGGACAACGCATCCGCCTTGCTCGTTGCGGCTAGATTGGCCTGCTCCCAGACGGCGCGAGATCGCTCGCTCGCCCCAGTGCCGGCCTGCGGTGCGCGCCATTCGCACCATACGCGGAACACAAGACTATGCAAGGTCCATGACAACTAGAGGCCCTTTCCCGTCCAATCCGATCCTTCGGGTCCGTTAGATCAGGGGTCGTTGGTCTCTTGGCCCCGAGCCGAACCAACCGACGACAACGAGCACAGGTGGTGCATTCAGCACCCGGCCTGACACGACAGCCCCCAAGCAGGCACGGGCAGAAAGCAAAAGAAGGTGGGCGGAAGAAACGTTGAGTGGCATTCAGGCTCTCCGAACTGAGGGCAAGACAGTTCTTTTTTTTTTCCTCGTTTGCCATCTCCTCTCATGAGCTCCTCGCTCTCCCTAGCATGTGACGCAGGCAGATCGATATATGCAAAGGACCAGTCGTTTGTCAGGGGGGCATGTTTCTTCTTTTCCTTTTGCCGGAGACAGGTCATTTATATGAGTAAGAATTCATTGGGACCACAGGGGTCGTTTCCTGTTTCACCTCACTTTGCCCTGCCGGCTCAGCTTCCTAAACGGGTCGCGATTCTACCTATGTAGTCGGCTAATCAGCAGAAGAGGGTGCTGCAACCAACACGCTTCTAGAATCCTACGACGACTGGTCCGTTCACCCCGCCGTTGGTCGGGGAGACGCTCGGTCAAACAAGAACTCTTCCTGTCTGCTCATGATTATTAGTTCGACTGACTAGTCTGTCGGAGGGAATTCCCCCTTATCACTACGCAGTAGCAGTGATGGTGGTGGTAGTGATGGTGGTGGTAGTGGTGATAGTAGTAGTGGTGGTGGGCCACGCCGCGATGCGTCCCTATGAAACCCCGCTCTGCTCTCCCCCGTTGTGTGAATCTGCATGAGAGATATATATATATGGACGGCTGTGCTGTGCGACGAGGCATGTCTTCAAAAGTATCCGATAGGACGGACGGCACAAAGGGGGCACATATCGCAATCAGTCAGTCAGCGGACGCTTCCTTCGAGGCCGTCAATACCCCTGAAAGCTGACCCCGGGCCACTCGGGCGATAACACCTCTCCACTGCCCCTCTGAATAGAATCGAGACGATCCCTAGGACCATCCGCAAGCCCAACCTATTCTGCTCTAACGGGCTATCCAAGGATTTCCCGCGCGTGGCTGGATATCTTAGACATAACCTGCATACTGCACACATACCTATGTATATATCCAACGCAGATCTGCCATGCACCTCTCGCCCCGCAGCGCCTATCCCAACGTCGCGGATCGGGTCCCGCCGTCGAACAACGAGGGAAAAGATCGCAAGATCTGCGTTCCTCAACTTGCTGCGCAGATACTTCGGGTACTTCCACAGGACCAAACATCCCGGAGGCCGCCCTCGATTCAGTTGGCGGGAATTTCCTCCCGACAACATTCCCGGCCGAGGTCCGGGCCACTCTCACACGTTACTATCCTGTGCTTATCCCTCACCGGGCACTTCGACCTTGGCATCCGTGATGACCCCGTAGCCCTGCTTATTTAGCTATGCAATGCATGTGTTGGTCGCACATTAGTACCGTTGTTAGTTACAATCAGAACAGGATGTGTCGACACTTGTCTCCCGCGCGAACACGAAAACCTAGGTAACAACTGAGATAGGTGGCCAGGCACATGAAAATAACGCGTAATAATTATAAAGAAAGAGCCCGTACCGCTCCGCGGATGGGTTACCCGACGTCGATATTCGACCGTGCACTCTCCGTCGGAAAACAGATTGAGGAATTACTTTTCCCTAACGCCGCTAAATCACAATGCCGTGCACTACACGAAATGTTGTGTGGGAAGAAACATACTACGTAGTATTAGCCAGCGCACATGTTGTATTCTCCCGACCAAGGTGTAACTTGCTCATCGTCGACTCGTCTAGAACTATATCAAGGGACGGGTTGTGACTCCGTGAAGCTCTAATAGCAATTACCCGCGGCACAAGCTACTAATCAATCTGGACGTGTCTCTATTAACGATGCCCAACAGCACCCATGGCCTTGGTATTGAGGAGCATATGACCGAACTATCTAGCGAGTTGGTCGAAGGCGTGATTGTAGTTCTATGCAACTTGGTGCCGGAATTGCACACCGGTAGAGCGTTATAACCCGCCCACGAGAACGTGTCAGGTTCCAACCGTTGCTTAACCGCAAAAGAAGCTTAGTAGAAAGAAACTTGTTGCGTAAGAATGTAACACACGCCTACATTCCATGACCTTGTAGTTATAAGCGTAAACGGGTGAATAAGATTTCCTACGTAATAAAACTATGCTACTAGATATAAACTTCTATCAGAGGGAGCAACCGCCGAGACGCCTTAAGGTGTTGGTGGTAGGAGGACCTCATCAAGTTCGATGTTACACCCCAGCGTCCGCCCGAGCAGGATACCAATATCACTCTCCGTCCCCCCCGCTCCCCGATATTAGCTCAACTCGTACCTGGCAGAGACCGGCACGGCCCGACTTCATAAGGAAGTGCTCGGACCCGCGAGGTCCGGGGTTCCCAGGATAAGTTTCGGAATCGGCCGTCGAGGCCCGCAGGAAGGACGCCTGCACGACGTACTCCGGAACCTCGAACGACGCCGTCTGATATGCAAGACGAGAACAAGCGGTGATTCGCATAAAAGCCAGCCCCAATTTTCTCGAACCGTTCTCGGGACATCCGGTGGCGGATCGTGATTAGCGAAGAAGCCGGTGTCGAGCTCCGAAACGAGTTCGGTCCGATGCTCTCCGCAAAGGGTGCCCGGCAGCCTAGCATCCTTGATGTGTACTGCTAGCGAAGCTCGTTAATATGGCGCTGGTATTTGGCGGGCGAAGTCGAGAGGCGCCTTTCCGAGCGTTTCTTCTACCTGATGCTCTGGCGTCCTGCCACGGTGGGATGGATCGTGTCTATCTGCTCCTATTATATGTTGCGGTCTCCAAGCGTGTCAAGGTATTACTGGATTCTTCTCCGACAACCGAAGAATCATACTACGAAAGCTCGTCGTCGAGAGTATCTCCGTCTGGTCGCTCAAGAGCCAAGACCTCTCCACGCCGTAGCCACCGCATATTTCACATTGCACTGTTGTGTTAATGAGGAAGTGTTAACATAGTGAGGAGTACATGTGAGCTCGGAGGCAAACCGGCTTCACGCCTTGATGCTGTGAGGAGGCTGTTGATAATACTGCTGGCACTCTCCGGCGGCTGCCCGTAAGCAAGTTTAATAAATACCCAAGAGATAGGCAGGTAGATCTAATAGCCGCCGAATCCCTAGGCACGATGGGAGTAAACGTAGCGGTTGGCGCGTCAATCAAAAAGGTGGTCAAACTCCAGGAAGCAGGGCGGCATTCCCGAGCCCCCTCAGGCGTGCGTCTCGGCTGTCAGCTTACCTACATCTGGGCGAGGTGCTGATGCGTCCAAGGGCAGGCGATGTTTAGGGTATTACACGATACTACTGGCACTGTGACGGGGTATTTATCATACGTAATAGCGGGCCGAAACGCTGGGATAATCAGGCGACGCCATACTGGGGAGTGCCAGTCCGCTAAGTGGTACCTCGTGCACAGTGCGTAAAGAATCAGAGGAAGCACTGCTAGATAGTCGTTCTCCTATACCTATAGTACAACGCTCTCTCAAATCTATAGAATTGATATCTAACTTCATTTGAGGGATTTATTTCTATGCTGGCACGAAACCTGCGAGATAAGAATGGTACGGCTTTTGAGGCTGTGACTTGTGTATTCGGTATTACCGCCAGACTACTCTGAGAGCATGCTTAGGAGGGTCGAAGGGAAGCAGGCTCTGGCCTCGTCGAGTCTCAGAACGGAATGGATCAGAGGAGACGAGAGAAGCGGCCTTTTCCGATTTTCTCTTTCGCATCGTAATGCTGTGCTTACGGTGGCATTGCGCTGACGCTGTAGCCTGCCCCGGCACCATGCCAGCTGGTTCGACAGTTTTCTTGGCTCTGTATACCTACTGCGTTCCTAGTTCTTGGAGCTGAAGTCCTACGCGATCTGGAAATCTGGAAAGCAACGACAATCCTAGTATTAATACAGAAGCGGGGGACGGTTAAGAATTCGGTGAGATTCAGTCAGCAAGTCTCTATAAATAGATCATAAACGTCTACATATACCTGTATAGATATATATATGTGTGCGTGGTATCGTGAGATGCCCGTCAATCGATCCAACCGTGCCCAACTATTTGCTCACTTTGCCAGCCGAAACCACGGAAAATCATGCCGACCGCATCTTCCTCGTCGGCTTCGGAGGCGGCCCCCCCGAACCCGGACGTCAGGGGACGTCTCGCCACGGGACTGCGCCGCGCGAAGGAAAGGAAGACACCACAGGAAACGATTGATGAGTTCTGGGACAAGTTCACCACCAAGACCCCGGGCAAAGGTATTCCCGCTTTGCTCCCTTCAGCACACGTCTGGCTAGGCTTCGCTAACGTACCGTCGCCAGCGACTACCATCATACCGCACAATGAATACGCCGACAAGGTCGCCAGGCGCTCGAAGAAGGCCATTGACACGAACACGCAGACCTCGTACGATGAGGCTGCTGCTGTCTGCAAGGCCAAGGTCGCCAAGATCGTGAAGGAGTGCCGTCGCGTGAATCAGAAGTACCGGGACCCGCACTTCGACCTCGAACTCGACTTGAAATGGGGCCGCCGGGATACCCTCAAGTCTCTGTCTAACGTCAAGGACAAGGTCGAGTCCCAATTCAACCCCAAGAGCGTCAAACGCGTTGTCGACATCTTCGACGACCCCAAGTTCTACATCGAGGGCCCCTCCTCGAACGACGTCCGACAGGGCCGCGACGGCGACTGTTGGTTTCTGGCCGCCCTGTGCACCCTCAGCAACAAGCCGAGCCTGATCGAGCGGCTGTGCGTGGCCCGCGACGAGCAGGTCGGCGTCTACGGCTTCGTCTTCCACCGCGACGGGGAGTGGATCTCCGAGATCATCGACGACAAACTGTTCCTGACCAAGCCCGACTTCGACGAGAGCTTCCTCGAGCGCATGCTGTGGGAGGACCGCGAGAGGATCAACTCCGAGGAGCAGTATCGGAAGGTGTACCAGAGCGGGTCCGGGTCCCTGTACTTCGCGCAATGCGAGCACGAGAACGAGACTTGGCTGCCCCTGCTCGAGAAGGCCTACGCCAAGGCCCACGGCGACTACGCGTCTATCGAGGGCGGCTTCACCGGAGAGGGTATAGAGGATCTCACCGGCGGCGTCACCTCGGAGCTCTACACGGCTGATATCCTGGACAAGGAGTACTTCTGGAAGGAGGAGCTCATGAAGGTGAACGACGAATTCCTCTTCGGATGCTCGACCGGAGTGTGGGGGACGGGCTGGGGCGAGCGCAAGGGCATCATCGAGCTCCACGCGTATTCGATCATGAGGGCTGTCGAGATCGACGGCCAACGGCTTGTCCTCCTGAAGAATCCCTGGGGCAAAGGAGAATGGACGGGCCCCTGGAGTGACGGTTCCAGGGAGTGGACAGCCGAGTGGCTGCTCAAGCTCGACCATCGCTTCGGAGACGACGGCAACTTTTGGATCTCGTACGACGACCTGCTGCGCAAGTATCAGGACTTTGAACGGACCCGACTCTTCGGGCCTGAGTGGAAAGTCACGTCCCTCTGGACCACCTTGTCTGTCCCCTGGACGCTCGACTACCACGATACGTACTTCGCCTTCACTCTCAACAAGGCGGGACCCGTCGTCATCGTACTATCTCAGCTCGACGAAAGGTATTATTGTGGTCTCGAGGGCCAGTACCAATTCCAGGTAAAATTCCGGCTGCATAAGAACGGCCAAGAAGACTACGTAGTCCGCAGCATCGGCGCCTATGGCCAGAACCGCTCCGTGAATGTCGAGCTCGAGCTGGAGAAGGGCGAATATACAGTCCTGTTGAAGATCGACGCAACCCGCGATATGAACAAACTGCCGGTGGAGGAAGTGGTCCGCAACAACGCACGGACTCGCAGAGACAAGCTCGTCGCCATCGGCATGTCTTACGACCTGGCCCACAGCAAGGGGCGGGTCAGCGAGACGCCCGAGGAGAAACAGTCCCGGGAGAATGCGGCCAAGCGCAAGAAGGAAAAAGAGCTCCAGAAGCTCAAGAAGGAGATCATGGATTCCCGGCGTCGCGACCACTATCTCCGCGCCAAGCAGCACAAGAAGAGCCAAGAGAAGAAAGCGAAAGCACGAGCCAAGAAGGCCGAGAAGGCCAGACTTGCGGCCGCTAGAAAGAAGAAATCGGCTCCCAAAGAAGACGGCCCAGAGGCGAAGAAGAACGAGCCCAAGCAGGAGCCGTCGCCAGATCCGGCCGTACAATCGAGCGACCTGAAACAGGAACCGGTGTCCGACTCGAGCACAGATCCGAGCGTCAAGACTCCTCCTACGGAGCCCGATGACGCCGTTGCGGAGCCGCCAGCGAAGCCGGAGGAAAAGCCAGCGGTGCCCTCCGCCGAAGGTCCCGCTCCCACTAGTTCGGGAGACTCCTCCGCCGACGGCGCAGCGAAGAAGGACGCGCAGGATGAGACGGCGAAGGAGGGCGGGGAGAGCGCGGTCAAAGCGGAGGACGCAGAGGTCAAGGTGGAAGAGGGAGCGGTGACGGCGGGGACAGCCGGGGGAGAAAAAGAGGGGGCGAAAGAAGCCGAAGAGAAGGCGGGAGAGGAGCAGAAAGAAGGAGAAGCAGAAGCAGGCGCAGAGGCGGAGGACGCGGACGGCGACTCCGCGGATGAAAGCGACCTCTCATCGGTGTCTGAGATCAGCGACGCGGCGCTGGAGATCGAGTTCGAGGCGCGGGCGCAGATAGCGGGGGAGTCGCTGGCGGCGGCGGCGGCGGCGGCGGCGGTGCCGCCTGCGCCGCTGGGGGACGCGGAGTACGACGACGACGACGACGACGAGTTCGCGAGCGACCCCTGGAACGCGGTGCTGACGGTGGGCCTGCGTATCTACCACAAGGTGGCGCCGGAGGACCGCGACGCCGAGGTCGTGACGCTGCGCGTGGTGCGGCCGGACCTGTACGCGGAGAAGGAGGAAGGGGACGGCGAGGGCGCGAAGGGCGGGGGCGCCGAGGGCGGCGCGCAGCCCGGCGCCGAGGAGCCGCCGCCCAAGAGCTCCAAGGGCCTCGACGTCGACGATAGCGCCAAGGACGCCACGCTCGAGGGTGACTCCGAGCAGCGCGAGAAGAGCATCCTGTCGCAGGGCGCGCCGCCCGAGAAGTAGCGAGATGCGCTGGGGAGTGCCTTGTGGGCTGCGCGAGCGGTAGTTTAGCAAGGTTGGGGGGGGGGGGGGGGGGGAGTTGCACATTGGATTCGTACCAAGGGCGATACAGAGCGGAACGGAGTAGCATAGGGGCAGATTGAGACGCGCACGGCGAAGCAAAGCATAGCTTTCCCTCCATTTCACTTATTCACGTAGAGTATGGCCCCTGCACACGGGAAGCTCCCATGTAAGCCGGCGTTTGCCCCGTCCGCAGTGATAACAACCGCCGGAATGCCTGCAACCTGACGAAGGACCCCTTAGCCACCTGGGGGGCTCAACGGAAGTACCAGAAAGTTCGTATCTAATAGGGGGTATCATGCGTTCTACATGGTCACACCGCGAAACAGCTAACCTCCCAAACGCCATAACGGTCTCGAAACCATCACTCCCATCTCTCAGAAGCTATCCAGCAACCTCTCGACCTTGCCGCGCTCCGCAGCCTCGACGTCCTGCACAGTCGCCTCCGCGCCGGGCTCCGGCTCCGGCAGCTGCGCGACGCGCGCGCTGACGCGCACCAGCAGCATGCGCATGCGCTCGAGCTCGCGCTCGACGTCGCCGTCGCGCGTGACGAGGTTCGGCTGGACGGCGCCGCCGGCGTCGGCGTCGGCGGCGGGGGCGAAGGGCGCCAGCAGGTCGCGCATGCGGTGCAGGCGCGCGAGGCGGTCGCAGGCCGCGGCGCGGCGCGCCGCGAGGGCCGTCAGCGACGCCGACAGCTCTGCGAACCGGGCCGCCTCGGCGGGGCGCGCGTCGGCCTGCGCCGGCGAGTGCAGGTCCCACGACGCCGGCAGCGAGGAGATGATGGCGTCGGAGGCTGGAAGATGTCCGCGAGAGGGATGGGTTAGTTACGAAGCCTCCACCGACGGGCGCAGGTGTCGGTGTCGGTGTCGGTGCGGAAGAGAATGTAGGCGTAGATGTATGTGGCTGGGGAGGGAGGACGGTGGTCAGGACGTACCGAAATCCGCGTTTAGCCGCAAGAAGCCTGCGACGCCGTCGTCTCTTATCCTCACCCTTGTTCGCCTTCTGCCCGTCGCCTCCCCCTCTCCGGCCCCTTCCCCTCCCACCTCGCCCTCTTCCTCCTCCCCGCTGTCGCCGCCCCGATCGTCGTCGTCCCCCCGCACCGCCCGCTCGGCGGCCTCGTGGTACAGCATCTCGATCTGCTCGGCGACGTGGCGCGAGGCCTGGGGCGCGTAGGCGCGGCGCGCGTGCTGCAGCAGCACGTGGTTCGCGCGGTACAGGGCCTCGTCGACGGCCCTCTCGGGCAGCGCTTGCACGCTGCCGCCATCGCTAGCCCGCAGGCGCTCGTTCGCGGCCCGCCACGTCGCGCTCGGCGCTAGGGCCTGCGACAGCTGCAGGGTCTGGGCCGTTAGGAAGGAGGACTTATGCGCAAGGATCGTGGGTGGCGCCATCTCCGCTCCCTCGTCTTGTCGATCCGCGCGTTGGCCGCGGCTTCGTGGAGTGTCGGCCGCGTGAGCGCGTGATCGAGATCCTCGGGTTCTGGAAAACGACTGCAATTATCCCCTGGGTCTACACCACTGGTGCCATTGTAGAACAGGCGAGAGAGGCCAGTTAGCGAATTTGCTCGTTGCGGTGCGTATATGAAGGGGAAGGCTGGTGGAGTGTAATGTAGGCGCAACAAGAACGAGTTTACGCGTTCACGCGTCTCCTTCTATGCCATCTCACGCAACTGATACTTATATTTGCATGTATCACTATGTACTTAAGCCATGTATGTGTTTATACCTATGTATCGCACTATTGAGTTCATTCCCCGCACCGTAAAGATGGTGGGGTTAGAGAAAGGGGTATCGATAGAAGAGCGGAGCGCATCTTTGGCATGCCCCTGAGCCCCTGAATGCGGTAAGCATCTTAGATACGGCCTTGATAAGAATGGAGGATTCTATTCTAAACCTCGCCTCTTCATACTCGTTGCTCTTCCCCCTTTCCGCAAACAAACTACCTCCTGTATTCTCTGCCTCATGATACACGCGGCAGACACGTAACTCGTACCTAACTATACCTACATTCATTACCTACCTACAGCCCAGACCACCAATATGTCTCCGGCACCGTGAACAACCCCACGAGGGCCTTGCCCGCCTTCGGGTCGCTGCTGTTGCTGACGATAACCCCGTACTCGCCCGCCTCCGCACGCCACTGGTCGCGCGTCTCGTCCCAGTAGCTGGCTGCGTACTTGGTCGCTACCTTGATGGTCACCGTCTTGGCCTCGCCCGGCGCTAGCTCCACCTTAGCGAACCCCTTGAGCTCCTTGACCGGCCGGTTGACCTCGGCCTTCTTCTTGGGCGCCACGTAAACCTGTGCCACCTCGGCGCCTTTCACGCTGCCCGTATTTGTAACTGCCACCGACACTGTCAGCTCTCCGTCTTGGTCGGCGACGGAGAGGTCCGAGAAGGCGAAGGTCGTGTAGCTCAAGCCGTGTCCGAACGGGAACAGGACGTTGCGGTCGGCATATTCGTAGTAGCGGTAGCCGATGTAGACATCCTCTCCGTATAGAACGCGGCCGCCCTCGGTGTGGTAGTTGAGGTATGCCGGGTTGTCCTGGACGCGGACCGGGAAACTCAGGCTGAGTTTTCCCGAGGGATTCACGTCGCCGAAGAGGATATCCGCGATCGTATTTCCCGTCTCGTTGCCGCCGTACCAGGCCTGGACGACCGCATTCACGTCATGGATCCAGGGCATTTCTACCGGAGTACCCGACTGAATCACTACCGCCGTGGCAGGGTTCGCCTTAGCGACGGCGGCGATCAGGTCGTCTAATCCAGGAGGAAGCTTCATATCAGTGCGGTCGTTTCCTTCGGTTTCCCATTCGGCGTTAAGACCGGCGCACAGGATTACCTGATCGGCGTCTCGAGCCAGCTCGACCGCGCGGGCGATTTCTGCCTTGGGGTTGATGACCTTGCATCCGCCTATCCTCAGCGCACCGCCGTGGAGCACCACGGCGTCGCCCCCGAGCTTCGATGTCGGGCTCGATCCGAAAGTGACTAAAAAGTTGTATGTCTGCCCTTTCTTCAGCTGATAGAAGCCCTTTTCTTCGGCTGTGGCGCTACCAAAAAATGCATCGCCATTTCTCTGTTTGGTGGAATTGTCGATGATGAGTTCATCATTTATATAGAAATTGGCTGTCCCGGACACGGTGAGGCCGAATTCCCACTTTACGTCCTCGTCGGCGACCAGCGAACCTTCGAGTGTCGCATACCACAGGGGACTTTTCAGGTGAGGGTTCTCATAATCAACCAACATCATTTCCGTCTTGAAAACCTCTATCTCGTCGACCTTCTGCCTGTTTGAGACCTCGGGGCCCTCGGTGTAGACTTTCATGGTCATTCCCGGCACTCCTTTGGCCGACGTCGTCGAATAGCCGAGGAGGGGGAGCATCTTGTGCGAATATTGGCCGATCGTATAACTTGGTGGGGAGGATAACTTGCTACTGACACCGTCGAAGGGAGTTATGGCATAGTAGGCCGCCAAGGAGGCAGATCCTCCACCGTGGTAGGTGGCAACCTTGGCGTTCGGTCCGATGACGACGGTCTGCGAAGGACAAATAGCAGCCGTCAGCGCGAGTGATATCCACAGATGAGTGTCGATCATAAACTTTACCTTCTTGTCCTTCTTGAGGGGCAGGACGCTCTTCTCGTTCTTGAGCAGCACGATTCCCTCGTTGCCTAACCGTCGGAGAAGCTCGGCTGTCTCGGGGGTATCCGCCGTGCCCTCGGGGGCATTTTCTTTTACACCGCTGGCAGCGCATTTCTTCACAAATTCTAACACCGCCCTGACCCGCTGGTCCAAGATGTGCGTGCGAACCTTGTCGGTCGCGACGTGGAACTTGAGCGCCTCACCCCTATACCGTGGCGGGCCAGGCATTTCAAGGTCGAGACCGGCTAGGGCAGCCTCTTTAGTGCTGTAGGTGCCATACCAATCGCTCATGACGAGTCCATTCCAGGCCCATTCCCCTCGCAATATCTCATCGAGGAGCTTGGGGTTCTCGCTGCAGTACGTGCCGTTGACGCCGTTGTAAGCTGTCATGAATGATCCGGGGTTAGAATCGCGCACTGCCAGCTGAAACGGCAGAGCGTATATCTCGCGCAACGCCCGCTCGGTGATGATGGCTTGGACGGCGTTGCGCTTGTGTTCGTGATCGTTGCAGACGAAATGCTTGATAGTAGCTTGGACACCAGTCGACTGGATGCCTCTCACCAGTGCGGCAGCGCCCAGTCCAGCCAGGAACGGATCTTCGCCGAGCGATTCGAACCCCCGGCCGCCAAGAGGACTTCTCTGCATATTTATGGTAGGGCCCAAGATCGCGTGAGCTCCCTTGACCTTGGCCTCCTCTCCCATTTTTCTTCCCGCCTCCTCGAGAAGCTCCTGGTTGAAAGTAGCACCCAACGCCGTTCCACACGGGAAGCAAGCCGCCTTGACGCCTTGGAAGAATCGAGTGCCGCGAACGCCATTGGGCCCGTCGGTGAGGCGTAGCGAAGGAATACCGTGCTGGGGGAGGCCCTTTGTGTGCCAGAAGTCAATGCCCGCGAGGAGGTCGACCTTTTCGCTCATCGACAGTTTCTTGAGCACCTCTTCCACGTTAATGTCGGCCATCGTTACTGACGGTGGGACGAGCCAAGCTGGAATAATATCTAAGACGGAAAAGAGGGAACTGTGATGGCTACTCTTATTTGTGCACCCAGAGGGACATGGACAAAAGAAAGATGGGGGGAAACAGATACGAGGCAGAGAGAGGGGAAGTAGGCGAGAAGAAGCTTGTCCGTCGACCCGGGGGAAGACTGCTTCCTTTAATATTGTACGGGCCCCGGGCCCCTTCCGGGCGCTTTTCTTGGCACCCCCCCCCCCCCCCCCCCCGGCGCGGCTGCTCGCGCTCGGCCAACGTCACTGCAAATAGCTGGGAGTAGATGCGGCTGTTTCGAGCATCACCTCCGGGCCAACTTGCGCTACGTAGGATTCTTGGTGCGCAGGAGTCGTACGCTTGGCTGGGAACCCGTGGGGTCGCATAAATTCGGCTCAGCTATGCCGGCCCCCCCCCCCATCCTCCGTGACCCTCCATAATGTACCTGCATAATACCTACCTACCTATAACCGCATCCACGAGCTACCCAAGTACGTAGGTAGGTGTGTTAAGGACGCGGAGGAAATGCCCGGACCGTGAACGTTGCGACCCTTGGCCACCGGGCTGCAACCGGAGGGAAGCCAGCAGGGAGACCGTGCCAGCACTCGTTTCGATGGAGTTAGATCTGCGCCGGGCGCCGGGCCGGTAGCCCGGGGTCGTCGCCGTCTTCCGAGGATCTGCCAGTAGCGTTGGCGATAGCGCTGCCGACGTTTCCCCAAGCCAACCACGGCACGCGTCGATAGATGAATTTCCCTGCAATATCGTCCCAGCCGGCGATCCTTTCGCCTCAGTTCCCTGGCAGGCTCGTGTAACTACAAAGTCGACGTTGGGAACACGAGGGCGACTAATCAGGAAGAACCGAACTTCTGCCGCCTTTATGGGCAGATGGCGGTGGAATGCCTCGGATGGTCGATACCCTGATCCCTATACCCTCACTCTGCAGTAGCCTATCGGGACGCAACCGACGTCCGAAGAACTCCCGCCGCCCCGGCTGGCATACCAGATACGGCACACCGAGACAATTCGAGGCTGGTAAACGTACGGACCAGGTTGAAGGGGAGGGGGGCACTCGTCCGTTCGCTCGAGAATGAGGTACCTCGTGGATATGATGCGTGGGCTTTCCTTGGTCGGATTTGAAGATCTCGGGACCTGATTAGCACTGGTCTGTGACGCAAGATGAGCCGAGCTGTAACACCTTTATCTATTAAATAATAGCGAGGTCCGATATTGCTTGGGTATAAATACTTAGGTATGCCGACACTCGTAGATCACTAACGTCGCACCCTCTACTTTGGCGCTGCGTAGAGGCGGGAATAATGTATGTCGTTCCTGTCTCCCACCTGCACTGTCATCTGAAACCTTTTACGGGAACATGAAAACGCCCACCACACTTGCCATTCCGAGAAGTCGTGGAGGCTGACAGGGCGTCCTGCACGACCACTCGGCGGGCGGTCCCTCTCACAGCTCAGCAGAATACCGGGCATCGTTAGATTCAACTGTTCACCGCACTGGCTGTTAGATGGGACAGAGGACAACCAGAATCTATCAGCCGCTGCTTCGTGATCTGCTCTTGTGCTTACTCGAGATGTTGAAATGTCTACCCCTTTGGGGGCATCGAATCTCTGGTTTCACCACATCGCGACACAACACTTCTCGGCTCGGCCCGCTTCGGCGAATATGTGTACCATAAATGGCACCACCATGCTTCCCATATTTCGGTTCATAATCTACGTACGAAAAAAGAGGCACTCAGGTCTGTGCTTAGGTGGTGAACTCGATCAGCGGTAGCTAAGGGATCGGCGAAAACTGCGAGTCGAAGATCCTTCTTCCCCGCATTGCATTGCCGCCCGCTGCTGGTAACGGAGACTGAGGACAGGCGAACAGGATAGCTGAGGATGCACATACCTGGCGTGTTCTTGGCTTCTAATACACGGGTTCAGTACCTGTCCACCTCGGTTCGGTATGTGCTGACCCCATGCTTAGTCATGAGGGGTCCCGTTCAAGTCCATCGCCTGCGCAACTAATACCTACCTAGGTAGGTATTTGGAGGACAGAGGCGGACCTAATGAAGGCCGAAAAGTACCTAGTAAGCCATTAGATGATGGCCGGCATTTGAAGATTCCTCGTAGCCGCACGGCAATTGATCGCTGGTTGGGTGCATTGACTGCTGATAAGTACTGAATAAGTGTTGCATGTGTAGTCCTTTCGAGAGAGGCGGGTGCGCTCGGACTCGCCCACCTAATTTCGTAGTTCCGTACAATTCCGTGCGTCGCCGTCGCGTCGAAGTAGGCATAGATACTATAATCAGGATTAAATGGTAATATTATGTAGGTGCGCCGATACGCCGCCGTTCAACACAGCAAGTATCCAGCTGAACGGCCCATGCGAGTTCCGACGCACGCGATGCTAGGAACTGGTAGGGTGGCAGCACACAGGCGCAGGGTAAGTAGGGGCTTCTGACAGGGTTTCGTTTATCACAATGGATGCTGTCGATGTCGTGTCAACCCTATTAGCAAGTGCCTAAGGTGCCCCCCCTTCCCCGGTGCTACCGTAGGGCACGCTTCGAGTCCGGGAATTAGCAATATATGGTGTAGCGGGTATTATAGCGCTCTATACTATGGTCAATAACCGGGTCGGACTGGGCTCCTATCTGCTACACAGGACCCCACGCCGGGTCCAATGCCCACAGATAAAAAGCGGTTCAATGGCTGCTTGAGTCGTAGTGCCCTCGAGGCCCATGGCGCAAATGGCGCTACGTTATGCGGCAGTTGAATGTCCGGACGAGCCGAGCATCTCGAAATTGCCCTTTATTACCTCGTGCGTCCCCCGTCATCCGTTCGCTCTTCTCGCAGTAGCAGCCGAGAGGGAGCAACTGCAGAAACCACAAGCCGCCTCGACCAAAAACTCTCACAATGGCCAAGTCGCATCGAATCCTCCTCACGGGGGCGAACGGATACATCGCGCAGCATATCCTCTGGCAACTTCTGGAAGAGGGGTACTCGGTGCGCGCCGTCGCCCGCTCAGAGTCCAAGATCGAGCCTCTACGAAAGACCTTTGGCAAGTGGCTAGGTACGCCGCAACTCGACTTCGGCGTTGTCCCGGACATCGCCATCCCCGGAGCCTTCGACGCCGTCCTACAGTCGGACCCGCCGTTTGACATCGTCATCCACACGGCGTCGCCTTTCAAACTTAACCCGGAGGCTGGCAGCTTCTTCCTGGACCCGGCCATCAAGGGCACTACGGGAATCCTGTCGGATATAGCGCGCGTGGCACCGAGCGTGCGACGCGTCGTTATCACGTCGTCGTTCGCAGCGATAGCCGACTTTCTCGGGCCGCCTATCTCGAACCCGGCTAAGGTGTATACCAGGGACGACTGGAACCCGATAACGCTCGAGGCGGCTCTCGCCACGGACAACGTCATGGCCACGTACCCGGCGAGCAAGAAGTTTGCGGAGAAGGCAGCATGGGACTTCGTGAAGGAAGGGAAGGGCAACTTCGAGCTGGCAACGGTGAATCCGCCGGGAGTGTACGGCCCGGTGCTCGACCCGTCGCAGATCGCGAAGCCGGAAGACCTCAACCAAAGCACGGTGCTGATCTACGACGGCCTTCTGAAGCCCGGCCTGAAGCCAAGCGACCCGGTGCCTTCGACGTACATTAACCTCTACGTCGACGTGCGAGACTGCGCCCGCGCGCACGTGCTCGCAGCCACGTTGCCAGAGGCGGCGGGCAAGCGGTGGTTCACCTGCGCGGGCGAGCTGACTTACCAGGGAATGGCCAACTACCTTCGAGAGGCGCTGCCGGAGAAAAGGGACGTGATACCCATCGGAGACCCGGAGAACACGGGTATGCCGGAGGGCTGGTTCCAGGGAAGCAGTCCCGAGATCGAAGAGGTGTTGGGCTTGAAGTTCAGGCCGGCCGAGGAGACGATTAAGGACTTGGGACCTCAACTGGTCGACATCGAGAAGAGAGCGGCGGCAGCAGCATCGGCAACGGCATAAGCGAATAAACATACCTAGATAGTATCGAGATGCCTGCGCTCCGGTTTTGTAGATAGCTAGAATAGAGAAGCTAATTGACCATCCATTGGGCCCGCGCCCATAAAGACCCGCGACGCCTCCTCGTGGCGATGATGCGGGCTGGAATAGGAAGAGAGTGAGGTTGTAGAATTGAAAGGACACCCTATCGACGCGTCGCCATTAGAAGAATTACCTAAGTGCCTCCCTGCGAGAAAACTAGGTAGATGCATAAACCTGGCTATGACGATATTAGGTACGTCCATTCCTTGCATGCATATAGCGAGTGTACGGTCTTTTGCGACAGGCGTTGACAGAAATCATCGACGACACCCTGTAGACGCCTACACCTCAACCCTACATCTACATCTACAAACACGCAGCGCTGACTAGAGGCGGCCGATAACTAGGTACCTAACCCAAGAACAGACGCCTGCCTCGACGCCCCCCGCCTACTCTTCGCCCGGCCACCTCGCCTCGTGCGTGCCCCGCAGGCAGCTGCCCACGTCGTAGCCCAGCTTCGTCTTCTCGTACGTCGCCGCCGGCCCGACGAAGACCATCTCCTCGTCCGGCACGCCCAGGTCCGCCTTCGCGCTCGCGAAGTACGAGGGCCGCAGCACCTGCGGCGCCACCTTGGGCAGGTCTCTCGACAGCTGTTCCCGCGCGGTCCGTCCGTCAGCAACAGGCACGCGTCGCGACGCGGAGAGGAGAGGAGAGGGGGGATGGGGATGGGGATGGGGACAAGTATATTAGGCAGGAGGTAGGTAGGTAGGTAGACGGCCACTCACCACGCGCATCTGGCGGTGCAGGTCGTCGTAGTGGCGCGAGCGCATGGCGGGCCAGCGCTCGCGCAGGTCGCGCTGGACGGCGGGGCTCTGGGCGCCGAGCGCGATGAGGAAGCCGTTGAGCTGGTTCAGCGACGCGGAGACGAGGTAGTTGCCGCCGCGGCGGGCGCGCGCGTCGAGCGCGTGCATGATGGCGACGCAGCCGACGATGCCGGTCTGGAAGTCCGAGTTGGGCAAGAACGGCATCACCGGCTCCGGCGCCGGGTCGGCCCACATCCGCGAGAACAGCCACGCGATCCCCGTCATCGCGTCACTGATCTGCTGCCACCCGCTGCGGTGCCGCCACGGGCCCTTCCACCCGTAGCAGTTCTCGCGCGCGTACACGATGCCCCGCCCCCGCCGCCGCGCGACTTCGTGCACCCACGCCGGCCCGAACCCGAGCCTCTCGAGCACCCCCGGTCGGTACCCGTCGAGCACGACGTCGGCGCCCTCGACGAGGCGCCGCAGCGCCGCGCGCCCCGCCTCCGTCTTGAGGTCTGCGTGCGCGTCCCGCTTGCCTAGGTTGCTCTCGAACAGCACCACGCCGAGGTCCGGCAGCGCCGTGTTGGACACGCGCACCACCGTCGCGCCGAAGAGCGCCGCCAGCTTCGCGATCGTCGGCCCCGCGATCGCGCGCGTCAGGTCGACGAGCTTGACGCCCTCGAGCGGCCGGTACGCCGTCGTCGCCGGGTCGACCGCCGGCCACGGCACCGGCGGCAGCCCCGCGTCCGGGAACTCCTCGAGCAGGTACAGCGGGTCGTCGGCGACCGCCCGGCCCTGCGGGCTCGCCCGGTACTCCTCGGGCGTGAGGCAGATGCCGCCAGCCTGGCGCCAGTGCTCGTTGGCCTCGACGTCGAGCCAGTCGGCGTCGAACTGGCGGACGCGCGCGGAGAGGGCGTCGATGGCGACCATCTCGTCGACGACATCGTCGCGGTGGGTCGGCAGGCCGAGCATGCGCAGGCAGGGCGAGGAGTCGAGCCCGCCGTGGAGGTGGAACCAGCGGCCGTCGCGGGTCGGGTAGACGTTGGTGACGAGGCGGCGCCAGGGGACCATCTGGTTGGTGGTGTCGTTGACGGCGTAGCGGCGTGCGAGCTCCGGGTCCGAGATGGGGCGGCTGCCGACGCGCAGCAGCAGGAAGGAGAAGAGGAAGAGCGACGCGACGTCGCTGTTGATGACGACCTCCTGGCCATCGGCGACTCCCGGGAACCTCTCTGCGGCGATGGCGTTCCCGAAGGTGGCGAGGAGCGCCCACAGCGCGGTGCTCGACTCGCTGCACTTGACGGGCGCCGGGAGGAAGGGCCGGCGTGCGGCAGAAGCGTCGAAGCGTGTGCGCGCAGCGGCGGCGACAACAGCCGGGGGGATATTCAGTCGCGGGTCGGTGAGGAGGACGTCGTGAAAGATGCGCGAGGCCTCGGCCTGGATGGAGTAGCCGTCGTCCTCCTGGTCCCCCATGTTTCTGGTTGTCTTTGTATTTCTTCCGGGAAGGGCAACCTACTCGATTGCTTTAACTGTCCAGCTCTTCTTACCAGCTTCTACGGTGAGCTCAGGAGTCCTGCCTAGCTCAGGCGTTCGCACGTTAGCAGATAAACTTGTTGATTTGTGGATTCGTAGATCAGGTGGTCGCAAACGCACATGAGTCTGGTCCGGGAACGGGTCTCTATTCCCTCGTTCGATAGCTACCTGCTGCCTATATTCAACCTACCTGCACCAACACCTGTGAAGTAATAATATACTCCTGCTAAGCGAGCAGCTTGCAGCGGATGTACACCATTAGACAGAGTCACACCCATCTCAACCGGCTAGGGGTGTTTTATGACGGGAGCGTGCAACCTGGGGTCCGGCTAGATAATAGGAGAGTACAAAGCAGGGTAGATTAGATTATATCATGCTACCAGAGTCGGGTAGACCTGAGGCCTGACGCGCTGCGGGGAAAATGTGTAGAAATGAGGTTTTATCCGCGGCAAGACTGCCAAGGGGTGTCGGTAGATGTCGTATAATACACCTCCGGCATTCCACTATTCTTACTGCATACGTACTAGTATGCGAGTCCTCTCCTTTGGGGCGCCGAGAGTCTTACGGAAAGTAAAAGGATTCCGCATTGTTAGCAGTAATATCGTCATGAGCCATTTCTTCATTAATTAGCGTGCTGTTGATAATATCGTATCACAGGTATGAAGCCTATCTAATATTGTCACCCATAGGTTAATCTGTGTCTCCTCCACGAAATTCCACGCATGCGTAAGGATCTACGTACTCACTTCGACGACTCAGCTGTATATTATTACCGCCAAGGCATGCCATCGAGTGCGCATAGCCGCCGTACACATCTTAGTAGACACGGTACTAAAGTGGGTTATTTGGGTTCGGGTGATCAATGGGTAGACTTAAGGGCCATATGTTACCGCGATGGTTCTGTATACGGCTTTGCCGCACACTCTACAGGATGCCCTCTCTAGTCCACGCGATCGCCCCGTCGGTCCAGAGATGCGAGTTAAAGACTCAGGCCTTAATCAACACCCGACAGACTAACGGCAACGCGTACAGCTTCTCTTGTGATCGCCAATGATAATATTGCCGTCGATAGCTCAAAGATCGAACTCAAGTATGCCAAACTCCATTTCCGTTCCCAGAGCTTAGTTGAGGCTACTCTAGGCTGGGCCGGTACTGGGTGAGTGTTGGGGATTACGAGTGTTGAGCTGAGGCGATGGGCGACTACTTTCGGTGTCATATTAAGCCCCGATTAGGTATTATGTTCTGGATCTGCGACGGAGACCTCTATATTCGACAGCGTCACTAATATTAACTCCGCCACGCCACACCCTCTTTGCAAGCTAGACGAGAATGATTCCTCTTAGATATAAGGTCAATCTTTATAATACACTTAAGGGTGTCGCTTGGGGAAAGGCCACAGTAATTAGATTATTATTATGATGATGATGACAAGTCAGGGTTCATTACCTAAAAAATTGGTATTCTAAGCAGGGGTGGCTTCGTGTGTATTCTTAGGTACTGGCAAAGCTCTTGATGCACAAGTGACGGGTAGGAAAAGACACTTTGGTCAAAGTGATTCTAATGGAATAGTTACGGCGAACTCTCTTATGATGAAGATAGTAGGCCCATTGTCGAACTAGCTTAGCATGATTTCTACCGCGAATGTTGATGATCCGCGACAGCTCAGGGGGACGGGCCGTGGTGGTTAGGTAGAGCTGGGCGTTAGCTAACATGCTCGTCGACCCGGAGACACTTCTAATAACGGCGGTGCTCGATTTCGAGTTTACCAACGCCATGCCAGCGCGGTTCACGTCCGATGCGCCTTAGTAGTTATTAATATTATTTTCTAGCCCGGAAGTATGGCTTCATCGCGGCCCAACCGAAGAATTCCGGGTTTGTTCTGAGCCCAGAATCCTGAAGGCGTTAGAACTATTCGTGGAAGGCATGTCGGTCCGGGGGGGAGCAGCAACTCACTGAACCACGTCTCTCTACTCGGATGCATGGCTCGTGAACGTCCGGTCGCTTCTGGTTCGATTGGGTAATACCTAGGTATTTAACAGAAGAATATGGAGCAGCTGAGCGCGTACAAGGAAGAGTAGCACCCCGTGTGTACATGTCTTCATACGACACCGAGAACATGCTTAGGTGCTGTTTAACAGGCAATTAATCCAGCCGCATCGGGGCTTGTCTCCTATACCTATATACTCCCCGTCTTATTCTGTTTCCGCTCAATTGCCGCGTATTCGATCTCTTCATAAGGCTCAAACGCTCAGAACCTTGAAATATTAGACCGGGGGCTATTAAGCATCTATTATCTTCTACAAACGACACATTATTATTTACGAAATGACCTCTAAATTTCCTTAACCCTGTAGGTACTAAAGCACGTAGACACCGCCGTTGCGGCACACACATATCTTGACACCCACATCAAGGCATAGTTACGTAGGTATATTAGCAAACGGTGAGGAGCCGACGTAATATAGGAGGGGGCGGAAAACAACATCGCTGCCAGGTCATGTCGGTCCCTTGTTAGGGAACCTCCAAAGGAATGAAGCCAGATTGACGAAAGACGAGACGCCTGGTATTTTTTTAGAGGAATCGAGGTGGATCTGCAAGTAAGCACCGGCGTATTAGAATGCTACTGACGCTCAACCACAACCTCGTTCCGCAACATTACCACACTGTCCTCTGGCGTCTCGCAGGGTCGACTGTCTGTATGGGTAACACGTACGTCGTGGCCCTGGTCCTATAACTCGAGGTATTGCTCGTCGCACCGGGTGCTAAATGTAGTGCTCATGAGACTCTTAGTATCACACGGGGATGGAGCCCTGCACCAATATCAGGTCATAAAGGTCAGAAGGATAATATCAGGTCATATAAGTCAGAAGGATAATATCGGGTATTAAGGTCGCCGTCTCGGCGACCTACTAAAAAAAAGTCCTAAATAAGCTACGGATAGCTTCGGTATTAAGGTATTAAGGTACGGAGGTACCTTAGGAATATATTAAAATAAAAATAAGACTAAGAAACTTAAGGAAAGTAAGAACCTAAGAAACCTCCTATAGAATTATTAGTTAAATTAAACCTATTCTAAGTATATCCCCTTATTATAAATAATTCTATATTACTCTTACCCTTATAACCTTAATATAAATTAATAACAGGAGAAGCCTACGCCTAAGCTTACGTTATACGTAGCCGCCGCCTCGGTATTATTACTATTAGATTAACCTAAGCTATCTACGGAAAAGCTATAGGCGTTCCTACTCCCGCGGATTATTACCTTTAGGCTAGCGTCGGTCTTTATAGCGGAAGTAGCTTAAATAATAGCTACGATTAACGAACTAAAGGCCGTTATAATAGAATTAAAGGCAAAGGACGCCGAACGATAGCGAACCTTTCCGGCGCCTTAGCTAGAAGCGACCCCCGAACCGACCGATAAATCTTTCGTCGTATATTAACCTTAAGAATATAAGGTAATTATAATTAATGCTCCGGAGATTACGAACTCGAGAGTAGTTATACGTAATCCTCCGTAGTAAATCGTAAATTTATATAAGTAAATAAAATAAATATATTAAAGCCTAGCGATATTAATTAATTAAGTCGATATAAAATACCGATAAAATACGATCCTAAAGAAATAATACGAATAATTACGATAGCTTTACTAAACCGTTACGGCTATGTAAGTAACCGGTATCCGAACTACGAAAATATAGATCCACGAGTTTTAGAAGTAGGTCGTAAAGTAAAGTACTTACTTCGCTTAAAACGTATAAGAAACGGTAGCTAAGTTTACCCGATAAAATAAAGCACGAACTACCGCCGTAAACTAACTTCGAGACGCCGCCCTTTAGAACTAACGGACCTTAATTTAGCTACGCGAAGAATATAATAAATTAATAACGAACGTTAACTTATAAGTTACGTAAAAGGATAAATAAATTAACGAAATCCTTAGTAAGGAATATCTTACCCCCGGGGTTATAAAGGAAAAGACTTAATTAATTAAAAACGATCTTAAGGCTTACGTAGTTAATTTAATTAAGAAATATTAATAGCGACGATTAAGTAATAAGCTAACGGATATCGAATTTATTATAATTAAGGTTAGTTAAAAGGCTCGGATACTTACCTCCGTACCGGCTATCCGCCTTACGACGGTATTTATAGAACGGTATATTAGTAGCGAGGCTAGGATAAGGAAAATTATTTCTAACGGCGTACTTTAAGACGTCGCGGTTAAACGTACCGCCGCGCGCGTAAGAACCCGTTCCTAAAACGCTATAATAAGCGCCTTTATATTAAAAAAAGCCGGGTAAGAATTACCGTAACCGCTAAGGACCCCGCGGAATACCTTAAAAGACCTAAGGGATTCCGATAATTCGGACGGCTTAGAATCCGGGAACCTATAGAGGCTACGACGCCCGTTAGGCGCCCCTAAAGAACCTTAAAAGCCTCTAGACCTAGCCGAAAAACGTATGGTTCGGACCTAAACTAAAGTTATAAATAATCGACGAAGTATTACGATAACGATTAACCCGGTATACCTTATTAAGCCTACGGCTTATAACGGTAAGGACTTAATTAAGTTCCGACCATAATAAATTAAGGTTAAGTCCTACTTCGAAACCTACGAAGAAAGTTTTACCCGGAACGTTTAAAAGATTAATTAAATAAAATCGATACTTACCGAAAAGGCCTAGCTTTAGTATTAATAACGACTAACCTAAGTAAAAAGGTTAATAATCGTTAATACTTAAGTAGGATATTCCTAAGCCCTCTAAAAACGATTTAAGGACCTCGCCGAACGATATCGTAACTTTAAGAAAATATAAAAGCTTAAGTACTAAGGAAATATCTCCTAATACCTTACCGAGCTTATAAACCTTAACGACGTCGTCTAATAATCCGGAACTATCTTCTAGAATTATATTACCCGTACCTTATCCGACGAAATAATTAAACTAGTTTATTTACGACTAAATAATATTCCCGAAAGCGACGAAGCCTTTCTTAAAGTAATTAAAAAAGCCGGCTAAATCTATAAAAATATAATAACTAACCTAAGGATTTCGAGAAAAGGAGGGTTCGCTTCGTAAAAGGAACATACGAAAGCGGACTAGTAATAGAAGTAACCCGTAAAAGAAACTCGCTCCCGCTTAAGCTAACCGGTAAACGAACGTAAAAGTAAGAAAAGTAAGAAACCCGTACCGGCTAAGGACTTACGATAAATAGGTAATAAAAAAGCCTTAGTTAAAATTAACTAAGCCGTAATCGACTAGTAAAAGAAGAATAAAAAGGCCTACTAGCGGTATGGAAGGGATAATTACTAAACCTTAACTTACTTCGTAAAAAAGGACTTAAAGAAACGAGACTTACCTATACTACCTAAGAAGGTCTTATCGGAAAAAAAAGGAAGGAAAAAGCCCGAATTATTACCTAATAAAAGGGCTAGAATCGATATTATTATACGATAGAAGGAAACTCTTCCCCGTATTATAAAACTATCCGATTCCGATAAAAAACGGGATTTTTAAGCGCCCCCTCGTAAGCGTTAACGAAAGAAAGGGGCGATAAAAATAACGTAAAGATTACGGCTATAAAACGGCCCGGAACGCTAGAAATAACGGAAGTAGTACTAATAACGAAGAAATTACGAATCCCCTAGCGTAACTAAAGAAAACCCCGATCGGGTAAACGGCTTATCCATATAATATAAATAAAATATTAAGGAAAGGAATATCCCTTACGAGTCCTACTAAATACCGGTAACGAGGTATCCTTAATTAACGCCGCTAAGGTTAAGTAACTATACCTTCTTATTAATTAACGCTTAAAGCTAAGAACCCTAATAAGATTCGACGGCTTTAAGATCTCGTTAGGAAAACTCTAATATATAAACGAAATAAAGCTCCGTAATTACGAATATATTTACTCCGTCGCTTAAAAAGTTAGCAAATTAAATAAAGAGGTCGACGCTATCCTACCTTAATAATAAATAAAGGAATACCTTCCCTAGGGCTTATTTATAGAGGAACGATTATATTTTAACTTACCCTAATGCCGGAACTATCGCCCCCGACCGATCCGTATAGGAACTACGCGGAAAAAGGACGCTTTATTATAAGTACCCGAATAATTCCGCGACTTCGTTCCTATTATAACTAAGGAAGCGGAATAACGGTTCCTTAATCGGTAACCGTAGGACTACGCTATCGAGCTTCGCCCGGGAATTATTCCCCCGTAGGAACCCCTATATATTATAAGCGGACGGTAGTTAAACGTTTTAAAACCTTAGCTCGACGAAATAATAACCATAGGAAAAATCCGGAAATCTAAGGCCTCCTACGGCGCATCCATAATATTTATAAATAAAAAAAACCCGGGCGCCCTAAGACCGGTAGCTAACTACCGGGGGTTAAATAAAATTATAATACCCGTCCGATACCCGATCCCGCTAATTAACGAACTATAAAATCTATTTCAAACGGCGCGATAGTTTATTAAAATTAATCTAAAGTTTAGCTTTTATATAATACGGATTAAGGAAAGCGATAAATAAAAAACCGCCTTTAGAACGCGTTATAAGTTATACGAATATACGGTTATACCTATAGAATTAATTAACGCCTTCGCTACCTTTTAAGTTATAATAAACCATATCTTCCGCGACCTTTTAAACGTAGGAATTATCGCTTATCTAAATAACGTCTTAATTTATACCGATACGTTAAAAGAATATAATAAATTAGTTAAAGAAATCTTAAAACGGCTTATAGAAAACTATCTAGCGGTAGCCCTAAAGAAATATACCTAGCGAACGTAAGAAGTCGAATTCTTAGGATATAATATAAGCCTTAAGGGTATTATTATATCTAAAGATAAAGTAAAAGCTATCCTTAACTAACGTACCTTAGCTATACTTGAGGACTCTTAAAGCTTTATCGGATTCGTTAACTTCTACCGTAAATTCATACGTAACTTTTTAGGCATAGCTAGGCTAATTATTAGCGTTAATAAAAGGAACCGTAAGCTATAGAAATAGGAAATCGAAATAAAAAGGGCCTTCTAGGAATTAAAAGAAACCTTTATAAAAGCCCCGGTACTTATATATTTCGATTTTAATCGAGTTCCGATCGTTAAAGCCGACGCCTCGGACTTTATTATTTCGGTTATCCTCTCGTAAAAGAACGATAAAGGAAGACTAAAACTAATAGCCTTTTTCTTAAAACGACTTACCCTAGCGGAAATAAACTATGAAATATATAATAAGGAATTATTAGTAATCGTCGACGCATTCGAAAAATAGCGATATTATTTCGAAGGTACTTAGCATTAAATAAAAGTATACTTAGATTATTAGAACCTAACGTACTTTATTACGGTAAAAGTATTAAATCGACGATAAGCCCGTTAAGCTTAATAACTTTCCTCGTATTACTTTATAATATATTACCGCCTAAGAAAGTAAAATAAGAAGGCCGATATTTTATTTAGATTATTATAATATCGCCTTAAAAAAGGAGGAGCTAAGGACTAGCCGATAGCGACGGTCCTATAGGAAAAGCATTTTTTAAAAAATTTAGGCTTACTTACGGTAATACTCTCTAGCGTACGACTAAATAATATCCTAATATCCGCTTAGACCCTAAAGTTTATTAAATAGGTTAAAACGGTAGCTATATAAGACCCGGAGTACTAGGCCTAATTAATTAAATTACTCGGTAAAAAAATAAAGCTCTAGGAGGGCCTTCTTTACCGACGAAACCGTCTCTAAGTACTAAAGGACTTATAATAAAAAGTAATTAAATTAAAATACGATATTAAAGTAGCGGAATATATAGATATAAATAAAACCATAAAGCTTATTACCCGAAACTTTTAATAACCTAACCTAGAAATAATAGTTAGGGAATTCGTACGAAGATATTACGAATACTAATAAAATAAAGTACTACGGTATATCCCGTTCGGATTACTATAGCCTATAGAATTATATTACCGACCATAGTAAACGATCGCGATAGATTTTATTACGGACTTATTAATATTAAACGGTTATAATTCTATATAGGTTATAATAAATCCCTTTACTAAGATAACGTACTTTATTCCGCTAAAAAAGGACGGTAAAAAAGCCGAAAACCTAATACCTATCTTTATCCGTAATTACTAGCGGCTATATAAGATCCTTTTAAATATTATCTCCGACCGAGACTTACGATTTACCTCCTATATATAAAAAGGCGTCTTAAAGCTCTTCGGAGTTAAGCTTAGAATAAGTACCGCCTTCTATCCTTAAACGGATAAATAAACGAAAAGACTTAATTAAATCCTAAAAGTATACTTACGCGCCTTCGTAAATTACGAAATAAGTAACTAGGAAAACTTACTTCCTACTACCAAGTTTACCTATAATAATACCGCTTCGATAGCTATCGGTATATTACCCTTTTACGTTAACTATAAGTAATACCTAGTAATATATAACCTCCCTTTAGGTACCCCTAAGAATCTAGGAAGTAACCTTTATACTTATTAAATAACTCGGGTATATAACAAAGCTAAGTAATATTTAAAGAAAACGCGGTAGCGGATAAAAGGATAAGTAGATAAATATAGAAAAGAGAAACCTCCCTTAAAAGTAAGGTAGCTCGTTATATTAAATACCCGTAATATTAAAACTAAACGCCCGGCTAAGAAAATAAATAAAAAGATATTCGGTTTCTTTAAAATCCAGAAGATCGTTTCGCTTACCGCCGTAACCTTAACGCTCCCGAAAGGCTAGCACATTTATAGTATCTTTTACGTATTTCTTATCGAACCTTACCGCGCTAATAATTAAGAACTACCTAACCTTAATTAAGTCTTACGAAAGGTAGCCCCGATCGAAGTAGAAGACTACGAAGTAAATAAGGTATTAAATTCCGCTAGAACCGAAGAAGTCGTTAGGTATCTAATAAAGTAAGAAAGCTAACCGGCTAAGCGCTATTAAACATAGGAACCGTAGGAGTACTTTACTACCGAAGGGGCGAAGAAAGCCGTTAAGTTATTCCATTAATAAAACCCTAATAAACCTACTAACTATCGAAGCCTAGGTACCTAACCCGCGCTTAGAGACGAGCTCCTCCGAAGAGGAGAAATGATATTATACGGGGATAGAGCCCTGTATTAATATTAAGTTATAAAGGTCAGAAGGATAATATTAGGTCATATAGGTTAGAAGAATAATATCGGGCATTAAGGTCGCCGTTTCGGCGACCTACCAAAAAAAAGTCCTAAATAAGCCACGGATAGCTTCGGTATTAAGGTACTAAGGTACGGAGGTACCTTAGGAGTATATTAAAATAAGAATAAGACTAGGAAACTTGAGGGAAGCAAGGACCTAAGAGACCCCCTATAGAATTATTAGTTGAATTAAACCTATTCCAAGCATATCCCCTTGTCACACTTAGTGAAATATGGGTCGGACGGTGGCTTGGTTCGACGGTTGGATTCGATTACAGAAGCGGTAGGGCGGTGTGGCATATCAGAGCCCTTACGCCTTTTCCAGTGGAAGACGAAGGCGAGCTCGGGGAAGCAGACGCACAGATTTCCCGAGGCCAGCTCCGCTACCCCCCAGAGCAGGATCTCCGGCTGGTTCCAGGACGTGTCGGGGTTGCCGCTCCTTTGGATACGTACGACGAAGCCGATTGTCGCGAATATGGGCGCACTACGAGCGATCAGTACGCTGCCGGTATGGTATCGAAGCCTCCCCAGCGCCAGAGTTTTCTCGACCCGTCTTTGTAATATCTCCCCAGCACGGGTAGGGAAAACGTACCATAGGCCGAACGTGAACGCTAGTACCACGAGAACTCGCTTCAGCGTATCCATCTGGAGGTTCCGTACGGCCTGGACGGGGAGCAGCAGGATCAGATAATCCGTCACCGTGTTGAAGCCGCCGCTAATATTGAGTATCCAATGTGTCTGCACACACTTTCCCGGAAGCGCGTGGTTCCATATCTTCTCTCGAGGGCTGCATTCGAAGATTTTGACGATTGTAGTGGCCCCATAGAAGCCAGTAATGGTGGCGATGAGAACGACGATGGAAATATCAAACGCGCTCCACCGGACGGGCGAGAAGACGCGGCGATAGAGCCAGAGGACGGCCAGCTTGGTGATTCCGATCATGACACCGTACTCGATGGACGCGACATTAAACCAGTACGAGGCTTGGTGAAACTCATCACGAGTGATGTCCCAGGCGTGTTGACCTCCGTGGTATGCCATGGTAGCCCGCATGATGCCGCAATAGGCGACAGTACCTGCCCAAGCGGTCGTGACCAACACATCTTCGAAGATCCACGAATGTTTGACGAAGATACGAACGTAAGAACGGAGCATGAAGAAGATGGTGATCAGAGGAAGACATACTCCTATCGAAATGTCGGCGAGATGCGCCAGCGAAGCAGGGTGCTCCGGGTTCGACGTTGTCCCCGGCGGCGGTTCCAGGGCCGGCGTGAAAGTGGGTGGGGATACTAAGGTTTCCGACATCGAGGACGAATTATGAGCTATTACCATACCGAAAAAAGGAGGGCCTAGTCAGACTAAACTAACCCGGTATCCAGTATAGAAGACGCAGATCGAGGTGGCGGGTATTATTATGTGGAGTTTTCTAGGTCGGACGGGACACCCCGTCCTGGTCGTCACCCTAAACGGACCTCTTCGTTCTTGGTGCTGGGTGCATCGGTACGCACCTCACACTGCAGCGCCTAGCGAACTGCATGTGTAGAAGGAGTACTATTGCCTACTTTTGGGTGGTACCGGCGGCAGGTAAAGTCTGCAGGACTTGGAGATAAGGGGAGAAGAGGAGGGCCGGCGTAGCGACAAAATGACGAGTCGGACGGTTGGGCTGACACCCCCTTTCGATTCGGGCACTCGGTGCAGCGCTTGTTCCTACTCCTGCTCAGCCGCACCACAACGCCACCAGCAGTTGAAGGGATAGGTATTACTGCTGGGAGCGGCTCGGGGCACATCCGAGCCCAAAATGTGATCTCGGATGCGAGCTTTGGGGGGTATTTGAAGGCTGCATCTTCTTGTCCGTCTGCCACGGCTCCCTCCCACATCCTCGCAAGTCCAGCGTGACACTGTCTCCCGACCCTTATTGCTGCAATTAATCTAAATTCTAGAACGGCTGAGACACTTCCGTCCAGTTTCCGCGCCCCCCCTCTACTTCCTCGAATTTACTTGTCGAGTTAGGTAACGATGGGTAACCGAGGCATGCTTCTCCTGCTCCCGCCACACCGTATTCCGGAGGCCATTATGGTAGCTGACCTATCTAGACCAAGGCGATGTCGACTCTGCCTCGACGTTACCCGAGGCGGGAACGCTGTCGGACGCTGAGACAGTCGCGCTGATGCGAAAAATCGACCTGCACGTCTTGCCGATGCTCTTCCTCATCGATCGGTAAGCTCCTAGTGGACTGCTCGTAATCCCGCGGCTAACCCGGTGGCTGTCTAGAGCCAATATTTCGAATGCACTTACCTTGGGGCTGCCGCGCGAGCTGGGCTTGACGGGCCAGCAACCGAATATTGCGCTCGCTATCTTCTTCGTCCCCTACATCGCCTTTGAGATCCCTTCTAACCTTTTGATGAAGAGGTTTACGCCGCATGTCTGGCTCTCTCTCTGCATCTTTAGCTTCGGCATCCTCATGCTAGCCCAAGGTTTCGTTCGGAATTACAGCGGCCTGCTGGCCACCCGCTTTTTCTTGGGAGTTTTTGAAGCGGGCATATTCCCAGGCAGCTTTTACCTGATCAGCTTCTGGTATAAGCGGCAAGAGTCCCAGAAGCGGTTTACCATCTACTTCTCTTCCGTTATTTGCGCATCCGCTTTCGGGGGGCTTCTCGCATCCGCCATCGCGCACATGGATGGGATACAAGGCCTGAGCGGATGGAGGTGGATTTTTATCCTGGAGGGGATTTTGACCGTGCTAGTTGCCGTTGCTGCCTTCTTCGGCGTTAGCGATTTCCCCGAGGACGCGGGATGGTTGACGGGGATGGAAAAGGAGTTTGTGCTGAAGAGGACTCGTGCGCAAGAGGATGGTGAGCCAGAAAAGATCACGGGACGAGACGTGGCCGACTTCTTCAAGGACCCGAAAAATTACTTGGGTGCGTTGATGTACTTCGGTAAGCCTTCCCCCAGTGTCCTCCTCTCGCCTCCCATGTGCTGCCAAACTAAGCCCTGCCAGCGGTGGTGGTGCCGGTGTACGCGTTCGCCTACTTCACGCCCACGATCATCGGGACACTCGGATACTCGACGATTCAGACACAGCTCCACTCTGTGCCGCCCTTCGCAGCGGCACTCGGGATGTGCCTCGTGCTGGCGTATCTGTCGGGCCAGACAGATAGCCGGCTGCCATTCGTCCTCTTCCCTGGCGCTCTCCTGATCGCCGGCCTCGCAATCCTAATGACGATACACACGGACTTCTCGGCCCAATATGCCGGTATCTGTCTGGTATGCATGGGCGCCTTCGGGGCTGCCCCCATCGTCATATGCTGGTACCTAGTCAATCTTCGGGGGCATAAGCAGCGGAGTCTCGGGTCTGGCTGGATGATCAGCTTCGGAAACACGGGCGGCATCCTGGCTCCCTTTGCGTTTCTTTCGAAGTACGCGCCGCACTACCGCCCCGGCTACGCGATATGCATGGCCGTATCGGTGCTCGGGGTTGCAGCAGCGGCGTGCTATGGGCTTCTCGTGCTAAGGGAGAGACAAAGGGCCCGTAGGGGCAACGTCGGCAGAACTAAGCCGCCACATGTCCCATCTTTGTGAAGACAAGGAACTTTGCATATCCGAGCAGGCTGCCTCCACCCAACGTAGACTAAGGTAGCAAAGAGGGCGCCAACCATTTTGACCTGTTCAGCGATACTATATCACGTCGCACTGGGAGGATTCGCACCGGAAGGATCGTAGGTATTACGCAAGGGAGAGAGTGGCAACTTGCGGCCTCCGGCAATGCAATCCCTCTGGGTAACCACAACCCCCCTTTTCCCCCTTTGTTGCTGCAGCAGTTAATATAGGTAGGAGGTAGGTAGCGAGCAAACGGATACCTAGGTACCTCTTATATTAGGTAGGTACCTTACACACCTCCTATATCCCTCGTCTACGTAGGTGCCTTAGGTACCGTTATTACTTCCCTACAACGGGTAGTGGTTAATATAGGAGGTAAGTACCTACCCACCTACCAAGTAAGTAGCGAGCAAATAAATACCTTCCTACCTAGGTATATACCTTATAAACCTCCTACATCCCTCGCCTTCGTAGGTACCTTGCATACCTGCCTGCCTGCCTGCCTGCATTGTTAGGGTTATAGTTATCTAAGGTAGGTACATATCTTCCACATCACACACATAAAAATAACGGTAAAACAAGGACGAAATGTCTCCTTTACATCTGGACTTCAGCCATCTTCCACCTCGTGTTTTCTCCCTAACCTCTCTTGTCCACTAATCTGCTAATTACTCCCCTGTCACATAGCAATTGAACCAGCCCATATATGCCTACATACCGCAAAAGCGTAATGTAGGCGTCTACGTTTTACGCGACATCTCCTAACTTCAATCTTGCCTTTGTTCGCTTCAGTTCTATCCCAACTCCTTGAATCCGCCATGGCAGCTATGACGAAGGAAGATCTGCTCGACGGAGTGGCCCGGATGTTCGATCGAGACAGCGAGACCGCCATCACGCTCCGACATGCAACGGGAGATTCCTGCCAGACAGCTGCCGTCCACGACAACGTGACGGATCTCGAGGAGAGACGGAGCCTCTTCCACGACTTCCTAGGCGAGTGTAGCAGGGGCTTCCGGATGCCCACGGTCATATGCCTCTCAGTTTTCCTCCTCAGTCCGATTGACCAATTACGCCATCAAGTCGCCGACGCCAAGGCGTCGTGGAGAGATTTCATAACGATTTATTTCTCCAGCAATGAGGTGGCTAGTGACGTCGTCAGATCCTGTATGTATTCTAGCTTGGCTATTTTTTTCTCTCCCATTTTTTCCTCTCGTACTAATGACGTTATATTTTTAGTTTTGGCCAAGGGTAAGACGCCCGGCACGCCTGGATCCTCGGCACCTGGCACTCCAAAGGCGGCAGCAGCAACGGCGACAGCAACGGCGGCCGGCTCAGTGGTGGCAGAAGCTGGCAAAGAATCTGCGCCTGTTATGCCCCCCCGTTGAAAGCTCCGCCCATGACCGTACCAATCTCGCCCACTGCTAGCTCATCGACGCTGAAGAGGACGGCAACAAGTCCGGCCGGTGGCAGTCCGGCCAAGAAATCTATCAAAACATCTACACTATCCACACCCTCAGCCCAAAGTCCGAACAGAGAAGCCAAGAACAAAGCGCGCAAGCATTCCGCAACAGTAGCGACCTACCATCGAGATGGGAATGTGTGCGTCCTATCCGGGTACGAGCACCCAGACGGGGTGCACATATCCCCTGTCACGTGGCAATGGAACCAGCCATATAAGCCTACATACGCAAGTCGTACAATGTAGGCGTCTACGTTTTACGCAACATTCCCATCTTCGGCGAGCAAGGACCAAGCTGTGATGTCCCAGACGACGTCGACTCGCTGTGGTTGACTGAGGAGGGAGTGGACGAGGAGGAGGAGGAGGAGAATGGCGACATCCACCCTATTGACTGCCCTATTGACTGCCAACGGCGCTTTAGGAGATAAGCCAACATTCACTGTAAAAACGGCTTATATTCACTTGAACCCAGTTGATATAAATAAGCAGTCAATTAGCAGCAGTTGTTGCCACTTAGATGTTGTTACGTAAAACGTAGACGCCTACATTCACGCTTTGCGGTATGTAGGCTTATATAGGCTGGTTCAATTACTACGTGACAGATGTCATAATAGATCACTTCAGGCACAGGCTCAGCTTTCAAGGTCAACCACCCGGCGTTAGTCTAGGCTTGCTTACAGCATCCTCTCACCATCTCCTCCACTACGACGCCGCCATCAAGCCTTCCCTCCCCCTCCAGCTGCTAGCTGCTCAACAGGTCGACGGGTCGACATGCCAGGTACGCCCCAGTCCAGCATCCCTCATCCATCCCCGCACCAGGGCGAATTCATGGGTTCCACGGCAAGCTCTCTTGCCCATCGGCCTGCTTCCACTCAAACCCGGCCGGAATTCCCACCGCCCGGTCCCGCAGCCAGGCCTGTACGGCCGTCCAATCGATGCACTTGTGCATCGCGTTCGAGTTCGGTGTCGGGCTCTGATGCTGCAGCACCCAGTCGTAGGTCACCAAGCCCGTGTCGAAGTGGCACATGACGCTCTGTCGAATGTAATCAACGCAGTGCTCGAAGTGGCGTTCGTACAACTCCGGCACCTCCTGAGCCTTGCGCAGGACGTCGGGGAAGTAATCGCGGTGGTGATCCTGCCAGAGGTAATGTAGGCAGTGCAGCTGGTGCGTCCCGACCGTCGTAGCCACGTAACCTCCCCCGGCTGCGGCTGGGAATTGCACCGCCGTTCGGACCGAGTGGTTTACCCGCTCGTAATCCGTCGCTGACACCGCGATCATCCCGTACTCCATGATCGGGTGCCACGCCTCTTCGACGGCAGGAGCTGGCGGCCCCTTAAACGGCGAGTCGTACCAGAGAGATCCGTTGAACCGTGTTGTGACGTACGGTTGGGTTGCGAGCGCGTCGTTGACAGGGGCTGAATGCGAAATCGTCGGCTCAGGGCTTATGCGGACCTAGGTAATATAGAGAGGGGAGGGGAGGTCGGGGGCGGATCGCTTACAGTAGTAGTTATGCATGTTCCAGCATCTTGCCGCAAGGTGGGGGCCACCACTATATAGATGCAATAAGACGAGTAATCCGACAACAGCGGTCAGACCTCCGATGTGGGCGATCCAGTGGAATCTCCGTGCCCGCTTGCAAGCGCGTCAGCTCCCGCACCGCACGCCATCTTCCTCGCTGCCCTCCACGAGCGGTGCAGAAGGCGGGTCTATGCCGTGGCTGGGGAGCAGCTGGTAGGCCGACTTTAGAAACATGGCGTTTGTGAGCAATTCACGGATTCGAGCAGGAGCCGAGAGATGTTGCTACGGGTGCTGGTGTCGAACGATAATACAATGCTTGGTGGGATGATGGGAGGAGGGTAGGTAGGATGATGAGCTATTAGCTTGGCCGGTATCGTGCTAAAATACCAGAGCCTCGCGGCCCCTGGTAGCACCAAATTCTTCCCGTCTCACCACACCGGAATGATGGCGGTGGCAGGGCAGAGGATGGTGGTCCTTGGTGACTGCGGGTAGTACCAAATATGTGACTGGTCCTTTGGGGTTGGACTTGATATATAGGTATCTGGAGCCTCGTATAAGGACATTGCCGACCCGTAAGCCATCATGTTGTATCACAGGCCCGCCGGGGGGTGTGTTGTGCCGTCGGCCGCGACAGGTTTCGCATGAGTAGGGATGGCATTAGGTCCCCCATCATGCCCTCTATCAATTCGTAGAGTATCTACGGGATAGCGAGCGCCCACACGGTTCGATGTGGCGGATTCATTCATTGGCAAGTACGGGTAAGGGGAGGGGCGGGGGAGATATAAATTCATCGTTTTAAGAGTATCTCCCTTGTCTTCCTATCTCTCAACCATCACAGCCAACTCACCGCAAGCGACTCCGTTTTATTACGACAAATCCATTTTCCACACTCGATCCATCATGAAGACCAGCACCCTCCTCCCGCTCCTCGTCGCTGTCGCGGCTGCTGCCCCGACCCCTCAACCCAACAGTGCGGCCCCAGCTCCCCGCCATCGACGGCGGTAGATGCTAACCTTTGTCAGACTTCGAGGCAGACTCCTTGCTCCAGGTGGGCAAAGATGGAGAATCTTCGTACGCTACGAAGCGAGCCAACTTTGAGGCAGACACCCTACTCCAAGTAGGCAACAAGGGGGAGTCCTCCTACGCCACTAAGCGGGCCAACTTCAAGGCGGACCCCCTGCTTCAGGTGGGCAACGATGGGGAATCTTCGTACGCTACGAAGCGAGCCAACTTCGAGGCCGACCCTCTTCTCCACGTTGGGAACGAGAAGGAGTCTTCATACGCGTCGTAATGGGGCAAGTTCCGGAGCGCCTCATGCACGGCACGTAAACACGCTGGGCGAGTTACTGGGTCTAGGGGGACGGCGGCGGATCGAGCTCAACCTCGCGTCGCGCAGCTACAAGTCAGATATTAGATATTCATTGGATAAGAATGAATCTTTTCGGTGTTCTACGGCTTGATAGAAGAAGGCCGACAAGTAGGTAGACAGAAAAATAAAACGGGCAAAGGAAAGAGACAGGTGGCCCACATCAGGCACGCTAGGTACGACGTAAGGGCTGCCTTTATCAGACGGTGAAATCAACAGCGAGGTACACACTCATTTATAATAATATCAGTTATTATCTCGTGCCGTGGCCTTATGATCTATCTGTGTCCGGTATTCTGTCACCTCTCTCGGCTGCGGCTCGGACGCCTCGCCGGATCGTCCCTACATCGATCCCGCACTCGTCTGTGCCCGGCAAGGTCTGTTTGATTTCCTCTATTGCAAAGGTATAAGGAACGCAGAGCACCTCCTTATTAGCAGGAGCCCATACCTTAATTCTTTACGTCTCCTTGCCTACTATCATGGGCGTCTCCCCGAGCTCGGCCACGCGCTTGTGTGCGCTTCGATGCGGTTGTGGTTAATCGCATAATGATCCCGAGTCCTCGTCGATATTATCCAACATCCAGCAGCCCCCCTCTCTGTCTGGTACCCTGCTGTGTAACCGGCCGCTGTCCGCAGATCTGACTATAAGTAAAGTACCATCGATGCCCTCATACCCGGCACTCCGAATCTTCCCTCGTTCATCTTTTCCTTGCCGCGATCGCCCGCCCGCAGCGCCACCGCGTGCTGGCATGGTTTTCCGGAATTCTCTGCTTCGGGCTTTCCGCAACCCGTCGATCCGTACCGGTCTAAGATTGGGCCGTCCTAGTACCGCCATACGGCTCCCGCCATTCGCGTCTTTGTCGCCGGCGGCCATTCCGCGTGTATCCGCTGTGGGCTTTTCGACTAGACAACGACCACCCTCGCCAGCTCCTAACCGCGTCTCTGAAGCGATGGCTCAGCCGAATCCGGGATCGTAAGCACCGAATCTGCGACTTCGCATTGCTGCTGGTTCTGCGCCAACGACGAGGTTAACGTGTTGAATAGATACACAACTGCGTTTGCCCTATTTGAGGCGCTCTGGGAGGTCGGTCCTACTGTCTTGCATGCCCCGGAGTGAGACTTCGCGTACTCACTACGTTTACAAGGCTGGTATAACGGCATGTTTTGTCAATGTCGGATCCGATCATCCGTCCCTGATTGAGGCTATCGTCAGGGGCAAGCGAGAGCGGCCCGACTCGTGGCCTAGGATGATTACGTGCCCCTCCGAGGTCACTGCCATTTCGATGGCCGACGGGTATGCTCGAGTGACGGGCCGGCCGCAGGCTGTTCTGGTTCATGTCGACGTCGGCACCCAAGCTCTCGGCCAGGGTGTCCATAATGCCAGCGTGGGCCGTGCTCCGGTCTTCATCTTCGCCGGCTTGTGCCCGTATACGGAGTCTGGGGAACTAACTGGTTCCCGGACAGAGTATATGCACTGGCTGCAGGAGGCCCCGGACCAGAAAGCCATCGTGCGACAATATTGCCGATACACGGGTGAAGTCCGGACCGGGCTGAATATTAAGCAGACCGTCGGGCGCGCGCTTCAATTCGCGAATAGCACGCCTAAGGGCCCTGTTTATGTCGCCGGCGCGCGCGAGGTTCTGGCTCAGGAGATCCAGCCGTATTCGCTGCACCAGGAACAGTGGGTCCCGATTGGGCCGAGCGCGCTCCCGGCTGACGCCGTTGCCGATATCTCTAAAGCTCTCGTTCGGGCCGAGCGCCCTCTTATCATCACGGGCTATTCCGGCCGTGATCGTCGCACTCCGGAGCTTCTCGTCGCTCTGGCAGACCTCGTTCCAGGCGTACGCGTTCACGATACCGGCGGAAGTGATGTTTGTTTTCCCTTCACCCACATCGCCTCCGAAGGTTTCCGCCTCAGCTTTGATGAGTGCACTAGAGACGCCGATGTGATCTTCCTGCTCGACTGCGATGTGCCCTGGATCCCTTCCCGTAACCCGCCGCGGAAAGATGCCAAGATCTATCACGTAGATAGCGATCCGCTAAATCAGCAGATCCCAGTTTCCTTCTTCCCTGCCCACGGACGTTGGAAAGCGGAAAGCTTCACTGCGCTTACGCAGCTGGTCGACCATATCAAGAATGACGCCTCGCTCGCACATACCCTGGAAGATCCGAAGTACGCAGCTCGTCGAGACACTCGTGCCCAGGTCTACGAAGAGCGCCAGGCTAATATCGCTTCGAAAACTCGCTTGGGCGATCAAGAAGCGCTGGATGCACACAATATCGGCAGCCTCCTGAGGACGACGCTTCCGGATGACACAACCTACGTCATCGAAGCCGTGACGGCCGCCCAGACACTCTCCGACCAGCTACAGCCTAGCCGGCCGGGAAGCTGGATCAACTGCGGCGGGACAGGTATCGGGTGGAGTAACGGCGCGGCGCTGGGCGTGAAGATGGCGCTGGCTGACCTCGAGAAAGAGGAGGGCCATAAGCCAAGCCTCGTGTGCCAAGTAGTTGGCGATGGGAGCTTCATGTGCGCTGCGCCGTCGACTGCGCTGTGGGTCGCAAGCAAGTATGAGATAGCGATTCTAACAATTGTGTTGAATAACGGAGGTAAGTCACGTCACATCAGCAGCTCATCTGCCAACCTAGGCCAAACAGGCACACATCCTGCCATCTATGCTAGCATCCCGCCACGATTCTATACTCGCGCACTAATCTTCCTCCTTCAGGCTGGAAAGCCCCTCGTAAGTCCACGGAGCTCGTCTATCCTAACGGTCTGAGCATCTCGGCATCCGATGACGAAATTAACGTCTCTTTCCGCCCGACGCCTAATTACGCCGCATTATCCGAGGCCGCAGCGGGGTCGGAGGTTGGTTGGAGGAACTCAACGGAGAAAGGAGAAGGGTGGATGAAGGGTGTACGCGTTAGGACGGTGGGAGATTTCAAGGAGGCGCTGCGACACGCAAACTCCAGAGTGGCCAAAGATGGCAAAGGGATGTTGGTTGAGGTGTTATTGGAATAACAACCACAATTTTATAGACGAACCGGGCCGACGTAGTTGCAGCAGCTCGCCTCAGACTCTATCACATTCATACCACATTCATATACCCACCTAACTATGTAGGTATTATGGAGTATTGGGCCGTGGCTCAACACGTAACCTCGCCATCCTACGCGCAGTCCCCTTCGCCCACATCCTAGAACAGCGAATATTACGACTTGAGCATTAGTGGCCGCCCCATCCCACCCCCGAAGCAGATAAGGTCGGCCAAGGGGCAATAACGCCGAGCCGGATACCCCTTCAATCGTGTCGCAATAGTAGACTAATATTGTCTTACTTCTACCCGGGCATAGAATAGGGCTATGAACGAAGCAGGCCACTGCACAGGAACAGGTTAGGTAGTCTTGGTGGTTTACCGTACCTGACAGGAGGAACTACTATAGTTTTCAATCTATAGGTTCCATGGAGTCGCGCCCTGCGCCGCATAGGGAAGTCCGGCCGCGATACGTAGGACCGCCCACGTGCCATCGTATTCGACCTTCTGCATCCAGAAGTCCTCCGATGCTCCCGCCGTAGTGGCGCAGGTACCGGACGGAATCCCAGACGCGCTGGCGCTATTGGATGTGATGAGAAACCTGCGAGCTACGGATTCTAACCGCCGCGGACGTGCTTCTTGCTGCAGAAGGCACAAGTTATCCGAGGCACGATGGCGGAGGATTCCCCGGCGGGAGGACGCGGCGGCATTAGTAGCTGCAATGGGAAGGTCGACTCGCGATGGGTTCGCGCCATCCACCCTCCGGATTACGCTCGCGTGCTCGGTCGCGGTCTGTGTCGCGATGCAGTGATGCATCATCTTATAGTAAATAAGATCTGGTCTCGCTGCGGATTCTACCTACAACTCGTTGGCTTCATGTCATTCGCCGCATCGTATATGCGTCCTTCACCATGAAGCTTCTTCTAGCTCTGTGGTCGCTCGGCGCCCTCGCGGCTGCGGACGTCGTACACCCGCCGGCCGTTCGGCTTCGTGACGATGGCTCCTCCGATGACTCGACCACCGTCGTCCCGAAGCGCTTCATCGTAGAGTTCGAGGAGGTATGGTGCCCGTCTCCTACCCACTCTCTCACATGCCTCCGGATGCTTGCATCCCCGGCCTCATTTCGCGAGCGCGCGCCTAACCCGTCTCGCAGGGCGAGGACGTCGAAGCCGTGAAGCACACGTTCGAGGCCCACCCGGGCGTCTCGATCGTGAAAGCTTTCGACTCTGAGATCTTCGCGGGGCTCAGCATTGAGACCGAGGACTTCAACACCGAGTCGCTGTCCGCCATCCGCGGCGTGAGCCACGCGTGGCAGCTCCAGAAGATCCCTCTGTTCGAGCATACGCCCCAGCAGATTTTCAACTCCGCCATCGAGGCCGGGAATTACTCCACCCACCAAGTGACCGGGGTCGACAAGCTCCACGCGCAAGGCATCTACGGCGAGGGAGTCAGAATCGCCGTCGTCGACACCGGTATTGACTACAATCACCCGTCGGTATGTATCCACGCCTCAATAACGGGCATGGGCTTTCGCTGACGGACCCGTTAGCTCGGAGGTGGCTTCGGCGAAGGATTCAAAGTTTCTGGCGGCTACGACTATGTCGGCGATTCGTGTAAGTAGCCGTCTGCCAGCGGAACACCAATGCCCCTGCGCTGACACAGAAAGTGTGGCCTTACACTCCCAAAGAACCGGACTCGGATCCCGTGGATTACACGGGCCACGGAACTCACGTTGCGGGTATCATCGCCGGCACGAACCAATAGTGAGTCGGATGGCCCGGCCGTGTTTAATACACGGACAGCCAGGAGATTCTCCGTGCGCTGACAGATCGAATGCAGCTGGAGTGGCGTGGCTCCCAATGTCACGCTGTTGGCTTACAAGGTGTTCTCCTCTACTGGCACCACCGACGAAGATACTCTGATCCAAGCCTTCTTGGACGCTTACAATGCCGATGTGAGCAGAGACTACTCATACGTAGCTGATACCAAGAGGGCCCTTATTAACACTTGCCAGGTTGACATCATCACCGCGAGCATTGGTGCAACCAACGGATTTTCGGATAACCCATGGGCCCTTGTGGCCTCCCGTATTGTTGACGCGGGTGTTGTAGTGACCATCTCCGCCGGAAATTCGGGGGCCGCCGGTCCTTTCTGGGGCAACTCGGGCTCGGCTGGCGTCGGCGTGCTCTCTGTCGCATCTGTAGAGGGATCTCAGCTTCCCCTCGACCCTTTCAAGGCAACCTTCACCGACGCTGACGCGGTTTCGAACACGACCACGCTGGGGTACTCCCCTGCCACGTACAACTTCCCCAGCACCGTCGTCGACTGGCCGATTCTGCCGCTCAACTTCAACACCTCGGCCGAGGCCGACGCTTGCGACCCCCTCCCGGACAACACCCCGAACCTAACCAACGTGATTGCCTTGGTCCGCCGTGGCACGTGTCGATTTTCGCAGAAACAGGCCAACCTCGAAGCTTTCGGCGCTCGATACGTGCTCGTGTATAACAACGAGAATCCCTTCGGCCCCATCTCAACGGACAACACTGTCAGCCTCCTGGCCCTGATCACCGCCGAGGCCGGCGCCGCCATTATCGAAACCGTCAAGGCCGGCGGGTCCGTTACGGCCGATTTCGCCGTCAGTCCGGACGCGGTTGTCGGCTTCCCCAACTCGATCGGCAACTTAGCTAACACCTTCACGTCCTGGGGCCTGCTGTGGGATCTCACCTCGAAACCCGAAATAGCTGCACCCGGAGGTAACATCTTCTCGACGTATCTCGACGGCAGCTATGCAGTCCTCAGCGGCACCTCCATGGCGGCCCCTTACGTTGCTGGCGTTGCAGCGCTGTACATCGGGCAGTTCGGAGGCCGCAAGGTGCACGGGGCAGGCTTCGCCCACGCGCTCTCGAAGCGCATCATCGCCTCTGGCTCTCCGCTTCCCTGGTATGACGGGGCGACTATTAACTACGACGCCGCCGCGCCGGTCCCCCAAGTAGGAAACGGGCTGATCAACGCCTACAAGGTGGTCAAGTATGACACCGACTTGGCTTTCGACGTGTTCAACCTGAATGACACCGGCCACCTCCGGACCCATCACCCGCTTACTATTACCAACAACGGCAAGGTGCCGCTGACATACAACTTTACCCTCCAGCCGGCAATCGGTTTCGAAGGTTTTGCAAGCCCAGCGGGTGCCCTCCCCGTTGCTCCGACGTTCAGTGGGCTAGTTACGCAAGAGATCGTCCCGGGCATTGTCCTACCAGACATCACCACTGTCAATCCGGGGGAGTCCAAGACAGTGCAGTAAGTTTGAGGCCGATCCTCTAATATGCGCGGCGACATGGGATGTTCACGCTCTAACGATGACGATAGATTCGAATTTCAGCTTCCCACCGGCTTGAACTCGTCGCTGCTACCGGTGTTCAGCGGCAGGATCGCCGTCGCGTCCGACAACGGAGAGCAGCTCTCTGTACCCTACGTTGGTGAGATCTTGGGCCTATACTAATAATCCTATACCTTCGTTAGATCTTCAGCGCTGACAGTTGATGCGGACAGGCGTCGCGGCCGATCTGAAGACAGAACTCTCGACATTATTTGAACCGCCGTACCCTTGGTCCGTCTCGGGCCTCAGCCGCGAGAGCATCCAAACCAAGTCGAAGTCAGTCCTTCCTGCTGCCAGCACTCGTTTACCTACTGGGCTAGCTAAACAATAACCACAGCTACACGTTCAACCTCACCGCCCAGGACTTTCCCTTTGTCTACACTCGCCACCGGTGGGGAGCCAAGCAGATCCGCTGGGATGTAAGTAACTCCCCGCTCAGGTCGAGACAGAAGAAAAGCGCGTGCTCGCTGGGTTGGCAGGCGAAGGCTGGGCTATGCCGCATGATATTTGCTAACCCCTACGGTGCTCCGTTAGATCTTCGACGCCGACTGGAACGAGGACGACTGGGCTTACCCGCCAGTGGTGGGCGAGAAGAAATACATCGGGTCGGTGGCGTCGTGGAACGGCGCGCTCTACTACGGGAGCTTCCCGGTCGGCGGCAACCCCGACGACGTGTCCCCGCTCCCGGCCGTCAACGTCTACCGCAACGGCCAAATCAGCAACAGCTACTGGGCCTACGCCTGGCTCGGAAAGCTGGCCAACGGCTCCTACATCGCTCCGGGCCAATACAGGTGAGCTAACCACCCCCCCCCCCTTTCCCAATCACCCCTAGGCCTTTCCCCTTCCTCCCATTGTATCGGATGCTATTATGTACCCGAGAGCGCGCAGGGCTTACCAACGTGACAGGTTCCGCTTTGCCGCCCTCGTCCCGTTCGCGGACCCCGAGGGGTCGGACAGCTGGGATGTCTTCGAGACTCCCGAGATCACGGTCCTGCCGTACACCACGCCGACTGACCAGGTTCGCGGGTAGTAAATCCGGGCGGCGTCCGGCCCGGGGGTCTGTGAAAATGGATTTAATTTGATAGCGTGACTCTTCTCCGCATGTAATACTCGCTTGTTTGTTGCCCTCCTGCTTCGAGATGCGAGCGGCCTGAGGGTGTTGAGGTTTGCTGGGCAAGAGGGATATTCGGATAATAATATACTACGTTCCTCGTAGTAAGGCGCGCCGTGTGAATTTCAGAAAGTAGGATGCGACGCTCTTCGAGTTGTGACCTATGGTTGATCGTAACTTTTCGAATCGTGTCGCTAAATATGTTGCCTAGGTATCTGAAATCCTTTCGGAGTCAGATGAGCGGACACTAGCCAGCTCCCGTTTCATTCATGAAACCTGCTCTCTCTTCTTCTTACTGCCTCTGCGGAGGTAACGCCCAGAGCCATGTCTTGTTACACGGTTTAAAGGGGCTCAATAGTCTACCCTCGAGACGACTCTCGTTTGCCGAGAACACGGATATTGAGTCCGATATTAGGTGGGGGATATTATAATTAAGGAACTGGGAGAACAGACAACCAAACTAACCTAGCCTATTTCATCGTCATCTACGGATATCTTGCGGCGGTTATTTGGATATTCACACACGAAGACAGCCGAGGTGCAAATCGCGAGGTGCCTGTTCCCACATGCCCCAGCCGCCACTTGCCGGGAGCGGGGGCCGCTCTAACCCTCTCGCCAAGCTCTATGACGTCGGCGCCTTTTATTACCAGAGGCGTCTTCTACCTCTAGGAGGTAGGTGATTTCGAGTTGGGCCAGAGGCCGGTAAGTACCTCTTACCTTAGAGGTATCTAGGTAGTTATTACCTCCTTAAGAGGGACCCGGGTACCTAGGTAAGTACCTACCTTACCTAGGTGCCTACTTCGGAAGATCATGTCTCCAGCATCCCCCCTTCTTCCCTTCCGTGGTATCACAAAGTCCCTCAAGTACCTACTTACCTCCTGCCTAGGTAGGGTCCCTCTTAAGGTAATAACTACCTAGGTACCTCTAAGGTATCGAGGAGACGGGTAGGAGGGGCGGGTACCTGCTACTCCCCTTTGGCCGTGATATACGACTCGAGTGGTACCTCCCTGCCCGGTGTAAGAGACCAGCGGCATCTGCTTACCTGACCTCTCCCACTTGAATATGTACTAAGCAAATCGCAACGCATAGGTACCTTACCTACAGGTGGCCGCCCCAGGCTTCTTTTCCCCCTCTGCCTCCTTCTTCCTCAACACCGTCTGCTTCTCGTCAACATCTCTTATTCAGCCGAGTGCCCCGGCGATGGCCACGGAGTCCCAACTATCCTAGCTGCGCCCCATTAACCAAGAGAGCTTGATGCCTCTTCTTTAGATTTACCTCTTTTTTTGTCTTTGGGGGCAAATCATCGTATATCCCGCCTATATATAATACAACCTCAGTGCCCATGGCCTTCTTCACCTCGAGCTCTTCAGCCGGCTCTCCCCCCTTTCCCGCTGAAGGCTCCTGTCTCGCAGATAGCCACCTCGAGCCCGCTTCTCGCCACCTCCGCCATAACACCGACCCAAGTCCTAGCTTGGCTGGTCTTAAACCCCAGATGCCCATCATTCGGACTCCGTCGTAGCAAGATGGAATACCAGCACGGCTGCGCTCGCTCTGCTCCAAGTCGGGAGTTGTCGACCACGCACGAGGCATCCAGACCGAATCATGCCGTCAGCTGAGCATGTCGCTGATAGAGAGACGGAGCGCCAGAGCTGGTGCCCTTGAAATCCTCGGTCGCCGCTACCAACCACCCGAACCGCCACAGAGGACCACTACCCCTTTGGACCAGACTCTTTTCGCTCCTTATCCGCCTGGCGTTTCCTCGGCACTGATGCCACCTGCATACCTTCGGAGGGTCGGGAGGAAGCCTACAGCAACTATACTGTACCAATCCGTCGACGAGGACGGCGCAGGGGCCAGTTCTCTCATTTGCAGCGGGATGGAGCACAGAAGACCGCTCATAGAAAGAGTGAACGCCCCGGGGAATCTGCCCTCACTCGCACGGGGATTGCGGAATAACGGCCTAGATCAGGACCCATCTGACGGAGACGAATCAAAAGCAGGCGGGGAGCTCGGATAGAATCCTAGGCTGAGCGCAGATAACGGAAGGACATCTAAATGTGAGAGTAGTGAGTACACCCAGCGGATCTTCATGGTTTCGTTAGAAAACGGGATGTGGCTAATCTTGCAATATAACAATACTCGCCGACCCTTGAATTATTAGATGACCCTTACGCAAAGGCCCGCCATGGCCAAAAATCTGTTCCCGATTCGGCGAGTCCGTCACGGCATCTAGCCAAATCCAATTTCTCGCGAAGGAATTCGCAGACAGTATCGACATTTTCAGTTTCCTCCTTCACCGGATCCTACCAGGCTCCCGACGAAGTTTCGCGGGAAAGCAGCGATCGGGGACGCCAAATGGCCGGACAGGCATTGGCTGAGAACAACCGGCCACTATCCCGGCAGATGCCTACGCGAAGTCAACATCCAAGCGTCGCGGATCTTTGCAAATCTTTCGAAGATCTGTCAAAGCCCCCCTGTCCCGTGACTCAGACGTCCAGGAGGTCCAAGCGACCTTCCGAGACACCATTCATCTGTACTGCTCGACGTAGCGAAGGGTTATTCCGACCCTCCGCTTCTACATATCGGGAGAAGACGGCCTCAGCCACATCCTTTTCGATAAATACTTCGACCAAGGCTTCGAGCGCTCCAGTTCCATTAGGTGTTCAGCCTAGCCAAAGAGCAGCCCAACTGGATGGATCCGGCTTCGACGGGACGTCGCAATTTGCGCACAACTATACGCACGATGGGGAGACAGCAGCAGCAAAGCTGCTCTCTCCAATCAGACAAACAAGCCGAGTTTCCGACCTTCGGAGACGCTTCGAGCGATGCTCACCCCCAAGCTCATCTCCAAAAGTGATGAGAGCTTTGTGGCAATGTCGCCGGCGGAACAAGCCGTCCCGCGCAGCCGACAGAAACTGTGTCAAAACAAGCGATTCATTGGGACGTTCAACGACGGCGGGTGCCCATAATATGGGCTCGTTTGGGATGTCGTCGGTTCCTCGGTTAAACATGAACATTTCCCTAAGCGATTTCTCCTGTGACTTCAACAGAACAGTCGACGATACGGAAGCGGCGGGAGCGAGAAAACAACCCGAAGAAGTCGGCGACGGAGGTGAGTTGACTAAACAGAAGTCGCCCGTCAGAGGTCTCATCCAGCAATTTGAACATCTCGGAGTCTCTTCGACTACTGGCCTATGCCTAGGCAAGCGAGATGAGGGCAAAGACTCCCACGTGCACGAAGCTTTGACTGAAAAGAGTAGTGTCGAAAATGTCAAAAGGCGGGCAAGCTGGGTTATGTTGAGGCAGCGGAGTATTGTAATGTGGCGGCGAATCTCGAACCCGTTTACCCGACCGTCGTATGGTGGAAGTGACGGCAACGTGGATAGAGACAAGCCCAATTCTAGCGTATCGGATAACGCGAGTGTTGCTGAGCTATGTCCTAAGCGATCTCGACAGCAATATCGCCGTTCAGACGTTCCTAGCTGCGATTCGCATCATGGACTGGCCCGCTCTTCGCCCGACGTCCAATTACCCAGCGAGCGAAATACCAATGTCAAGCATGAATTGGCGGTCAAACCCAAGGACCAGCCTCAGTATCTAACAAGGAGCCCGTCCTTGTCGCGCTGTGCCTCGCCCAACGTAACCGATCCTTCACTTCTACACCCTCCGTATGATCGCCTACGGCCTTCGAACGAGCTGGTCAGTTTTGACCTTGATGGTTCCGAACTTTCCAAGGGACGCAAGCATAGGGACACCTCTCTCGACGGGCAAAGTCGTGATTCTCCCGATCCGCCCCCCTCTTGGGCCGCCTCCCAAAACAGTCATGAGGCCCTGCCTCCCGTAGGGTCAATGGAAAAGATGGCGGAACGTAGACGCCGGCGCCTCGAAAAGAAAAGATTTGACCAAGAGGAGAAAGAGAAGAAAAAGGAGAAAAAGGCAAAGGGCAAAGGTAAAGAGAAGGATACGTTACCCAGCGAAATAAAGGGCCAGGGCATCGGAGGGGACACACAGGGTGGGGGAAAGGAGACTGAGGTGGCGACTGAAAAGGAGAAGGAGAGCAGTTTGGGTAGGATGGCCGGATCGGGCTTTGTAGTGCGCCAGGTCAACGGCGTGAGTCTTAGGCACCCGAAGCCCAGGAGACCGGGGCAAGTCCAGAAGATTATCAACATGTTTAAGGAGAAGACTAGGAGCGGATCCAAACTGACCAGTGGAAGTGGCATCGGGTCCGCCTCTGGCGGGGGAAGTGGTTATGCTGCCGCAGTCAATGAGGGGGCAAAGTAGACGGTGGGAACGAATTAGTAGCACGAGATTCGCGAGATAAATAAGTCGTCGTTAGAGTATATTGGCTAGTGCGCAGTCGACGAAAAGGGAAGATGGGGATGAGACTACCATGATGGAGAGGTTGAGCAGTCGGCGACCACCTAATGAACCCTTTTACTCAGGGGAGGCGGGAGAAGGAGAGGGAACCATAGCTTACTTATTGAGTACTCGATACGGAGTATACACTTATTCCCTAGCAAGAGAAAGACGTCAATCCCGATTCTGACACATTTTAGGTAGAGGGTACTGTTTTCTGTCATCGGGTAAAAACGATACGGGGTACGTGCTCGGGCCGGCCGCATACCTTAGGTAGATATATGGAAGATCAGCTACCGTCTGCGTACAGGCCGCCGTCCGGCCTCTTACGGCATCACGCACCGTACGTAGGTCCCGATACGAAGGAAGCCTGGACGTTTTAAAACAGCGAGGTTGGTATATCCCACATCTCTCCCTCCCTCCCTCTCTCTCTCTCTCTCTCTCTCTCTCTCTCTCTCTCTCTCTCTCTCTCTCTCTCTCTCATTCTTCTCACTAGCTTCTGTCGCCTCCGCTCTTCTCCCTTTCCCTTCCTTTTCTCACCCACGACTCCTTGTCGCAGCAGGACACACCAAAAAGAAAAACCAGTCGACGCCTGTGCCCCCTCCCCCCCTCCCCTCCCAAAGCCGAAACAAGGCCTCAACACCCGGCGAGCCCCATGCCGCGCCCGATCTTGCGCGCGAGCGCCTTCTTGAGGAACCACTCGCGGGCGAGGGCGCGGGTGGTGCGGGCGAAGACGGCGGGGCCGACGCGGCCGCGCTCGACGGCGCGGCCGAGCACGAAGATGGCGTCGGCGAGGGCGCGCTCCTCGGCGGCCACGTCGTAGAGCTGGTTGGCGACGACGGTGGGGGCGACGAGCAGCTCGTCGACGTCGGGGGGCCCGCCGTCGGGGCCGGGGCCGGAGCCGGGCGGCGCCGACGCGCGCGCGCGCGCGCGCTCCGCCACGTGGTCGGCCTCGCGCAGCGACCGCTGCAGGATCGCCGTGTTGGACGCGAGCAGCGACGAGAGCGGCGCCAGGGCCGCCGTGTCGGCCTGCAGCCGCTGCATGGCCGCGAGCATGGCCGCGCGCTGGGCGGCGAGCCCGGCGAGCGACGACTCGTTCTGGGCGCGCGCGCGCTGGCGCAGGTCGTGCAGCGTCGACGCGAGCTGCCGGAGGAGCATGTCCTTCTCCGGGTTCGGGGGGATCGGCGGCGGGGCGAGGTGCGAGGCGGACGACGAGGGGAGGGCGAGGGAAAATGGTTCGTCCATCAAGTCGGGAGGAGGCGGCGGTTTCGGCTGCGGTTGCGCTAGAGGTTGGTGCGGTGCGGGTTGCCAGTTCGGAGGCGGCTCGGCGTAGGGGGACGGGCCGGGCCCAGGAGGAGAAACAGTCGTAGTATAAGGGGCGGCGGGCGGCAATATCATCGATGCGCGGCGGGAGTCTTGCGGCGCAAATTCGGGCGGGGGGGGTCCGCCCTGCTGATAAGCGTGCTGATTATGTGGCTGTGGTTGGTAAGGGATGTTCGGAGGCGGATGCTGATAGGGTTGCGTGGTTTGAGGACGTCCTTGCAGGGGCGGTAATGGGGGTGCGGAGTCGTATCTAGAGAACCGATTCGACTGCGGCGGCGGCGGCGGCGGCGGCGGCGTCGTCGTCGTCGCTGCAGCTTGCGCGCCATACTGGCTTGAGCGCCGCCGGAGCTCGTCTGGTAGAGGAGGTAGAGGGGGGGCGTCCGGGTGCGTGGTTGGACCAGACACGACTTGCGGCAGATCGCTGCCTTTCGGAGGCGGTAGCGGCGGTCTCGAATCCTGCAAGCCGAACGCCGGAGCTTGCTGAGGTGCGTGCCGCGACATGTCTGGAGGTAAGGGGGGTACGGGTGGGGGAGTGGGAGTGGGAGAAGCGTGCTGCGGTAGCGGGGCACGAGCCTGCTGGCGCGAGACTACGGGAGGCTCCTTGGCAAAGATGTCTCGAAGTATGGCGAGAAAGTCCAGGAGGGAGGATTTCTACAGCGACCGGCGGGGTTAGCATGGCTCATGCGGGAGTTGGGTATGCTGGTAGGTATGGCAACTAGAGAAGGTCGGCGGTGGACTCACATCCCAGAATTCGGCCCACCCGACGAGGTAGGGGTGGTATATGCGGCCTTGGGGATCGACGTGCTGGCCCGGGCGGACCATCATGTTCTCGGTGGGGGTGACGTAGCCCAGGGGGGCGTCGCGCGGGTAGGCGTGCGGAATCCATAGCGAGATAGGGAAGCGATAGGTGGTTCCGCGGAAGACGACGGGAATGGTGCCGGAGAGGTGGAGGAGCAGGGCGGACACGCCGTTGTCGAAGGCTGAAGGCGCTGGTCAGGACAGACTCGGGGCGGGGTGGGGAGGGAAGCATCATACTGTGAACGTCCGTCCGGGGAGAGAGCGAAGGGTACTGGGAGAGGGCCTGGGCTACGTCGTTGTAGGTTCGGTTGACGTCCTGGTATTCCTGCGAAGCGACTCATTCGGTTAGGTACCCATCGCGGCAGCATTCGAACGGTAGATAGTGTGTAGGCATGTATAGTTGCTTCGTCTTACGCTGGTGAGGACGCTGTAGAGCCAGTTCAGGACGTGCTGCTGGACGACCATGTTGGCGTGCCTGGCTGGGGGTTGGCGGTGTCGGAGGGGCAGCGGCGGCCGCGCGTCATGATACGGTGCGGGCGGCGGTTAGATGGAGTTGGCGTTGTAGGCAGATGGGAGGACGGGGTTTGTCGGTTGTGTGTTGTGTGCTGTGTGTTGCATGGGACGGAAATGAGATGCAGGTAACGGGGATGTGGGATATCGCGGTACGTCATATGTGTGTTGCGGGGCACAGCCACATGACACCAGCCTCCGACCCCGCCAAGCCTGACCCAGTTCCCCCCACACCTTGGTCCCCTCTCTCTCGTGGCCCTCCTTCTTCTTTCTACACCTTGCGGCGGCGGCAATTGTCGGGTCACACATCCGGCTACGCCCGGCATCGGCCACTTCCAGCTCTTCCTCCGGCCGACTTACGATCAATCTCACGCAGACTCTCACGCAGACTCTCGCGCAGAACCCCTCCCCCCATTCACGCGTCCCAAGGCTCCGGCGCTGTAAGTTGAGAACTCCATGAGAGACTCTAGGTCACGGAGTACGCGGCACGAGGGGGGAAGTACCTGAGGTACTTGAACGGCCTAGAGAGATACAGTACTCGAGGTACCCACTTCTCAACCTTCCTACATACAGGTACCTAAGGTACCTGTTAGAGGTAGGTACTTACCTACCTAAGTATCTACCTAAGTGGGTACCTTCCTGTACCTACCTAGGTACCTATACATCTACAGTCATCGCTCGGGAGCGGTTGCCATCACAAGTACTAACGCCGCCCGGCCTCGCCTCGGTCAAGACCGCGCCTTCTCTGTGTTTCGATGGTGTTATACTTGATGGTTATTACCTTGCATTCCCCCGTCGCCCTTTCCGCTTCTGGCCTGGGCAGAAGAAGAGATCGAAAAAAGGAAAAAAGGAAGATTCGCCCCCCCTTCAATGACGCGACCTCGTCTCGAGTTTATATAAGCCGGAGTACACTTACTCCTCCCCCTTTTCCTCCCTCCCTCTTCACCTTTCTTTCCGACTGGAAAAAAAAAACAACCTCTCCGTCTTCCTCTCGACTCAACTCCCCCTCTTCGCATGTCCACGACAAACAGGTGTTCTCGCACGGCTGAGGAGTATCACAGCATAGTATCTGTATACTCCTTGCGTCAGGACCTATCTTGTTTGCCCTCCTTCAGCTTCTCGACTACGAGCCATCTCCTCTGAAAGAAACCCGCCCGCTCTCCCGGCTTCCTCGCCAGGTCAAACCCGTCGAATCTCTCAACCGCAGTAACAGCAGCAGAGTAAGATTCCCAATCAGCATCTCTCTCTACCCAGCCCGCCTGTCTCTCCGCCGAGATGAGAGCCCCCATCCCCGACCTCGCCGAGTATGGAATCTCGCCCAGGTATGGTTTCTTGCCGGACGTCTTACCCTTGACGAGGCTCCCGGATCCCTACTACAACAAGTGGGAGACCGTCGCCGCTAACCTCCAGAACCTGATTCTGACCCGGCGCCTCCGCGGCATCATCGACCACTTGCCCGTCCTCTCCACCGTCGGTCTGGAACATGACGCCGAGTGGAGGAGGGCCTACATGCTCCTCACCTTCTTCGCTCACGGCTACATCTGGGGAGGTGACTCTCCCTGCGATCGTGTGCCGCCGAGCATCTCGGTGCCGCTGCTCGACATCTGCGAGCACCTCGAGGTCCCTCCCGTCTCCACCTACGCCGCTTCGGTCCTGTGGAACTTTAAGCCCCTCTTCATCGACGAGGGCATCGACGACCTCGATAACCTCGCCACCCTGCTGACCTTCACCGGGTCTCTCGACGAGTCCTGGTTCTACCTCGTCTCCGTCGTCATCGAGGCCCGGGGCGGCCCTATCATCCCCCTGATGCTGGCCGCCATCGCCGCCGCCCGCCAGGGCGACAGCGCAACCGTGACACGTTGCCTGCGCGCCTTTGCCGAGCGTCTCGACGTCCTCGGCCGCCTCCTGCACCGCATGCACGAGAACTGCGACCCTGGCTTCTTCTACAACCGCATCCGCACCTTTCTCGCCGGCAGCAAGAACATGGCCGAGGCCGGCCTGCCGCGCGGTGTCGTGTACGACGACGGCTCCGGCGACGCGCCCTACGTCCAGTATAGCGGGCCGAGCAATGCTCAGAGCAGCCTTATTCAATTCTTCGACATCGTGCTCGGCATCGAGCACCGCCCGACGGGCGAGCGCCCCGACCCGTCTTCCGAGTCGGAGCGCGAGGGTCGGAGTGCCGTCCCGCAGCACAACTTCATCCGCGACATGCGGCGCTATATGCCGGGCCCCCACGCGCGCTTCCTCGAAGCCGTTGCCGCCGTCGCCAACATCCGCGAGTTCGTCGAGGCCCACGCCGTGTCCGATCCCGCGCTCGGCATCGCCTACGACGCCTGCCTCGTCATGCTCCGCGTCTTCCGCGACATCCACATCGCCATCGTCACGCGCTACATCGTCGTGCCGTCGCGCGAGAAGCGCGCGCGCAGCCGCTCCCGCGGCCCCGTCGAGACCCGTCAGCGCCAGAATCTCGCGACCGCGTCCCGCAACGAGAAGCAGGGCCGCGTCCGCGGCACCGGTGGCACGGCGTTGATCCCCTTCCTCAAGCAGGCCCGCGACGAGACGGCGGAACCGTCGATTGCGCCGTGGGCCCGCAGCTTCTCGATCCGACAGACGAAGCCGTCGGCGCCCGCCGGCGGCTTCTTCGCGGACACGGAGCGCGACGGCGATGGTGGCGACAAGTGGGGCACGCTAGAAGAAGAGGAGGAGCAGGCAGAGGAGAGCGGCGACGGCGCACCCGTCGTCGTCGAGCACGGGCTCGCAGGCACCTGGACTATGAGCGAAGACTACGGCGGCATCTGCAACTACTGAGATGCGCGCGAAAGGGTGCTATCACTACTGGTGACTATATACCTAACTTATATACCTGCCTATAGAGCGGTGATAACATGCCTACCTATAGCGCTCCAACAACCCACCTCCAGTCGCATATAGGGAATGCTTACCTATGAGCATGCACACTAAATATACATACCTATTTACTTGTTCTAGCGCTCGCGGCCGTCTGACCAGATACGCGAGGCTCGGTAGGAGACCTGCAGTGTATTCCTCCCCCCCCATCCTCCCCCCACCCTTTCCCCCGGTTTATGCTAATCTCACTCCCGGTTACTCGTTACTGTTACCTGCTACCGCTGTTACCGTTATCGTTACTCCCTGCGTGCGTTTGCATGTACCTAGGTATCACAGCAGCGGGAGGCGGCTCCTGTTAGTGCTTACGTCTCTAGCTTTTCTTCTTCGTCTCCTAACGACATCTCATTATCTCGTTTAGATAGAATGCGTGACGTTAAATATACTTCTCCTGACGACATCGGGTGTTTGATTGCTCGTGAAGAGTAGATGGATGGATGGACGGATGGGATGGATAGGCGGACAGATATAGGTAGGTTAGGCACCTGAAACGGTAGGTAGGTAGACGGTTTCTTTTTTGACAGCCGACAGTGCGAAATTCATGAAAGCCATCCCTCTAGCCCCCCGCTTCCCCCCTAGAAAATCTGAGTGTATGCGCGGATTCGCTTGCTTGATATCATTCATCACGGTCGTTAGAAACCCATCCCCCGTCTGTCCGGCCTCCGTTCCCGCTCGCCATGTGCTTTCCCTGGGTACTAAGCCCGGAGGGGATGCTCGGAAATAAATACAGTAGGTACAGTTGGCCAGCTTTTTCCCCCCCCAATTCGTCCTCCGCCTCATCGTCGTCAGTCTGACCAGCGAGTTTGCTAGTGCCGACGGATATAAACTATGTACGCCCTTCCCCTCTCTCGCCCCAAGCGCCGCCGCATCCTATGCCTAGAGGAGCACCCAGGCTCCCCTATCTCAGCCAAGCACGGAGAAGTGAAGGGGAGAGTAGCCAGGCAGATACGCAGCCTCACGGGGATGGCCACCAATCGCAGCGCGCGCGTGTGTATATAGACGTCATTCCAGTTTCTATACTCTTCTCTCTCCCTCCATACTCTCCCTCTCTACCACTTGATCACCTTCTGGGGGAAGAACTCGTCGATGAGCTCGAGGTAGTAGGGCTTGAGGGTCTCGACGTCGGGCACGGCGTCGCTCTTGCTGTACAGGTCGTACGGGTTGAACGCGAGCACGGCCCGCAGCATGTCCTCGTCGTGGGCGTTCATCAGGTGCCGGTACGCGCCCTCGCGGTGCCACGGGTAGAAGCTGTGGTAGCGGATCATGGCGAGCGCCTCGGCCGGCAGCGTCGACTGGTCGCGCACCACGTGGTACAGGTATTCGTCGTGGCCCCACGACAGCATCACGTTGTCGAGCCCGCACCCGGGCGCGTAGATGCCGTCCCTCGTGCTGTAGACGGGGTCGCTCGAGTCCGGGTTGTCCCCGAACGTGTCCGCCCCGTAGATGATGCCCGCGGCGTCGAACGCGCACCCGACCGGGAACGTGTCGCCGACCACGTCCCACTGGCCCTCGGACCCGTAGAAGTACAGCAGCTTGCCCAGGTCGTGGATCAGGCCCGTCAGCTGCATCCAGCGCGGCTTGCCGTCGCGGCGGATCGCCTCGGCCGACTGCAGCAGGTGCGCGATCTGGGACAGGCTCGTGTCCGGGTCCGACTCGTCGATGAGCGTGTTGAGCTTCTCGATCGCCTGCCAGACCGTCATCTCGTCGCGCGGCGGGCCGTGCCTGAAGCGGTTGCGGGCCCTGAGGTTGAACGCGACGGTCTGCTTCGCGTGCTGCTCGCGGTAGAAGTTCTTGACCCGGTCGCAGGCGTCCTCGTACTGCCGGAACTGCGTCTTGTCCTTTGCCGAGTCGAACTTGGACGCCGCGTCGTACTTGGCCTGGCCCTTGAGCACGTTGACCGCGTCGATGTCGTCCGCGGTCGCCTCGAGAGCAAACCCGTCCCTGGCCGAGGTGTCGTCAGCGAGAACGCCCGGTGCCATCGCGCAGATATTGTGCTGTGAGGGACAGTAGGTGTACTGTATGGTGGTGTGAGTGGCGAGGGGGGAGAAAGGGGGTATCCGAGTTAAGAAGTTGGAGGAGAAGAAGGTCTTCGAGGTGTCTGAAGAACGAAGCAGCTTCATCTCACCGTCGCTTGTCGTCGTCAACCCCCATATATACCTAGAGGCGGCTCTCGCGCACGCTGAGCTGCCATGAGCCACGTGTAAGTGGTACAGCGTAGCGTAGTGTAGTCGACATACCAGGTCTCTCCTCTGCGTTAGCCCCCGACGATATTGGACCCTCGACTGGATAAGGCGAAATTCGCCGAAGCATACCCTTCACACCCCGTACCCGTCTATCCCCCGATGAGTACGAAACCAGGAACACTGCCCCGGTGGGGCAGAATCGGGGTAAAATCCACGATCCGCGAAAAAAGGGAAAGATTCCCCGGCACTAGGGGTAGATCATATCCTGCGCCCCGTCACCAAGCAATTTCCCAGCTTTTTCCTTCCTAAGGCGGGCACCCAAGCGTCACGTAGACCATTTTTTTTCTTCGTTTTCTTTTTCTTTTTTTTTCTCGGTATTTGCTCGCTCTAGAACCCATTAGATTCCCCGCGTTATGGGCCTTGGGAATGCGGGCCCGTCCAGATTCGGTAGTCTGGGGCGGTTGTGAGGCTGCCGTGAAAGGTCACACCCCCTCGAGTGCCCTCCCCCCCCTCGGCGGTCCACGTAGCAGCCACCTACGACGCTTGCTACCTCAGAACCCCCCTCGGGTGCCCTGGCCGATCCATACACAAGTCCTTTATTCGTCATTATCCGGTATCCAGCCCCATGCTTTCTTTAGTTGTTGTTGTATAGCCGCTGTCGGGCGGGCGTGATCCGCCTCGGTTCTTCTGAGGAGGTCGAGGAGGGCCTCCTGGTCGGCCGGTTCGCTGAAATGGTCGCCAACTACACGTACAAGCCGAGCCGGTTAGTTTTATTAACCATTATTAATGGCGCGCGGGACGTCTCCATACACATCGCGATGCCCATGCATGCAGTGAACATGCTCGGCGGCGTCCACTGGTTGCAGACCCCGATCCCGCAAAGCTCTCTCACCAGAGTCTCGATACGATGCTGCCGTCGCATTAGCGTCCCTAGCCAGGCCAGGCAGGCAAGCAGGTAGATCAGAATCTATCGCGTCGCGCGCGAATCAACTCACCGTCATTTGCTTTACCGCTGCCCGACGACGTGTACCCACTTTGGGGATGGTGGGATCGAACTGGGTCAGGAACAGCTCCGCGAGAATATGGTGCTGAATCCCGATGACTGGCGAAGGGGGGGGGAAAGATTGAGGTTAGCTCGCGCGCTCGCACCCCGCCCTTGCGTTGGGCCTTGGGCAGATATCTCGCCGAATTCTCATCACTTACCGTGGCAGCTCGACCCGTGCCACACTTCAGGGAAGGCCAGGGTCGGCGTACGCTCCCGGTAGAAAAACGGGTTGAAGGAGGTAGGTCGAACGATGGACCACTTTTTGGCCGCTTCGTTGAGCGCGTTCCAGTGGCCCACGGCGGAGGGGCTATCTCCGAAGCAGAAGTTGAGGACGTCGGCGAGTATGATGATGGCACGATTCGACCACGTGTAGTCGTCGGCCGGCTCGAAAGATCGGTCCACCACGAAGTGGTCCAGGCTGACCTTGACCGGCTGCTGCGTTATCACGGCGATATATATTTCTTGCCGCAGTCCTACCCAGAACGACGCAGCACTCAGGCTACCCGACACCATGTAGTGGTCTCCGACGTTGACGAAGGCGTGGATGCCGAGCAGGTGGCTGTAGTTGTCCTGGCCCGTCGTTGGAACTGCCATCAATCGTTCTTAGCCGAGCGTCCCCTCTTCCCTCGTATTTCCCCGTCCACATATACACATATACATATATACGTTTTGTCTTACCATCCATCTCCTCGAGCATGCGTAGGATGATCGTCGCTGCAAACAGGTTCTCGTCCGACACGGTCGAGGCATGATCTAACATAGGGATGAGGTACCTGAGGCACTCGTCGTGGTACCTGTTCGAGGCGAGCGGGTCGAAACCCGTCGTATGGCTCAGGTGCCTCGCCGCTATGGCAAATATCGCATTCAGGAGCGTATGACACCCCCTGGCCCGCTCGGGGACGACGAGTTCGAAGTGCCGAGACGGGTCGCATAGGTCCAACTGATTCCGGTCAGCTCTCTCTACATCGCCACCAACCCCCTCCTCCCCCTCCCTCTTCCTCCCTCATTTCCCCCCGTGCCGCGCATTGCGCACCTTGGCCCGACTTACACAGATTGCTAGTTTCTGGATGTAATGTCGAAATAAGAGCGCCTCGGTTCGGTTCTTGAGCGGCAGCACCGGGCCGTTTTGAATCTCGGAACCTGGGATATCCCCGGAAATGGGCATAAGCGTGTGGTCTGTAGAGTCTGGGGATCGCGTGTGGGCGGCCCTGACAGCTTCGGCTTCTAGGTGGTATCGGCGAGAATGGCCCTCGGTTACGGGGCTAATCTCGCACGGAAGCAGGTCGTAACGTCTTGGTGAATGCCTATGTCCCGCTCGAACAACGTCGACTGGCTGGTGTCTGGCACCCTTGTCTTGCCTGGACCTGCTGGGTGTTGGCGAGATAGTGTCGGGAGAGACCGCGCCCGAATCCTCCATATGAGCCCTAACAGCATGAAGCTCCAGTTGGGATATGTCGAGCGGCCTTCCGGTCGCCAGGTGTCTCGACTCGTCGACATATATCACTTATAAGCTTTAGTCGCGTGTGAAATCCTCCCCCGCGGCGACGTTTTCTCGATGGTACGACTTACAAGCCCGGGGTGGCTTCAGCCATCTTTGGTCTCTACTGAATGTATCTGCAGGAAACCGTTAGGGCCGGCCTTTACGCAACGCTGCGAGACGCTCTATGTATATGTGTGCATGTAGGTAATATCGTGCCTTTGCTAGGCTTGAACTTGAAGCCGAGTTTGCACTCGCGACCGGCACGGACACAGCGGCCGCATCTAGGGACCGAGCGATCGCCTATCGTTGGACAGATTAGTCCCCCCATACTCAGCAGGAGAGGGATACAAATTGCCCGCCAGACATATCTCACATTTCAGGTGATGTTCGCGGCACGTAACGCTATCTCGGACAAGAGAGAGTATCCAGGTCAGCAATTAGTCGGGCCCCAGCAGCGTCGGAACCGCGAGCCTGCCCGAGACATGCAACAAGGAAAATGACAGGTATCGCCACGTCGCCGAGAGATGTGCTTGTCCTCGACGCGATTAGGGTGGAGGGGGGGGAAGGGGCGGCCGTACCATGGTGTAGCCAGCAATTCGGTCTGCTCTGGTGAGGACATTCGCGACGTCGGCGGCCCCGCAGGCACCACGATGCGCTTTTCCGGTCGTGTTTACTACGCTTGGAGTCGAAGCGAGCCCCAAAGTTTCGCTTGGAAGGGGGGGACGACGCGACCGAAGAGGGACAAAACCGGCGAGAAGGAAGAGGGGAGGGAATCCAAAATAAGCCAAAGCGATCCCCAAAGTTGGGCAGACTTGTCCCGAATACTTATCGAGTTTCAAGCTTTAGCTCGGGGGGGCAGGGCCAACAACATGGGGTTGTTTCTCGCGTAGCGCAGCGCAGCTTCGTCTCCGGGCGTGCGGGAGGGAGACGGAGCTGATGACCATTACCTCGACCCAGTCTGGCCGGTGGCTATTCGCCAGGACCTCTCTCCCCTGGAGCCTGCTGTAATCCTAGTCGGGCCGGGGAGAGTCCCCAGCGTGTCCCCAGCGCATCCCCGGCGCATCCCCAGCGTGTCCCGGACGTGCCCCCCCAGCGCATAGCAGCGTACGCCAGCGCCAGCGTGCGCCAGCTTATGGCAGCCGTCCGAACCAGGATTCGAACCCTTCTCTGCGGTTCTTCCCCGCATCCTTTCTCCAACTTCTCTCCACAGCTTTTACTGCTTTGGGTGCTGCGCACCTCAGCAGCGCTATACACGGTATGCCCAGGGTTGAAAAAAAAAAAGTTTCGATTTTCAAAACTCAAGTTAAGTTTTGAGAAAAAAAACCTTGAGTTGAGTTAGGTGAGTTTCTATTTTTGAAACTTTTTTTCAAGTCAAGTTAAGTTTCCGCTTTGTTATAACCCTGAGTATGCTGTTATAGCAATACCCTCCCTCCCAGCGCGTGTGTGCCAGGGGGGGGGAAAGGGGAGGGGAGGGGGGCAAAACTCCTGCCGCGCTAAACCGGTTTGGATGCTGGCAACCTGCCTCGGGATCGCCTCTGGCTGACTTCCCCGACGCCTGTCATCGTGTTAACATAAATGGGAGTGGCCTGCCTGTCCTGCATCTCAAGCCACACGACCTGGTGATAGGTGCGACACGCCCGCCTCTCAACTGTCGCATACACACCCTTTCCTACGTGCGCTGCCCGGGGCGAAGGCAACTTGCCGACAGCGATAACGACGCCATCTTTCCTTTTTCCCATCACCTCGACAGCGGCCCCCTGTAGCCCTGCCCTACTACACTATGGCCTCGCCAACGGAGAAGAATGTCGACGGCGACGTCCCCACCCAGGCGCCCTTGGGCGCGCTCAAGGAAGAGGGCGCCGCGTCCAGGGATAACTTGTCCTTGGGCGACATGATCCAGAATGCGAGGACTGCGACGGAGAACGAGCACAGTATGACCCTGTTGCAAGGTCTCAAGCTGTATCCCAAGGCTATCGCGTGGAGCGTCCTCATCTCGACCTGCATCGTCATGGAGGGCTACGATATCTCCCTCGTCAATAACTTCTATGCCTTCCCACAGTTCAACCAGAAGTACGGTGTGCCGTCGATCGACGCGGATGGCAATGTCACTTACCAAGTGCCGGCAGCGTGGCAGGCCGGATTGAGCAACGGTGCAGTAGTGGTACGTTGGAGATTCCGCGCATGATGCCCATGGACTTGGGGTTCGACGCGGACCCTTTTCCTGCTTCCATCCTCCCATTCGGACGACGAATCCCGTGGAGTTTCAGCGATGATGTCGAATGAGCTCTAGGCTTGCGCGATCCGACAAAGACGCTGGTTGCTGGCCACGGTGAGGTTCTGTCGGACGATGAACTGCTGTTGACCACCATTCTTCTCTTCGCAGGGCGAAATCATAGGCTTGCTCGTTAACGGCTGGGTCTCGGAGCGATACGGGTACCGGTACACCGTGATTGCTTGTCTCACGCTCCTCATCGCCTTCACCACCATCTTCTTTACCGCCCAGACCGTCGTGCATCTGCAGGTCGCCGAGATCCTGTGTGGTATCCCGTGGGGTGTCTTCCAGACCCTAACCATCACGTACGCCTCCGAGGTCTGCCCCGTGGCCCTCCGTGGCTACCTAACCACCTATATCAACTTTTGCTGGGGCGTCGGCCAGATTATCGGCATCGGAGTCATCATGGGCCATCTCTCGCGTACCGACGAATGGGCGTATCGCATTGTAGGACTTACCCCTCTCCCCTTCTTTCTCCTCGCCACCCTAAGTCTCGGGTCCAATCGCTAACAATCCGGACAGCCGTATGCGCTACAGTGGATGTGGCCGGCGCCTCTGATTGTCGGAATCTACTTCGCTCCCGAGTCGCCTTGGTGGCTCGTTAGGACCGGAAAACTCGAGCAGGCCAAGCGATCCCTGCTTCGCTTGACTAGCCTCAACCGAGAGACCGACTTCGATGCGGATGATACCATTGCCATGATGGTGCACACGACGGCTTTCGAGAAGAAGGTTGATGTCCTCGCCGCGGCGTTCCCGAGTTGCTGGCTAACTCTCGGACGTAGATCACTAGGGGAGCTTCTTATCTGGATTGCTTCAAGGGTGTCGACCGGCGTCGCACAGAAGTACGTCAGGCCCACTCGCCTCTTCCTAGACGGCCCCCCTTAGAACAAGGCTGACTTGGATAATAGATTGTGTGTATGTGCTGGGCGATCCAGAACTTGAGCGGCAACTCTTTTTCCAATTATTCGACGTACTTCCTCCAGCAGGCCGGCCTGTCCAATGACAAGGCGTACTCCTTCGCTATGGGCCAATATGCAATTAACTGTGTCGGCGTCTTCGGAGCTTGGGCACTCATCACTTTCGGAATCGGCCGTAGGTGAGTAACGACGACAATGCCCACGTGTTGCCGGCAGCCCGCCGTTGTATAGCTGGTGCGCGATGCTAACGGCCCTCGCCTATTATCCAGGACCCTGTATCTGTATGGCCTCGCCGGGCTCTTCGCCATGCTCTTGATCCTAGGGTTCCTTGGTTTGGCCGAGGATAGGAATGCGGCATCGCTCGCAACGGGCAGCATCATGTTGGTGTGGGCCCTGTGCTACCAGCTTACCGTTGGCACGGTGTGCTATTCTCTCGTCGCCGAAATATCGACGCGGCGGCTGCAGATCAAGACGGTCGTTCTCGGGCGTATCCTCTAGTAAGATTTCTCCCCCTACCTTGGTCTGAGACAGACAGAGAGAGAGTCCCTTGTGGCTGACAGATGATAGCAATGTGGTCGGAATCATCTGCGGTGTTCTCACGCCATACATGCTGAACCCTACGGCGTGGAACTGGGGCAACTATGCCGGATTCTTCTGGGTAAGTGGGCTATCGGACGTGTCCCCATCCTGCCAGGTCTGTCGGCTCACAGCACATGTCTTCAGGCGGGATCTTGCTTCCTCTGCTTCGTCTACACGTATTTCCGCGTGCCGGAGCCGACGGGACGTACGTTTGCGGAGCTCGACCTGCTCTTCGAGAAGAAGATCAGCGCGAGGAAGTTCGCGGAGACGGAGGTCGACGTGTTCGCGGAGAACATCGAGCAGGACGTGGTGAAGGACTACCAGGACCAGATCGTCGTGTCTCACCGGGAGACCAAGGTTTAAGATGCACGGGCGGGATCGTCGCGGTGGTCGTGGTTCCGATGGCGGGCTCGACGCACGAGGGGAGTAGGAAGAAGAGGGGAGAGAGAAAGGAAGAGAGAGTCGGTGTTGGAGTCGGCAGTGGCCTACTACTGACACAACCAGACGGCCAAGCCTAGCTGTGCGCAGCAGTGCCGGCGGCGGATCCGGCACACATCTCAATGACGTCTTACGTTACGCCCTACATAACCCTACAGAGAGCCTAGGCACCTAAACCTATCCAAGGCTAGGGACCTAGCGAGCAACCTACAGGCACCCACCTCTCTCATCCATTGGCCTGACCTGACCTGACGCATTACCTTAGATACCTACCTCTACTTAAGGTACACTACATTACGGCCTAGGAGAGGTACCTCCTCTGTGCCCCAGAAACCGTCCAGTGAGGTGTTACCGCGCTGCCCCGGCAAGCCATGCCAAGTGCGTTTAGTACATTAGGTACCTGTTGGCGTGGGCAGGTACAGGTTTGACACTCGCATGTCCGAATTAATATAATATCGAGAAGGCAACGAATATCTATCTTATTAGAATAACTGCATTATAACATTATGCTTATATTAGATTATGATAAAATCCGTACCATGACTTTTACTGTAAGTATTTTATACTTACAGCAAGCGTTCGTCATTATTACACAAAGGTCATGTCCATATCGTGTCAGCATTGCAGATATACTATCGATAGATACCCCCCTATGATAGGTAGGTACCTACCATATCATTTACACACGTTAGCCCCTAGTAGCATTTCGTCATGTTGATATTTATATTCATCGGGGTACCTGAGGATACGAGCGAGGTAGCTTGTTGGAAACGGGCATACGGCGTTCGGGAAAAGAACGTGAGGTCGTCGTACCGAGAGCGAATGGCTCTAGGCTGACCAATACTAATAGACGGCTGGCTGGAAGGAAGTTGAATAGTAGAGAGGAGGAAAGCCGTCGTTTTAAAAAAAAAAAAAGAAAAAAAAAGGAGGGGGTTGTGAGAAGCTGCTCGGGGCCGGGTTCGAACTGGCATCTCCCTAGGACTATCCCTCGTCTGCGTCAGGATAGGGAGGGTCTGGAGGACCACCTCGACAGGCCCCTATGGCTAGAGCATCAAGAAAGCCCCGGGTGCTCGACCAAGGAGGTCTAACGACACGTGCTGGGTAGAGGCACTTCCCCATTGAGCTACCCGAGCTTCTGTAGATATGGAGCCTACCGCTGCCCCCGATCCGGTTGTAAGCGTGTCCTGTTCCTAGGTACCGAAACTCGCTGTTTACCCCCATTAGTCTTCCCCAAGACAATGGCTCGTGTAGCTTCTCGGCCGCTAGGCCCGAAGCGCGCGATCGGTAGTCATCGCCCCGTCCCGGGCGTACTGCGGCCGGGGAGCCGGAAAGCCTACGGTTTCTCGAGATCACGTCGTTCCCGAATTCACGAGCAGAGCGAGTGCGAGGATGGAGATGAGTTTTGACATGATGGGGCACACGTAGGCGGCACGTCGCCTCTAGCCCGGTGGTACATCAACACGACTAGGCGGGCTACCGGTTCGGCAGCTGCTTGGACGGCAAGTCTTCCGTGCTCTCTCTGACGGTCTGGCCCTTCTTGTACTCCTCCTCGAGGGCCCTCTGCGTCTCGAAGTCGAGCTGGCGCTCCTTCTTGATGCGCTGCTGCTCCAGGTCGCGCACGACGCCCTGGTGCATCGCCTAGGGCAACGGTTGGGTAAGCGGACCGGTCGTTCCCGAGGACGTGCTCGCACCTACATCCTTTTCAAATTTCTGCTGGAAATGCACGACGACGATCATGCCCACGGCGAAGAGCGAGGTCCCGGCGAGAGTGAGCTTGGAAGCGCGCGACATGGCTGCTGCCGTGCGAGCGGGATCGCGTAATTCTGTCAGAGAACTCGGGTGGGATCTGGGGTTCTCTACGAGGCCATAGCTATGTCCTGCGTACGGTCTGCTACTTGCAGCGACTTGCGTATTATCGAAACGGCCCGTCGCCCGTTAGGTGTGTGCGCTGGTGGTCGACACAGGTGTAAGTGGAGAAGGGAGTTGGAATAGAATAAAAGAGCGTCGATCCTATCCGCCAACAGGAAAGTACTTGGGTACTTACCTTAGGCACTCGATCCGATGTTTTTACCTTGTCACCTGCCAGCCTCCAGTAGCCATCTGGCGCCTCAGCTCCTGCCCGATCTTGCCCCGTCTCGCCCCGTTTTCCTCAAGTACCTTAGGTACCTCTTATGTAATGCTAGGTACCTTTAACAGCGACTTCAGTTCTCTCCGATTACCTGCCTGCCCGTAAACTCGCCGAAGCTCTCTCACATATCTACTAGGTCGGAATCTGGATATAAGCCAATCGCCAACACACGCCTTCATCACCACCGTTTTGGCCGCGAATAGCTCGCCTTTTGCCATCCATCCTCCTCTCCTCTTCGTCATCAACGCTCCGCGAGACCGATAGAACTGAATTCCTTCTTGAAATTAGCAGGATGGTACGTCCAATCAGCATCAACCAACCCAAAACCACCGCTGTCAACACCGCCCTCCCCCAGTTTTGCTCGTAGAGGCAAAGAAGAGGAAAACGAAAAACTCTCCGCTAACCGCCCTCTTCCTCTAGTCGGCCCAGAACTCGGCAGGCATCCAGACCCTGCTCGATGTACGCACCACTCCGCATACGATAATGCCACCCCGCCGAAAACCCGCGTAACAGAGCCTACCCACCGCGTAGCAAGTCTGGCTGACAAGTAGCTCGTGGCGCGCCACGTAGGCCGAGAGGGAAGCTTCCAAGATCGTCCAGAAGGCCCGAGAATGTTCGTATACTCCCTCTACCCGGGCGAGGACCCCCCCCTCCCCCGGTTCCACATACGCCACAGCAGACGGAACGGCTAACTAGCTCCGCCCCCTTCTGCAGACCGAACCAAGCGGGTGCGCGAGGCCCGAGACGAGGCCAAGAAGGAGATAGAAGCCTACCGGCAGACCAAGGACGAGGAGTTCAAGAAGTTCGAGGCCGAGGTACGCGCGGCTGCTTCCTTTCTGCCCCCCCCCCCCCCCCCCCCCCCCCCGGTCCCAGCCGCTCGCGCTAACCACCCGGCGCCGCCGCCGACGACGACAGCACACCCAGGGCAACAAGCAAGCCGAGGACGAGGCCAACCGCGAGGCCGAGATCCGCATCAAGGAGATCCAGGCCGCCGGCAAGAAGGGCGAGACCACCGTCGTCAAGAACCTGCTCCACGCCGTCTTCGAGGTCAAGCCCGTGCCGCCCTCCCGGTCGTGATTCGCCCGCGCCCGCACGCGCTTCTCTTTGTCTCCCCGCGCAAACACATGGCGGACGTACGGACGACGGCGACGACGGCAACGCTAGGACGAAGGGACGAGAGGATAGGGGCGGACAGGTGAGCGAGCACTGGATGTCGACGACGGCACGCCCTTGCCACGTAGCACAATCCATAGCTACGTGAATCCACGGTGATAGGCCCGGAGGGGAGGGAGGAAAGAGGTCAGGAGGATTGCGATCGTAGAAGAGCGACCTGTCGTACTATAGCGCTTGCGTGCACACACTGGTCGTTGTTACTATTACATCTATAAGTTTGGGTTGAGGGGGAGCAGGGAACGAGAGAGATACGACGTCAGTATATAACATGTCGGTTCGACATCGCTCGGATGCAAAGATGGGTTCGCTTATTTGTGCATGTAGAGGAAGAGAACGAGATTCCAGAGTTTTTTTTTTCGTGCCGCGCTCCGTAGGAATCGGTCGACATGCTCTCACCACATTCCACGTTCACGGTTCTTCTAGTCTTTCTTTTGTCCTCGAGTTGCTAAGAATAGCCTTACAAACTCCTTAATCTCGCCCTCATTCTTATCTCTCTCTCCCTCTTCACTACCCCTCCCCTGGCTATCGCAGGAACTCCACCAGCGTCGAGAGCATCTCCTTCGTGTCCTTGCCCTCCGTGTCCTCCACGTTGATCCCCGCGATCTGCTCGCGTATCGTCGCGGCGATCACGTCCAGTGTCTCGTCCCGGTCCGCGAGGATTCCCCGGATCGTGCGCCGCGCGCCGCTGTCCTCCGCCGCGAGCCACGCGAGCACCACGTCCAGGGTCTGCAGGCAGAAGAGCCCGGCGTCGAGGCGGCGCGAGAACCGCTCTTCTGCCGCGTCTTCGTCGTCGTCGTCGTCGTCTTCGGCTCCCTCCCGCTCCGCGCGCATCGCCTCGTCCGCCGCCGCCAGGCGCGCCGCGTACTCGCGCCGCAGCGCGGCGAGCTTGCGCGTCTTCTCGTAGTCCTTCTCGGCGAACTTGGCCAGCGCGCGGACGCGCTCCGGCGAGTCGGCCGGCAGCCGCCGCAGCAGCGACGCGAACACGCCGATCAGGTGCTCCGCCGCGCGCCCGTCGAGCCCCTTCTTCATGAACAGCGTGAAGATGTTCTTGAGCCCGCCCGCGCCGACGACGCGCCGGCACACCTCGGCCGTCGCCGCCGCGCCGCGCCCGCCCACGGCGTGGTCGAGGAGCCGCAGCGCGGCCACCTTGCTCATCTTGCCCTCCTTCAGCATGATCAGGCATAGCTCGACGCCCTCGGCTTCGACGAACTTGGTCTTGCCCTCGGGCTCGTCTACGAGGCACGCCAGCGCCTCAAAGAGGTTCTCCACGTATTCTTCCTCTTCGCCCCCCTTCCCGGGGTCGTGTTTTCGGTAGGGTGCGACAAGCTGCAGCATGATGTCCACGGCGTCTAGGCTAGCTAGCCTTCTTCGGTTCTTCGCCGACGTCTGCACCAAGATCGCGAGGACCTCAGCGGCGTATTGCTTATTCTGGCTGACAGTCTTCTCTTTGATTTGTATCCGCCGTAGTAACCACTTGAGCAACTCCTCTCGTTCCGCAATCTTCTCGGCCGTGACGGTCCGTCCGCACAGGTTCTCCACCACGCTCAGGGCGTAGTACACGCCGCTGCGATCAGCCTCTTGGTCCTCGTCCAGCCTCTCAAAGTTGGACACGAGCAGTCCCAGCAGATCAGCTTCCAGGAGCGCATTGACAAGGGCGTTCCACTGGTCGTCATCGGCCGCTACGTCTTCGTCGGTCAGCTCGTTGACAATCTCGATAGCGTCGATGGCGATGTCGGAGTTCTCGTGGGCTAAGAGTCCGACCAAGCTTGCGACGCAGCCGAGGCGCGCGAATTCGGGGTACAGCTCCGGGTGCTCGGCGAGGATGCTCAGGGCCTTGATGTCGGTATCGAGGTCGGCCTCGCTGGCAATGAACTTTTGTGGCTCGCCCTCGAACTTGGCACGCAGCTCGGCGTTCTTGTTGATGCGCTTCTCGAAGTTGATGGCGGTCCGCCGTAGCCAGGCGCTATCGAATTTTTCGGGCGCCGCGTTCGCATTGGGGTCATCGTTGTCGTTGCCCTCTACATAATCCAGGACGTCGTTCTCCTGTGCCGTGATGCCGCCGCCGTAGAACCGGCCTTCCTCGTCGTCGTCTTCGTCTGGTGGGAGACCCGGCCCATAGCTGCCGTTTCCGTTGTCGTCTTCACCGTCTGGCGGCGGGGGAGCGGGGCCGGCCTCGACATCGTCGTTGTCGTTTGCGGTCTCGTCCTCGGCGCGCGCGTGACGGGGGCTGCGGCCGTTGGATGTGAGTCGGGCAGACTTGTAGATCTCGTCTATGTCGCGTTACAGAGCGTCAGCTTGCAGGATTGAGAGGTTGGCTAACAAAGAGAGAAAGGCGAGCGACATACTAGGATCTCGAAGGGGTTCAAGCTTGCGCTTACTGCGAACACCGGACGCCTATCGCCGCCGTTAGCTGTACGCGGAAAACAGCAGCCGTTGCGAGGAATGCTAAGTTAGAATGGAATGGAGGTGTTTATCGACGTCTCGCGACTCACCTTGAAGAGTTCGTCGATGCTGGTCATTTTCCCCCGTTCTCTCCTTTTTTTTCTTCCCCGGTTGGATTCACAATTCTGGATTTTTGTTGTTATTGCCGTGGAGAGAAGTTGATACTGATGGAGATCGTACGTAGATATGGAGTTATAGAATTATGAGAATACCGCTGTCACCACATAGCTTCTACTTTTTATACGCATTACCTAGCACCAAACGACTGCTTTGGTACATAAATTCCTGTTAGGCGCATACCGTAATATAGCGTGCATCTACCTACCACGCGCATAGGTATCGTCACCGTGGTTTTTCCCTAGGTATTGCTTCAAAATGGCACATGTTAATCCGCTTCATGGCATTGTGCAGGATACCGCATAGGCAGGTAGGTATGCATATAGGTAGGTATTATCCTACCGGTGCAATACTGCCACCAACGCTACCGAAGATCTTAAGCTGTAATTCTGCCTTTGTACCCTCTCCCGCAAGCCTCCTGGCGTAGCCGACGTATCGATTCGGCCTTTTTTTTTTCACTCTCACGTAGTATCTTCGGCTTCAACCCAATAGCCTAGACGGCTCACAGTAAGCAAGTGCTGCTCATTCTTTACTCGCCTTGTTTTCGCACATTGCACAAGCTTCCGGCTATCTGCCTAGGCGTCATTCATTGCCTCTCTCCTTTTCTCGGATTTCTGTGTGTGTATATATATATATATATATATATACTAACTCGTCCTATTCTCTCCCTCACGTTTCCTCTTTCTCCAATCTCGCAACACTCATCGCAGAGCTCCCTCAGATAGGACCGTTTTCATAGAAACTAGCGAGACTTTGCTTTCTTTCTGACGATGCCACCGACCCTAATACTTGTCCGCCATGCGCAGGCCCAGCATAACGCGACGAGTGAGTCCGCCAGCACGGGACCATAAGCATACCTACCCCTTACCCCTTTCTCTCGAGTACAGCTTCTAAATAGAACTTAGAGGACTTTAAAATACCCGACCCGGGCCTGACCGAGGAGGGCCGGGAGCAGTGTGCAGATCTGCGTAAAAGCCTCGTGGAGAATCCGTTGGCTCAGCAGGCCGAGCTCATCGTAGTCTCTCCTCTGCGGAGGGTGGTACAAACTGCCCTACGGTCCGTCGATTGGCTCATAGAGAAGGGCGTGAAAATCGAGGCTCACGCGGGCTGGCAAGGTATGCGGGCCCCTTGTCCTAACCACGTAGCTCCGACGGGGTACCGAGACGTCGCAAGGCGGCAATGGGCCATGTCAGTTTTTCGCTCGGGCTACATCGACGAGCAGACACGTTCTAAGACATATCGATAGAAAACTCGGTCAAGCCCTGCGACACCGGCAGTCCCGTCGACAGGCTCGTCCAGGAGTTCCCCAGCGTAGACTTCTCCAAAGTCGACCCAGTGTTTCCGGACAAGACCTCTCCAGCGGCTAGCCACTACCACTTCACCAAAGAGGCACTCCTGGCGCGCGCTCAAGAATCCCTGAAGCAGCTGTACGAGCGCCCAGAGAAAGTCATCGTCGTCGTATCCCACTCGGCTTTCCTGCGCCTAGCTGTATCCGGCTACTGGTACTTCAACGCCGACTACCGCATCTTTGACTTCGAGCCCGTACACGGACCGAGAGGTCCGTACCGGCTCGAGCAGCACGAATCCACTAGGGAGAAGGGCGGAGGACTCGGTCGGAGTTGGATCGACCCGGTTGTGCTAGGCTCAGAGCTGCCGGTGGAAGACCCGGAGGCAGAAGGAAACGGTAAGAACCGGGGATATTGATGGTATCGATGCTTGTCCCTATTCGACGGTCGATTTTCGAAGCGTACGACTCGGGACGCTACAGCTCCTCACACTCTGCCTTTGTGATGGCGATATCGATGTTTCCCTGCATCCCCTGCCAGCTACTGTCCTACGCCGTCTCGCGTTTTCGCGTTCATACACGGACCAAAGAAAAGACGGTACGGTACTAGTACAGCTCTTATAGCATGTATGAATCTCGCCCCACGAGCCCTTAATAACCCACTAGCAGGATGAAAATTCATGGGATAGGCTGGATATGGGAGGGACCTTTGTCGGTTATATTTTTCCTTCGAGCCAAGCCGCCGGGGTTCGCAAGCACAAACAGTCCGAAAATGGAGAAATTTAAGGCTGGGCATGAGCTCCCGTGCGAAATGCGGCAATCTATTCCTTCTTCAGTGTCCATGAAACCGACGCAATTTGTTTCTCGAATCCCTTACCACCTGACCGGCTCGGGCTTCTAGACGAGCCTCGTATATAGTCAGAGCTCGCCCGCTTGCTGACTCGGATAGACCCAAGCCCCATCGCGTACGTACTACTAGGCAGCAAGAGGCAAGCCACCGACTAGGATGGGAGCTGTACGTTGCAGCCGTATTAGGTATTTGGGTCATCCGCACATATACGAGATCTGCGCCCTATACCAGAAACGTACTACCATCTCCATATCAGACCCCCGTTCCCCCGGTAATAGTGATTCGAGCCAAGCCGAGAGCCGTACAAAATACTACGTAACACGCCCCCCTCCAGTGGTCAATGGCCCCTGGAGAGTGGTCCATGGCCGGTTCGTTTAAAGTCCCGGCGCACCCGTAGGGCGAACCCAGCATGTCAGACTCTCGATGCTCTCGTGGTAGAGAGAACTCGAACCCCAAGGACCGCAGGTCAGCACCGCCCGTCCTCGTCCATTAGTAATGTGTAGGATTCTTTGCAGCCAAGAGGCAGCTCATCATCGCTCCGTGTACGCGTATTAGTTGGCTTGGCGGTGATCTATTCGACGAGAGTAACCAACCCAAACATCCTACCCGAATAAGGTCGATCGATACTTGCTAGGATGCGCTACAACCATATTACGTACACATTGTATGATGCCGCTTGCGATCTTAAGACCTCGTCTGCTTCGTCTAGTGTGTCGACAGTGAACCTCTTGCGAATGAGCCGTAAGCAACCATGTTCATCGGCCATCTGCTACGCCTGCTATGGCTCGCTCCGGCGACCGTCTTAGCGGCCCTCGAGGTCAATCTCGACTCTCCAGGTGAGTGAATTTGCTTTCCCGCGCTGTTCTTCTCCCTCTCTCTCTGTCGTGCCTCGGCAAGCGGCGGATGCTGCCGCTCCGCATTCTGCACCTATGCTGGAAACAAGAAGATCATCGGGCTCAACGTACCTCCCCCAGAATCCATCCGAAATGCTGCTAGTCAGGTCGCCTACGACTTGATGACCTTTTATCACGGCAACGAGACAGGCCACGTGCCGGGCATCCTGCCAGGACCGCCGCCGGACGGAGACTACTACTGGTGCGCTTCCCTAACCTTCGCCGCATTCCACTATCGCAGACGAGGAAGCATTCTCAAAATGAGACGAAGTGAAATTCAAACTGACTAGAGGCGGCCGCGCATTATAGGTGGCAGGGCGGTGCGCTGTGGGGTACGATGATAGACTATTGGCACTTCACGGGCGACGAGACGTACAACGATGTGACGTACGAGGCGATGCAGTTCCAGGTAGGCGAGAACTGGGACTATGCACCGCGCAACTGGACGCTGTCTCTGGGGAATGACGATCAGGCCTTCTGGGGCATGTCGGCCATGCTCGCCGCCGAGAACAGGTTCCGCGACCCGCCGGCAGACCGGCCACAGTGGCTCGCCCTCGCCCAGGCCGTCTGGAACGAGCAGGCCTCGCCCGACCGCCGCGACGACACGTGTGGCGGCGGCCTGCGCTGGCAGATCTTCCCTAGCAATAGGGGCTACGATTACAAGAATAGTAAGTTCTCGCCGACTCCTCTCCTCCCTCTCCCACTCCCTTTCTTTCTGCCATTTCCATTACCCGACACCTGGATGCCATACCAGACTATCTACCTTAGGAAGGGGAGGTAAATAAGGAGAAAGGATGAAATGAGAAAGAGAATAATGGAGGGGGATGAGTAAGATGGACTGGATAACTGACAAATACCTACCCCTCGCCAGCGATCGCCAACGGCTGCTTCTTCAACATGGGAGCGCGCCTGGCGCGGTACACGCAGAACGACACGTACGCGACATGGGCGGAGGAGACGTGGGACTGGCTTGTGGGCGTCAAGTACATTGACCAGGACTACAACGTCTACGACGGCGGCCACGTTCCGTTTAACTGCACCGACATCAACCCGGTACAGTATTCCTACAACGCCGCCGTTTTGCTGTTAGGGGCTGCGTACATGTACGACTATGTAAGTAACCAAGTTATTGCTCTCCCGCTCTCCACCTACCTGTCTCCTCATCCAACTCGTCCCTTTGAGATACCTTCCCATCCTATTCCGGAGGGAGAGGATCCGCAGAGGGGAAAAGGAAAGCGAGGATCGAAGATCAGCTAACACGGGAGGCGGGGACCCCTTCAAAGACGAACCAGAGCCAGATATGGGAGGAGCGGGTCACCGGCCTCCTCGACGGAATCGAGCGGTTGTTCTTCCAGAACGGGACGGCGTACGAGATCTCGTGCGAGGGGGGCATCTGCAACACGGACATGCTGAGCTTCAAGGGGTACCTGCACCGGTGGGTGGCGACGGCGACGCAGGTGGCGCCGTTCATCCGCGCGCGGGTGATGGGGCTGCTGCGGACGTCGGCGGCGGCGGCGGCGGCGCAGTGCACGGGCGGCGCGAACGGGCGCATGTGCGGCTTCCACTGGACGTCGGGGGTCTTCGACGACCGCGTCGGCGCCGGCCAGCAGATGAACGTGCTCGCCGCCCTGTCGACCCTCCTGATCAACGACACCGACGCCCCCGTCACCAACACCACCGGCGGCACCAGCCGCGGCGACCCCACCGCCGGCTCCCGCGGCATCAGCCTGCCCCACGACGAGCCCCCCACGACGGGAGACCGCGCCGGCGCCGGCGTCCTGACCGCGTTCGTGCTGGCGACGACTATCGGCGGCGCGATATGGATAGCGTTGGATTGATTGGTTCCTTGGGTCATCGGTGGGTATGGCGCACTATGGTTGTTTTGGGACTATCTAGGTATACCTTACGTACTTATCTCTCTCTCTTTCTCTCTCTTCCTCTGTCTACATATCCTACTCTAGCGTACCGCAATAAATTGATCTCAGGAATAACCTCGTTCCCATACTATCCCACCCTCTCTCTCTCTCTAGAAATACGGGGGTAAGGGGTAGCACCTTAGCACTGGGACTGGATGGCCAGAATGTGACTCTGTCAGAGGTAGGTAGGATCTCAACGCTATCCCCACCCCGTAGCAGGATTGGGGTAATGTGTGGGTTTGTTTGGACACCAGCGTTGCCGAGTACCACGATTCTCCAAGCTTGGGATAGAAGGGCCACATGGATCACTTGAATCCTCGTAAGCATCATAATACACAAAAGCATCAAGTCACACCTGACAAGCGTAGAGGCTGTTTTGACAAACCATGGGAGACTCACATGAAGAGAAAACAAGGGGCATTGGGAGAAGAGGCACAAACGGGATGGAGACAAAAAGACAAGAAAGGGCACACCAGCTAACAGAAGAGGACAGGGGGGAAAAAATAGAAAAAAATTCAATTGGGTGCCTGGGGTTTGGGGGTTAGGTCTACTTACGCTGTGGTTGAGGAGGTATCTCCTGTGCAATGGGTATATCTAGTTGGATAACTAGAGGTATATTGGGATATCTCCGAGTCCGGAGACAGGTTCGTGATCCCTCGTAGTCCGGAGGCAGGTTCGTGATACCTCCACCGACTTTATGGAAGCTGTGGTCTATCCCGTGTAGCTGTTAGATTTTGCTGTGCTCAGACGTAGGAGTGAACCCTCTTGTTGTAGCTTGCCTGACGACAAGGGAGGATTATCTTTGCTGTATCTGAGTTAGCAATCTCTGCTGACCAAATAGACCAGGACACCCAATTGTTGAGAGGACTACTGTCCAAACTTGGTTATGACCCCTCGGCAGCTCACCAGATGATAGGGGGGTGGGCTGGGGGTGTCGCGGCGATAGATACTTGAGATACCTCACCCCCAGCACACTAACCACCAACAGCCATTGGAGAGAATAAACATTACTCTGTGTTCATGGCCTCTATGCTATTGTCTGGGGCAGGCTGGCCTTCCCCCTTTGTTCAAGCAGCTCAGCCTCCTTTCCTCCTCGCTTTTAGCTCAGGGTTATCCCACCCTCTACCCTTTGGGAGGTGGGACTCCAGACCTTATTTCCCATGCCTCACACACACCACAGCCTTTGTCATGGCTTGGTGGGCCCCTATTGTTTGCCATGGAGGGTCGTTACCTTCACGATCGAGTATATGAGCGCTTTGAATATGCTGGTGGTCACAATCCGTTCTTCATTATCCACACTCGAACCTCCCGGGCCTCTGCCCAGTCCGCTCATATCGCCCACAGCCAACGCATAGCCTCGCTCAGCGCAAGCCCACTACACATTAGGTACATCCCAGGTTCCAGCTTGAGTCCAGGCAGCTAGACCACACGAATCGCGGCGACGCGGCCCCGTCTCAAAACATGAACACTCCTGCCGCAATACCGGCCATCATGCCCAAAGCGCCTGCTGTCGGCATAGCTGCCGCGCCCTGAACCGGAGCGGTGGTTGACGCGAGATCGGCGACGGTTTCAGGCCCCTGAGAACCCGAGGGAGTGGGGGAGGAAGAAGGGGAATCGGAAGGAGAGCCAGAAGACTCGCTGTCCGGTCCGGCACCAGACTCGACCGTGGCGGACGTGGTGACGGTCGGCGCCGTCGTGATGGGGCCGGTGGCGGCGTCAGAGTCCGTGGAGGTCGGGCTCGCGGCGGTGCTCGTGGGAGTCGCGTTGGGGCCAAAGCCGGGCAAGTACCTGGGCGAGTAGGTGGCGGTGCCGGAGTACAAGTCGCAGCCGGGGACGTCGGTCCTGGGCGGGGCGCGGCCGCCGCCGCAGTCGAGGTTCTCGCATATCTCTCCGGTGTCCGGCAGGTACCAGATCAGGGACGCGCCGCCGAACACGACCGTCCGCGACGAGACGCAGCCTCTGTAGTCGGTCCTGGCCGCGGCCTGTCTCGCCAGGAGCAGGACTAGGGCGGCGGGGAAGGCGATGGCGTTTCCGAAGATCATCGCGGAGGCGAGATGACGATGCGGCTTCGGAGGAATGCAGGAGAGAACTCGACACGAGAACCTTTGGGCGGATACGCCAAGAAGCCGGTTAAGACGTGGGGATAGGGCGGCTGGTGTCGCGCCAAGAAGACAGGATCGGGACGCGCGGGAGCACCGAGAAGAAGCGAGGGATAGGGGCGGTGATTAGATATTAGCGATTAACCTCGACGTCGAGCAGTCCGTATGAAAGAGAGTATTTCGGTGTGCGAGAAATGGAGAGGAGAGAGAGAGAGAGAGAGAAGAGAGCGACAAGACACCAAGGAGAAGCGCATGACTGGTATTTCTATTAGTGTCACTCGGCGTCCATATCGCACTATGCCTGTCTCGCTCCATTTCCACGGGCCATCCAAGCCGTACTATAGCCATGGCCGTGGCAATAAAAACATATTTGGCGGAGCGGAGGATACTATGCGGTGTAAGTGCGCAGTCATTCAGGAGAAGACGTTGGGGGCCAGAAAGCCGGGGTTTGAGTATTTACACATGGAGAGCGGGTCTTACCACATTCAGCGCTAGCGAAAACTAGCACGATGCATTCTTCTCTACTCTAGGAGAGGTCAAGAGATATGGGGGAGGGGGGGAGAAGGTCGAAGGCGATTCTCTCGTTCCTTAACCAGTGGTTTCAGCGTGCTTTTCCTCCTCGTTCAGTCTGGGCCGATAAGAAGTGAGGTAACGCAGGTGTTTGGCAACCATCTAAGATAGTTAGATGAGTAAGAGAGGGTGGTTTATTCCTCCTCCAACAGCACAGAACTCACAGAGCTTCCGACTTCTCACCATATTCATCTCCAACCGATAACCGTATCTCCAACACACCGTTACAGAATGGCTCAGAATAATTTATAATGGTACTATACTCAAAATAGGACAGCTCATTATCGTGTTGGACATCATAGCACCTAGCACCTATCTGCAGCATCAAGCCCCCTGCCCACCACACATGGCAGAGCAGAAAATAGACAGCCGCTCCCGTTGCCCCATATTAGGCAGCAGCTTGAGAACAGCCCACGTTATGCAAGTTGGGATAGATGACAAGAGACGAAGGCGTGCCAGAGAGATATATGGCCGGGGATCGCTATTATAAACCCACGCCGGTGCCTAAAAACTGCACAGACGGGAGTCCCCTTTTCCCCGCTTGTCCTAACCCAACTTCACCACACACACACACACACACACACACACACACACACAAGCGTGCGCCTACGCCCTACGCAAGCTTGGCTGGCAGTCTACCGAGAAGGGCGCGAAAGCCTCCTCGAGAACGGCGACCGCCAGGCCGTGGCCCGGATGGTGGTATAGGGAGTAGGGGTAAAGAGGGGGTGAAACGCAACCTTCGAGCCGAGAGCACCCAAAACCTTGAGGCCCATACCAATTTATCCGATTATGAAGGCTTGCACACGTAGCTTTTATCGACGCCATTATATATAATATACCTAATGAACATTTGGTGCACTGACAACCAAAACTGTTGTTCTCGACAGTGCAGTTAACACTGTATGATACTATAGAGTTTGGGAGCCCCTATTCGCCATCTCTTAAGCTACCCAAGTAGCCCTGCGGGTGCTGATTCCAACCAGGAGAGTCCGCCAGAGCAACTCCGCAGTATAACCTGCGTTGTTACGATATTACAGGGATGAGCTGACTCGTTGTGATATTGTTCTTAAATAGCGTCAGTGTGTATGTAGCATGGGCCTTGAATTACCTAGGTATTGCCGCTAAGAGACGGGAAACTCAACCTGGAGGTTACAATATGTTCTTTAACACGAACGCGTCAGCACGCCTCACGCAACCTAGATGCGGCTGCTTTTAGGTCTTACCGGGCCTTGCTGCGGTGTCCGGCTGCAGTGAGAGTACCCCTGGTATTACACCCGGATTGACACAACTACGAGTCTCCGGGACACAGCAGACAAAAATCAGCCAATTTCCATCTCACCTCTTCGTATACGGTTACGGAGACAGGGGGCTGTCTATTTACACATAGTTATTCACTGCATGTCGCGAAAGATATGATGTGCGGGGAACGAGCCAGATGTCGTAATACGTAGCATTCCGCTATGGACTGCGACGAAAAGGTGATACTATTATCGCGTAAGACGTAGACGCCTGCATTCTCCGACTTGCATATGTGGGCATAGGTAGGTAGGTATATCAAGGGCTGGTCCCGTACGCGACAGGCCCCTAAGCCACAATGCCCAATCTCCCATCGATCCCGTCCCCGTCTTCCCAATCCCCATCCCTCCCGCTCCTCTCCTCCCCGTCTCCTCGTATTCACGCCCACTGCTCCGCGAGATCGCCGGGGGCCCACGCGCCCCTACTCGGCCTGGGCCGCCTCGTGTCCCAGTCCCGCACCGCCAGCAGCACGCCCCGCGGCAGGCGCTCGGCGGCGTAGGGCGTGGCGACGATCCTCTGGAAGGCCTGCGCGTGGTGGGGCTGCCAGGGGCGGGCGCCGGGCAGGGCGGCGAGCAGGCCGAGGGCCTCGACCTCGCGGCGGGCGGCGTCGGCCGCGGCCAGGAAGGCGTCGCGCAGCCGGCGCGCGCGCCGCGCCGCCGCCGCGTCGCCGAGCGCCACCGCCAGCCGCTGCACGCCGCGCCCCAGCCGGTCGTAGTAGCCCACGCCGTGGCACGCCTCGCCGTTGCCGTAGTGCGACACCGTGTTGCGCAGGTCCGCGACGTCGTCGACGGCGCGGCGGATGTCGTGGCCCGCGCACGCCACTACCGGCTCCATCTCCGTCCGCCCGAACTGCACCTCGTGCGGCCCGAGGAACCTGCGCGCGGCCCACGGCATGTGCTGCCCCACGTTGGCGAAGAAGATCTCCTGCGCGAGACGCAGCAGCCGCCGCAGGTGGTTGTAGATGGTTTCGCTGCGCATCGGCGTGTCGAGGAGGTGGTTGGGCACCTCCCTGTTGAGCTCGGATCGAGAGGACAGCGACTCGTCGCTGATACTGTTTAGTTCTACTTCCTCTTCGTCCGTAGGGCTGGTTAGAGGAGTGAATGGCTCAGGGGTTGACTCACTTGGCCCATCCGAATCTGTGGTTGCTGGTGTAGTTGTGGTTGTCATGGTGTCTTCAGTTGTCGTTGATGTAGTTGATGTAGTTGGCGTAGTTGGCGTAGTTGGCGTAGTTGGTGTAGTCGGTGTGGTCCACTGGTTTTCCCAGCCAATGACCCACGCTCCGGGCCCCCATCCAGCCTTCGGCTTTGCCTTGGCTTGAGAGGAGGCTGTAGATAGCATGTAGCCAGTCCACCCAGAGTTGTAGGGTCCTATTCTGGCGAGCTTCCCATCTTGGTATTGGTAAGGGATGCCGTGTATCGTGGCGTTTCGTCGTGGATCTGCGTGTTTTGGGGTGTGTTCTTGAGGAGTGGCTGTAACACTTCGGCTCCGGGAAGAAACAGTTGGTTGAAGGAAGCCCTTGTTGATTTTCGGCCGGCATGGTTGTTGGGGGAGTCGTGCTCTGTGCTTCAGAAGTAGTGCCCTGAGCTCTAGATTCTCTGCCTCCAGTTCGCGGTTCCGCCTGGAGATTTCCTCGATCTGCCTCTTCGCAGCTTCAAGCTGGGAAGACAGGGATAAAATTAATTTAGGCATGATGTGGGCGGGTGCAAGTCGGAAGAAGTGCTGGTTTCTTCTGTGTATGCGGTGGATGCGAAGAGTGTGTAGAGCTTCGGCAGGAGGAGAGAGAATTAAAGGAGAGTGGAGGGACGTAGACGACTACTCTTTGATGGATATTCAGTGAATTTGATAACGTATTTGCCTTGGCGCATCAACCTCTGCTAGATGAGGCATCAATGTGGTCGCCCCGGTGGTTTGCGAGGGCGGCCCCCCTTTTTCGCGGGAGCATTGTCTGACCGACCCAAGTTGCCTAATATCAACCTAAGTTGTCTACTAATCTATTCGCCACCACCCATTCTATTATTCAGGCATTAGTTTATCAACCGCAGGACGATATTGTACGTACTAGAGAAGAATACCTACAAGCGCAACTGTTAGGTATATCATTATCAACGTAGGAGAGGGTTGTCGGGGTAGGACAGATGATTTGCTAGTCCTGTCAGAACAACATAGGACAACAGGACTCACCGAACGAGGTTCCTGCTGCCCACCCATGTAACTACACACCATAGAAGAACGCTGCCCTCACACAAGTACGCTCAATCGTACAAGTACTCCTAGAACCTAGATGTGGGATCGAAGGGGGCTAAATGGGAATGAGTGTGTTTAGTCCCCGTTACGTAGCACCCGGGATACCACGAGATGTCGGAGGCTCAGGCAAGCATGGACCGTGCTGTCATTCTACGAGAACATGGGGAAGCACATCGTATATTGTGTTTCGCTGTGTAAGATTCTCCTGGGGCAGAGCGTTAAAAAACGGGCATGTTGCCTCTCATGATAGTCAGGCCTGAGCTACTAAGTTAGCACAGCCTGCCACTTGGGTGGGCTTATCTACAACTCTAATGCTTGACTGTTCCTACGGTGTGGTTACCATGTCATTGAGATAAACAATGCTGTGGGGTTGTTATTATAGGCATTGTTAACAGGTTCATTGACCCCTTTATTTTGCCACCAGTCACAGGCCTAACAAAACAAACGTTGCACATCACAATTCAGATTCTACGCAATGGACAAACAAGTAGTTAGGGGCACTCAATTGGATAACTACCCTAATTTACAACTGACACTGAAGGAAAAGGAGTTGCCAAGTAAGCAGGTGGGTGAGTGGACGGCGGGTAGGTTAGTAAGTTAGTAGGTAAGCTGGTAGATTGGTAGGCTGGTAGGCCAGTAAGGTGGTAGATGGGGGTAGGAGGTTGGACAGGAAGGCAGATTAATAGATATATGTCCTTTCTTACCGATTTGTTGGTTGCCTGCTTGGCTGCCTGTCACCAGTTCGTCTGCCTACTAAGTTGCCTGCCAACCTACCAGCCTACCGACCTACCGACCTGTCAGCCTGTCAACCTGTCAACCTGTCAACCTACTTACCTACCTACAGACTCAGCCGCCAACTTACTAACCCATCTCCAACCCTATCTCGAACCTATCTACCTACCTACCCTACTTACCTATTCACCTGCCAACCAACCCGTCCGTCCATTCACCACCCCAAACCCACCCACCAATGACTCACAGCCCCAACCTACGAACAAACCCAGCGCAAGACAAACAACTGCCTACCCTCACCATCCCCCCCCCCCTTTTTTTCTACCAAGGGACTTACTCGTAGATATCCAAACACGTATCCAGCCTCGCCACCGGCCTCCCACAAAACACGCACCCCTCGCTCCCTCGCCCCCGAGGCACCTCACACCACCACAGCAGGCCTACCATCCCGCCCGGAGACGACTCCGCGTTTGTCTTCTAGAGAACTTAGGTACCAACTTTCGCCCGTACGTGTGGGGCTGGTACTGACGATAAGCCGGTTTGTCTTGGCCACGCATTGCTAATAACCCCAGGAGAAGATGATTGCTATTATCAGGTTCTCCTCCGAATCTCGAGACGGCCGAAGGCCCGCCGTAGCTGCCTAGGTAGGTACAAGAGTTTTTTTTTTTATATAGGGGATCCGTCACGTGAAACTGGAAATACTAATAGCACATTCCGTTCGGTTGGGGAGACTTATTTATAGGCTTGTTACATTCCAAATACTACATTTGGTTGCATGGTGGGAAAGCTACTAAAGGGGTATTTAGTAAGAGCGTCACAAAACAACTGGTGACGCCAGCGTACGACATGGAGCTAATACTGCCCCGGGAGGTTTATTAGTCACCATTATTACTCTTGTCATTGTATATTCCGTGAACAATATACAACACCACATCTTATAAACATGTGAATATATAACATTCCATCCCATCTACAACGGCTCAGGAGCCCTCCTCTTGCTCGATGACTTACCACCGCGGGTTGCTGCCGCGTCGTAGAGGGCCTGAATGTCCGCTCGCCACTGCTCCCTGTCCAGGCGCAGTATTCGGCGGTCGTACGTGAGAAAGCCGTTGACTTCGCCTTCCACGTCGGTCGTTTGTCTGCGCGATGTTAGCCTGAAATGGGCATCAACTGGTATAGGACAACGGAACACGTCGGGGACAGAGAAGGGGAAAGGAAGAAAAAAAAAAGGAAATATAGGGCCAACTCACGTCCACACCGCCCCCGAGCACGCGTATTTCTCGACTTGCTCGCGCAGCTCTGACATCAAGAGGTGACCGCGGTAATTGTAGGCGTCGAGGTCCTCGTCTATCTCGTAGGTCTGGTTGATCGTGTTTATGGCTGCTTGGACCTTCCACAAGTGCTCCTCTGAGACGTTGTGCCCGATCCCTCCGAATTCGCCTTGGATGGAAATCCGGTTACGGTCGTAGGGCGTCGACTGAAGCGAATAGAACGGTGTGCCGCATTGAGGGTTGGCATAGTGGTGATTGTCGTGCCAGTCACCAGCTCCGTGGTCGTTCCATCCGGACGTTGCGTCAACGAATCGGGTAGGATCCAGTGCTTTGACCCGATCCGTCAGTCCGAACTCTGGGTAGTATCCATTCTGGATTTGGCCCCATCCTTCATTATAGATGACCTAGTGGCTTGTTAGACAGCAGAGGATTCAAATATTCATTCGAACTAACATACCCAAGTATAAATGCTGGGATAATTCCTGTGTTGCTTGATGAGTATCTCAAGCTGGCGTTCCCATTCAGCCTGTTGGGCCGCGTTCGGCGTCCGCAGAGGCATAGATGGCATGTCCTGAATGAGTAGCAGTCCGAGCTGATCGCACGCCTGGTAAAAGAGCGCCGTCTCCACTTTGATGTGCTTTCGCAACATGTTGACGCCTAGACTCTTGAGGACCTTGAGATCGAAGACCATGGCCTCGCGGTTGGGCGGCGTGTGAAGACCGTCAGGCCAAAATCCCTGATCGAGGGTTCCGAATTGAAAGACGAACTCGCCATTGAGAAGCGGGCGCTTGATTCCATCAATCTCGCCAATGGAAAGGGTTCTGAAGCCGGTGTAAGAGCACACGGTATCACCCCCAAGCTTGATTGTGAGGTTGTAGCTTCGCAAATGTTTAGCTGCCGTGCCACCAAGAAGACGAGGGGAAAAACGAGATACTAACAGAGTTGGCGAGTCCGGAGACCATAATTCGGGAGAATCTACAGTGAAATCAAACGGCTGGTTGGCAACGCCCTTCGCTGACGCCACCTCGTTGCCCTCACTGTCAATGACGGAGACAGTCACTGGGTCAGATTCCCCATTGCTCGCAACAGTTACGTTGACTGGGTAGAACGTTTGTCAATATTACAACCTCCCTGGCTGATCTCCCCCAGGAATTCTGCTTACCTTGGCCGGACATATCCGCAGTCACATCAAGCTGCTGGATATATGTGGACGGAACCGACTCGAGCCACACCTACAGTTGGTCCCGTCAGCACCGACTAGATATGATCTTGCCGAATATAGTTGCGGTAGCTGCACTTACGGACTGCCATATTCCAGAGCAAGGAGTATAAAAGATATGTGACGGTCTCCGGGTCTGCTTGCCGACGGGATTCATAGCACCTACAATGCACGTCGATAAGTATGGCATATTCAAGGCGTAAGCAATCAGAGAGGAAACCCTTACCATCACCATCGGTAGGGTCAAAGACCAATACCTGTAAGCGGTTGGTGCCGTTGGAAGAAAGGTGATCAGTGATGTCGAAGGTGAACTGCCAATAGCCGCCAACATGAATTCCAACTTGATCACCATTGACGAGGACGGTAGCCTGATGGTCAACAGCTTCAAAATTCAACAGCACCCGGCGACCCCTCTCAGCGAATCCCTTAGGAACGGTGAACTCGGTTGAATACCACGAATATATCGTGTCCTGCTCCATAACGCCTGAGAGTCCGCTTTCTATGCACGACGGCACCAGGATGTCAGATTGGGCCGCCTCACTGTCCGGCGGAGGGTCAGTCGAGGACGATGCTCGCCGCCATTTCCAAATGCCGTTCAGGCTCTGCCAGTGTGAACGCTGAAGCAACGGACGTGGGTGCTCTGGCCAGGGGTGTGTACCGACGGAGTAAGTCCAGTCAGTGTCTAACGGAGGAGTCTAAACTGCTGTGTAAGTTCGATGGGCACGTATAAAGGCGTACTATGCGTCGAGGTTCTCACCTTGACCTCGTACGCTAGTAAACAAGTACCCCATAATGGAATCAAGGTCAGAAGACCTTTGAGCAGGCTGGTGTGCATCGTGCCTATCCCTTTCCGTGAACCTTATGAGCTTGATGCAAAGTGTCAAGCCGGCCGCCGGGCACAGAGCAGTTTATGAGGGAGGGGAGGGAGGGAGGGACACGGCAAAGTCGAAAGGGGATCGACGGATGCTGAGAATATACAGACTGGTCCCTCCGTGGGAATGGGCGGCCCGGGAGGATTCCCGTGGGTTAAATAGACTTCGCAAGACGGCACGATATAATCATCGAGCCTCGACATCCGGGATATGCGCATGCTGCACAACGTTATGGCGAGGACTCTCTGCATTCTAGCCACTGGAATGTCGCTCACCTTCCTAATTCTGACAATGTAGCTTCTCGCAGCTTGGAAGCATGTACATGGGAGCCCCTTGGCTCTAGGTCAACAGACAGAAAAGGCATGCTGGCAACGTAGTGCTGCTCCCCCGGTTAGCTCTGGAGCGCTTCGTGCCGAGCCAGTCACACGAGATGTTTGCTGCGAGTCCGGGAACGTTAACCTAGCCAGGCTCTTTATCTCAGTCGTGAGGAGTGGTGCAACGTCTGAGTCTATGAGGTCGTGTAAAGGCGGTGTTTATGTATGGCGGTTGTACAGTCCTGTATCTATCTCACAAGCCCTGTGTCGATGTGCGATAGGCCGTCCTCTGGGAGCCCATAGATTGACCAGCGGGCCCAACGAGGATGTCGAGGAGGGCCGGGATCAAACCACGAATTTCGGGTCTCCGTGCATGAGGCGTAATAGAAAGCACATGCATGCGAGCCTACGTAGCATGTTGTGTCCACACCAGATCTGCTCCCTGGATAGGTTTGTGGGCAGGTATTATAGAGTTAGATTATGTAGCGTCCATATTACGTATGTGCGGTTCGTGTAGGTAGGTATATCACCGGGATCACCGGCCAACGCCAATATTACTAGGGGTAGCGTGAGAGAGAGAGAGAGGGGGGGGGGGGGGGAGGGGGGGTGTGCGTGCGGGAGTTAGAGAGACAGTGTGTGTGTTTCCTATCGTCTGCTCGGGGCGCGTAGTTCAGACTGATCTAGGTATCGGTATCGAATAACTCGACACGGGGCAACAGCACGCCCAGGTCGCGAAGTCGCTGGACATGGGTCAAGCCGTCTGGCGAGCAGAAGGGCTTCTAGAGATACCTACCTAGGTAGCCGGATTGGACGAAGATGTGCAGATTTGTAAATAGAATGTCATCAATAGATTGGGAGATTAGAAGGTAGGGAGGTAAATATGTAGCGGGAGAGAGCGGCTGATTTCGCCGCATTTCCGAGTCGAAACATTAATAACAATAAAAACAAAAGACTGGTGCGCAGGGGGAAAAAAAAAACAAGCCGTAACGACAAGTATAGGAATAATGAAAAAAAAAGATAAAATCAAAACAAAACGAACATCGCAACGCCCAACGGTCACGAGCGCCGCACGGCCAAAAAGGACCGAATCTGATCTGCATTAGCTTGGTGGATTCCATTCCTCGTGCGGCGGCGGCGCAACGACGCCGTCGCTGGTTGCTGGTCGAGCAGTATGTCGAGGCGGTGCCGATATGCAGGCCGCCTGACCGACAAAGTAGCAATCCCCCATCCCGGCGCCTTGGGAAGAGAGGCCACCAATCTCATAGGTAACAGGCACGGCGTAGGCACGAGAATCCGTCGGCCGTGTGACCAGTGGTGTGGCATCATTCACCGGCTCGACAGACGGGTCTGCTTGCCTCGGAATGAATTGCTGTCCCCATAACCAGCTATCTTGACCGCTTGGCTCAGGTGAGGAGTGACCTCAGTTGCCATCAGCTCGCGCCTGTCGATGCGTATGTGGTAACAGAAAATGAGGTGAGATGGAACCAGCCTACCAGCATGCGACCAAACCGAGACAGAGGGCATCGCCGGGGGTCCGAGGCGGGGTCGGCAGTTTGCGACCGGGGTTTGAGAGAGGGGGGATGCGATTCCCACACCTGGCATGCTTTCTACCTGGTCTTCACCTCACTTCCCCGGGACGAGGGAGGCGTCTAGGCGCATACACGCCCGGCCCAGGTCCGTCAATAGGCGAGGCGTTTATTGTGCACGTATGTAGGGAGGTGGGTATACCTACATGCCGTATCCACCTCGTGGTGGCAGACGAGACAGACAGAAGACGCGCAGAGGGGACCTACCTACGTAAGGGGATTCTCTTGGTCTCTTACTTTTTCGCTCTCGACGCTCCTACATGCAGCTGAAACGGAGTCGACGTAGAGTAGACGCACGTCTACACGCCCACCCGCGCCCACACACCCACTCTGACGCGCTGCCTATTATAGGTGCATTGCCGGGCGCGTCGAGCCGCCAAGTAGGTTGGCATAGGCAAAGTTTCGTCCGGGGTCGAGGGGGGCGTGGGTGTGATGCTCTGGGCGAGAGATAAAGGAACGAGAGAGAGAGAGAGAGAGAGAGAAAGGGAGAGAGATGGAGAGGAGAGATGGAGAGGGAGGTGTCGAGAAGGGAAGTTCGAATAGAGAACTCGACCAGGCAGATGACTGGCGGACGACAAGTGACGGCAGGTGACTGGACGTGCCCAGGCGAGCCATTTCTCGGCGGCCGGCAGTGCGACTGGCTAGAGCAACGGGCGACAAGGATAGGTACCAGGCTAGAAATCTGACCCGGCGGACTCTATGCCACGCCCTACTAACCTACTCTACGTAGGTACGGACCCTCCTAGCCCACCTTGGTAGGTAGCACAAGTCGCTATGCTGGGGTTGGGAAGGCACCGGGCCAGGCAGTTGAATGCGGGGAAGAAACAGAAATATAGTATGTACCTACCTAGGTACAGGTACCTACCCGGGCACTTATAGGTAACCCTAGGAGGTACCTAGGTGGGTAGGTACCTGTAGCTCTAGGGGAAACTACAGCGTAAGGTAGGTACCTAAGCCCCTTGCAGGTGGCGTAAGTAGGAGGTAAGAGGTACCATCTATTACATAACCACGGGCCACCCCCCCGCGGGCTACCCCTTAATATACTAAAAAACGCTAAAACAAGCCCTTTTATAAATTAAATAGCTTATTTAAATAAATTCGAAAAATTATAAAAACTAAACTAAATTAATGCCCGTTATTTAATTAATTCCTAAAGCGCGCCGGAGCCCTAATTACGCGCGGTAATCGGACGCGTTATAGTAATTAAGTATCTTATTTATCCTCGCTTGGTAGGCTTATAACCTCTTCCTAGGCTACCGTTACTACTACCTCCTCCTATTATTATTATTACTCGATTACGGCTTCTAACGTAATATTAGGTAGTTATTAGCTATCTTAATCGTTTATTAATATTTCGTAAAGGGATTAAAAGCGCTTATTTAGGTTAGGAATAGCCCTCCTTTTCGGTTAGCTTTTTAGCTCTAATTAAGCCATTAACGAGGAAATCTAGTAATCTTTAAAAGCTAGCTTCGTATAAAGGTCGTAATAATTATTAGTAACGTTCCTAAGCGTTACGCGAATATATAGAGATCGATTAACGGCGAATTTCCTAGCCTTATTAATCGCGTTTAACGTCGAAACCTAAACCTCTAAGCTTTCCTTTTTAAGGTTCTTTCGTTAGCTTGTTTTAGCTATATCTTTCTTTTATTAAAGCTTAAGATATATTAATGCCTTATTACGGCTTATTAATTAATTCCTAGTTACCCTAAAGCCGGTATAGACGTTTTTCTCGGTAAAGGCGTTATTCTTGCCGCGTATAAATAACGTAAGAAGTTTAGCTTATTAATCGGCGCGGTATCCGTTAAAAAGTATAACTAGCTTAAGTACTTCTTATAAGCTATTTTAAGAGTATTAAATAAGTTATTATCGAATAGTTATAAGCCGTAAGAAGTATGCGTTAGTAGGAAATATAGGTAAATATTATACCGAAAATAGGTAGCTATAAACTTATCTTAAAATCGTAATACGTTAGTAATACTCGCTTATAAAAAATCAGAAAAAAATCGTAAAAATACGAAATTAACGTTAGTTAATTAAGAGATAGATAAACTAATAATTATATAGCTTTTATAGCCGTTTAGAATTAATAAGCGGGCGTTAGACTCGTAGGAAAGGAAGCTATCCGTTTCCTTAATAAATACCTCCTTTAACTATTTTAACGCGATATAGCTATCCGATTAGCCGTTATCTAAGGTAATAAAGTACTAATCGGCGATTTCCTTAAATTAATCTATAAACTAGGTCGTTTAAAGCTCCTTTCCTTTAAAGATAATACCCGGTTAAAGAGTATAGCCCGTAGCGCTAATATACTCGATAAACGAGGCCTAAGTCCTAAGCTAAGAGCTCTTAACGATCGCTTTTCTAATATTTAAGCTCCCGAAAACTAAGCCATCGAACTTTAATGCCTTAATTAATATGGAAACGAAAGGATAAGATTAGATAAGGCTCCTTACCTTAGTTAAGTATAATACCCTCCTTATCGACGTTAAAGGTAAGATAAGGCTTTATCTAGCCGTATTTAGCCTCCCGGATATCGAAATATTAATTTATAGCCTTTTAATTAAAGTAATTAAAACGTAAAGCTTTAGTTTTACGCCCGGATTTTAGCGTAATTAAAGAATTACGCTTTAGGAAGTTATGAAGCTAGTTCTTATTAAAAGGCCGTAAATCGCCGCTTGCGTTTAAGATATCCTAGGTAATTCCGCGAATAATACGGTAATTAAGAGCTAGCCCTAGCGTTTCTTAACGTAAAACCTACGAAGCGAGTTATTCCTCCTACTTATTCGTTAAGCGCTATAGAAATTAAAGCTCTAATAACGCTAGCCTGCCTTAAAGCCGAGCCGCTAGCGTAGTTCGCGAAACGCCGTATATAATAGCTAAACGGCGTATTGAAACGCCTTCCTAAGTAATAAATCGGATAATAGACGCCATAAGATCCTCGTTAACGAATTTCATAATAAAAGAAGCTTATTTAATCGAAATCTAATTAATATTTACTCGTATTAATTAGGTAGTAGTTTATAGCTATATAATTCCATTTACCGCCGTTTTTAGCTAATAATAACCCCGGTAATACGTATCCGATTTAATCCGAAAAAACGCTAGATTAATAATAAAGCTCCATACGAACCATATTTATAGTATTTCCTAAATAGCTTCAAAACTAATAGGAAGCGATATAATTTAAAATGGCTTGTTTTAGCGTTTTTTGGTATATTAAGGGGTGGCCCGCGGAGGGGTAGCCCGTGGTCATGTAATAGATGGTACCTAGGTAGGGCAGGCGGCAGGACGCGGCCTGGCTACTAGGTACGGTAATTCCCCACACCAAGTCAGCCCGGTTTTCTTTCTTCTCGTCATCACACCTCAATATCCCTTTACAATACTTCTCTCTCTCTCTCTCTCTCTCTCTCTCTCTTCTTGTTTCTCTCGCAACCAGTTCTGCTGCTTCGTTACCTCGCCGATGGATCGTTACAGGCGGAAACCCGTCCCAGTTGGTACGGATGGCGTGATATAGGCAGGAGGTATTGCCCAAGGATCTTCTGCACGCTAGGCTTGAGGGAACGTGGGGAGGAGGGCTTGGCTTGGTGTGGCCGCAAAGCTCCCCTCCCCGTATCGAGCCGCGCCGCGCCGGCTAGAGCAAGGGAGATGCGAGCTGCCCAGTTGCTTGCCCCCGACTGAGATACACCCACCCCGAAGCCGTGATGATCAGGTGTGCCGAGCAGAGTTAGTTGGCGCCCAGGAGGGCGACAAAACAAGATTTCTCAGCACTTGGCGAGACCCGCCTCAGTGCCGACAGGCGAGCCTAAATGCCGCACCCTTCAAGAAAGGATGTCAACAGTGAAGAAATAAAACCGGGCCTGACTCTCGGCATCGCTCTCTGAATCGGAGTCTCATATATTCATCATATTTCGATATGGTATAATACCTACAATGTCCGAGTGTCCCCAGCTAGTCCCGTCAGAGCGGCGTCCATCGTAACCGTCAGGATGAGATCTTCAACGCATTCCTGGTATCATCGCTCGCGGCGAGGCCCAGTGACCCTTAACCCTTCTTCTCTCGATGGAGGTCATAATGTGATTCTCTGCAGTGAAAAGGATGTGGTTGCACATCCAATTTCGATCGCGGATTGAACCGGATAGCGCGTGTCATCAGAAGCAACCTTCGGGTATGGAAAACCATGGTGACGTAACGTGCAATGCCTATGATATGGTAATGCCACACAAGGTGCCTCACGCTCCTGATATCATGTTCCCTAAATCCTGTAATCTATAATACGCCGCACCTGATACCGCCAATTTACACGCGGAACGAGACGTTACTCTCCCGTACCGCGTCGGGGCCTTTCATCTGGTCGACTTTTGCTTCCGCTTACCGGTCCTGTTACCTCCCATTTTCGTATGAACCGAGTAGGTATCTTGCTCGCTTTCAGGCATATTGGACCTCTTGCGTGCTCTGCTCGACATGCTACTGGCAGTTCTGTCACGAAGGGTAAATACTATCTATGCAAACTTACGTAAGTATCCAAACGAGGGAAGAGGGGAGGGAGTCTACATTTTTACAGAACTGAAAGTTCCCAGTTAAAGTAAAAATGGCATCGGTACCCTGTTTCTCCATCTCTTGATATTACTTACTGCTGCTATTACTGCTGCTGATTTGCTTCGTCTTAGGCACGGGGTTTGCCCTGATCTTTTCTTAGTTGTCACCGCTGCTAGCTGCTGTTAATGCCAGTTATTACAGCTCTTAGCAACTAATATTGTTGGGTTCAGCCTCGGTTCCCAAGCAGCTTCGCCGCGCTGATCCTCTCCGCTACAGAGACATAGTCATCGGTAGCTGTACACGTATCGTGCTCAGCAGGGCCATAGCCTACCTATCTCCATAACAAGAAACTGAATGCATAGGGCTGCTACGAAGCAGAGACTTCGACATATCGACGATGTCTATGTTGCACAGAAGCCCCAACGACTGGGCAGTTTTAAGAAACCTAAAAGGCCCATTTCTACATCTGTCTACGAACAACTGTTGAGCACTATTACCAACAAACCATCAATAAAATCTATTCTAATTGCTTATTTATCAACGGACTTTTTTCTTATAGTATATAGAAGCATGGGTATATCTGGTTACCTAGATAAGTTGGGTTGATATTTTCTCGACTTTTCGCTACTTTATCATGCTAGATGGTTGGCTCGGGGGGGAACACCCGAGCCGGGCTAAGCTCGGCCGCACGGCGCTTGGGCGATGTCTCGGCGCCTACCGGGACCATCCTCATCCTCCTCGCCGAGTTCTTCACGTGCACATGGCAGTGCGCTCATGATGGTTGGTTACCGCGCATCGTCTCCTGCCGTGCGGGGTTCGTTGGCACGGAGCTTGGCCTCTTCCCAACGTTCACTGGCCACATAAATCTACCCATCTCCCTCCCAACTTCCGTTCCGTCACCATGGCCCAAACTCGAGCCCAGACAGTCGCCAAGAGGGTGTAACCCAGAGGAGTCGTCGAAAGAGCCCTCTCTCTAAGGCAAAGGCCGAAAGCGAGCTATTGAAGACCCACGCGATCTTGGTCGTAAACGGTCCTCGAAGCGACCACAGTCCTCGAGACCATCTGCCGTTGACGACAGCTCCCGCAACACTGCGCCAGACAACGTTAACTCTCGTATCCCAGTCTATTTCTGAAGAACAGAAGGACACTGGTCAAGCCAACTCTTCGTGCCCGGCATGGAGCGACTACTAGCCCGAAAGCGGTCCTTATCCTTGATTAGCGGACGCAAGCTCCACGCTATGCAATCCTCCTTTAGACTAAGGGGACTTATACGGAAATATCAGAGTAAGGTATCACGGATAAAAGCAAGCAGACCTGCCGAGACTTGCCGCATGGTATTCGGTCAACGCCGAAGGGATCTGTCTTCGAGAAGGCTTGCAAGAGCTTACAGGACAAGAACGAAGCCGGAGTTACCCAAGACTTATCTCAGCTCATGATGATTTCTTCGGCGGAAACGCTTGCATTCCATAACGAGGATAGACACCTCGCCATCTTAACGGAAAGCGTTGACGAAGGCTGGAACAACTCAATCCCCTCGACCGGGGTCCATCCACAGGCGGATTATTCTATTGGGTTCCAACGGGACGCATTTATGGATCTTTCACGGAGCTGGATAGTAAAGAGAGGTGGGCGGCATATCGATTTATTACCTAAGGATGTTTACGACCTTTGAATGCCAAATCACTGGAACAGGATTATTCGGCTATTAACCAGTTATCGTCGATCGACTTTAACGTCCCAGCGCTCTCTAGGAAGCGGCGCTCGGGGTGCGGCGTCGATTTTCCCGACGGGGCCATACTCCTATCCCACGAAGACCTCGATCTAGGTATTGTTTAACACCGTCATCAACAACGGGTACCTACACAATGTTAAGGGGTAAGTACTCTGCACAACTCACGGCTAAGGCTTTGATTATCGAGGCTAAGTAATGCTTCGGCAAGAAGACCTAGACGATTAGAACTAGGCATTATCAAACATGCCTATCATACTCTTGGGATTTGAAGGCCAAGCCTTTCCCCTTTGGCGGACCCTGGATGCAAAAATAACGTAGGCAGAATTGACAGGTGCTTAATATTTCCTCATCAACAAGAAGCTGGCAATATAAACGTGGCTTCTGACAGCGCTTGATTCTCGGAGGCTAGAAGAAGGTAGCGGGCCTAACGAAGTAACCTCCTAAAGTGCCTCTCTCTCTCTCTCTCTCTCTCTCTCTCTCTCTCTCTCTCTCTTAATGTAGCGATCTTAGGTGAACATACACGTATGTCTTCACGAGACGATTCGTCAGGTGCCCCAGGTACCGTCAGGCACGTTAGCGTAGGCAATGCTAGTCGCTCCTAGATTACCAAGCAGGCTAAGGTGGCGCGATAACGATAAGAAAACGGAGCGCTCTCATTGGCTACGTACCTGCTTTTTTACTGGGGCGGACGGGCCAATGGCGCTAGGCCGGAATCGGTCCAGGCCGCCGTCAACACAAAGTATGCGCGGAGTACACAGGTACCTATGTAGTTACCAACCAGGCGCGCTCTCCAAACCCTCGACCTCCCCGAGCCACCGACAAAAAACATCATCAACCATCATCACCGCACCTATCTCGACCACCGACAACTTGTCTGCGACCGCCTCTCAGCCGAGCAATACATCGACGATTGCCGCCGGGCTAGCTGAGGTGGGTTTCTTTTCTCATCACTGCCAATGATCGTGACCGTTGGGCCCGCGTGGTGTCCGGCCCTGCCATACTAACCTGCTCTCCCAAGCCAGCGACGATCGACTGACGAGTTTACCACCCCTCCTCACCGTCGCAACCGCTCCATCTTGGCCCCTCCCCCCCGGGAGCTCGGCCGCAGCCTCCTCGCATGCTTCTCCGCGAGAACCGGCCCGAATCTAGACAGTGCACCAACCGGACAGGCCTCATATCCCCTACGAGCCGCGAGGTCTCTCCCTCGTCGATACACCCGACAGCCTTTGTTCCCGCCTCCTTCTCTGCCCCCCTCTCTCTTGATTAATCCCCCAAGATGGCCGACTACGACGAAGTCTACGAGGAATACGACGACGAAGGATTGGATGACAACATCACCCCTGAGGACTGCTGGGCCGTCATCGGGTCGTATTTCAAATCGAAGGGCTTGGTTTCGCAACAGATCGATTCTTTCAACGATTTCCAAGAGACCACCATCCAGGAGCTGATAGAGGAGTATTCTCACATCAGCGTCGATGAGCACAGCCCTCCCTCCGTCGACGGGAGAACCGTCGCGCTTCGTCGATATGAGCTCAAGCTCGGACACGTCACCATTGCTCGCCCGATCGCCCACGAAGGCGACAACACTTCGGGCCCGTTACTCCCTTACGAATGCCGCGACCGAAACATGACGTACGCGAGCCCGGTGTACATCAAGGTCGACAGCAAGGTTTCCGCCTGTGTCGAGCAGGATGTTCCTGTCGAGGAGATAGATGACGAGATGCGGGCAGAGGCCGAGGCCAGCAAGAAACGCCCGACCCGTCTCGTTTGGGAAGAGGAGGAGAATATTCTTGAGTCGCCCGCAACAGATAAGGGCCGCGCTAGCGACCAAGTGTTCATCGGCCGGCTTCCAATAATGGTGAAATCCAAGGCGTGCCACTTGAGTCAGGAGAGCGATGACGACTTGTTCCTGCTAAATGAGTGTCCTTATGACCAAGGTGGCTATTTCATCATCAATGGAAGCGAGAAGGTCCTCATCGCCCAAGAACGGTCCGCTGCCAACATCATCCAGGTCTTCAAGAAGGCCCAACCGAGCCCGTTCTCGTACACGGCTGAAATTCGAAGCGCCCTCGAGAAAGGTTCACGTCTCATCTCGTCGCTTATGCTGAAGCTATATACCAAGGGCGACGCTTCTCGGGGAGGATACGGCCAGACTATTCACACCACTCTACCTTTCGTCAAGTCCGATTTGCCGATCGCCATCGTATTTCGAGCCCTGGGCGTCGTCAGTGACGAAGAGATCCTGAACCACATATGTTACGATCGTAACGACAGCCAGATGCTAGAGATGTTGCGGCCTTGTATCGAAGAGGCCTTCTGCATTCAGGACCGCGAAGTAGCTCTAGATTTCATTGGGAAGCGCGGGAGGGATTCCCACAATGTGACGAGGGATCGTCGTGTTCGTGCCGCGAAAGATATTTTGCAGAAAGAGATGCTTCCCCATGTATCTCAAGGGGAAGGATGCGAGACGAGAAAGGCCTTCTTCTTGGGCTACATGGTTCACAAACTTCTCCAGTGCGCTCTCGGCCGACATGATACGGATGATCGAGATCACTTCGGCAAGAAGCGTCTGGACCTCGCGGGTCCGCTGCTCGCCAAGCTATTCCGTAATATTGTTCGCCGCTTAGTGCAGGAGGTCAGCGGCCACCTCAAACGGTGTATCGATTCGAACCGGCGTTTCCATATCGAGCTTGCTGCTAAGCCTTCCATCATCACGAACGGCCTGAAATACTCTCTGGCTACCGGCAACTGGGGCGACCAGAAGAAGGCGATGAGCTCGACCGCCGGTGTATCGCAAGTCCTTAATCGTTATACCTTCGCGTCGACCCTGTCCCATCTGCGGAGAACCAATACGCCTATAGGACGCGACGGGAAGCTCGCGAAACCTCGGCAGCTTCACAACACCCACTGGGGGTTGGTTTGCCCAGCCGAAACACCAGAGGGCCAGGCCTGCGGGCTGGTCAAGAACTTGTCTTTGATGTGCTCCATCAGCGTCGGCACATCGACGGATCCTATCGTCGACTACATGATCACCCGAAATATGGAGGTTCTGGAGGAGTACGAGCCCATGCGATACCCCAACGCTACCAAGATCTTCCTCAACGGCTCTTGGATCGGCGTACACCAAGATCCGAAGGCCTTGGTTAGAGACGTCCAGAACTTGCGCCGGGCCAATCAGATCCCGGCCGAGGTGTCCCTAATTCGCGATATTCGCGATCGCGAGTTCAAGATCTTTTCGGACGCCGGTCGGGTCATGCGTCCCCTGTTCGTCGTCGAGCAGGAGGGCGAGAGGAAGGGGTCTTTGATTCTTACCAAGGACATGATCCACAGGCTAGAGGCGGACGTGGACCTATCTCCAGATAGCGATGACTATTTCGGCTGGCAGGGTCTGGTCAACGAGGGTGTCATCGAATTCCTAGACGCCGAGGAGGAAGAGACGGCCATGATTTGCATGACGCCCGAGGATCTGGAAGCCTACCGTCAAGCCAAAGCCGGTTACGCGCCGGTCGAGGACGACAGCGAGGAGATTAACCGGCGTCTCAAGACCAAGATGAACCCTACCACACACATGTACACACACTGCGAGATTCATCCGAGCATGTTGCTAGGTATCTGTGCTAGCATTATCCCGTTCCCCGACCACAACCAGGTTTGTCAATTCCCTTCAAAGTTGCCAGTCCTCTGTCCCGATAACTCTCTGCTAACCCTACCTCGCAGTCTCCTAGGAACACGTACCAATCGGCCATGGGCAAACAGGCCATGGGCTTTTTTCTTACTAATTACAACCGCCGTATGGACACTATGGCAAACATCTTGTATTATCCTCAGAAGCCCCTGGGCACGACCCGCTCGATGGAGTTCTTGAAATTCCGAGAGCTTCCCGCCGGCCAGAACGCCATCGTCGCCATCGCCTGTTACTCCGGATATAACCAGGAAGATTCCGTCATCATGAACCAGAGCAGTATCGACCGAGGTCTCTTCCGCAGTCTGTTCTTCCGATCCTACAGCGACTGCGAGAAGCGAGTCGGCATCAACACAGTGGAGACGTTTGAGAAGCCATTCCGAGCGGACACACTTCGACTCAAGCAGGGTACTTACGACAAGCTCGACGACGACGGCATCATCGCCCCCGGCATCCGCGTGTCCGGAGAGGATATCATTATCGGAAAGACGTCGCCCATCAACCCCGACAACGAGGAGATGGGCCAGCGCACCAAGGTGCACGTCAAGCGCGACGCGTCGACGCCCCTGCGCAGCACGGAAAGCGGCATCGTCGACAGCGTCATAGTAACGACGAACCAAGACGGCCTCCGCTACGTCAAGGTGCGAGTGCGGACCACCAAGATCCCGCAAATCGGAGACAAATTCGCCTCTCGACACGGGCAAAAGGGCACGATCGGCGTCACGTACCGCCAGGAAGACATGCCGTTCACGCGAGAGGGCATCGTCCCCGACCTGATCATCAACCCGCACGCCATCCCGTCGCGCATGACCATTGCTCACTTGATCGAGTGTCTCCTTAGTAAGGTTTCGACGCTCAAGGGTATGGAGGGCGACGCGACTCCCTTCACCGCCGTCACCGTCGACTCGGTGTCGAGCCTGCTCCGCGAGCACGGCTACCAGTCGCGCGGCTTCGAGATCATGTACCACGGCCACACGGGGCGCAAGCTCCGCGCGCAGGTGTTCTTCGGGCCCACGTACTACCAGCGCCTGAGGCACATGGTGGACGACAAGATCCACGCGCGCGCGCGCGGCCCGGTGCAGATCATGACGCGGCAGCCGGTCGAGGGCCGAGCGCGCGACGGTGGTCTCCGTTTCGGAGAGATGGAACGCGACTGCATGATTGCTCACGGCGCCGCCGCGTTCCTCAAGGAGCGCCTGTTCGAGGTCTCGGACGCGTTCCGCGTGCACGTCTGCGAGATTTGCGGCCTCATGACCCCGATCGCGTACGTCACTGCCTCTATCTCTTATCTCTCCTCTTCTTCTTTTCTCTCCTGCTCTTCTGCTCTCCTGTCATCCGAAACCAAGTATACTAACCCAGATGGCTTCGCACAGTGTCCTTAGTAAGCAGTCGTTCGAGTGCCGGCCGTGCAAGAACAAGACGCGGATCGCGCAGATCCACATCCCGTACGCGGCGAAGCTCCTGTTCCAGGAGCTCCAGGCGATGAACATCGCGACCCGCATGTTCACGGACCGCTCCGGCGTGTCGATCCGCTAGAAGGGTTTCTTCTGTCTTACGGGCCCGGACCCCCTCCTCGAGGAGTGGTATTATTGGGTTTTTTTTTTTCCCCAGGGCGGTGCGGTTGGAATAATCGATGCTGGAGGTGGCTGGGTGGGTGCCCCCCGGGGGAAGAGGCGGTAAGGGCGAGAAAACCCCCCCCTCTCCTCCCCGTCTACGTACAAAATGAATGCATAGGGTAGGCGTTTTTTCATGTGTGTCTCGGTTTGGTTCCTATTACATTACACCTATCACGACTGGTCGCATCCCCCCCCCCCCCCCGGCCGTCCTCTTGACGCGAACCGGCGGACGAAGAAAGAGGAGCAGCAGCAGAGAAGAGCTCTCCAGAAGCAGAAATAGAGAGAGGCTAGATAGTCTACATATTGGGTGGTCTAGTCAGTGGAACGACGACGTTGTTTCCTAACCGCGGCGTTTCTTTGCCTTTCCTTGGGCCTGCGGGCTGGGCGGTGCAGACGACGACGCGTGAGTGCGTGAGTGCTTGAGTGACTTGACCCCTTTCGACGGCTCGTGTAGACGCATAGACGTAGTTAACCAGCGGCCGTCCCGTCCGGCATCGCACGCTTCTACTCCCCCTTGGCCCCCTTTTCACCCCGCCGTCGTGGCGATCCGCACGTCGACGCGCCAGTAGCAGCAGCAGCAGCAGCAGCAGTGTCCACACGTATGTATATCTGTATCTACATGTATCTAGCAGTAAGCAGCACGGCGCCCGCCGCGCACAACCCGCGTCTCGACGCCTTTGCCGGCCTGGTTCTCGCGATGGGAGCGGCAGTTGGGGTATGTATACACAGAGAGAGGGAGGCCGTGTATGGTGGGTACCCGTTCCGTAGAGCAGGACAGGGCGCAGACCCGCGGACCTCTCCCGTCTCCCGTGTCGTAGCGTCTATCCTTTCGCCGGCGTGGCCTATCCCTGAGCACTTGGAGCCGCTACCTGTCTAGACAGGGAGCCTTCTCCTCTCCCCTCCCTAACTACGGCAGAACTGCCGGCACTGATGCGTGCTTCGAGGGCCGGGCGGTAGAGGGACCAGACTACTACAACGCGACGTCGTCATTCCAACCCAGACAGATAGGGCACATCGGACGCGAGCGACATCATCACAGCACCTCTTGCGAAGCGAGCGAGCGAGCGAGCGAGCTTTGGATTATTGTTCTTTACGATTCCTCGGTATCTTTGGACCTCGTGGGGGGAGGGGGTGACAGAGCCAGCCTACCCTCGTGGTAGTAAGGAAAGCAGGCCCATCAACGCAACGTGTATATCTAATGACATTTCCTTCACCCCGTCCTCTTTTGGGTTCGTCGTTGTGTTTTTTTGCTTCCTTTGCTCTTCCGCTTCCCCATCGTTGCCAATGTCGTCGCAATGATTGCCATTTCCCTTAAAAAAGACCAAATGACAGCCCACCCATACGCCTAGTCAATGACCAATCGACCCCAACGGAGAAAGGATTTTTTTAAGCCCTCGACATGACACCCCACGCCCGGATAATGTTGTCGGTGTAGCCGGCGAACAGCGTCTGGCCGTCTGCGCTCCAGGCCAGGCTCACGCACTCGGGCTCCCGGCTCTTCTTGCCGACGGACGTGAACTCGGGCTTCAGCTCGTCGACCTTGCTCTTCTTCTCGAGGTCGAAGATGATGATGCTGCTCGCGGTGGCGGCGCAGAGCCAGTATCGGTTGGGGGAGAAGACGAGGGCGTGGATCTCGTCGCCGGCGCTGAGGGAGTACAGATGCTTGGACTCGTTCAAGTCCCAGAGCATGGTGGTGCCATCCTTGCCTCCGGAGGCGCACAGCGAACCGTCGGGCGAGATGGTTACAGTGTTGATGTAGCCGGTGTGACCGATGTGGTCAGTCTGGAGCTTGCAGGTCGACAGTTCCCATACCTAGACAGGTGGCACACGACGGTCAGTTACGCGGTGTTCACAAACGCCTCCCCCGATGATTGTTAAGCGGGTTGAAATTATATATTATCAGTGCAATGGTGTGAAATGGTCTCATGGCTCGCTCGCGAGCTCTGAAGTAGCAAATACTTGTAATATGCAAAAACATCATATGAAAGAAAAGGGTATAACATTCAGCAGATGGCTGAGGGGGAGCGAGGGCGTACCTTGACGAGCTTGTCCCAGCTGCTGGAGACGATGACGGGGTTCTGAGGGTTGGGGCTGAAGCGGACGCACGAGACCCATTCGGTGTGGCCCTTGTCGGTGATGGTGAACTTGCAGTCGCCGAGGGTGTTCCACAGCTTGATGGTCCGGTCGCGCGAGCCGGAGACGATCTGTCGGTTGTCGGCTGAGAATGAGACAGAGAGGACGTCGCCAGTGTGGCCGACGAAGCGTCGGGTCGTCGTGCCTGTCGCGAGCTCCCACAATCGCAGAGTCTTATCCCAAGAGGCGGATAGGGCGTAGGCGCCGTCGGAGGAGATGACCTAGAAGAAGAGAAGGGATGGGGTCAGCCCAGGGGGTTCATCATCGATATTTATGTCTTCTGCCAATTCGTCCGTGCGCTCCATCGCAATTTTTTTTTCTCTCTATCTCCTCCCCCTCTCCTCTTCTTTTTTTGTGTCTATTTTCGTCCCGTTTTGTTTCGCCGCAATTCCACCTGACCCCGTCCCCCACTATTATCGGCAGCCGCGAGTGAGGATACGACGAGGATGAAAGGAAGAGCAAGGAACAGACAGGGTGTGACATACGCAGTCGGACACGATGTGGGAGTGGCCGTGGAGAGATCGCTTCGGGTAACCGTACTGCGACTCGTCGCGGGTGAGGTTCCAGATGATCAGAGTCTTGTCACGGCTGCCAGACAGGAGCATGTTGGGGCTGCAGGTTGACGGGGCGTCTGGTAAGCTCGTGATCTCAAAAAAGGCGGGGGGAAGACGCTGGTCAGAAGTGGAAATGGTGGTGGTGGTGGTGGTTGTGGCGGCGGTTATCGCACGTACTTTTCCATCGAGGTGGCCAAGCTGGTGACCCAGCCATTCTGTAGCGATGCACACGTTAATTAGCCTACGGCGCTCCCATGCTGCGTATTGCCTATGTTGCGCTGCGTCCTGCGTAGTGTGCCAGCGCGGCGGCGCGGCACCGCGACACCGGGCGACACCGAGTGGCAACGGCAAGATGGGTGATGAGGGATGCCAACTTACGTGACCCTCGAGGGTGCCCTTGAGAATAAGCTGCTCAGCCATGACGAAGGGCAATAACTCGGATTCTGCACCTCTTTATGGGGTTGCCGGCGGACGAGGGTGGGAGAACACGACGGAAGAAGCGAGGGGGGAGAGGAGAGTAAAGTAGGTGAATGGTGCTGATCGCGAAGTTGATTGCAAGTTGGTTTGCGGGTTGGCTTCGCCCTCCTAATTTTCCCCGAACAAATTTTGTGTGCGATGCCGTTAGGGTCAATCGCTAAATCGCTGGCGGAGGTGCGACGGAGCTAATAGGTAGGTAGGTGCCCGCACCTCCGCGCCTACGTACCTAACCTGCCCGAGATACAACATGACGCGGTGGGCACTGAGTACCGAAGATATGGCAAACCCGCTGTCGAGATACCTAAACCGAGGCAGGTATGCAGGTTCCGGAAACGGAAAAGGTACTGAAACTTGGGCGCCTCGGTACCTGCAAGGACCCCATACCTTAGGTACCTACGTTAGGTGCACCCACATCATGGCAATCCTAGCCAAAGGTGTCCCCTATAAAACTACCTAAAGCTGACTTGTCCGCCTGCCTGCAGCTGGCTGCCAACCGGTTCTCTCCCGTGAAGGCTTGAACTTAACGTGAGTAGTATAAGAAAAAAGGAGGTAGGATAGGAGGAATCGATATCTGGCGCTGGTAGGGGGAAGTAGACGACGCTTCAACTCAACCGAAGGGAGAAGCATCGGCTGCGGCGAATACGCATGGCACCGTCCACCTTATACTTATCGAGTGCAGCTACGCACAGCTATCGCGTCGCACATCTCAAGGACATGCATGCACGCACGCACGCACGGCAACGCGGAGAACCCGGAGTAAAAAGCACATTTTGTATCAATGGGGGGTATCTTGGCGAGGCAATGCTACTACTATCCATGTGCGCCCTAACTCCAGCCTGGTGGACAGATGCGACGGTGCGGAAGACGGGTTTCTTTCTGCTCGTCCTTTCGGTATCCCACCCTTCCTCTCTAGATCGTTCTCCGCTCTAGGGTAAACCTTCTCGTGAGTCAAGAGCGGCGTAAGACCACAACTAAGGCTCAAGAGGTACCCAGGTGTTCTCGCTAAAAGTAAAATAATAATAATAAATAACAAAAAGGAAAAGAAAATAGCCATCCGATCTCCATGGTAAGGTGTAGGTAGATGATGCCGGCAGCCGACATCGTATCGGGGATTCGGCTGTGCCGCGTCTCACTCCTCGCCCCTCTTGGATAGGCTGGCTCCGTCGGCAACCGGGGCCGGGTTATTAGACGGCTGGTGCTCGGCGGCTGACCCGAGGCACTTCCCGCCGGCCAAACTTGGCGGCGAAGTTGACCAGAGGGCTGTGATCGGCTATCTCTGCTGCTACGGTCGAGGACCCATTCCGCGGCAGAAATTCCGTCATCATCTGCTCCCACGCCTGGTACCGTCCCTGGCTAAGCGGATTACGCAGGGCCATCTCCCTGAGCTCCTTCTGCTTGCTGATCTTGGCCGCCCGGTCGATGCGCCGCAGCGCCAGCTCGCCCTTCTTCGCGTCCTCCTCCGCCTGTGCGCGCTTCTCTACCGGATTGCACGGCGGCAGCTCCACCACCGTGAACTTGTACGTGTGCTTGCTCGGGAAGACGGGGAAGCTCTTAGGGATCCACAGACGCTCTTCTTTCTCCTCCCTCCCCTCTAGCTCCTCGCCCAGGAACGGCCGCGGTTTATGGAAATACTGGATGTCCTCCGAGACCGGATCGTAAAAGGACGGCTCGAGCAACGGTTTCGACACGGGGTTCTTGAGGTGTGGCTTAAGAGACGACAGCGGGACGTCGTAACGGTGCAGGATCTGCTCGAAGTCTGCCGGTGTCGGTTCGTTTCTTCTCGCCGCGTTCGCAGTGCGCTTAAGGTGGTCGACAAATTCGGTGACGTCTACTCGGCAGTTAGAACAGCTGCCCGAAGCGAGGAAGCAGCGGACACGTCTTGAACCTACACGTATCTACCAACTCGGTGAAGCTCTCCAGCGCATCCTTGGTGCAGGAGTCAAACCCCACGTGCTTCAGCACCAAACCGATAGACCTTCGCAAGCCTTCCCGGCCCAAGTCGCCAGCGGTAGGACGCGTCACGACGTCGTAGACGGGCTCCTCGGCCTGGGGGGCCAGAGTCGGCGCAGCAGAGTCGGATTCGGGGCTCAAGGTTCGCCGTCGTTTGGACGGAGCGTCCCGGTCATCGTCGCCATCTTCGGGGCTAGAGCGCTTTTGACGGAGGTTTGACGTGGTGTCCATGGAGTTATCCGAGTTGATGGTTTGAAATGCTAAGCGGAGCACGTCGAGAGATACGAGGGTTAAGGAAACGGGACGGACTCGCGAGACGCGACTTACGCCTTCCCACGAGTACGCAAAGCACGTGTGGATCGCAAGCTAGGCAGAACGACGTTTTCGAGCTGCCCAGACGAGAGTGGGAGACAGAGGAGAGGCCGCGCTCGGGCACAAAATTATCGAGACGGAGTTGGAAGGTTTGCAGGCTAGAACAGATGCTGTTGAAGGTGACTGGGTGTGGCACAGTGCAGATAGTGTGGCTGGGGACCGTAGACGGAGGCGTCCGCTTAGGTAATGTGGCTAAGCTAGGTACCTACTTGAGCGCCGGGCGTGGGGGTTCACGTGGGGGTTCACACTGGTGTGTATCACAAGGCCGTGTATACCTTCGTGTGCGTTTATTCGAGGTTGTCAGCCCAGCCAAGTTGAGCAACGCGGAGATGCCGACCTCTAGCTACCTACAGTAGGTATGTAGGCACCTCAACTAAGAACTTACCATACCTATACCTACGCGGCGCGGCTATATACCTACCTACCTCCACTTACCTACCTAATACTCCGAGGCGATAACCCCAATTCACTCCAATTCACTTACAAGGTGCCTGATGAATAATCGGAATCGCCATCATCGCTGCCGCTCTTGTCATCATAGTCGAGGCTGTAGTTACTAGGTACTGAGACTCTGGAGACCCATAGACAGGTAAGACAGACCAAGGAGAAGGCATGCCACCCCGCCGCTGTCGGTTGGCGGTAAAATTGACCTAGCCTATGAAAAGAGCGGCATAATATCTTCGTAGCTTCTGGGGACGGCTGGGGGTATATACCCTATACGTTCCCCCTTCGCGCAGCCCCGAGAACCAACGCCTCCCCATCGGCGTCCTTTCGCGTTGGTAATGGCAGCACTCGCCAGCCACGCAGAAGGTCTCTTCGATCCTGTTTCCGCCCCTGCGGTCCCTTCGAGTCCCTATCCACGCCATCTATCCTCCCCGCCGCCAGGGGCCGCCTTTACCTTCACTGTCACTACCCATCGTCACTAGACGCGGGGGGCAAGTAAGTATCGATGCTCGCTTACCGCACTGGAAAGGGATAACCCGGTGCGTGAAACCGGATTTCCCCCCTCTTGGTCAGATCATGTGCTACGGTAGCAGGCAGCAAGTTGTGTACGCTTAGGACGTGCCAGTCGGAAATATTCCCAAGCTGAAAACGAGAGCGGGGAAGGGGAAAGGGGAGCTGAAAAGACTGGAAGAGAAGAAAGAAGAAAAGCAGTGCATGTGTCGTAACACACACACACCACATATATATATCTATAGGCTATAGGTATGGGTAGGCGAAATACGAGATACGACGTATGCGACGCGAATACTTGACGAGAATCGACGATTTAAAGCCTCGCCGTCATGTATCGCATTCTAGGGAGCAGAGGGAAGTGTCCGCCTGTCGCGATATAATACCCGGGGGGTCAGGACGGAAATGCATAACTGTGAAACGGTACGACTCGTCCTGCCTCGCCTTGTCCTATCGCTGCCCAGGGAGCCATTACAAGACAGGAAATATGATCCGAGAACATGGCTAGCTAGATGCGTCGCAGCGTCGGTAGGACGGGCCCCATGACCAGAAACTCGCTCCTACTCTCTCCCTCCTTCGCCGACGGGCAGATGGATGGACATCTCCTTTAACTGGTAATAGATCTACAGGGACGTGGTGAGCCGCCGTAGACCGACCCTACCGCTACCATTGTCGCCACCATCGCCATCGCCGCCGAGTTCACTGTAGCGACTCGGGGATCCCAAGGTATCGGGAGTCGCCTCCTCGAACACGCCGATCTCTCGGGCACGGGACCGTTCTCCCTGCCGGACGAGCTCGGCATCCACCTCCTGGATGGCCCGTTTTTGTCCCGCGGCGCCTCCACCGTCTCCCCGCCGAAACCAGCGGGGATGGGCTTCGGGAGCGAGAGAAGTGGCGGCCTGGACATACCTTTACTAAAGCCGTCAGCACGTCCACCCCTGCCGCCGAGGCGGCGCTGACTGGTCCTCGCTAGCGACAGCGTCCTCGGCACGCTCGCCCAAGCAGCAGCAGCAGCGGCATCCAGCGGTGTGGCGCTTCTAGAAGTGCCCATCGACAGGGGGCGAGCGGTCTGTCTACCTGCCGGGAGAAATGGGCCTCTTTTAGGAAGCTTGGCCCGCGGTTGCGACCCCTCCGCTAATCGCATCGCTAACCTGCCGGAGCTGACGACTTGCGAGATACCTAGTCCGCTCGTCTGCTGGGAATCCAATGCTCCGCGACAGCCGCGGCGCTGGGATCGGGTGAGGGAGACGAGAAGGATGCGCGAGATTTCCGCTGCCAGTATTCAGCGTCGGTGCCCAGAATCGGCATCACCTTACCTCTTTTTATCTCCCCAGCTTTGCTCTCCCCCTTCTCTCATCATCTTTTCGTCTTCTTCACATCCTCCTCTTTACCCCCCCACGTTCACGGCCTCCTTAGCTAGAGGACGCGTCGAGTTTCATCTTTGAGGGGGGATTGCGGGACGGAGTGTGTGATAGGATCGAGTGGCGGATCAGCGGCTGTAAGCGTGGCCATCATCGGGAACGCCTGCCGACGAGATGCGGACGTGGTGCGTCGCGAGCGGGGTCGCGTGCCGACGTCACAGATCCCTCTGGGGAAGACGATACGTGATCATCTCCCCCCCTTCCCCCCTCCCCCGCTCGACCCCCCTCTTCCTCATCGCGGTGTAGCTTGTTTCGGCTACTGGCAGGACTGGCCGCGGAGTTGTCGCCTCGCTCTCTCTCGCAAAGCGCTACCTCTCCTCGCCGTCACCGCTCTCCCGAGTCCACCGGACAAGGCCAATAAGCACAAAGCAGCGCGGCAGGACGGGCCCGCCCCAAGAAGTCTCACGAGAGCGCGTACAGGAGCGAGGCGTGCTGTGTCCATATGCTCGCGGGGCGCGTATAAGCATACATGTGTGTGCAGGTCGCCAATGCACGCAGGTGGGAAATGAGTACGTATGAACCTACGCATGCGCCTTGGAGCAAGGGCGAGACACGCGCTTCTCCGAGGAGATTTGGGGGCGGCTGTGCGGGCAGACAATTACCCACCTGATGGAGGACGTCTGGCCCGGCGCGGTCCCGTCCGCAGCATCGCCAGCAAATAAGACTACTGGGAAGCCGAGGCTCAACGAAGAAGAAAGTAGAGGAGGGGGAGCTGCGAGTCGCGACGAGGCTTGCACCTCTGCCACGCCAAGCGTGCTCATCTGCTCGTCGACCCAGAGCGACCTGTCGTGCGTTCAGCGAGATCAGTCGGCAGTCGGCAGTTGGGACACGATGCATGACGCCGGGACGCGATCAGCAGCAGCAGCAGCAGCAGCAGCAGCGGAGGCGGTAGGTAGCAATATTAGTGGTGGCCTCTGTCGGAGTTGACTCCGGTGCGTCAAGTCACGGCTCCATCGCCGATGCTACGATGGGTGAAGAAAGGAAAGGAAAAATGAGATGATGGACGTATTTGGTTTGGCCCTGCTCCCCCCTCCCCTTGTTGGTCTGAGGACCGCAACTCGGGCTTTGAAGTTCGGGATTTAACCCAGCAGAGCCAGCCGGGGGGGGGGGGGGGAATAGAGGGGAATAACTTATAGATCCATGTATTATTATATGGGCTATTTCGGGTCCTGATACGGACCAGATCTGCCCTCACTCGGCTGGGGTCTTTCTCGACGATATCCACAGGTCCATAATCGAAATTGCAGCCAGGGGGGGTCAGGACGACTTATACGGACCTTGTCGACACCATCGAGTCCCTCCCTAGACGATGTAGAATACGAAACGAGAGGCTAGTCACGTCATTTCCCGCGTGGCAAGCCTGACGATCCGGGTCGGTATGACCTCTTCGTATATGAGTCTGTTCCCATCTCCAATACATACCTGACACATATAGGTATCTGTATTGATGCGTAGATACGTGTACATGGATGTTGTGGACACATATGGGCCTACATGGTCACATATCGTTGCACATCCCTAGCATGCATTACATATATGTGTACATATGTGTGCATATACAGACCTACCTATTCTACATACCTCCCTTAGGTAGGTTCCCAGGCAGGCAGGCTGGTGTTTCGTTTCCGCTTCATCACAGGCTCCGATTGATAATACTGACCACATATATGTCTATATCGCCGAGGCCGTTACGAAGTTGGCGGAGTCGTAACCAAAGTTGCTCCTTGTTTAGGTCGAGTAAGATCGAAGGGACTTCCCCTTCCCCTTTTTCTTCGGTTTGACGAACGTGATCGAGCACTCGAGCGGTTTTACCTACGTCAAAACGTTGGCTGTATGTGCCATCAGAATGAACCCCGCGAGTATAGCGCCAGCCGTTCAGCCGCTCCAACAATGCAACGGTGACGGACGGGTGGTCGAATCTCTCGTTCGACTCGTCGCCTTCACCCGCAGTCTTGTCGTGTGCTTCCCAGGGCAGACCGCTGCCGCGGCCTCCTTTTTTTTTCTCTTGTGATTTTCCCATCCCGCCCACCCTGGTTTTTACCTCTCTTTTCTTTTTCTTCTCTCTCTCCCCCTCCCCTCCTCTTCCAGCTCCAGGTTTTCACCTCCCGCATCGAGACATGGCCCGATCCTCCCGCCCGCCCGCAGCGGGAATGATGATGTGTGGCTACGGCAACGCCCGTCCGCTCGTACATGATTTGCATCTTTGCGGTAATAATGTCCAGTTGTTCACTAGACAAGGGTTTGTCCGCCCGGTGATCGCAATCGGAACCCTCTAACCCCAGGCGAGCGGCACGGTCTTGACACGCGACTTTCAGGGAAGACCCAGGGAACACCAACACCCGACGATGCGAGTAATAGTACGTGTGTAGGAGGACGTACGCGTACTACGCCGTACAATAAATAGTAAACGTATACAGGCGCACACACACACACACGCACACGCACACCACACATATATACCCCTACCTCATTTAGGGCATTGCATGCGCATTCATAGACATACCTAGTGAAGGCAACGAATGAGACCTTTCTGCATTGCCCGTGTCATTCACCCATCTGCCTCCTCCGCTTCGAATTGCCGGTGTGGTTCGGTCAGCTTACGCGGTCAAAACCACCCCCGTTTACCGCCCATCGACGCTACGGATTCAACCCGCCGAAATCGACAACGGGATAACGCCAGTGAAGAGAGAGAGGGAGAGAGACGAGAACAAGATGGACCAGCCTATTCAATCCTTCGAGAAATCGCCGCTTGGCATAAGCTTCTTGCTCCGGGCCGTGAGGCATGGATCGGGATGTTCGTTCCCGTAGGATCCCAGGTGCCAAATCTGGACGTGCCATGCCATTATGCCCTCCTCGCGTGATAAGCCCCATCGCGCGGTGCAGAAGTCCTACGAGGGAATCTATGCGCCCGCGCTCGCGCCCGGGTGCATATATGCACATGCATGGTCGTAGATAGGTAGAGATCTCAAGTGTAGATGCCAATTCGCCGCGGTGTCTACTTAACTTATCTAAAACACCGACGAGCGCACGTCAGATAAGCACTAGCTTCATGTGCCTGAAGTCTGAAGATAGACGAGGCCACCAAACGAGATTGCTGGCTCTCCAGCGATCGTGGGGTTCGGGACGGAGAACGGATGGGCGCACAATATCGCAACGCAGCACATGCCCGAATCCATCCTCTCGCCCATCGACTGCATGGTTCTTTTACAAACCCTGCATCTCCTGGCATGTTTTTCCTCCCAAATGGTAGAAGTTGTGCCTGCCTACGTCAAGTTTGAGACGCAAGTTGGAGAGGCATGTAGGGCGGCCAATGGCAAGCGGCGGCGTCGAAGCAGAGACGAATTGGATGAGGCGACGGACTCGCCAGTCGCATCCAGGTTCTGATTCTGTCTCTGTCTCTTGTCTCGCCCGCCTTGTCTCTGCCCCCCTTCCTCCCGATATATTTATTGATAAAAAAGTCAACGGAAGAGGAGAGAGAGAGAGAGAGAGAGGGCTGCATTTGTCGGCGCTTAAACCCACACTTACCTGCCTATGAGTAGATGCATACCACCAATCTGTGCTACCTCCCGCCAGGCGTTTCTTGGACCCGAATGAGCATGCTACTGGGTGTTGCTATGATTCGTCGCAAACCCTCGAGTATCGTCGAGTCACGCCACGTCCGCCCAGCCAGGCCCAGCTGGCACCGGCGCAGCCTACCAATGCATAGCTAAAGATACGGCGGCGCTTTAAGCTTCCTCGCAGGCGAGCATTTGGAGAACCCGGTATGTAGTTTGAGGCGACGAAAAAGTTGATTTGGGGTATCCTATGCCGAGGAGTGAAACTATGCCCCAGGATGGTCAGGAGCTGGGCACCTAACCCACATGACTTGCGCGCAAGGGGCAGATGTATGGATAGATATGTATCTAGTGCCTGGCAGTCGGTCGTATCAGGCACCGCACAGTAAGTACACTAATGGCGATGTGGCGATCGGCGTGTTTCTGTTGAATTCTGCCGTGACCTCGGAGCAACCTGGCGAATATTTGCGGTAGCGGAGGATTGATGCCTCGCGCACCGTTTGCTTAGCTCGCACAGACAAGCTGATCATCTTATTGAGGCCTTGGCCGCGAGGGGAGACAGTTCGGACAGTACCGTACCATATCGAGTGGCTCCGGGTCTATGCTAGGCGCAGTATGGGGAGAGACGTATATATGGAGTTATGCACTCATATGGGTAGGAGAGGGGAGGGTCGATGACATAGGTACCTTTGCCTAGATATGGTTGGTAGACGAGGTCGGACGGGAGGCGGCGGATCTCGTCGTGGGAAATTGGTGCATACCACCGTCTCTCGTCGCCGTTCGCCCACCAGGCATGCCCGACTGTCGATCGTAAGCCGTGACGGGTACGGCGTGTGCCCGCTACGGCCAAACAGAGGTGTGAGACGCAGGACGACTCAGAGCATTATAGTCTGATCAGAGGCCGAATCGAGTCAAGGCTGGGTCGGTTGTGGATACGTCGGGGCTGGTCGTCGGGGTTGGTCGTGGGTCGCTGTATATGTTGCTCGAGACGACATGGTGCGAATGGGACCTGGTAGAAATAAAAATAAAACCGAAATCAAACCAAGAATAAAAATGGTAGGTTGCTGACGGATTGCACAGACAGACAACAGACAGACAGATGATACGGAGGCAGATAGGCAGATTATGCGCATTCGAGAGGTATGTCTGTATGCGCGATGTAGGTACTCATCGGCGGGATGGTACCTGTCTTTGCGGTACGTGTAGCGAGGTCTAGACCCGATTAGCGTAATCACGTTGACGGCCGGAGCAACCGCAATGGACGTCGACGGTGCAGATCCGCATTGACCGCGCTTTTCTCCTTCCCCCATCCGATTTCGCCGCAGATTACCGTGGTTACGTGAGCCCTGTACCTACGTGCCAGGCTGGCAGGTTTTTTATTTTTATTTTTATGTTCTGATACCTTGGCTTGCCGTGATCCTTGGGTACAGTTCTTGTTCGCCCTGTGATGGCTAGGTACCTCAAGGCAATAAAGGTAGGCAGGTATATCACCTAAGGTATCGGTACCTAGGTACCTCCTACAGTACATGTAGACATACCTGCCTGCCTGCCTAGGTACATATGAGGTCAGGCACCTGATCTGAGGGGAGGTGACGAAAGCGGGAGAGAGGCGCAGAGGCGCAGAGGGGAGAGGTACCTGCCTTAGTAAGGCGCGTCCAGGTCTACTACACGTAGGAGTAGGGGCGTAGGCAGGTGCGAAGGTGGGTTGACAACCCTTGACACACAGGCGGCAGGTGGCTTGGTTACACGGTGTACAATGCCGCCGGACTTTCCTCCGTGGCTACCTCACCTAAGCTCGGGCCTGGTTCCCACTAGCCCACTAATAGCGTGTTTAGTAATAGGCAATAATAGAGTGACAGGTCTCACTCATATCGAGTTGTCCCATCGTCCGACGGATGGAGACGAGCCAGCACCGAACCGCAGCGCACGATGCCTACCTACTCATACGCCTACGTAGTAGGTAAGCCAGCCGGGAAGGGCACCGCGCGTAGGCTACCTACCTGCCGCAGCGTACGGCGGCCGTGGACGAGGTCCTCTGCGCAGGGCCCGTACCTCTGTGGTAGGTACTCACAATACTCATAGTGCTCATGCGTGTAGTAGTAGTGGCAGCAGCAGAGGGTAGGAGATGCGAGAGCTTGGCCGGGCCACCCCGGCGACAGAAAAGGGCCTCTTGCAGAAATTATAGGCCGTCCCAAAATTGGGGCGGGAGGGGCTGGCTCCTGGACGGTGCTAGAGAAGGCGAGCTGGCCTTGTACTATTATTCGCCTACACCTACAAGTTTGGGTCCGTTTCCCTCTTCCTTCCACCCCGCCCTTTTCATGTCTTCATTTTCGATTTTGTCGAATACGGACCCGGGAATCAATCCCATCTCTCTGTCTGCTGAGCCCTCCCTGCCAGCACGCAGGTATTTTCTCTCTTTTCCTTCTCTCTCTCCACTCCTCCGTGGAGATGGACTCCTTCTCGAAGCCTGCCAGCCCACCCACCCACGGACCTGTCCCACTCGCCAGATCCCCTGTTCCTCGACTTCTCCTGCTCGCGCCCCTAATTCCGCCCACCCCCTTCCCCTCCAGTCTCCTCCCCTCCTCTTTCGACCCCACCACCCCTACCTGAGCTTTCCTCTTCCTCCTCCTCCCGGTCCCCTGCCGTTAAGATGGGACCCGAGAGATCCACCAGGAGAGGTACCTATGAGTATTCAAGTAAAATTATAGGTATGCGTACGAGGTGGTATACGCCTAAACGCAATCGACTTGCCTCTTCCGGTCCCCATCTCATACCACGTACATGCACGTATGCCGCGTAGGTTCGCATAGACCTAACGTGCTTAGCTGCACACCCGCCACGCATTACATGCCTATACTGCTATACTACATACTCATGGGACGTAGGTAGGTACCTCTACGCTTAGGTGCCTGCCAGGCCTGCCCACCTACCTAGGTACCTTACCTAGGTACCTACCTCCTACCTGTGCTAGATCCGTTAATTGGATGCTACACAGTGGAATGAATTCCGGCGCTTCTTCATCGTAACCATGAACGCGAACGCTGGTCTCTCCCCTCTCCCTCCCCCCCCCCCCCCCCTAGCTCGGCCGCTCGCTCGCTCGTTCTTTGTTATGCATCGTGTATGTATGCATCATGTATGTGGATGACTGATGGCGCATCTTCTTCTTCCCTAGTCCGTTGCCATCGTCGTCTTCCCTCTGCCCTGCTTAGCGCACACCTACACCGTCCGTCCCTACACGGAACAGAGGCAGACTTACACGCGCGAATCCCAGATCCAGATCCGGATACCTGTGGAGAGAGAGAGAGAAACGGGGGCACACGACAAGATCCTCCTCTTCGTCGCCGTCGCCATCGCCAGCTACGACTGCACGCCCATGCATCGCGTATCCATGCACGGATGCACATGATACCGCCGAGCTTACCTCTCTGTACATCGCCTTCTCCTAACGTCCACACACCCACCACCACCCTCGACGCCTTGACGTAGGTATACACATACATAAACGCATACGCACACGTACATACAGACCTGGACCTGGACCTGGACCCGGACCTGGACCTTGACCCTGCCCTGCCCTGCCCTATACTACCCTGCATGTTTCCTTTTTGGTTCTATCCCCATTTCCTATTTTCCAATTTCCATCCATACGGTCATCTGTCATACGTGAACCTATCTTCATCGCCTACATACGTAATATCGCGACTTATAAGCTGAGCTGCACCATACCTATACCTACCTGCCCAGCATACTTACTCAAAGCCTCACCCTCCCCCTCCGTTTGGTTTCTTTTTCCTCTTCCCCCCTTTCCGGCATTTATACACCTACCTACCTACCTACCTACCTAGGCACTACTCGGTTACTCCTACGTTGCCCAGTTCCCATCGAGCAGTCCTCTCTTCGTCTGGTTGGAGAGAGAGAGAGTGTGTGTGTGTGTCTAAGCATTCGCCAACCGCCCCGTCCGGTTTAATTTCGTGGTACTGGGTGGCATTGGTTCCTCCTTTAGTTCCCCCCCTCTCTCGGCCCACGACAACGCTTGCCCGAAGGCGGGTCGCCAAGTACAGTCCACACCTTAGTGAAGAGAGATCCGAGGATAGCCAGATCGTTATTTTCCTTCTGTCCCGCTCTTTACCCAGCAGCCTCCTGTCACTGGATCTCGAGGTTGCTACGACTTCCGAGCATGTTGTAGCGAGCGTCCGTCCGTCTATCTACTCCTTGCGCCAAACTAAATAGTAAGCTCGTCAACCACCCTACTGCCGGTCTCGAAAAACCTCACCACCCTCTGACTCGTGGATATACCAGCAGCCTCTCCAACACCCATAGCAAATCTCACTCAGATCATTAATACAAGCAGTCATAATGTTTTCCATAGATAGGGCGATGCTCCCGTCTTTGCCCACTCGGCGGGCTCTGATCGTGGTTGATCCCCAAAACGACTTCTTGGCTGAGGACGGTGCCCTACCGATCCAGATCCCCATAGATCTCCCGGAGCGGTTAGCGGGTCTGGTTACGGCGTTCCGCAAAGGCGGCGGCGATATCATCTGGGCCTGCAGCCAGTTCGAGACGTCGCGGTCTGTATTCGACGAACAAGTTCTCACCTTGGACCGATCGGGCAACCCCCGCTCGCCAGATCACGCACGAGGCCGTCGCCGGCAAGAGCCGCCGCAGACGGCATCGCCTTCCGAGTGTGCGGAAGCCTTTCTGACGCAGGAGAGTGCAAAGGCGCCGATTTGCGTCCGGCCGGGCACCTCCGGCATAGAGATGCACCCCATCGTGAAGGAAGCCATGGGATCTAGGGACCACACGATCGTCAAGTCGTACTACTCGGCCTTTCGATCGGAGAACCTGCTTCGGGTGCTCCGGACGAGACTGGTCACGGAGCTCTTCATCTGCGGGGCGATGACGAACACCAGCATCATGGCTACCGCCGTCGATGCCGCGAGCCACGGATACACCATCACCATAGTCGACGACTGCTGCGGCTACCACAACGTGATGCGGCACCGCGCTGCGCTCAAGCAGATTTCGAACATGACAGGCTGCGCCATGCTCCCCGCAGAGACCGTCCTAGCGTCCTTCAAACCGAAGCCGAAAGTCTCGAGGAGGCCAGGCGATAGGCCGGCAACTTCAAGCGGCAGGTATCCTACCGTACGTCGCCCTGCCGGGGGGAAGGACGATTCCCTTGCGTCCTCAACCTCACAAATCCAATCGTCGTTTGAAAACCTGTCGCTAAGTGCTAAGCGTGCAGACGATGATAATCCCGACCTTCAAGCACCTGCGCCAGATCCAGCACCATCGCTTCAACCCCTGGTGAGACCTGTAGCGTTGACAGACGAGAAGAGCGGCAACGAATCAGGGACGAGTTCCTCAGCCACAAAGCCCGGCGCGGCGAGCTCCGAAAAATCTCAGAAGACTTTAGAAGATGATGAGTCACAAGGTAAAGGTGAACAGGATAATAAAGATGACGCGCCAACCCCGGCGCGGGATAAGAGGTCATCACTGCCGAATCCCCAGGGAGATGAGATTATCACGAGCAACACATCCGACGAGCCGCAATCACCCGAGCAACGAGCCACGCTCACTCCGGACCCGCCCGTAATTCAGAGCGACCATACCAGTCCACCAGAAGAAAAGGACGATCCCAGCACGCCAGAGGGGACCCCTAAACTGCCGGACGCGACAGGCCGAGCGCCTAGCGACGAAGGTACAAAGAGAGAAGAGGCGCCAGCAGAGACTCGAAAAACCGAAGTTGAAAACAGTGGCGCGATGACCTCCCATGACGCAATTACCCCGAGCGAGAGCGGACCTCTCTGCGAAGGTGATACAAAAGTCATGTACGAGGTGCTGCCGTCGCCGTTATCCGAGAATATCTTCGAACGAACAAGAGACGAGGTGCAGTGGCAGCGGATGTCGCACCAGGGCGGTGAGGTACCCAGGCTTGTGGCTGTTCAGGGGCAGGTCGACGAGGATGGCAGCATGCCGATCTACCGTCACCCGGCAGACGAATCGCCGCCGCTGTTGCCATTTTCCCCCACAGTACTGGAGATCAAAAACGTAATTGAGAAGCGGCTAGGTCACCCTCTCAATCATGTCCTCATACAGTTCTACCGCGACGGCAAGGACTATATTTCGGAACATAGCGACAAGACCCTCGACATTGCTAGGGGTAGCTTTATCGCGAACGTTAGCCTAGGGGCAGAGCGGACCATGACATTCCGTACCAAGCGACGGCCAAAAACGAAGGCCGAAACGGAGCTAGAAACCGCGCCCGATGCGCCCAGACGACAGATTGAACGAACACGCTTGCCTCACAACTCCCTCTGTAGAATGGGGTTGGCTACCAATATGCGATGGCTCCACGGTATCCGCCAGGACAAGAGAATGGATCGCGAGAAATCAGCCGAGGAACTGGCGTATGGTGGCGGCCGCATCTCATTGACGTTCAGGCAGATAGCAACGTTCCTGGACCGAGAGAGCAGGGTCATATGGGGGCAAGGTGCTACGGCGAAGACGAGGGAAGCTGCGAAGCCGGTGGTCAATGGACAGACGCAGGAGGCCGTCAAGATGTTGCAAGGGTTCGGCAGGGAGAACCAATCGACCGAGTTCGACTGGGACGAGTTCTACGGCGGCGGGTTTGACGTGCTGCATATCTCTGCTTCCCCTCGGCTGTTCTTATCGTCGGACCCCGTGGCGAACATGCGCATCCAGCTGATGCTGGCCGAGTATAAGGTCAACTACGCGAGAGGGAGTATGTCGCCGCTCTTCCGCTGGAAGGAGGGAAAGCCCGCGAAGGATCCCGGGACAATCCCGAGTGACCTGCCCATAAAATTCGTCGACAACGATTCCGCGAGGACGACTGTACAGGGCGAAGTCGCCATCATGTCATACCTAGACCGCGCCTACAGCCAAGCCGGACAAGACAAGCTATCTAGGGAGGACCAAGAAAAGCAAGCTGCTAGGTTCCAGCAGGGAATAGACCTCTTATCCAAGCGACGGGCCGATCCGGATGGCGAACGGATTAAGCACGAACTGGCCATCTGGGAGGGGTACGCTGCCGAGGGCAACGATTTCATCGCAGCGTCGACCATGACGCTAGCTGACTTCGCATTCTGGCCAGTCCTTCACGACATCATCGGGACGCCGGGGCAATCCGAGTTTGCGGGCGACGGACAGACATTCGAGAATTTGAAAAGATACCACGAGCGCATCAAAACAAGGGGATCGGGACAAAAGGTCTTGGCAGCCAGTGCGGAATGCTCCCGAGAGAGATCCGGTGGAGGTACCCCCGAGACCACTGCCCCTGCCCCTGCTTCTGCTTCCGCCCCTACCTCTCCGACTTCTGCCTAATAGTGACATTTTGGTCTGGGGTCTCAGGAAAGAAAGGCGAGGCTGAGGTTTGGTTATTTTGATTTTGCATTATAACGGGCAAGGGGGTGTACGTAAGAAGGGGCATTTGCATGGATGAGCGCGCATTGGTGTCTTTTTTTTTCTTTTTCGTTTGAGCATAGCATCGGATGGGTGGGTAGCACGGTTGGGTCTAGTCGATTTATATAAGACGGGAGGGGAGGATGTGCACAGGGGCGGAATTGGTGGTTCAGTAATAAGGGGGAGTTAAGAAATCATATCGTACATCTCAGAGAGAGAGACCCGAAGTCCGTTGCCGTACGCGTGCTATGCATCCTCGCCCTGATGTGCTATGTCCCGCGCCTCTTGCGAATACGAGTAGACCTGCTGCTAGCTGGAAGGGCGATTCTGCGCGACGGAGACGGTCCTGGAAAGATAGTAGCATTGGAGGGACAGGTGCAGGTGCATCTATTGTGGTTTGAGCAGCACTCATAAAAAATAGCACACGCCGTTGGTCCCCCCAAAACTCCCCCCGTTCCCATACGTAGACGCCTTAGAAACCCCGTACGCGCTCTCTCCCTCTCCCCTAAATACAGATCCCCCGTCCACCCCGGCCCTCGTCCCTATCTCCTTCTCCCTCTCGAGACGTCGGCGGCCGCAGCTCGCGAGGGGACGCAAACAAGGGGATTTTGCCTCCTTTCTTTTTCTTCTTCTTTCCTTCGGCCGCACAAGCCGCCATGCGTCGTGGCGGAGAGGCGAGCAGGGCGATGGGACGAGTCAGGCCGCCAACACCGACAGCCCGGTTCCTGCACGGACCGGCCGCGCCGTGCTTGTCCCGCGGCCCCGCGAGAGCCGGTGTGACACGTGCGACGCACGCCCCTAGCCCGATCGCGCCGTCGCCGAACTAGGCAGCCGGCTGGCCGTAGCGCATCATGTAGCTCTCGAGGGTGGCGCCGGTGCCGGCGCCGGGGTCCGGTGCGTCGGCGTCGGCGGCGCTGCCAGCACCGGCGCCGGGGCCGCCGCCGCCGCCGCTCTGCAGCACGATGGTGGGGCGGTGGGCGACGACGTCGAAGACGATGGCGGGCTGGGGGCGGGCGGGGTCGGCGGCGGCGGGGGGGAGCTCGACGTCGCTGATGGAGAGGGCGCGGAGGATGTGGCGGTCGACGCGGTCGAGGTCGGGGTCGGGGGCGTCGCCGCGGAGGTAGGCGGCGACGCGGGGGGCGGGGAGGGCGGCGGCGCGGGCGAGGCGGGCGATGGCGGCGCGGACGCCGGCGTTGTTGTCGCGCTGCCAGCGGCGGTAGCTGGCGACGGTGTGCATCTGGGCGGGGGGGGTGGCGGCGTGGTTGTGGGCGGGGTCGAGCACGTCGACGAACCAGCGGTCGCCCTCGCGCTTGAGCAGGCGGACGACGGCCCGCCAGGCGCAGCCGCACTTGCGGCTCTCGCGCCGGCGCTCGCCCGTGCTGTGCGACACGAACTCGCTGCCGCCCCGGTCGCACGTGAAGTCCTTGCGGATCACCTCCCCGTCCGGGTCGTACCGCCCCGACGCCAGCTTCTCCTTCACCGTCCGCTTCTGCGACACCCCGTACCCCGACGTGAACACGTGCAGCTGCAGCGCGAACACCGCGTCCTCCGCCGTCGCGTACGGGCCCTTGTTCAGCGGGTGCGGCCTGTGCTGCTCCTCCTCCGGCGGCCGCCGCGCCGGCGCTGCCGCCGGTGGGCCCGCTGCCGAGCCCTGGTACTCGCGCGCCGCCGCCGACTTGGGCGGCCGCCCGACGCGCCGCCGCTTGGCCTGCGGGGGCGTCAGGGCGCCGTCGCCGGGGGCGCTGCGGACGTTGCCGCTGCTGCTGCTGCCACTACTGATGGCTCCGCCGCCGCCGCCGCCAGTGTTGCTGGCAGCGGGCGCGCCGGGCAGCGAGGCCGAGGCGTCGTGGAGCCCGTTGGCGGGCGGCAGGATTGGCGGGCGTGGGTACGCGGGGGCGGGCGCGGCGGCTTGGAGCGGCTGGCGGTGGTGGAGCTGGTGGTGCTGCGAGGATGCGGCGGCGGCGGCCTGGAGGGCGAGCTGGTTGTACTGCTGGATAGGGGCCAGGGAGCCGTACTGGGACGAGGCCATGGCGCTGCTGTATCTTTCTTTGTGCTTTCTCTTGCTTTTTTATTTTATTACAATATGGCATTCGTCTTTGGGCCCCCTTTTTTTCCTCGTCGCGATCGTGGTGCGAGCCGATATGACGCTGTTACATCGTCCTGCTCGTTGCAGTTAACGCCTCTCTTGCGATTCCTGGCGCCCCCCGTTTGGATTTCTTGGGCTGGTCCGTTTTTTTGTCTCGCTAAGGGACGGGACGGGTTGTCGATGGATTCCACCGATTAGGGAGGTGAGCTAGACCGTCTGTGTATGCGCGCTGGGAGGATCTGGTGACCGTACGAATACGTCGAGGAGACGTGGAGTTGGTGAGGAAAGTTGCCAGATTATGCGGAGGCGATTAGTAATTATCGATTCACGGGCTAATTACCTACGCTGGCAATGCCATAGGCGGGGTTGCTATGCGAATATACGTGTATGGTGTATACAGAGGCCGCCTAACGAGGTGCCCAGCTTTCGATTCGCGGAGGGGATGCATACATCCGGATTGCATGTAGGCAGCATAGTAGCTCGTGTATCCCGCAATGAGCCTCGCTTATGCAATAAATGTAGTCCCTCCTATTCAGACGGTTTGATATTGATCTACTGATGCCAGATTCCACGGTCGACCAGGACGCTACAACCTCTACCACCCATCCTCACAACCCGCCTCAATCCTGTCTAGTCCTCTATATGGCAGCTTGGGCATATCTCAATGAATATGGTGGATTTTGTCCCCGACTACTGATGGGTGATGTCCGTCGCTCTTTAGAAATATTTGGTTCTAGGTAGTGACTATTCTGCGGTGATTTGCATGGGCTAATGTTATCTATCATATTTGTATCTGTGCCGCCACCGTTTAAGCCGGTCACCACGAACAAGTTATATTGCCCGCATTGGTTGACTATGCTGTGTCTAGGCCGGCCCTGACTCCGTGTGCATGGTCTACCTAAATATCTTTCCACGCGTAACTCCCGACCTGGGAGCTCGCCACCCAGCCGGCCGCATCGACGACCCGCTGCCGGCGCTCCCTGTCGCGCAGGGCTTCCTCAATGCTGATTCCGGGGGGGAAGCCGGGGACCTCTTCGCGCTCGACACGGAGCCAGCCCTTCCAGTCGGCGTACACGTCGCCCCTGCTGGCGATGCCGGCGCCAGCAACAGCACCGCTGGCATTGGCACCTGCACTCGCACCCGCACCAGGGGCATTAGAACCGCCGCCGATCACGACGGTGCCCCACCACTCGCGTGCGCGGCTCCCGTGCGCCCCGTACACCATCCACTCGCTGGCCGCGGCCACAGCGGCCCGGACATGCTCTTGGCCCTGCGGTGGGCGATACACGTAGACGTGGCGCAGGTCCGGGGGCAGCGCGGGATAGCTGGTGCTCGTATTAGTACTATCACCACTACCACCACTACCGCCAGCGGCGGCGGCGGCGGTGGTGACGGCGGTAACAGGTAGGTGGTGAGAGGCGATTAGGCGGGTAACATCAAAGCGACCCTCGGTATCGACGACGGCGATAGCGTAGCCGTGCGGCTCGGCGATCAGGGTCGATACCAGGTGGTACAGCAGCGGGAGGTAGCGGCCGCTCACGGAGAGGACCGGCGGCGGGGCGGACTGGGTGGCCCGGTGGTAGCGGCCCGCTAGGCTGGCAAGCGCCGGGATGGGTATGTGTGGGCGGATGCCAGGATTTGGCGAGGGACCGGCGAGTTGGAGGCGGAGGGAGTCGAGGAGCTGCAGATGTAAGTGTTGGTGGTTAGTAGGTGGTTAGGCCGTGTTGTAGTGGGGTATTTGGCTGGAGTTGGATGTTGGGTTTTCGCCTTTCTTTTATGTGGTTTTGTCTAAAAAGAAAACCCCCAAATTCAGGACGGCTCTCAGAATATTGTAAGGAGAGGGTCAGAGGGTCGTGTATGAAGGACGAACGAGCATAAAAGAGTAGACTTGAGAAGAGAAGAAAGGTGAGAGAGAAGAGAGAGACAGGGACGCCGATACGATAAGAGAAGTTATGACGCGAATTGACACCCGACAGCTTATATACCTACCCCCCTGCGTTCTTGCAATAGGTAGGTACCTTTCAACACACCCTCACCACACCACCCCATCATCGCATCGCATCTTCCCACCCACACACCCACACACACACCCCCTCCCTTTTCTACCGTCCCCTGGGAAATCAATTAGCTACGAGACGTACCTCTTCCAAGCTGGTCTCCTCGATCTCGCCAAGCACCCTCGCGCTGACCTGCCTCGCCGCTGCTCCTGCCGTCGTATGGTCCATCATCGCCAGCCGGCCTCCGTCGTCCGTATGCGTGTATCTACGTCCCTAGTGCGCGCCCCCACTAGGTAAACCCGGTGTGATCTCGGGTGAAGCTCCGCAGAGAGAGAGAGAGAGAGAGAGAGAGAGAGAGAGAGAGAAAGTGAGCGGATGGCGCCGCCGTGCCGCGTCTTCCCGGCCTCGCAGCTCGAGTCCGAGATCCAGGTGGACAGCGGCTGCGCGCGCAAGGGCGGCCCCGTCGACCTGGCCGCCTGCGAGCTCTTCTCCCTCCTGCAGTACGAGTGCCAGATCGACCGCCCCGAGATCGCCGAGAGCCCCGTGCGGTGCTGGCCGGTGCAGCGGTGGTTTCGCCGGTGCGTCGCGCACAATGTCTTGCGCTTCTTTTTTTTTTTTTCGTTTTCCCTTGCTTTCCTCTTTCTCTCCCTTTATTCGCCCGGCCGGTTTTACCTCCCAGGAGAGTTGGGAGAGAGCGCTAGCTGATCCCTGAGCTGCAGATGTCGCGATAAGAAGGGCGCTTTTATGGTCGAGACGACGGCGTGGGAAGCGAGTCACAAGAATGGATGACTCGGAAGCTGGCCGATCGATGGTGGGGGAGGGGAAACTGGAGAGTGGGCGAAGGAGGAGAAATGGAGAGAGGGAGAGGGGGGGGGGGCTTGATAATGGCCCATCCATAACCATCAAAAATGCTCAAGTCAGAAGAGAGGACAGAGAAAAAGAATAAACTAGCACATGGTTTTGTATAAGCATTGACAGGTAAATATATACTGTAGAAAATAAAAATAAAAAGAAATAAGAGGCATTGAGACAAGAAATGAATCAATTCAAGAAAACGCCCTCCCCCCTCGGTGCTGATACTGTGACGATAGCCCTGTTATAGGTATATGAATACACCCATTGGCAATACCTTCATTGGCACCCTCTATGGTACTCTCTCTCTTTCTCTCTCCTTAAAACCTGCCTTCGCCTACGGACAAGGAACAGCTATTATTCATCCGACGGCGCCGACGCATAGGTAGGTATATCATAGATCTCGCACGGATTCCGCATGCTCTTCACAAAATAAAGAAAACGCCGAGGAAAACTCTGTATTCGACGAGCGGGTGCTCAGGAATTCGTATAATACAGTCGACCACCCTAGCTATCGAATCGTGCCTGTCCTCTGGAAAGCATCTTCACAACATCCTAGGAGCGAGGGGGGTAAAAAACAGTCAAAGGACTTGTCCTACGTCTAGTCTTGCGTTTCCTCTGGCTCCGCACTCGACCTGTTCATGGCCTGTCTTCTTCTCTCTCTAACTCTCATCTTCACACGCCAGTTTTTCTTCCTTCATCTTCTTCCCCTTCTCGCTTCGCGCCACGCTCATATCTCTAGACAGCTCGAGCGGCCCGGTCCGCCTCTAGTTTCCTGTAGAAGGCGTCTCGCGCGTGGGTGCGCGGCATGTGGAAGCCGTGCCTAGGACGCAGCCGCGGTTAGCTGGGTAGCCCCGCCAGTGGCCGTGGGGTAGCGCGCGTCGTCTACGCCGCCAAACTATTCCTCGGCGGCGGACGAGGGAGGGCCGGGAAGACGAAGGGGAGTGAGTGTATCGCGAATGGGGCTGCGTACCAGAATAGGGTGCCGAACGTCACGCCAAGTCCTGCTCTTCGTGTCAGCCCGGGATCCTGGCGCAAAGCCAATCCCCGGCCCAATTCGTTCGGGGGGGGGGGGGGTTGGCAATGAGAACGGAGCTATCGGGAAACGCTGGCGGGCAAGTTGTTGTCGTAGCGTATAGCCGCGCCTAGTGCGATTGACGATGCGTAACCGAAGGTGCACAGGAAGGCAACGTACCAAGCGCAACACTGATGTCGGTGATGAGGCCTCGTCGGAGCATCTGGAGTAGGCGAGGGATTAGCACCGCAGAGTCGCGCGGGGAGGAAGAGGAGATAAGAGGGGAAGATGCGCCGCAGCGATTTCTCCACAGGGCACCGAATTCGGGTCCTTACGCCGGTGATGGGCTTGATAGCCATTGTGACGGGTAGCTTCGGTGCGAAGTAGAGGGGAGGTTGCTGGCGCGCAGGTGAAGGCGGGAAAAAAAAGTTGGATCGGCAGCGGGTGCGAGGAGAGGAGGACGTGAGTCTCTGATTTTCGGGATTGAGGGTTGCAACTGGGGAGAAATGGGCTGATGATGGCCGATAGACGACGGGATGGGTGGATGGGAATTCGCGCGGCCTCTGATTGGAGCACCGGCAATGTGAAATCACGTGAAGAGAGCTATTGCTCGATTAGCTCATTTTTACGCATAGCATCTATACAAGCATACCTGGGCATCTTATTCATGTACGGAGGAGGTACATACCTACGGCACAGCCCGGCGAATCCCCGGCGGCATTCCCTCTCTCCCCTCGTGTCTCCCATTCGACATTTTCCGACGAGTCGCGATACCATAGCCGTGTGCCGCGTATATCCTCCTCTACATAGCTGCACTCCTGGCCAGAGACAGCGTCAGACCAGCTTCATCCCCCGAAAACCAAGCTCGCAGGCTTGCACGTCGCAGCCATGAGCCTACGCCTACCGGCCCGGCAGGTCGTCCAGACCGGTAAATCCACTCCCCAATTCCGCCCGCGGCCGAGCTAGAAGCTGATGCGAGATACTCTCTTCCCCCCCCCCCTCTCTCGGATGCAGCCCGGGCCGCCACGGGCAAATCACCGTCGTCGGCGGCGCTCCGCCTGCTGCCGCGCACGCAGCGCCGCAGCGCGTGGTTCTGGGGCAACAAGGCGGGCAAGAAGAAGGACTCGTCGCCGGCGTCGCAGCAGTCGGAGCTGTCGAAGGAGCTCTCGCGGCGCGAGCGCGAGCAGTTGGTGGCGGCCCGCAACATGGACCGCACGGGCGGCGCGTCCATCTTCGACGAGGAGATCAAGGAGTCGGAGCGCAAGCTCGAGGCGGAGGGCGACGTGGGCGGGCCGCCGCCGCCGGGCGGTGAGGGGCAGGGGCAGCAGCGCCCGCCGCCGTCCATCACCGCCGGCACCCAGATCAAGGAGCACATGGAGATGGCGCTGGACCCGGACCCGCGGTGGCGCGTGCGCTACACGAAGCGCAAGGTGATGCAGATGATGCGCGGCGGCGACCGCATCACGCGCGAGCAGCGCATCCGCATGACGGAGAAGGAGCACCGCAGCAAGAGCACGCTGATCGGCACCAGCCCCAAGAAGCTCGTGATGCTGGCGCGCCAGATCGCCGGCAAGACGCTCGACGACGCCATCACGCAGATGCGCTTCAGCAAGAAGCGCCCCGCCCGCGACGTGCGCTGGCAGCTGTCCGAGGCCCACGACCGCGCCGTCGCCGCGCACGGCATGGGGCTCGGCGCCGGCGCCGGCCCCGCCGCCAGCGCCCTCCAGCTCGACCGCCCCCGCGAGATCCAGACCAAGGACGGCCGCCGCATCACCGTCACCGACCCGACCCGCCTCTACGTCGACCAGGCCTGGGTCAACAAGGGCCCCTGGCGCGGCGTGCGCATGGTCTACCACGGCCGCGGCTACCGGTCCGCCCACCGCCGGCCCACGGCTAGTAAGTAGTGAATTTTTTCTTCCTCCTCTTCTTCTTCTTCTTCTTGCCGATTCCTGCGCTTGGTGTAACCGCGACAACACTAACATCGCACCCCTCTCTTGCTAGGCATCTCGATCGTCCTCAAGGAAGAGAAGACCCGGATCCGGCAGCACGACGAGCGCGTCGCGAAGGAGGCCCGCAAGGCCCCCTGGACGCACCTCCCGAACCGCCCGGTCACGGCCCAGCGGCCATACTACAGCTGGTAGCGCACGAGGGGGGGCGGCACGGGATGAGGCCGGAGGAGAGAGAGATAGAGAAAAGGAAGAAGAAAAAAAAGGGGGAAGGCGAGAAAGGATGCGATGCGCAGCACATCCGTAGACAGGGCGCGCCGCGACCCAACCTCGCCCGGCTGGCCCTCTCGGGGCGGAAGCGAACTGGGCCGGCGCGGCGGAGGAGGAGAGCGTATCCGCGTATACGCGCGCGCCGCTCGGTAGCATTGTACCATATATCCATACATGCATGCACACATAACACACCCTCAAGCACAATGCGAGAGGCGGGGAGAGAGAGAGGCATTGCACTCGAGGAATCAATTCAAACTCGCTCCGGCCCGTGTGAATCCCGCATTGGGCGCGAAACACTGCCTATCCTCTGCTTAGACCTCGACTTGGTGCTCCTCCCCTTCTTTTTTCTTACTCTTCATATCTAGGTACTTAGTTCCCTCCCTCCCTCAACCTCGACGGCGGCACTTGGCTCCGAAATGCTCACCGTCGTATATACCTAAGCTTCTTCCACACGCCACCGCCACTGTCTTCTAGTCGACGGAACCCAGACGCGTCCGGGACAGCTGGGGCCGTTCGTCTAGACTATCATTAGTGATTACCTACCTCTTGTGGTGCTCAAGTTCGCAGCCCGTAAAGATGTAAAAGTACGACATCATCGGCAAAATAGGGGCACAATACGTCTGATAGTAAATAGCAAATTTATCTCATTCAGGATACACGTGGTCCTATGCTACATCTCGGGGTTTCCACCTATTGTCCAGCCGTAATCACCAACACTCGTGTCCGGCCGGCTCACGGCGGGTAATTGTGCGACATGGAACTAGTACATGACGATCAAAACCGTTGGGCTCCCCGTTCTCTTCTCAGGTGGCGTTGGAGACGGTGGCACAGGTCGCGCGAAGGTTGGGAGATGCCACCAAGTAAGCCCCCACACAAAGACACCAAGTAAGCCCCCACACAAAGACGATTCTCAACTTCCTCATGACTGAGTTATCCTCACTGCCCTACTGAACTCGGAAAATGCATTCACAACTTGAACAAAAAAACGGGCCGGAAAATACTTCGGAAAGGGGGGGAATAGAAGTGGGGGCGAAAGGGACGAGAAACAGGCTCGAATGCACAAGAGCTCAACCTAAATCATAGTTCGAGGCTGGGTCTGCGGCACCATATCCTCATATCGCCTCACATTCGCATCCAGTTCAGAAGAGTAAGAGCCGACCGACGGCGTATACGCTCGCTGGGGCGATCGTTTTGACCGGCCGCTTTCGCTCGACTGCGGCGACGGCGTAAAATTCGTCGAAAGGGTTGCCTCAGCTCGGCGGGGATTATCCGCGTACTGTCGTCCGGATCCAGGAAGAGGTTCCGAGATCTGCAACGACGGAACGTCCGCGGTCGCCCTCTTCTTCCTGCGGCTTAACCAGATAAAGAGCAAGAAGAGAGCGGCAAAGACTACCACGACACCGACACCAGCGCCAATACCGGCTTTCGCAGCAACGCTGAGGCCCTCCTCGCTGGCGGACGAGACCACGTTAGGCTGCTCTGTAGACGATGTAGCTCCGCCCTGCGTGGCCGAACTAGACCCGGTAGCAGTGAGAGAGGGCGTCGACGACTGAAGTGGAGAAATTAGCCATTAGGTCCCACTCGAAGAAATTGTCAGTCTAGTTACATACAGAGGTGAGAGTGGGTTCAACGGCCACCGAAGTCGAACTAGAAGCACTTGGTTCCACACTCGCAGCACTCAAGGCTTCAGAGGATGCTGTCTCAGATGACGAGACAGCGCTTGGAGGACTCGGCTCGGGTGTGGCCGTTGCTGTCTCTGCAACCGTAGCCGAAGACGTAGGCTCGGGTGTGGCAGTCGGAGCTTCCGGCGTAGCGGGAGGTGTAGTAGGGGTAGGGGCTGGTAGAATTCCAGCTGCCTGGGATGCGGCTACAACGACATTTTGATCAACAGAGAGCCCCTTCGGTAACTCAGCTATATTCGGCCTACTTACCGGCACATTGCTGAGCACCGACTCCCTCAGCAATCGGAATCTGGGCGGCTGCCTCTTGCGGACACGCCTGGTTGATACAGTCTCGGATGCCGTCAACGTAAGCGGTAGTCTGGCCGCAGACACACAGTTTATCTCCTAGAGCACATCCGAGGTCGGCCGCATTCAAGAAAACACCGTCGATGCAACCAGCCTAATACGCCAGCCATGACGTTAGTCATATAATCTCAAATACTGGGAATAAGCCCTTTTCCGAGATCAGGTTCACTCACCGCGCAAGGAGAAGCTGGGCCGTCCTGGGCGCTGCCCTGGCCCAGGAAAAGGGCGGCAAGAAACACGGCAGCGGGAAACAACATGGCGTCGATAAGGTTAGGCGGTAGCCTTTATGACGAGGCAGGGCCGATATATGGCAATGCCGGCGTGATCAGGGGGTAAATCTAGAAAAGAAGTCGATCGCGGGGGTATCTCGGTTTAAAGAGGGCCAAACTGGCTGGCCCGGTTGCTGAAGAAATAATGAACAACGAAGAGAAGAGGCCTGTGAGATGATGGAGGTTACAGTGCCACAAAGCAGCCCATGACCGTCATGCGATTCGGAAATAAGTCGTGTCTGCCGAAATACGGACAAGGTCGAGGTGGAAGTCGAGATACGGGATCGACCAGTTCTCGGCTCGCGCGAGGTAATCGACCCCAAGGTCACACAGGTTCGTACGATCCGTATATAAAAGCCTCGACGGTCTCGAAGTGAACCTTGAGAGGAATTTTCCCAAGTTTCGGCGATCCCAGAAACTTCCAGAGATCCCACCCTATCGGTTTCGTTCCTAGCTATGGCTTGGGCGATGGTCGCAACGGGGTCGAGATAGGCCCCCTTCCAGACAGTTATAGATCAAATCAGGCGTCGGCGCCACAGGAGGCGTTTTTGGCGTGTTTGATACGCCCAACCCAACCGTCAGATAGACAAGTCGAGCGAGTGCGCACGAGAAGCGGACGGGGGAAGAAGAGAGGAGATAGGTGAAGGAGTGGACGTAGTAGGTGTCTACAAACGAATGGAGCCCAGCCGGCAACTGAAGGTGGAACGGGAACAAGAACGGGAGCGGGAATAGGAACGAGGGAGTGGAAGGAGTGTAAGTAGAAAGAAACGAAAGTGGTGTCGAGGCAGACGGATAGATTAGTAGGATCCCGCACCAGCTGGGGGTGATGTCGAAGCGAGGAGGTATAATAGAGAGGGAGGGAGAGGTAGAGAGAGAAAGGTAGAGAGAGTAGAGAGCGGAGAGTGAGCGCGAGAGAGAGAAGAGGAAGAACATGAGAGGACCGGGGGGGTACGTAGGGTACGTAAGAAAGGCCCTACTAGAGGAAAGAGCGAAGGCGAAGGGAACCAGTCCGTCCGTCGCGGTGTCAAAGGGAAGTCGCGGATCGATCAGGAAGGTTGCTGAAGGAAAGCACGAACGACGATTGGACGAGGCGGAAATCCCAAGCAACTACTTGAGGGAAGTATCTCGGGACTTGTCTGACAGTTTTAGGGGGGGGGGGCGGACGGTTTGCTAGGTATCGCGGGAGGTACGCAGCCAGGTACCCGGCTCCTTCGTCGTGCCCAGACTCTCAACCTCAAACGGCTACGAGCGCGCACAGGTACCGGGCGCGTCGAAACGACCTGTCCGGGCTGTGTGAAATGCGACCGATTTCAGGTATCTCGAATTATTCAAATACCTAAATACCTAAATATACGCAAGGGAAGCAACATGTACAACATCGGGGGCCACCGCAGCAAGCGCCGCCACTTGCCTACAGCCCCCCGCGGTGACGCCGCGTATAGGAAATACCAGGTATCTATAGGTTTCGGCCGGAGGGGCAATCGAATACTTACTGATGGAAAATGGGGGCGAACAAGCGGCGCAAACAGCTTGCAGAATATTCCTGCAGTGTCTGCATGCGAAGGCGTTTGTCAAGATGCTGAAGGGACCTCGGACAGGCGTCGGATTGCATGGGGGGACCAGGTATAAGCCAGCCGCCACGATCCATTGGATACCAACAACGTACCTATGCGCACATACATCCACCTGGACATGCACACCTACACACATACCTATTATGTACGCCGATTCCATGCATCTACACGTACGTCGCCGGGGTAATTTCGACGTCTTGGGCGCCTGAGATTGGGTTGCGTCTGTCTGGATATATCGAGGTTACGTAGGCCGGCAAGGGGGAGGGCGCGGGGGGTCATCATACCCGGCTATCTGGCGGGCTGCTGCTTACCGCCCCATGTTGTTTCGAGTCGGGAGGTTTGGAAATTTCCAGGCTACAGTGTACACTGCGGTATTGATGTCGACGGGTAGGGATACCGCGCGTTCTGGGGGATCACTCGGTCCTGTCGGGTGGCTATAAAAACACGCGGAAGGTAGGTGTAGGTAGGTAGGTGTCTGTTTTTTTTTCCTCTCTCTCCCTCCTCTGATCGGCATAGTACGCTTCACGTTAAGCACGCGCCGGACCCAAGAAGAGCCCCCCTTCGATATATCAGCTATCTCCTAAAGACGTGCCGGTGCCAACGGGAGGTTGCTCTAGTCTGACCTGCAGGGACCAGTCCCCCCCCGAATCACGTAGGTACTAGCAGGTATCTGGCATAGTGCGGGCGCGCATTGCCTAACGGGGATAGCGAGCATCTCCCAACAGACCTCGCAAACAAATAACTAACTTGCGCGCTCTCATTAGACGAACAGAGACGCCAGAGCCAGCCAGCTGGGGTCGGTGGTGCAGAATGATATTGAAGGGGGCTCGGCTCGGGCATGGGTGGGCAGGAGAAAGTCCAGGGCCGGCGCATCAATCAGACGACCGAATATGGAAACCCAAGGTTACAGACGTCGTTTAAGTTGAGACTGACGGGGCTGAGACAGGGCCGACCCCGGACCGTGGCTGTCAATGCTGAAAATCGAGACATCGTGTATCTGCTATTTAGCGCATGCCGTCGACAAAGGTACCGCGGTCCTCGCCGAAACCTTCTAGATCCCACCGGGCTGGCAAGTACCCGGCAGCACTCCCACCACCTCTCGCTTATGTACCTGTATATTTCTATACGTCCCCCCCCCCCCATACCTTTGGCTGTCCTAACGGGCGTCTGAAGCGGCTAGAAATTGGGCAAGCGTTCTATGGCAGGGAGAGGGGAGTCCCCGTATGTGATATATATATATATATACATACATACCACGTACGTGTAATACCCGCTGCCCTACTGCTATGGACGCTAGGAGGTGTACGCACTTCAGTAGAGTATGCACCAAAATGTATCCTGTACACGTGGGTTCCAGATAGGACAGCACGCCAGACGCCGGCGTACACATGTACATGAGACATGACATCCGTCTGAGCCATCGTCATCATGAGAGGTATTACTATCACCACCACCGGGGCCGAGCTCGATCCCCCCTGCTCGTCGTCAACCTACCTCCTACTCATTACCTGCCTGCCCGTGGAACGGCGGGGCGGGTTGTCAGCATCCACGATCACTTTGTGTCCTCGCCTCTTACTCACAGAATATGCGCGCAATTTCTGTAGGCATTCTTTAAGCAAAAAGAAACGAGCCCGTCAGCACCGCACCCACACACTCTCTCTCGGCATATCATCCCTCCATTTGTGGATGACCACTCCGAACCCCTGGCCGGTCGCGGGCGCTTCCACCTCCAGTGTCGTCACGTAGCCCCCCCGCTCCCGCAGACGACGTCGAGCCTCGTGAGCGGAGCTGCGCAACCCCCTTCTCCAGACACCCAGCTCATCCGTTCATTGGGCGCGGCTGGACAGTCGAGACCGTTGTTCATGCGCCGTCGATCGCTCTCGACGCCCATCCCACGCCGATCGCATCGCATTGGTGATCCCACCTCAGTATTGTGGTGATCCCACCTTAGTAATCAGCCGTGTCGCGTCGAAAGGATCAGGAGAGGAGGAGTTGACGCTTGCCGCCGGCCCAGCACTGCTACCTTGGAGATGCCAATGGCTGCGCCGCGCACCGACTGATTGGCCCGTGCCCTTTTCGACGGCCACGTCGCGAGACCCGATGGTTTGCTTGAGGGTGCGCGGACAGGAATTGCGTTGCCGCCCCCTTCGTATCACCTAGGCATCTCGCCGTCTCGAGATGTCTTCTCGCGACAGTTTGTATGAATAGCAACTGCGCATAGCCTCAGTACTCATAAGGTTCGTGCCGCATCGCATAATGGCATGGCATGCAATTGACTAAGCATGGGCAACCTGCGTTACACTCGGAACAGCGCCGTATGTACGTACCGGGGTCGGTTATGTACATAGAAAGCAGGTACACGTCGTACCCACTCCTCTCTGTTCGGTTCCGTTCCCGCGGAGCATAAGGAAAGTTGCCCCTGAGGTTATCGTCGACTGGTTCGTCGCCGAAACTGTACGCCCGCCTTCGCTCTCGTCGGACAATTATACCTTTGCATTATAGCTAGCTCGCTATGCTATTCGTGTACTCTTCATGTGCTCGACAGCCTGCAAAATCCCCCTTTCCTCTTCCCCCACATGTCTCTCATTTCCCGATAAAACAAGGAGGGGCGCCCACTCGTTTAGAGATGCCGCCGTCGCTCCCAACCCGCCTCATACCGATAATTTCCCTAAGGCAGGTAAATCTCCGAGCGTGATCTTACTTACTCATACTACTGCGTAGCTAGCGTCGGTATACGTGTCGACGCTGTGCTCCTCGCTAGGCACGTTAGCCACCTCTCAGTCTTCAGCTGCTCGAGAATCCCACGTGTACAAGACAGAAAAATTTTCCTTTCAACAAACAAATAGAAATGTACATGTGACGGACCTGACAGACCGCGGGATACTTGAGAGACGACAAGCCCATATCGCATGCAAGTTTGTCAGCCTCGATCGTTCCTTGGCCCCGTGTCGCTGAGGTGTTTTCGTCAGCTCGCCCGGGGCCGTTGACTTCGTCCTCTCCCACTCGGCAGAATCCCCAGGTTCTTCCCTCGAACATTCTCAAGGAGATCCAGCCTGTCACGAAGTGGTTTACGAAGCAAACATTTCGTCGACATCTGGACCCGCCGCTACATCGGCTGTAAATCTCGATTCTCCGCCGTGTCCATAATGTATTACTTTCAACCACTGCCTCACTTACCTACACTCACTACAGGATAACCGCAACAAGCCCAGTTAGTGGTGCATGCAGAGAGCGACGTCTTCGAGCTCGCTCGTCGTCGTGGCCAGACAGCCCGCCTAAAGCCGCCCTATCCAAAGGTTCAACTACCTATGCATGAGACTCTTTGTCTCGCCCGCTCAGGGTCCGTGTTCATCGAGCGGGCAGATCCGGCCATTATTCGTAGTACCCCCCTATGATCTTTCCCCCACGGCCTAGGCACCCGAGCCCGGAATGCTTAGCCGGTGATGAAACCACTGCCCATGGGTGACGCATGGACGCCTAGGGCGCACACACTACGGGACGGCCTGGCTTCCCCAGAGAGGCCCGGCCGGTAGATCGAGGGACACGTCGGCGGCTATTGCGTCCCCGTCAACGCGGATCTCCCTCCCTCCCACATATAAACACACACTCTCTCTCGCTCTCCTCTTATCTCATATTATAATCTCGTAGTCTCAAAAGCTCTCGAGAGGCTTCTATCCCAGTAATAGAAGTCTTTACCTACTCTCCCCTTCCCCCCTAACCTAGCCGTGTTTGTCGTCGAGAGCAGATAAAGACTACGATCACCGGGATAGAAAACCTCTCTCGAGTTTTCAAGACCACGAGATTGTAATATGAGATTATAGCCCGTCACTCGTCCCATCTAGTATCTAGATCGACAACTCGGCCCAATGTACGATATTCTGAAACCGGTGGCCCCGTCTACATAATCCTATCCAGAGGATAATTATAATATGTGAGACCTTATATGAGTATGGTAACTAGTGGTACTAACGTGTAAACATAGACAACGTCCGCCCCATAGTGTCATCTAGTCTCACCTTCTCAGAGATCCATATCGTGACTTTATAGCTCTTGCCCCGTCGTCGTTCTCGTGCTTGGAGAGCTAGTCGGCTTGGGATTCGCATGCGCCACGGGAATGGGCGACAGCCTGTTTTGATATCTCCAGGCCCGGTCCGGCTCGCTTCCCTGGAGACGTCCCGCAGGTATGCCACTCCTTGAGCGAGTACCCCCCGCGGGCACGACCCGGGTCCGTCGCTCCCTTCCCTCTCAACTCGACCTCGGTTACGTCTAATAAAGTATGCCTTACGCCACTAATCAAACTCGAGGGGGGTAAAGGTTAATATCACCGCGAATACCGACAAATCCTTCCTCTTTCTCCTGAGAGGGTAGAGATAGGAGGTAAGAATCTGCGGGGGGTGTCGGCATCGAGTTGGGCGAGAGTCCCCTTGTGGCGATGATAAGCTTGAAGTATTTAGAGGTATATAGGGAGAGGTAGGTATGTATACCCAGCATTCGCCACAGCCCGCTCCAGAACTACCTCAGGTACCTAACCTCACATCTAGGTCCCCAGTCCTCACGCCCTCTCC